CTCATCGAGTTGTATCGAATTGCACCGATTTGTGCATCACATCGCATCATATCGCATCGCATGGTACACTACTGCATGTACACGGCGTACGACCCCCCTCAGCGATGAGGTCGTGAGTGTGTGTGTGTACCTGTCATCCAGGCAGGAACATGAAACACGGCGAGGAGGGCTGGGATGGAAAAACAGGACCGCGAGACAACGTCGTCATTGAACGACCAACAGCCAACAACTTGGAAGTCACTCGCATGGAGGTGAGTGGTGGGTGGTGGGCGGGTAGTGAGTGTAATGCAATGGAAAAAGGAACAATGCAAAGGGCGTACAGACAGGCAAACAGGGTTGGGGGAGAATGAACTGGTCGGCGAAGAGGGTGTTTCCAGGACTCGCATGCGGTGCAGCCTCAGAACGGATGCGTGTCCCTTGATATTGCCCGATTTGGAAGTCGTACAGGAATCACCAGGGCGGGCGGCCGGCAGAATAGACACGGTTACGACTTACGAAGTTACGAGCACGTTTGTTCTCGGGTTATTTACGGCGACAGGCGTGATTCTAGTCGTGGCCCTTTTGCGCCGTTGCACAGACAGAGGTGTACGTTGAGTGCGTTCATGAGGCGTGTTGTCAAGCTCATCACGACAACCAAAGATAAAAAAGGTCCCACGCTCAACCGCAGCGCGGCCGGTTCCTTTGATGATTACATTGATCCAGAGTCTATTGTTGGATCAGACCAAACCCGGCGCCCACTCGCGCGATGCCTTGCAAGCGGAGGAGAAGGAGGCAGTGGTCACGATGGACGTCAACGAGGCTCAAGCAGTTGTGGCGTTTTCGCTGAGGGATCGCTGACACGAGGGAGGCTTGCCCGCTTCACTAAAAGCATCTACGTACCAGCTAGCCACAGGACCCCGGAGCAATGCAATTGGAATACTGAAGGGGACGTGGATGCAGCCCCCCAAAAAGCGACGGTGGTAGTTGGAATAGCGTAGGCGCTGGGTAAACGAGGCTGGGGAGCTGAGAGGCGAGGCGAGGCGCGACTGGAGATCAAGAGTACTAGGTAGTAGGGCTGATGCTGATGATGATGATGATGGCGGGAGAGCGAGCTGACGGCCTTCGCCTCGTTTACGAGAAGCGTCCCTGGTTCTGGCAGTTGCTGCGCCCGGTTGGGGCCGGTCCGACCAACCGGCTCGCGAGGACGGGAGTGCCAGCCAGTGTCTATTTTGGGGGGCGAGCGGGTTGCCGAGATTTTAGCTCGGGAGGCAGCTGGAGGCCGGTGGGCGGACGGGCGGGTTACGGACGCGGCGGCGCGCCCTAACTCGAATCCCGTTAGGGGCGATTCCCGCCGCCCGTGCAGGAAAGCCCCCCCCCCCTTCAGGGCCTACAGTGGTTGAAAGGCGGCACCTGACTCCGCTGAAGCCCGGGTGCCCGCCCGCTGCAAACTCGCTCCCGCAGCGCTCCACTCCAGCCAGCTCCAGGGGACCTGCCCGGGACCTCATCAGCACCCAGACCTCAGTGGAGCAGGCCTCGCGTGGCGTGGCTGTGCCGTGTGGGCGAGGTGGTGCCTGACATTTACAGGTGTTGCATCCCCCAGCCAGCCCCCATGACTGGATGGAACAACAGCACGTTCCATGGAACTTTTCGCGCTGCGGCAGCACACACACCCCCTTCCAGTTGCCTGTAAACTGTCATTCTTCAAAGTGCAGGAGTAGTTCGTTTATCGTTTATCGTTTACCGGGGGGGGGGGCCGGCGACTGGAGAACACGCACACCCCCCCGGCGTACATCCCCCCCAATGAACCGCCGACGAAACAGGAGGGCAAGTCGGCGCCAAGGGACGACGACGACGACGACGACGCGTGGGCGTCGGCAGCCCCCATCCCACGTCTTTGTTCTGCGACTGCTTCTGGAATCGGGACACCAACCTGGAACCTTGAAGAAGGGCGGCAGGCACCGCCAGCCAACGGGTCACCTAAAAAAGGGTCACAGACGGTGCCATCGCGGCTGCTATTGGCGGGCAAATTGTTTCCCTCTTGCTGCGGTGACGCTACTCTTGATGCTGCTGCTGCTGGTCCTGCAGGCGCGCGTACAGGCGATTTGCGATGCCGCAACTCCCGTCCAGGCATGCGTGTGTGTGAGAGTGTGTGTGCTTCGCAACACGTGCGTGCTGTGTGCCTTGCGTCTGAGATAAGCTCGCTGCGACTCTGATGGGTCCCCGTTCTTCTGCAGCTGCCGCTACCTTGCCTTGATGAAGTAGGTACTTCGTACCGCTGCTGCTGCTACCGTGTGCCGTGTACGTTCTGGCAGGTGCGCGTCATGCTTGGCTAACCCATTTGTCAACCCCCCTTCCGTGGACTTCTGCACGATGATTAGGCATCGGGGGAGCATCGTCGTTGAGGAAAGAGGTCGTTGGAGCAGAGCCAGGACAGGCGCGATGCCGCGCGCGCTTAGGGTACTCATCGCTTGCTCGTTCGTTCGTTATACAGACCGGACTGCATACATGCTTGGCATGTTGGCCGGAGGGTAGCAGTCCTCGTGCCGGTGTGTTACTGTCGCCGCGATGCCACGGGTCTCTGCCCCCCTCCCCTCCCCGTCCGTTGCCCTTGTTCCATGTGCCGGGAGCCCGCCTCTGCACACACACACACACACACACAGCTCAGCCCTACGACCCGTCCCATCTTGTCGTGGGTACGCGGACAACGGGGGGTGCCTGCCATGCCTTGCCATGCCGTGCCCTGCCGTGGGAATCGACGAGATGGGGGCCGCCCGCCCGGGAACCCGCCCACTTGAAGCCATCATCACACACCAGAGCGACCACACACACCCACCCCCACGCCGCAGCCGCGCATCAGCCACCCCGGCCTGCCGGCGCGCGCGCGCTGTGCGGCGCTGCGGCCACCTAGCCACGCCACGCCCGGCGTGTCGCTCCAATTGTTCTCTTCCAGTTTCTCTGCGTGGGATCCGGGGGCTTGGCTCATGCTCACTCCATCCACCTGCATGCAGGTCGTAGACTCGCAGTCCTTCGTCCTAGGTAGTCATCATCTGTATCATCTCTTGGTCATAGGTACGAAAGTACATCCGTACGTACTCACCAATTCCACCTCCTCTACCCACTACCCACCAACACGACTATTACCGCCGAAGCACCGGCGGCGGCGGCAGCCCCAGTTAGAGTGTGGCAGGGGCGGATGCGCAACGGGGATTGGGGGCCGGGACATGTTTTGGGGGGACAACGGGACGGACGGACGGACGGGCGGGCGGGCTCCCGGGCATCCATCCATCCATCCACCACACCCGGGTAGCCAGTGCCAGGGCCCCAAGCGAGGGCGGGTTTTGCCCGTTTCGGGGAACGAACGTTTGCTCGGCGATGATGATGACGATGACGATGGGTGATGAAGATGACCGCCGGGGGGCGTGCAAAGCGGTGGTGTGCGGTATGAGTGGTGGATGTGTGGCGTGTGAGAAGCGGCGACTCTGGTGAGGGATGGATGGACCGACGACGTACGTATACACATCCACGCAGGCGGCCTTGGACGCGTATATAAGAACCCCGAAGGATTCCTTCATCAGAGGATTCTGGAAAGAGCCAGACCAGATCAGATCACACTCATCCTTACACATCAAGACCAAATCCCATCATAAGCAACCTCTCTCCTACACTCTACAGCCTATATCAACCACTCTGCCCTCCTACTCTACGACACAACTTACACGCACAACCACCAAAAGCCCCTGACGAACAACAACAACCACAACAGCACTCTCTCACCTCAACCAAACAACCTCGCCTTCGCATAATCCACAAACCCCGCCTCCCAGCAAATCCACACTCTCAATCCTCATAATGGCTGCCACAGGCTTTGCTGCTTCCTCCACCACCACCTTTGGCGCCGTGGCTCCCCGCGGCGACCTCGTGGATTCGGGCCGCTCCGGCTACAACATCGTCTCTGGCGGCGGCAGCGGCTCGGGCTCGGGCTCGGGCTCCAACGGCGATGACGACAAATAAAAGTACGCGCGCAACCTTCTACCTGGACTGGACTGGGTGAGGTGCTGCTGGCACGGAGAGTTCTCGGCATTCTTTCGGCATGGAATCATAAAGCGAGCGAGCGAGCGGGCGGCATTTGGCATCAGCGGGCATCATCACATCACCACTACGGACACGGGCACGGCACGGCGATAAACACGAGATGGAGTTTTTTTCACGGGACATGTGTTGGCGCGGGACGGCCCCTCCTTGCTCTCCCCGCGGGTTCGGGGGAGGAGGAGGCGGAGCCTTGGAAGGTCTACAACGGAGTTTTGGGGCTTGGAAGAGTGCGTGCTGGGCGGAAACGGACGGGCATAGACGGCATAGACAAAGGGATCCCATCATCGGGAGGGGCGCTTTATTGGGGTATAGACTTAGATTCCTTTTGTCTTTAGACTTTGGAGTTTTTCCTCATCTCTCTATCTCTCAACTAGACTTGGCCTTGTCGTTGTACAGCAGCGCTTGCTTCCATCGGTGACCAAACGCCTTGTGATAATTGTACATGTCAAGAAAGATTGCGAGTATTTTACAGTTTGGGCAGGCTGAAACGCCCCATCTATTTACCCACGCAGAACCTGTATGGGCTGTTAGCTGCGGCTCTCGCTATCGGGGCCATCAAAGGGACAGCTCAGGCTTACTTCTCGAACACGACGCCCAGCACGTCTTCCACGTCTCCGGCCTCACCCTTGCCCGTGATGCGCGCCAGGCAGTCGGCCGCGTAGCGCAGATACTCTGCCGCAAGCACCGCGTCGGCCTCCACATCGTCGTCCTCGGGCCGTGCCTCGAGCATAAACTCCTCGAGGTGCGCCCGGCATTTGACGAGCAGCTGCCGCTGCCGTTCCGTTACGCCCAGTAGGTCCTGTAGGTCCGGGGGCATTTCCGTCATGGCCTGGAAGGAGGCGACCAGCGCGTCGATGACGGCGTGAATGCCTCCTGGGTCCGTCGTGGTGGTGGTGCCGCTGGGTGGGACTTCGTCCGTCTGCCGGCCCTGCTTGCAGGAGATGGGCAGCGGGATGGTCGAGGCGAGGATCGGGTTCTGCGAACGAAGTGCCTGGCGGAAGTCGGCGAGCAGAGTCGCAAATGTCGCTTCGTCGACTGCGTCTCGCTTGTTGACGACGACCAGATGGGCGTCTGCCTCGGCCGCCAGGTCCAGCGTCTCCTTGTCGTAGTGGATGAACGGACCGCTGGGACCCTGCTCGACGGAAGCCAGCACAATCACGACGTCCGACTCTTGTGCCTTTTGTCTGGCCCGCCGGATGCCCTCCTCTTCTACGGCTCCAAGCACAGTGCCCTCTTCCGCAACCGACGCGCGGGACCGAAACCCGGCCGTGTCCGCAAAGCCGCACAAGAACCCACGAATGTCGAGACTCGCCTCGACAATGTCCCTCGTGGTGCCGGCCTCACCCGAGACTATGGACGCCTCCCTTCCGACGACGAGGTTCATGAGCGAGCTCTTGCCGACATTGGGCGGCCCCACGAGCGCGATGCGGATGCCGCCCCTCAGCAGCTCGCTGCGCTGGCTACCCAGCTCGTGCAGGCGTATGCCGGCGAGCATGTCGGCGACCTGGCGCGCCACGCCCTCGAGCAGCTCGCCCTGCGGCTCGTCAAAGTGCTGGTCCTCCGAGAAGTCGATGAGGGCCTCGAGCTCGCCGCGCGCGAGCAGCAGTTGCTGGCGCCAGCGTTCGTACGCGCGGCCCAGGGCGCCCGAGGTGCCACGCACGGCGGCCCGGCGCTGCTGCTCCGTGTCGGCGGCGAGGGCGTCACTGAGGGACTCGACCTGCGCGAGGTCGAGCCGGTCGTTGAAGAAGGCGCGCTTGGTGAACTCGCCCGGCTCGGCGTAGCGGATGCGCCGCGGATGAGCGTCGATGCTGCTGGGGCGGCACCGCGGAATGGCGGCGAGCACGGCCTTGACGGTCGCGGGCCCGCCGTGGACGTGCAGCTCCAGCACGTCTTCGCCGGTGACGGTCTTGGGCGCGGGCAAGTACAGGACCAGGGCCTCCGAGTCGAGGATGCCGGCGGGCTCATGGGGCGCAGGCGGCTGAGGGTCAAAGAGCGTGCGGATGATGGCATATCTCGGCTTGGGCAAAGCCTTTGACGGACATAATGATTGGTATACCTAGGGAAAGTGAGCACTGCAGTCCGGCCGAGCAGTTAACGTCGCAGAGCGTCTTACGTCGAGACATGACGGGCCCGAGATGCGTATGACGGCGATGCCAGCCCGCCCTTGGGCCGTGGACAGGGCGTAGATGGTGTCGCCAATGGTGGGCAGTGTTGATGATCCGCCGGCGAGTGAGAGTCTCGGCGCGCCCGAGTGGAACGTTCTTGCTATGTCGGCAGCATGATGCTGTCTTGCGCCTCTGCTGGTGCTGTGAATGAGGAGACAACGAGGCTGTGAGGCTGTCGCGCGTGAGATGAGGCGCTGCGCGCGAGCCAGTCTCCCTGGCCGCAGGCCGCGCCACAACATTGGCCGCGGGAGGGTGCGAAGAATTAGTAAGGCTTCATCCGTAGTTTTATACTGATGGCGTCGCTGATAATGAGACGGAAGCGCCAAGCCGTGGGTATTCGCGGTTAAGTCTTGATGCGTCTTGAATCTTGAGGTGGTGGAGGAAGAAAAGCTTCAGCCATTGGCCCGAGTCCCGTGGAGTCGTGGATTATAGCGACCGCCACCACCGCGTGCTGTTCATCCCGGCGCATCGATAACACGATTTCACCCTATGGAAAAAGTCATATGAGCGCTACAGGCTTCTCGCATTAGAACTATGCTTCTTTTTGATTCGCGACTAAATCATCTGCAGCGAGCCATGTTGAAATCAATGGACGCTTTTTGGTGTTGACTGCACTCGGACCCGCGCCACACCCAATTCTACCCATCGCACGTCTCTCTGCCCCCTCCCTGCCCTCTACGACTGGGCAAAAGAGTCGATAAACTTGGCCAGCTTCTCGGCCCCCTCGAGCGAGATGGAGTTGTAGTTGCTGGCGCGAATGCCGCCCACGCTGCGGTGGCCCTTGAGGCCCGTCAGCCCCAGCTTCTCGCCCTCGGCCAGGAAGGCCTTCTCGGTGGCGTCGACGTCGCCATTCTTGCTCACGCGGAAGCACACGTTCATCCTTGAGCGGGCGCTCTTGGCCGGCACGACCCGGTACACGTCCGGGTGGGCGTCGAGCGCGCCGTAGATGAGCTCGGCCTTTTTCTGGGACACGGCCTCCTGGCCGTTGACCTTGTCGGGGTAGGTCGCCAGCAGCTTCTTGAGGACCTGGCCGGCGACGTACACGCTGAGGATGTTAGCAAATTAAACCTTGGGGCATTCCCGCTGCGGGCACCTACTCGAAAATGCTCAGGGTGTTGTAGAGGCTGTTGTTCTTGGCAATCATCTCGTACTGCAGGACAATCGGCGGCAGCGGCAGGGCCAGGTGCCGCACGAGGGTGGCAGAGGGCTGGGGCAGCAGGCTCTTCTTGATGATCACGACGGTGACGCCCGTGGAGCCGAGGTTCTTTTGCGCGCCGAAGAAGATGACGCCAAAGTTGCGGACGGGGACCCTGCGGGAGAGAATGTTGGACGACATGTCGGCGACGACAATGGGCCCGGAGCCGTCGGCCTTGGGCTCCAGGCACTTGGGGAAGGCGGGGAACTCGACGCCGTCGACCGTCTCGTTGTCGCAGTAGTACACCATGGCGGCATCGTCGGACAGCTTCCACGTCGCCTCGTCGGGGACGACGCCAAACTTGCCGTCGTTTTGCTTGCGCGCGTCGGCCACGACGTTGACGTGCTCGGGGCCGAACAAGCGGGCGGCCTCGGCGGCGGCCTTTTGCGACCAGCTGCCGGTGACGACGTAGTCGAGCTTGAGGTCCTTGCCGACCTTTGTCTTGAGCTCCTGCACGAGGGTGGGCTCGTTGAGGTCGTCGGCGTCGCTGTGCTGCTTGTCACTCCCAAAGATGCGGTTGCGATGGCGCAGCACCCAGGAGCCGACGAGGTTGTAGGCCGTGGCGGAGAACTCGCCTGACCCGCCGCCCTGCATGAAGAGCACGTCGTAGTCCTCCGGGATGTCGAGGTACGAGGCGAGGTCCGCCTTGGCCTCGTTGATGATCTTGGTGGCGAGGGCGGAGCGGTGCGAGTGCTCCGCGATGCCGAGCCCCGTGCCGTCAAAGTTGAGCAGCGCCTGCGACGCCTTTTCCAGGACGTCGGTCGGCAGCAGGGCCGGGCCGGCGCCGAAGTAGGTGATGTCGGAGCGTGCCTTGGCCATGGTTGCGTGCGTGCGTGCGTGAGGCTTGCTTGCTTGCGAGTTGCTGTTGCTGCTGCTGTGAGGAGAGTCCTGAGGAGGGTGAGAGAGAGTTAAGTGAGTTAGTATTCTCAGAGCTCGTGTGGATAAGTGACGTCGATGAGTCAGTCAGTCCGTCCCTCGAGGTTCAGGCGAGATGCAGAGAGAAGAAAAAAGCCCGCAACGACGACGAGTCGCAGGGCAAGACAATGGCGTTTTGCCTAGACGGGTACTTGTATGCGCAGACTGCGTCCGGAGGCGCTGCAGGGTGCGGATTGAGCACCAAAGAGGTTCTCGGCAAGGGCGCGTGTCACGGATTTACCTACCGTAGCTACAATGCGCAAAAAAAAAGATGTAACGAGCCAGCCGGGCGCCGATCGGATTGAGGGGCACGGCACGCTCGCGTGGGTGGGATGCAAGCTTTCATCAGGGTCGTCCGCCGGTCGCGGGTGGTGGATACAGGCCCATATTCCACCGCGGATGGGCGGGCAACCTTGGGAGGTACAGCACTGGTTACACTATTTCAAGCCTTTTTTTGGCGACTCCGCCCCGGCAGCTGCTGTTGTTGCGGGCGTGCTGCAGCTGTGTTGTCCCTCTCTTCCGTCGAATGGCGGCGTCACGTCAGAGGCGACGCCGGTAGTCGGAGCGCCGATGAGCTGGAGCTGGGTGGGGGGCCCGGGCCGGCCGTTTTGACACGCCGACCGGGATTGATGCAATGTCACGCAGCACAATAGCATCCGTCAATCGAGCATGGAAATGCATGCGCAGCCAATCGTCCCTATTCTGGCTCGGTGCCTGGCCTATAACTGACGTTTCGGCAGTTGGGCTTGCCATTACGTAGGCGCAATTGAATTGATGGAAGGGAAGCGCATTGGGGACCCCGCTGAATTGCGAGGGAGGGAGGGAGGGGCATTGGGACACTTGATCAAGGGTGAGGGCACTGATGAGGGGCAGGAGTTGTCTGCCCCTCCATTGGATCTAAGAGCTGCAAGTAATTCGTTTCGTAGGTGCGGTTGCCCCTCTCACAAGGCCAGAACCTGGAAGTCGGCCTCATGGCATGCCACCGTGCAGCGGCATCAAGATCTGGTCAATCAACTCAAATCCAATGATTGCGGTATGTATACGTACTACAAACCATTCAACTACACTCAGGCCTAGAACCAACACCTACCTTGGGGGTCGGGACAGAGCAAGTTAGTCCCTCGACTTACCGGTGCTGTTTGAGAATAGCAACACCGCCTCGCCTCCTCTCTCTCTAAATCTCCTTGACGTAGCCCACCTCAATCACCTTGTCCGCGTCAATGTCCAGGTCCGCGAGCTTGGTCCGGGAGTTCTCCCGAATCCACAGAAACGCGCCCAGCAGCAGCCCCCGGACGAACCCCCACGCGCGACCGCTCCCTGAGTCCACGCAACGCACTCGCATGGCCTCCTTGCCGAGCACGTACACCATCTGCGAGCCCTGCGCCGCGCGCAGAGCCTCGACCTCGGCACCGCTGCCGCCGTCACCTCCCCGCGCGGTGTGCGACACGGCGAGCACAATATGCCGGATCAGATCGCGCGCCAGGCCCGGGTGCAGCACGTCGTCTGCGTACCCGTGGCGGAGCGTCACCGCGTAGCAGCTGGGCAGCTGCGCCGTCCGCGTCACGACGTAGCGCTCCTCGTGCGGCACCGACGGCACCGGGAGGGGCCGCATGTGGAAGAAGACAATGACACTTGGGCGCGCCGCAAACTTGGCCACGAACTGCGCGAAGCACGCCGGCACGTGCGACGGGTTGCCCGCCTTGTCGAAGAAGATGCCCAGGCCCGGCACCGTCGAGACCGGAACCCCTCCCAGGCTCGACCGCAAGACTAGATGCCCCCCCGGCCGTGGCTCCGCGCCGCCAACGGCAGTCGTAGCCGCCCTGCTGTCGAACAAGGCCGCCGGCGAGAGCTGGTCGAGCGACTCGGCCCGCCACTGGGCCTCCTTGCCGAAGCGCCACAGCGTGAAGACGGACGCCAGGATAAAGGCCAGCACGAGCGTGAACCACGCCCCGTCGGGGACCTTTTCAAAGACGGACGACAGGAACGCGCCGTCGAGGGCCGCAAACACCAACCAGACGGGCACGACGACGTAGAGCGGCAGGCGCCAGACGAGGACCGCCACGAGAGCAACCATGCATGTCGTGACTAAGGGGCAAAATCAGGGCGCTTCCAACCAACAAACAGCCAGGGGGTGCAAAGAGCTCAATGCCGGGTGACTTACTAAAAGTGACGGTGATGACACACACGCCGTACGCGTTCCCCAGCGACGTGGTCTGCAATTGTCGAGGTTGTTGTCAGTAACGGTCACCAAATCCCGCGGCCCCTTGGCCGGGCTCCCGCAGCACCTACATTGTTATACACGGCCGTCACGATGACGGTGCCAATCATGAGCAGCCAGTTGGCCACCGGCATGTACACCTGCTCGTGGAACTTGCTGCTCGTGTGCACGACCTTGATGTGCGGAAAGTACGACAGCCGCATAATCTGCGTCAGCAGCTGAAACGTCGACGTGATCATGGCCTGCGACGCCACAATGGCCGCCAGCACCGCGATGACGAGCCCAAAGATGAGCGTCCCCGGCGGCAGAGTCTTGAAGAAGGGGTTCGTGTAGGCCGTCTGCGTCTCGTCGGCGGCAATGTACGCCGCCTGCCCGATGTACGCGATGACGAGGCACGGGTACGCCAGGCCCAGCCACGAGATCTGCACCGCGCGCTTGCTGAAGGCGCCCAGGTCCGCAAACATGGCCTCGACGCCGGTGAAGGCCAGCAGCAAGCCGCCGAGCGACTTCCACCCGTCGTGGCCGTTGCGGATGAGATACGTAAACGCGTAGTGCGGGCTGAACGCCTTGAGCACGGTAAAGTCGTGGACGGCAATGTTGTAGATGCCGACGCAGAAGTTGAAGAGCAGCCAGGTCGTCACGATGGGCGCAAAGGACGTGCCAATCTTGGACGTGCCGAGCGGCTGCAGGAAGAAGAGGAAGACGAGGATGCCGCACGAGATGCCGACGATGGCCTGCGTCCCCAGCCCCGGGTTCGCCACCGTGATGCCCTGGATGGCCCCCAGGACGGACTGCGCCGGCGTCAGCACCCCGTCCGCCATAACCATGGAGACACCCAGCACGCCGACAAACTGCAGCGCAAACTGCGACGCTCTGGAGTGCTCGAGGAAGCTGCGGATGCTCCTGCTGCCCGCCTTGAGGTCGCTGGTGCGGTACCGCTTGAGGCTCGCGCCGAGCTCCTCCTTGGGGTCGCGGCGCGCAATGTGCGTGTACCGCGTGAGGAGGCTGTAGAGCGCAAACGTGCCGCCCTGTCCGTCGTCGTCGGCGTGCAGGACGACGAAGCAGTACTTGACGGTAACGATGAGCGTCAGGGCCCAGATGATGATGGACAGCGCGCCGACGAGGTCCTCGGTGGAGGGCTGGCTGGAAAAGGTCGACGAGTACACGTACAGCGGCGAGGTGCCTATGTCGCCGTAGATGACGCCCGTGGCTTGGAAACTGAGCCAGACGAGTAGCATGCCGCTGTATTCCTGTGTGAGGAGTCAGTCGCTGCGACAGCTCGGCAGGATCTGCGGAGGGGGAACCCCCCCCTTTTTTTTTCCACGGGTAGTGGTGGGTGATGATTCGGGGGCGATGCTTTACCTGCTTGCGAGACGTGCCTAGGTCTTGCTCAGCGATTTCTCGGGCCCTCTCCTCGTCACCAGCTTCTGCCTTTGTGCCGGGCAAGGGGCCGTTGGCTTCAGGAGGCCCGACGCTGCTCTGGGCGTGCTCTTTGCCGGTGCCAGAGGCTGCTTCTTCGGCGTCACATTCGGCCATATTGACGTTTTGACGTTTTCGATATCGAAACAGAGAATCAGGGTGCTTGTCTCGCTTTCAAGACTGATGATAGGGCAATATAGAGTACGCGGCGTTGCCACACTTGTCACTCTACCAGGACACAGCACACCATGACCACAGAGAGCAAGGACAGCCAAACTTATAGCAGAGGCCGGGGGCGTCCATGGCCTTGGGCCCCTGTCGCCAGTGCGTCCGATTCCGGCATCCATCATCCAGGAGGCTGGCGGAGCTGGGATCCGCCACTCTCAGCTACGAAGTAGAAACAGCCTGTTGGTTGTACATACGGAGCATGGCTGCCAAATTCAGCCCGGCGCACGCCCGCTATCAGCACACGAGGTGGGACGACATGGCCTGGAGAGTTTTGGGTTGGTCGCGGTGTGGCATCAGACCTAGATAATGCAGCGACGGATGATTGGAGGAGTCACCGTCCTCATCGATGCTGCATCAGACTTGCACGGGTAAGTACCATATCTGCACGTGCCGGCACAGTATATCCGGGGTTGGGATCGTGTGGACTGCGGACTGGACTCAACTCCATCGAGGTTGACGAAAATCACTCATACCTAATCTTTTATGGCACATCGGGATCGAGGTTTGTTCACTATTCCATAAAAGGCGCGGTGCGGGTGTTGTACTCTATCTGCTCATCTAGAATCTCGGCCTGTCGGAATCGAAGCGAGGGGGGAGCTATCGAGTCTGATGCGTGGCCTGGCGCTTCCATGTCCTTCTTATACACGCGCACCTGTTGACACTCTATACTTGTATTGAACGTAGCACAGCATCGGACAGCATTATTGAAAGCATGGAGGCACGTCAGATCACAGCTGGACTACGTAGAACTAGGATCCCTTTCCCTGACCCGTGCATGTGCGCGGCGCAACGCCCCCCAAGTTGTGAGTAGTGACGGCCGGACTTATTAGCCCCCCCCAACGCGTACTCGCTCCCACAGCCATTCGTGAATTATCATCACCGAGCCAGGATGAGGCCGCTCGACCAATCTGGATCGCCTCGCACCCTCATGGTCCGTCCCGTTTCCCCGCCAAGAAGCTGACCAAAGAGAAATATCCCTCACCGTCACAGAACGCACAGCCGCCAACGCGCGGTTCGAGGGCCGAGACCAGACTCGAGAAGAACGGGAAGATGCGAGCACGCGACAAGTAAAATTGCCATTAGTGTACAGAGTACGTACGTACGTGGAAGCCCACGTGTAAGTTCCATATCAAGCGGCTCGAAGGACAAATTTGCGGCGACAAAAAAAAAGCCCTTGATCAATGCTGTGGAATCTCGCCCGACATCCCCTTGCACCGTCAGCCCCGAATAGTGTATATCCAAGCCGTCTCATTTCAGCGTGTCACCGCCATCACGCTCTCTGCCTGGCACTCCGAGCTCGTCACCCGCGCGCGCCCTTCAGGTCGCTTTTGTTCCCATCAGGACGTAGCAGCAGGTGATGATCGCGGTGCCGGTTCCGCGCGCGCCGCCAGCAACTCGCACCGTCGCAGCCGCCCAGGCCCCGGGTTCCGGGTCGGGCAGCAGCAGGTACCATGTGTCCACCGCCGTGGCCTCGTTGTCAGTCGGCTTGATCTTCTCCCTTATCCTCGCCGTTTACGTATTCAAGGGCTGTGTTTGGCGACTCCCCGGTTGCTCCCGCTGCCGCCGACGACACCGGGAGGGAGCAGCAGCAGCTGGAGAAGAAGAAGCGGCGCATGATGACAAGCCTCGCAACTTGGGACTCGGCCGCGATATGCTGGAGTCCTTGCCCATCGTTGTGTACACGCCTGGCTCGCCGTATACCTGCTCCGGAGGACGCTCTGAGCTCGATCCCGATGCGGTGGTGAAAAACGACGAGCGGCACTGCGCCATATGCACAGAAGGCCTCGATCTCGGCGTCAAGTTACGCCACCTCCCATGCGGACATCGTTTCCACCCTGACTGCATCGACCCTTGGCTCCTGGAGCGCTCTCGCACATGCCCGCTCTGGTAAGTGATCTAGGGCCTAGGCACCACCAGCATCACAACTCGGACTCAGATTCTAAAGAGCGTCTTCCTAAAAAGTCGCACCGACGCTCTGGAGGCAGTCGTCGTTCCCAGGAACGTCGTGGAGCGACCTCGTCGGGCGCTCCTCGCCGGTCGATGGCGACGGGTGCCCTCGTCGCGGCCCCCCCGCGGAGGTCAAGTTAAGTTCGCATACCGTTCTGAGCAACGCGCAGCCTAACACATCCGACAGACTGTTCACGAGCTCCAGATGCTACCTCTGACGAGTGTGCCGACTGTTCATTCGCCCGGGCCGGGCACGTCGTGGGCGGCGAGCGTCGCCTTGCAGGCTGCCCGCCGTCCTGCGCCACTGCCGCCCGTCCCAGAACGAGCACGCCCGGGCGCGTAATTGTGCCATATTCCTGCGGTAGTCAGCCGTATGGCGGAATGGACGAAAGGATTGGTCGCGGTGTGAGAAGCGTTCTGCCTCCTGCGACGAAGACGGCGATGTGCGGTCCGTCAACCGGGTGGGCTTTGGTTGCCGGCTGGTGGCGGCACGAGAGAGAGCAAAGGAAACCGTCGCAGTACGTCGGGCGACAGCTCTTTGTTCCTGAGAGGAGGCCGTCGCGGCCTGGTATAAGTCTGGATATATATATATATATATTAACTATATTAAAGCGTAGAACTAACACTTACTTTAAGAGGCAGGACGAAATAAAGTTAGTCCCCTTAAATTACCCTTAATATTTAAGAATAAGAATACTACCTTATCTCCTCTCTTTATAGCTAAATCTCCTTAATATACTGATATTGGCTAGTGTGGTGAATCACGGCTGATTAGGGAGTGGAAAAGACTATCCGAGACAGCACCCCTGTTTAAGAAGCAACCCAGCTGTTCGGAAGTGGCCTCTAAAGGCTGCCGTGGCGGCCGGACTCGTATCGTTGTTCGCACCGTGATGGACATCAGCTCCATATTGTATCAAGAGCCGAACAATCTCTGTGTGGCCTCTCGAAGCCCCATAAAGCAGGGGGGTATTTCCATCTTTGCAGGGCGTATCGATTGGCGCGCCGTTCTGCAACAAAATCTTCATGACTTCGACGTGGCCCTCGACAGCCGCGCAAATCAAGGGAGTATATCCCTCGTTGCAGGAAGTAAAGACCGACGCGCCGTGCTGCAATAAGATGCTAACAACCTCGGGGTGACCTTCGGCAGCTGCTGCTCTGAGGGGTGTCACTCCATGCTCAGTAACCAGTGTCAAATCTGCACCCTGGCTTGCCAGGTACTGAACGATATGCGCATGGCCCTCACCGGCCGCCGCACAAATAGGCGTGAATCCCCGCTCGCTCCTACACTGTGAGAAGTTGGCGCCATGTTCGACAAGTATCTGCACTGTACGAAGATTGCCCGCCAAAGCGGCGGAGTATACGGGAGTTTGTCCGTCGACTGTTGGAGCGTTTGGGTCGGCTCCGTAATGTAGTAAGAGAAGGAGCGCTTCCGGGAAGTTCTTGGTAGCGGCGGCGTTGAGTGGGGTGAAACCATCTTCATTGCCAGCTGTGTAATCCGCTCCATGCTGTATGAGATACTCGAGGATCTCTGTATGCCCAGTTACGGCGGCAGAGTAGGCAGGGGTTTGTCCAATTTCACCCGTAGCGAACATGTTCTCTCCATTGGCAATGAGTCGCTTGATCTCGTTGAAATCGCCTTCTCGAGCTGCGATGTTGAAGGGAGAAGGTCCGGGTCTGCTCCTCCCATCCCAATTTCCCACTGCCTGCGAGTACGCTGGAGGAGGAGCAGAGCTATGTCCATCCTTTTCAGGAACCCAGGACGTGGATGGCGGGGCTATGGGAGCAATTGCATCAGGGCGTCTGGGCATGGTTTGTGGCGGTTGACCTGGGTACATGCCAGAGCCAGCCATCGAGTGCGGTTGCGCCGTCATAGTGTCCGATTGTTGTTTTGAAGGAAGCGGGTGTGGTGGATTTGTGTGCGCATACCCACCGTCATACGACGGTCAGGGCGGATGGGACAGAACAGAGATGCAAAAGAGCGTTCCTTGCTGAACAGTTGAACTTCTGGCTGATTTTCCATTTATAAGAATCTTTCACTGTTACGGGAAATTGAAGGTCAAAGGGACAGGGTTTTCTACGAAGGTGGTGGGAGTACGCTCCACATCCGTAATCATTCATTAGGCTTTAAAGCGCCGATCTGCTGCATGGGTTTAACACGCCGTAGGGACTGGGATGGGCCACAATCTTCATGTTCGGGGAGTCATCAGTTGGCCCGCACCGCCAGTGGTACGCCTCCGTTTTGACAGACGTTGTCGACCCGGGTCTACTGCTGCTGATTTCGGAGGCTCCTTCTCGTGCAAAAAGGCATTCTTCTGCCTAGGAAGCTGGGTTGGTATCAATTCAACCTGAATTCCCACATATGCCTGGGATGCAAGGTAGCGTTGTCCACTTGGTACTCATTGGCCGAGAAGCAATTCGGCTTGGCTTTGGCAGACTGTCGGAGAGCAGTGTTGCCCGGATCGTGTCCACCTTTCCATTCCCCAATGTTGACCCGGTCTTACACTTGACCGTGTCAGATCCCCATTCACGTTTAGCCGCCGAAACGCCACCCGACTGCTCCCCCCCCTGCGGCCCCGCATACCTCCGAGAAGGATCTCATCAAGCCCCTGACGATCGGACGGGACAATTTATTTATCGCGGCTCTTGACTCCGCGCGAACTTGGACCGAGCTGTCTCTTTCCGCGCTATTCCGAACAGCTGGACAGTTGTTGAACATATCGCTCAACTGTTTACTATGCCGAAGTGCCCGTGGACATGCTTCTCCCCAGTCCTTAAGCGCTTTGAAGCGTGGCCTTAACCCTGACGACACCTCGCCCGGCCATGATTACCACATGTCCTGGTTCGTTCACCAGTCAGGCGCTCAAACGACCACATGCGTGTTTGTATTTGACGTGATGGGGTACTACCACTCCTCGTTCTATCAGAGAACACCTTTTCCCCAGGCACCCTCGCCGCCCGCCCGCAGCCTCCCACAAGACCAGCCCTCTTCCATTTCTTTCCTTGACGCTTGACGAGCCAATCCGCCTGGACGGCCACGAGGTGATATCCACGACTAGCGCACCTACCAGCGACATTGCCAAGATGGCAAGTCGCCTTCAGTGATTGTCATTCTCCTTCAGCCTCCTCGCCCGCGGTGGCGGATAGGGCACGCTCGTCTGGCAGCATGACGGCCCTGTCGAGCGCATACGGCAACCCACGATGACGCCCACGAATCATCATGGCGCAAACAACGAGCTTGCTGAAAGTACCAAAGAGGCCGCTCAGAGATGTCGCGACGTCGGGGTAGCCCAGACTGAGGCCCACGTTGCCGCTGCGCCAGGTCAGTTCTGTCTACGCACCTGTTTCCCTCTTTTCTGCCCACAGCAAGTCCGTAACGCGTCAGGGTCTGATTGGGACTTACTACGCGGAAGTGACCTCGAAAAAGACCGTCCAGACGGTAAAAGACTATCTCAGTCAGCGGAGTTTTGCCTCTCGTACTTGACGACGCGCCGCATGCTTGCACGCTTCCGTCCGGGAAGGGGGTCGACGACGCACCGGAATATTGTTATCGACGATGCGCTCCGACTCGGCAATGCATATGCAAAAGACTCCTAGAAAGATGAACCACAGGTCGAAGCTGAGTTGGTTCCGCATGTGTGTCATGAAATAGTCTCTCCCATTGCTCTCGTCGAGGTTCTTCTCCCCCTCGTAGATGCCGAGCGAGCGCTCCTCGTACGTGTTGGACGCGCGCATGCTTATCGCAATGGGGAAAATAGCAATGTACATCATGATCAGCAGGCTGAACTGCACCGCAGGGTTGACATTGGCAAGATTGAACGAGGCGGTGCCCGTGTGTCGCGCCGAGGCTGCCTGGAAGATGGCGGCGAGAAGGCGAGGGCCAGCGGGCAGTGACGAGACCTCCGGGTTGTCGAGATCCAGCACGATGATGAGCAGCGTGTCGACAAGATTGAGGATGAAGATGATGCTGAAGAGAATCCAAGTCGGGCGGCTGGGGAAAAGGAGCGTGTAGCATCGGCGGGGGTGGTTGAGCAGGAAGCTCAGCGGCTCCTGGATGGACGACCGGCGTGGCGCGAGCTTCGACATGATCCAGATGACCAAGCGCAGAAAAACCGGGTATAGCGTATTGCCTGCAAAAGCGAGGAAGCTCATGATGAACATGGGCCACTGGGCGTCGCGGAACGAGATCATGGAGTCGGGCGTCAGAGTGAATCCAAGGTTGTCTACCATGGTCTGCGCCGAATAGAAGGCCCTGTCACCACCATGAGTACAAGTCTGCAAGAATTCCGGAGGCTGCTCAAATACGACAGTCTGGGAAGTTCACGTACCACCAGTTCTGGTTCTGACCGGCTTGCGCGATGACCTCCTTGTACTTCGGGTCCGCGTACTGAATCCAGCCGACCAGGCAAATGGCGCCAAAGATGTGCAGTCCGAAAAAGTACGCTGCTAGAAGTTAGCCTTCCATCCAGTTAAGAGCACAGGGCGCGACACGGTTCAAGGGGGTGTGAATACAAAAGGCTATCTTGATGAGGAGCTTCAAGCTGCGGTATTCTATCCCGCCGAGCTTCGCCCTGTCCTCGCCCGTCAGGTTTCGAAAGTCCGAGTTGCGTCCGAGCGTCGCATGGCGCGACAGGGCGAGCATGTAGCGCGCGTCCGCCTCCTGCTGGGAGAGCCTCGACGACCAGACGGCCGAGTTGCGGCGTCTCGCGCGAGACGTGTGCTCGGAGCCAAGCACCAACGCGGAGGAGGCGAGGCTGGCGACGCGATCGAGGGTGCGTGTCTCGGAGAGATGAGGACCGTCCAGGTGGCGCCTACGAAGACCGGGTGTGGCGGGTGAAGGGCCATGGACAATGGAGAGATCTAGTCGGTCGATAAGGGATGGCTAGCAGCGGTGGAGTGAGTTTTAAAGCCTACCATCGCGATTGTCCTTGCTTGTTGCAACCTCCAGAATGGGATGGCCTGGACGCCGGCGAGACATTATGGATTAGAGCGTCATGCACATGGATTTATATATGGATGGCGGCTCAGACGTACCTTGCTCACGATCACGCGGGCCAGGAATGTACAGTGCAGCGTCATTCTTGGGGTGATGTTCCGTCGACGAGTCAAACGCGATGGTTCGGGTCCTTTCGGTACCTGCCTCATCCCCGAGATTATCGCCTTGAGAGGACTTGGCGTCTTTGTTGCCGCTATCGTCGGCGGCATGGCTCTCCTCTGCAGCGGCCTCAACATCCGCGTCGTCTTCATGGTGTTGCGGGATGACGGCACGACTCCCTTTCAGCAGCTTGGGCGCTGCATGCCACGCTGTCAGAGACATTGAAGCAATCTGACCCGAAATCGATGGAGAAAGCAATCGGTCAGGGAAAGCCCTTGCCCCTTTCGTAACTCACCGACTTTGCTGAGGTGCTTCCGGAACCAGAGGAATCGAACCAGAGCCACGACGGCATTGATGAAGCCGAGGTTGGTGAAGATGGGGACGAAGTAAATGTACAACTGCTGAAACGTGTAAAGGTCCTTGACGTCGATCCTGCAGTGTGCCCCTCCAGCTAAGCAAGCTATTCAATCCCAAGAGGGAGACGGCGCCCATCACGGGGGTACTCACGTATTGAGGCCAGACTCGGTGGACGCGCTGGCGCCGAAGAAATACGCGTCCACGGCCTTGAGGTTGCCGGCCGGGTAGAGGACGGCCAGCGACAGGACGCTCATGGCGACTATGTACACATCTATGCGGCGGGCTTCATCAGCCCAGCCCAGCCCAGCCCGGCTTCCGTGAGCGTTGATGTCGTCGGGCGGACCAGCGTACAATGTAGCGTCACAAAGTTGACGTGCGGGCGCCACCCGCCGAGGTGCTTCATTTTCGCCATGGCGATGGATGTCGCACCACGCTCAATATTTTTGCCCCTGGCAAGGTTGCTATTGTTGATGGTGTTTTCGTTGTCGTCGGCTTCGTCGTCCGGCCTCGCGGCTTTTGTCGGACCACCACGTGTGTCTCGTGAATGTACAAGAAAGAAGAATAGTTATCAGGATGGACTACCGAGCTACTATGTGCTTGCCCAGCCTGCTCGTGAGCGATTTACGGCGTACTACGTATTTTATGGTCTCGTTTGCCTAGACTGGAGGTGGCTGCTAGCTCCTGAGCTCATTACCTACTTGGGACAAAGGTGCAAACGTCACGGGCGCCCAGCTGCATAACAAGGAGGCAGCCGGTCAGTTGAACGCGCGCGAACGGCAGGCAAGCTGTGGGCGTCGATCGCTTTACCCCAATGCGGTTGTACCCGCCAGCACGGCAGTCTGCGAACCAAGGTACGTAAAAGCTGAATTGATTGCCCGGCCACTGGATTGGATGAGGTCGTGTCTGGGGAGGACGTTCGTAAACTAATTTCAACATATTATCTGGTGCTCACCGGAGCCCCAAGTCCTAGTTGCCAAGTCTAGGCGCTGGCTGTGCCTTCCGGCGACGAGCCAAAGAGCCGAGGCTCATTCATGTCCATCCACGGTTCCCCCTTGGGCACTGGTGCATTTGTTCAGTAGGACTGGAACTGAGCAGTCCCGCGCTTGATAAAAGAGAGTATCATGCGCGCGCTTGGTCGTTGAGGCCCCCAAAGTTCCGCTGGCGTCCCTGTGAGAAACGAAGGAGGCGGCGAGTTATAAGCTCGAGTTGCTCACTCACAGAGTCACCACGGCGGGCAGAGGCCACTCAGAAACGTTTGGGTTCTTGGGCGCTGTGGCGCGGCCACCTCTGTGGCTGGAGTGCCAGCACGGATGGTTTGCCGTAACGGGGCGCACAGCCACTGTGGCTGGGGCCTTGCTTTACACCAGGCTGTGCTTAGTTATACGCGCAGTGCATGCGCCCGCCTGCCAGCCGCCAAGCGCTAACCTGGCGACGAAGCTTGGGGCTGCCTGCTGGCATGTCCATCATCACCGACCCGTTGCATCCCCGAACCACCATAGTCGAGCTCTCCCTCTCGACCACCTCCGCCCGCACCGCTTGCAACACGAATCCCACGCACGCCGGACAGGCCGCTTGACCAGTCACAATGTTCAGAAACAACTATGACAACGATTCCGTCACATTGTACGCCCGCAGCTATCCCAGCTCCCCTCCCCTTCGAGCTCCGAGCTTGTCGCTGACGCACCTTCGCGCAGCTCGCCCCAGGGCAGAATATTCCAGATCGAGTACGCCGCCGAGGCTGTGAAGCAGGGCTCCGTCGTCGTCGGCATCGCCAGCAAAACACATGCCGTCCTGTGCGCGGTCAAGGTGCGTCCCCAATGCGGCGGCTCACGACACAACGGCTGCTCCGCCAGGTCGTGACGCGATGCTGACCACTCTGCCATCTACAGCGTAACGCCGAGGAACTCTCTTCATACCAAAAGAAGCTCTTTTCGATCGACGAGCACGCCGGCATCGCCATCGCGGGCCTCACCTCCGACGCCCGCGTCCTCTCCAACTTCATGAAGCAGCAGTGCCTCGGCCACCGCCTGACCTACGGCCGTGCCATGCCGATCCGCTCCCTCGTCGACATGATTGGCGAGAAGGCCCAAATCAACACCCAGGTCTACGGAAAGCGGCCCTACGGTGTCGGCCTGCTCGTGGCAGGCGTCGACGAGCGCGGTCCCCACCTGTTCGAGTTCCAGCCCTCGGGCATGACGGAGGAGATGGTCGCCTTTGCCATCGGTGCCCGCAGCCAGATGGCCCGTACCTACCTCGAGCGCAACATTGATGCCTTTGCCGACTGCTCGCGCGAGGAGCTCGTGCGGCACGGCCTCCGCGCCCTGCGGGAGAGTCTGGTGCAGGACAAGGAGCTGACGGTAGAGAACACGTCGGTTGGCTTGGTGGGCGTCGTCGAGGAGGAGGGCAAGAAGACGGTTCAGCCGTTCAAGCTGTACGACGAGGTCGAGGTGAAGCAGTGGCTCGACACCGTCGGCGAGAGCCAAGGAGGCGGCGGCGAGGGAGAGGGCGAGGGCATGGACGTGGACAGTTAGAGGGCAGTAGGGGCTCGAGAAAGAGACAGGGCGTGCCAGCGAGCGACAAGGATCTGATGCGGCGCGGGCAACGACTACTAGATCATGTACAACTACAAGCTGCCTGGACGGCGGCGATCATGGGCGTAACAACACGAACGCTAGAACCAGAGCTGACTGGGCAGGAACTGTGACAGGAAGATGCAGATTATGTAGTAGTGTGTTGATGTGAGATGTCTATGGATCTATAGGGTAACGTTATACGGGGTATATCCCAGCCACGCCCAGCCCAAAGAACACCGTTCCCCTGACAAAACGCCTGACAATGAGAAGAGAATCGTCACCTCCCCGCCATGGCCGTCGTGGGGTCATAGTACATTGGTCGTGAAAAAAGAAAATGATGCATGCAGACAGACAGGGCTCGCTCTGCTTCCCCCCTCCTCCTCTTGCGGCAACTCGCATTTACTGGTTGCCCCACTGGAGCTTGAACGTCGCCTCAGAGACCTTGTAGTTCCGCAGTGCCTTGACGGCATCCTCGGCGGACGTGGCGGTGACGACAATGTCCTTGTTGGCCTGCTTGACGAAGCCCTGCTCGACGGCCTTGTCGAGCCACTGAACGATGCCGTCCCAGTAGCCGTCGACGTTGAGGAGGCAGATGCCCTTGGTGTGGATGCCGAGCTGGCTCCAGGTGATGGCCTCGAAGATCTCCTCCATGGTGCCGTAGCCGCCGCTCAGGGCGACGAAGCCGGACCCGGGCCCGCCGGAGAAGACCTCCTCGGCCATGAGCTTCTTGCGCGTGTGCATGTCCTTGACGACGGTGGTGCGGCCGTACTTGGCCTGGTCGGGCACGACCTGGTTGTCCTTGTTGACCGTCTGGTAGGTGCCGTCGCGCTCGTACTTGACGAGCGCCTCGGGGATGATGCCGTGGACGGCGTCGGGGCCGTTGAGCTCGCAGAGCGTCTTGGCGACCTCGCCCATGAGGCCGACGGTGCCGCCGCCGTATACTGGGGGGAGAGACGTGTTAGCCTGGCGATGCGCTCGTCGCACAGGGGACGGGGGTTTGCGCGCGCGCGGCGGACAAGGGACGTCGACGTACCGAGATCGATGTTGTTGGCGGCCATGACCCGGGCGAGCTGGCGCGCCATCTCCATGTGCGCCGGAGAGCCTCCCGCGCTGGCGCCGCAGTAGACGCAGATCTTTGTGCGAGGCGCGCCGTTGGTCGTCGCCTTGGCCGTGCCGTTTGCCACCACGCCGTTCTGGCGGCCGGCGGCGTCGCTGCTGGAAGTCATTGTGGCGGTTGCTTTGCTTCCGAGTGCCGTGTGTAGTTGGTAGATTGCTGAATTGTTCAGTTGATGTGTGGTATGGCGAATTCAACGTCCTGATATGTGAAGGAGCGAGGTTCGGTAGTTATACAACGGGGGGTTATCGAGGGGTGGAGGGTATGGGGGGCGCAGACGTTATCGTGGACGCTAGACGGGGGGCAGGTCGTCGGCCTGATCCGACGTCAAGCGGTGCCTGGAACGGGCGGTGATGCAGTGCCGGTGGAGCAGGGGGCGGGGGGCGTTGACGGCGGGCCTTTCAGCGGGTGAGTCAACGGATTGCCGGCGAGCGCGTGGGCGGACAACGACCGATACGAAGAAAGAGGCGGGGGGGGCCGGTTTAAGCGGCTCAGACGGCAGGACGATATGCGCCGAGACGGAGAGAAGGCGTCCACTCAGAGCTGGACTATTGGCAATCTTTTCTTTACGAGGCGATGAGGGAGCACGTCTGCAGAGGGTTCTCAAGGTTCAAAGTTCAGAAAAGTACGTGGCCGATGTGGGCGCTGAGCTGATTATGAAGGATACGGGGGAAGGAAGAGTCACTGCCTCGCTCGGCGATCGGGGGGGCGGTGGCACCAAGGTGCCTGGGCTGGACCGGGCGGTCGGTCGGTCTGCCGGTGGAGTCGGGAGGGCGACGCAACGCTAACATCATTGCCGCCGTCACTGCGAGCAGCCCGGGGGATTTGCGTTCGAAAGGGGGGCTTGGGGGGCCCTACAGTAGGTACGCGTGACGCCTCCCGGGCCAAGTTCCCCAGCGGCCGTGGCGTTGGCTGGCTCGCTGGCTTGGCTGAACCGTGGGCAGGGAGGCGGACAGGAGGTCAGCAGACCACCTCACCTCTCACCCGGATCGAACTCGGCGGAGCGTCTCCCCGGAGAATGCCACTGCAGGAGCCGCATCATTGATATGCAGGTCCGGGCTCGACGTGTGGCGTGGGCGGTTCTTTGTTGCGGGCGCCGGTGACGCCTGACCGTTGCCAACGCCGCCCGGGTCAGGCATCAAAGACGAGGCGAGAGCTGCGCCGTCGGCGGCGCGGACCAGATGGAGCGGCGTGCATCCGGTCCGGGGACGGGGAACAAAGGACGGAGATGCAGGCCGCAGGCCGCGTGGGGGCCGTGCTTGGTTCCAGTCGCTGCGAATCAACGGCCTGGCAGCCGAGATGCGCCTGGCCTGTCGTCTGTGAGTGGCCTGAACGTGCCTGACCGACTTGCACTGCAGACGCGCAACCAACGCGCCGGAGCCCGTGAGGACGCTGGAGCTTTGTGCGTGGTGCTGGACTGCGCTGCTCATTCGCCGCAATTGCCGGTGCGTGCCCTCCAGGTTCTCTGTGTCATGTCCGAGTAGGTAAGGTAAGCCTGGTGGAGGCTTGCCTCCGGCCTCAGGCGTCGAACCCGCCGTCGACAGCGGGGCGTCTGCCGCCGTCCACCGTGCGAACCGGGTCGGACCCACGCGCTGACGAACCCACCAGGGTCCCCCTCGGGGGCTTGGAAGCCCAGCAAACCCACCCAGACACGGGCGCATGCAGGCTGCCAATCTGGCAACGTTGCCTGCCAAGTGGCCACGCGGGCGTCGCGCAAATCTTCCGACCTCCAGCTCACAACCCTCCCCACAAGCAGCGAAAGCGACCTGTCTGCTTGCTGTCTGGCCCTCGAGCGACGCGACGCGACGAGCATTGACTCGTTCCTCAACCCGCCCGCCATCGCCATGTCTTCGCCTGGCGCAGCAGCAGCAGTGGCCCAGGCCGCCGGCCAGCCTGCGCAGCAGGAGCAGCAGCCGCGACATGTAAGCCGAAGCATCCCGGACGCGCCCGTCTGGATATCCTGTATCATGGGGGCCATGCGACTGACCGTGCATTGCGCATCGCGCAGGGCTTCAACTTCAACCGCCTCTTCCTCGGCGGCGCCGTCTACCTGGGCATCAACGTCCTCATCTCGTACATGACGGCCAAGGACCAAAAGGGCGTCCTCAAGACCGACCCCGCGACCGGCAAGACCGTCACCGTCACCGGAAACACGGGGAGCATCCCGCCCTTCCAGTTCCGCCCCAAGGAGCTCGACGAGGGCGCCACGTACTCGCCGATCCCCCGAAAGATTGCGCCCATCTGGCCCCAGGACAGCCATGTCGACATTGTCGTGACGCTGTCGCCGTCCTTCAACCCGACGCCCATCTCCGAGACGCCCGCCGAGTACCTCGTCCTGCAGGAGAAGAACTTTGGCATGGGCAACAGCTCCGAGGCGCGCACCATTGATACCACGTTTCCCGTCCCCAAGGCTGTGCAGAACAATGGCACGCTCTGGGGGCACTTCTACATTGGCCTCACCGGCAGCGCGCTCGACCCCAAGCAGCCGGGCTATGATGCGGGCAAGGCCTATCACTTTGCCTACCCCATGACGCAGTACCTGCCCAAGAAGAAGGTCGCCAAGACGAGGAACCTGCTCGAGGCTCGCACCGAGAACGAGGAAGAGGAGCCAGAGGAGGAGGTGCCTACGGGGCCCATCATCACGAACCACTACCACCCCAACGCCAGCTTCGCCTTTGTCCCCGCCATGGGCGTCAGAGACTTTGCGCAGCTTCCCCCGGCCGTCAAGCAGTTCCTGCGCCTCGAGGCGACGGGTGCCCGCGATGGCAGCGGCCAGAATGGCTGGTACTGTACGTTACTACTCCCTAATTCAAAGTTGGCGTGGTGCTGACATGCGTTGCAGATCCCCTCTTGTTCGTCAACACCTTTTGGCAGTTGACGAACCACATGACGCCCCTCAACGAGACTGTCAAGGAGCTTCCGCTGCACATTGACCTCAAGAACATGGCTTTCTGGCAGTTCCAGATCATGTCCTCGATCGAGATGAACGCCAAGGAGTCTGCCCGTCAGGCCGCCTTTGGCGCGTCGCTGCCCGGCGGCGGAGACGGCACCGAGATTGAGATGGTCAAGGAGATTTTCATCGACACCAACCCCATCCTGCTCGGCATCACGGCCTTTGTCACCGTCGCGCATCTGATCCTGGAGACACTGGCCTTTGGCTCCGACATTGCGCACTACCGCAAGAAGAAGGACAATGTGGGCATCTCGGTGCGCTCGATCCTGGCCAACGTCTTCATGCAGACCGTCATCTTCCTGTACCTGCTCGACAATTCGCAGAACACGAGCTGGATGATTCTCGGCTCGCAGGTCGTGGGCATCGTCATCGAGTTCTGGAAGATTACAACTGTAGTCGACGTTCGCCTCAGGCCGTCGCCGCCCGGATCGTTGCTGCCGTACCACGTGGTGTTTGAGGACAAGCACAAGCTCACCGAGACGGAGGAAAAGACCAAGGAGTACGACGAGATTGCCTTCCGGTACATGTACATGGCGGCGGTGCCGCTGCTCATCGCCTACGGCATCTACTCGCTCGTGTACGAGTCGCACAAGTCGTGGTACTCGTTTGTCATCACCACGCTCGTGGGCTCCGTGTACACGTACGGGTTCCTCATGATGGTCCCGTCGCTGTACATCAATTACCGCCTCAAGAGCGTGGCCCACATGCCGGCCCGCGCCATGATGTACAAGTTCTTCAACACCTTCATCGACGACCTGTTTGCCTTCACCATCAAGATGCCGATCCTGCACCGGCTGGCCACGTTCCGCGACGACGTCATCTTCTTCATCTACCTGTACCAGAAGTGGGCCTACAAGGTCGACTACACGCGCGTCAACGAGTTTGGCCAGGGCGGCGACGACGACGAGCAGCCCGCGGGCGTGGTCAAGAAGGACAAGGAGGAGGGCGAGGCCAAGAAGCTGGCCGCCGAGGCGGTCAAGGAGACGGAGGCCAAGGCCAAGGCTTCGGGCAGCGAGGCTGCTCAGAAGGCGACCAAGCGGAGGTGATGCCGGGAGGCGGAGCGTTGAGCCTGCGGAGGCAGACGGACCATATCGGCGGTGTAACCCTTGGTCTGGGGGGGCAGGAAAGTCCAATATAGAAGAGCAATAATATCTCGTCCCTGCTACCACCGAGCCAAGAACCGAGATCGGAGAGGCTCATCTCGCTCCATAAGCTTACGACTCTGTGGGTGACAAGACCTGCCAACATGTCCGCAACAATCTTTTGCTGCGCCGCAATCAAGCTCTATCGCCGGTGGTATCTCTCCCACCAGAGCAAGCTCAGCTGCTTTACTTCGTGGAGCTTTAAAGTAAGGTCTGCGCTTGCAAGCTCCGGCTCGCGGTAGAGCAGGGACATGTACGGCATTTCGGAAAAAGAAGCTTTCCGCGGTGCCAAACAGTCGTCACAGATGTGGGAAATGGTCCATGCGGGTGCTGTTTCGAACTGATTCAGAGAGGCTCGGCCTCGCCGTAATGGCCTGCTACTTGGCTAAAGAAGCTGGATATTGCCGAGAAGGTTTGAAACACGCGCTGGATCAGTAGCGTGGGGTAGGAAACGGGCAATGGTGGAGGCGCGGGCTCCAGCTGTGAGGCAGCCCGCCAGCAGCGCGGCACAGCCCTACCGGGGGGGTCCCCAGTAGCGGTTTGGCGGGAGGTCACCCGCCGCAGCTGTGACGGGTGAGGTGAGGTCCCACTGGATTTGCGCGCGCCTGTCAGAAGCCTGGCCTGCCTGCCTGCCTGCCTGCACGGCAATATGCCTTGGTGGTGCATTGCAGTGACGTCTGACTCTCCTCAGCGGCAGCTCCGCCCGTTTTGACATGTGCGTTTGATCTTGATCTGCGTGCCAGGTGCTCCACGCTGGGGGGGAAGCTCCTCCTCCTCCTCCTCCGCTCGTGCATTAAACTACCTCGTCAATTGAACGGCGTCCAGACACGGAGCATTAATCTACAATCTGGCATTTTCTTCCATACGACACCCACGGGTCCATCATAGGCCCCGTCTCCTCGTCCTTCCTTCTTCTTCTTGTTCAGGGGCCCCCCGCGCTCTGGACCCTGTACGAGGCAGCCGTGGCTGGCAGCGGCTGTTCACCTCACCTCACCAATCCATCATCACCACTAGCCCGAACAGAGACGTTCGTGTTGGTCTCACACAGGCGCGCCCCGCCCTCGACCCCGTGCGTTGCGCCGCCCGTCCCCCCCTCCCCCGCGGCACGATCCGGACGGCCGCCAACTCTTCACAGCCTCACACCGAGCTCCATCCGCCTTGGCGCCTGGGCCGGCATAAACACCTTGCCTTGCCCGTATCGCCAGCCCAAAAGTCAAATCTGCCGGGGCGCCGACCGCGAGCCTGCGCCTGCCTTCCTTCGCGTTTTCCTCAATGCGCGCACCAGGGTGGCTCCCTGCGCTGCGCCGTCCCCGGTGACTTCGCTCGCCCTCTCTCTCCCTCGAGTCCCCTCTTCTCTCTCTCTCACTCCCCTTCCCTTGGCCCTTCCCTTGCCTTGCATCTCCTCCCTCGCGCGCGTGTTCAATCGTCAGCGCGACTGGGAACGGGACGGGGAGTGTGTTTCGTGTCACCAAACGTTGAAGAGGGCGCTCCCGAACTACCCCGATATCCTCCCCCGCGTCTGCGCCAGCGCCATTATCGTCTACGAGAAACGTCGAAGAATAAGCACGCACTTGTACACCTTCCTCCGAAGCGAACCCGCCTCCCCCAGCCAGCAATGGTCGGCTTCGACTCCGTGGGGACCCTGCTGGCCGACATCGCGAACCTCCTCTCCGACGGGCTGCGCATCCTGAGCCTCGCCGACAAGCGCCACTGGGGGCCCGACGAGCACGAGCAGCTGCGCGCGCTGGAGCAGGCGCTCGACGAGGCCAAGAAGGACTTTCAGGAGCTGGCGCCGCTGGTCAACGGGCAGTCTTACTACCAGCGCGACCGGAAACGTGCGTATTTCTTCCCGTCCCAACCCCTCCAATCCCTCCGTCTCATCTGGTCGTCCTGCCACCTCTTGCTGCGGACTTTCGTCCCAGCTACTGGTGAGCGGGCGGCTCATATCGTCGCTGGCACGTTGACGGACGCGCGCGCTGACTGAACATTGGACGGCAGACGAATCGGTCGAGGAGCTTAGGGCGCTGCGCTCTCGCTTCGACGCGCACATCTACAACCTCAAGGACTGGAGCAGGTCCGGCGGCCCGATAAACCCCGTGTGGGTGCGCGACACGCACGCGCTGCAGAGCGACCTGCACCGGGCGCAGCGCCGCGCCGCGAGGCGCATATTCTCCTCAGACCAGGAGTCGTCGCAGCGTTGCCTCGGCGCCTTTCTCGTCCACAGGGTGCAGCGACGCACCGCTGCTGCAACAACAGCAACACCGGCGGCGGCGGGTAACGGTCCAAAGAGGAGCGTTGGCGCCGCCGCCGGCAGCAGCAGCACCAGCGCCAGCAGCAAGTCGAGCTCGACGGCGACGGTGACGCCGATGACGACGGCGAGAGGGTCGGCCGATTCGCAGAGGGCGCAAATGGAGGAGCTGGCCATGTGCACGCGGGTCGGCGGCTTTGAGCGCTTCGGCGAGGACGACATCGCCTTCATATGCGACTTTTGCGACGGGCACCTGGTGTGGGAGGACCTGGAGAGCGTGCCCACGTCACGGGCCGGCGCACCGGGGGTAAGCGGTCCGCCCGCGGCCCCAACGAGCAGCCAAAGCTGGCAGGCCACGGGCATCACCATGTCCGGCGGGCACGCAAAGCCGGTCGTGTACCCGCCGCTGGTCGTGGCGAACCACGTGGCGCCGACGCCGGGCGACTGGCTGGCGCGGGTGCTGTGCCCGTACTGCGAGGAGGAGGCGCAGCGGCCGCAGCACGAGGACGACGACGAGGACGCCTTCAAGCCCGAGTACGAGTTCGACGACGTGGCGGCGCTGCAGGAGCATCTGGAGTGGCAGCATCCCGTGGCGGGTGGCCTCTCCGCGGCGGCGCTTGCGGGCGCGCCATCGATACCCTCGACGAGCTCTTGCTCCATCATGTGACAGAGCGAGCTCGGTCTTCTTTTTCACACTACGCAAGAGAATGGAGTTTGGGAGTAAGTCCCCAAGGGGCAAAAGACACATTAACGACATGACGACGCTTCATTCGCAAAACCATGCCTGCAACACAGAGGCACTACCCTAGTATAGTCACATATTGTACATAGACTACCGCCAAGAGACGCCTGTTGGTCGTCTCGCTCGCTCTGCTCCCTCGCTTGTTCAGTCCGGCTCGGCCCGCCGGCCCCCTTTTCCCCTTCTATATGTCCTCGACTCTGGCTTCGTCCTAGAAGAAGCGCATGTAGATGAAGAGCAGGACGAACAGGCCCAAGCCCGCAAAGGGCCCGTACTGCTTGAGCAGCAGCTCCCAGTTGATGCGCACAGCAGCCCTCCTGTACTTTTTGCTATCGTCGCGGAGGCGGCTGCTAATCTCGCCCATCTTCTCAAGGGAGTCCCCGCGGTAGAGCAAGTCCTCGATATTCTTCGTCATGACCTTGGTCACGTCGCGGAGCTCGTCGTTGAGCTTGTCGAGGTTCTGCGCGGCGCGGGCGTCTGCGTAGGTGGTGCGCGTCTTGGCGATGAAGTTGTCAAACTCCATGAAGGCGTAGGGGCGGAGCTGGGGGCTGTGGACCTGCGCGGCGGGGTGGGTGGTGAGGAACTCGCGGGCGAGGTCGGCGAGGTAGGTGAAGGCGAGCTTGCGCGGGTAGGAGCGCTCGCAGATGGCGAGGAAGACGACATCGGTGTCGATGAGGTAGTGGATGGCGTGGCTGCCCGTTTCGATGGAGGCTTGGGGCTCCGAGTTGCGGGTGAGCTTGCGGAGGACTTGCTTGGTCTGCTGCTTGACTTCCTTGAGGGCGGCGCCGTCGGACTGTTTGGAGGAGTTGGGTCAGTCAGGTATTCGGTCGGTCGGGCGGGCGGTCGGTCAGGCCAGCCCGTGCGGACATAGGAGCGGAGGGCATGTCCATCCCCCCGTCCATTACCTGCGCACGGCTAGGGGAGGGGGGGAGAAGACACAGAGGGGCAAGCTCTCACCTGCTCGTCATCGACCGAGGCGCAGAGCATGAGCCCGTCCAGCCGCGATATTTGCGTCGACCGAATCATCTTGCCCGTAGACTATGCGAGAGGCGCTGTGCTTGATAGATGGAGTCCGGGAGGGGAGAGCCCAGGGGCGGCGGCGGGCGGGTATAAAAGGCGTCCCGTCGGGAGAAGCGCCTCCCAACAACGTGTCAAGAAAAGGACACGGTGCCGCGGCAGCCTATTTCGCGGGGCGGGGGTCACGCGGCGCCCGTTCTGTCGGACGAGATGGGCCGCGAGCGATGATGTGTGGATATGTCGCTCGTTCGAGGCTTGGGCAGGGCCGTCGTCGTGGTGGTGCTGCGTTGAGGTGAGGAGGGCGGAGGCGATGTGGTGGTTGTCTGGTGTCGGGGCGGGATCGAGGATCGAGGCGACGTGGTGTTGAAGATGCGACAGCCCACGCACAGTGGCTGGCCCACTTGCTAATTAGGGGAGCAACGCTTGGCTCCACGCAAGCTTCAGATTTTGGACCCCCCCTCCTCGGCTACCCTACATCGGATCAAGAAGCATCAACTCTCCAACCCTCAGCCACATTCACGTCGCTGCACTTGCTTGTATTTCCTGTATTAATACTGGGACCTATATTTCGTCCTCTTCGTCGTCAAAGTCATCCATGTCCTCCCTCCCCATCTCGTACAATATCCGCCCGCCTTCGCCAGCGCCGATGTCCGTCTGTGCATCAAAGTACGGCAGCACAATGCCCTCTCTATCCTTGCGCTGCTTCTCCGTAAGACCCAAGTTGAATGTGCTCTCCGGCTCCTCCTCGCCCTCGCCCGCGCCGCCCTCTGTTGCGGGCTTCGCAAACATGCGGTGGTCCGTTAGCAGGGAGATCTTCCCGGGCGCACGTCCAGTGGCAGGTGAGGCGGCGGCCGGGGGCTGCAGGATGAACTTTTCGGCGACAGTCCTCCCGCTGCGCCGCCGCAATTCCATGTCGATGACAACGCCGCGGCCATCCTCGTCGGCTCTGCGGCTCTTTGTGCGCAGGCCGATGATGACACCCTCGCGATCCTCCTTGAGCCCCCACTCCGGCTCCTGCAGCGCGCGGTTGCGGGCGCTCTGCCGGTCCACCTCCTGCCGCAGGCTCGACACCCGCAGGATGGCGGTGGCAAGGTGGCTCAGGACCGTGAACGGGTGCGGCTCATACTCGTTGAAGGTCCGGGGCAGGATGATGGGCACGTCGTCGTGGTACACGGCGACGATGGAGACTGCGGGCGTGAGGATGCTAGATAGGAAGGCGGCGAGAGATCCTGCGTCTGCGGACGCGAGGTTGTTGACGGAGTCCATAATAATGGCGGCTCCTGCGCAACGAGTTAGACATGAGCCTCGGCGATGTGATCTGAACATAAGTGGTGATGCATGCGCTTACTCTGTGACGGCTTCTCCTTTGCCTGCGCCGGGTCAAACGCCGGTACGTGAGCCAGCAGCTCGCGCCTCACGGACGCAAGGTCCCGCCCAGCGGCCTTGACCAGCACATCCGCACCGCGCGGTTTCCTGAGCGTAGCAAACGACAAGAATACGACTTTGGTCTTGGAGATCTATACGGCGAGCGTCTGTGTCAGCGGTGAGTTCCCCCTTTCAGCGGCAGGCGATTTGCGAACGGCCCACGAACCTTGGCGCGCGTAATAAACTCGGCGACGAGCGGCCCCGCGGGCTGCTCCAGGCTGTCGAGCACGAGGGTGAGCGGGCTGGCGGCGTCGCGCAGGTTGAGGAGCTTTTGCAGGAGGAGCAGGCTGTGCGAGCGGGTGTGGACGCTTGAGACGGTCGCCATGGCGGCGGCGGCTGCGTCGTCTCGGCCTGTTGTCTTGCCCGCGGTGATGTCCTCCGCTCCTATCGCTGTATCGTAGAGACTTGGCTTGATATATTGCGGTTTAGTTGTGTGTTGCGGCGAAAGCGTTGAGTTGAGTTGGATGGAGAATTTCAGTGAGGCAAGTCGCCAACTCGCGAGTATGAAGTCAAAGTTGCGACGCCGCCCCACAATATATTCCAGCGCTGGTACAGCTGCTCTCACAGTGTCGACGTGCTTCGACGGATATACGTCTGCACTCACTAAAAAAATGGTAATAAATCAATCTGGCAATACGCTACCTAGACTCCGTCCATGAGATGCTGTACAATACCGATTCTCCCGCACCACGCTTCGTCATTCACTCTTCCGACTGCGCCTGAGGCGCCGCGACGCCCCATTCGTCCTCAAACTTGGCCGCGAGATGAGCGTCAAAGGCGCCGGCCTTTCTGCGCGCGTGCGCCGTCCACGCGCATTCCAACCAGCCGGCATCGTGCCGCCCCTCGGCGAGGTTCTCACTGTACGTGGCACAGGTGTGGCGGAACCCGGGGTCGTTGGCGAGCGTTGCGACGCTGAGCTCTGTGTCTGCCGGTGGTGATGATGCGACGGGGAACAGCGCCGTGATTTCGGCCCACTCCTCGCTGGTTAGGACGTCCCGCGCCTTGGGGTTGGTGAGTAGTCTCTGCAGGTGGAAACGGTGAGCTGTGGTGATAGACAAAGGGAAAAGGCGCTCGTCTGAGAGAGCCTAAAGGGACGAAGCCGTACGTAGAGATCGGCCGTCGCCAGGACGGACTTGGGGTCGGTGAGCAGCTTCGCGATGGCTTTCGCAGACTTGCCGGCCTTGCTCTTGGCGGCGGGCGCACGCTTGGTTAAGCGCGGTGGCATAGTCGCGGTTTGACGTTGTATAGGATGAGATGGTTCGAGAACGACGAGTAAGGATGAAAGTCTGCGTGATGCTTTCTTCGAGTTTTGAAGGTCTGTGCGACGCTTGCTGCGTGGATGAAAGCGTATGCGATGCCTGCTGTAACGCGACCTTGCGATCACGGTAGATCAGGTAAAACTGACGTCGTTGGTGATGAAAGTTGAGGTGACAGTATCTGAACTTTGAAGGAGGAGAAAGTGGGGATGATTCTTCAGCGTTGAAGAGGTTCGGCGACCGATGACAGGCTTAACCTTGTTGTTGCACCCATTGTCTCGCTCCTTATTGACTTTGTCGCAACTCGCAAACGGTGCCGGACGACAAACATCGCACGACCTCCCATTGTCATAGCCTCCTTCACAATCGCAAGCTCAAGCTCATCCATTCATACCCACCGTCAGAGGCCCGTCACGAACAATAGCATACCACTTAGCCGCTCGGTAGCAATTTACCCGGAGCGCCCCTCCTCGCTCACTTGCACAACCATCGATCGCTCCATCTTGGCCCGAATCCCCCGCCAGCCTGCCGGCCCAGCAAGTGAGCCCATTCCGATTCCCCAGTTCCCACCCCACAGCCCGCACGGCAGACGCAAAGCAGGCAAAACGGAAGCTCCACGAGGCGCGCCGTTCATCAAATCGTCAGCGACAGCGATAGCGGCGATGCGCGAGCGCGGCATGGGCGTCCGGCTGCGGAGCCAAAGAGGCCCAGACACGCGCCCGCCCAGGCGGCATTTGATTTCCCACCTGTGCGAGGCCACGGCTCAAACGCCGCCCTGGTTCTTTATTTGGCAATGCAGCCCTCCGCCGCCGTGACGCGTTTGAGGCTGCAGCTTGTAGGTGTGGCCTGTATGTAAGGATCTAATCTGGTCACGCAGACAGCTCGACTTGACTTACACGCCGTCACTGCAAGGAAGCAGAACCCGGACCAGCGACAAGCAGCACAACCAGCAGCTAATAAATCCACTTTCAACTTGTCATCATGGCCGCCAGCACCCCCCTCACCCTGGGCTACGACGGCGGCGCCGCGCACCCCTTCTCGCAGGTGCCGCTCTCCGGCCGGTCCTCCGTGCAGGAGCTGCTTCGGACGCTGCTCGACCCCCTCACGCCCTTCTTCTCGCCCCGGCGCGCCCGCGTCCGCTGCCCCGGCGCTACTGCCGTGCGCTTCGACGCCGCCGCCTCCGAGGTCGAGGGCTTCGCCCGCCCGCTCTGGGGGCTCGCCTCCCTGCTCGCCGGCGGCGGCGAGTACCCCGCCGGCACCGAGAGATGGGTCGCCGGGCTCAAGGCCGGGACCGACCCGGAGAGCCCCGAGTTTTGGGGCTTCCCGCGCGACAACGACCAGCGCATGGTCGAGATGTGTCCCCTGGGTGAGTAATGGAAGACTCAACACTTACCATAGGAGCGTCGTGTTTCTCATCGCTCAAACACAGGATATACGCTTGCCGTTGCCCCCGTTTTCTGGGAGTCCCTCTCCCCAAAGGAGCGGTCCAACGTTGAGACGTGGCTCGGCAACTCCATCAACGAGAAGAAGTATTAATCCCCTTTTCTGTGCCCACCAGCCCGTGGCTTTCAGGCATGAAACAGAGACTAACACGTCACGTAGCATGCCCAATACCAACTGGCTCTGGTTCCGCGTCTTCGCCAACCTAGGACTCAAGCGCAACGGCGGCCGCTACTCCCAGGAGAGGCTCGACCGCGACATCGAGCACCTCGACACCTTTTACCGCGGCGACGGCTGGTCCAACGACGGGCCCGAGGGCATCCACCGTGCGTTTCCCCCCCCTCTCGTAACGCCAACTCCTCCAGAAACGTTCTGAAACTTACACCACGCAGAGATGGACTACTACTCGTCCAGCTTCGCCATCCAGACTCTCCAGCTCCTCTACGCCAAGATCGCCGGCGCCGACGACCCAGCCCGCGCGGCAGAGTTCAAGCGGCGCGCGCAGACAGCCGCGCTGGACCTGGTGCACTACTACGACGACGAGGGCCGGGCCATCCCCTTTGGGCGCAGCGTCGGGTACCGCTTCGCCATGGTGGCCTTCTGGAGCACCCTCGCGTACGCAGACGTCGAGCTCCCCGCGCCCCTGACCTGGGGCATGGTCAAGGGCATCGTCCTGCGCAACCTGCGGTGGTGGCAGACGCAGACCGACATGTGGACGTCGAGCGGCACGCTGTCGCTTGGATACTCGTATCCAAACATGTATGTAAGTTGAAAACAAAAAATCGAAGGAGGCGAACTCGCGCACACGCCCGCCCCCCTTTGCAGAATTTCCGTTTGAATATTTCGGGAGCTGACAAACACGCAGTTGACTGAAAACTACAACAGTCCAGGCAGCCCAGTGAGTTTATCCAAGCCGTGCCGGGAACGATAAAGGGGTGTGTGTGCGTGTGTCCCACCTCAGGCTAATACCGGTCCGCACCCACAACCCGCAGTACTGGGCATGCATAGCCTTCATCTGCCTTGCCGTGCCCGAGGACCACCCGTTCTGGACATCCAAAGAAGAGCTACACAGTAGCGTCTTCCCTAGAGTCAAGGCCCTGAAGCACCCCGGGCACATCATGAGGTGAGAGCCGCCGCCCTGGACCGTTCATGCTCTCCTTTTTTCTTTTTTGCCACCAATCAAATGTTTCTCCGGCCCCCAACTGCCAGGCTAACATTTGCCGGTGTCCCTTGAACCGAATGAAGCTATCGCGGCGGCCACTGCATGCTGCTGTCGTCGGGCCAGGCCTGCGGCTACCCCATGAAGGCCTCCCACGCCAAGTACGGCGGCTTCGCGTACAGCAGCGCCTTTGGCTACTCGGTGCCGCCGGGCCTGCTGTCGCTCGAGCAGTACGCCCTGGCGTCGCAGCTCGGCCTGTCGGACGACGGCGGGGACTATTGGAGGACGAGGCGCCTCTCCGAGTATGCAGGGCTTGAAGATCGCGGCGGGGGGCCCGTCTTAGTCTCCGTATGGCGACCGTTTTCGGACGTGCGCGTCACGACGACGCTCGTGCCGTCTACCGAGGAGGCGCCCAACTGGCACCTGCGCATCCACAAGATCGAGGCTGGGAGGGAGGTCATGACGGCCGACGGCTCGTTTGCCATCTGCAACGTCAGCTCGCAGCACGGTAGGTACCTCGATCTCTACGACTCGGAGAGGTGCGAAGGCACGTCTCCCAAGATCATTGGCAACTACGACGTCAACACGCCTGCGGGCTGGGCAGCCGGCGCGGACGGGGCGTTTGCCGTGTCCAAGGGCGCCGTGGGCATCAAGGCCCTGGAGCCGCCGGTGTCGTCGTCGTCGTCGTCGTCGTCGCCGCGCCGCCGCGCCATGCTCGTTAACGCGGACCCCAACTCGAACCTCGTGGACAGCCGCACTGTCATCCCGACGCTGCAGCACACCATTGGCAAGGGCCAGACGGTCTGGTACGTGTCTGCGATATATGCCAAGCCCAGCGGTGACGGCGTCCCCAAGGAGACGTATCTGGATGGGTGGAATGCACCGCCCGAGTTACCAAAGTGGCTAGAGTCCGAGATGGCTCGAGATGGGGCATAGTATCATTGTAGCTTGATCACAGGGGGGGCTCAGAGGGATGTGGGATGTGCTTGGTGAAGAGCATGGCTCTGGGGGCACAACACCTACTTCCCAGACACTTGGTGAACACTATCGAAGCATGTATCTGTAACACAGCAATGGGGCAGCGACTATACGAAGCCCTTGATACTCGTGCTCCGTGTACATTCGCCAAGCAACCGTCGTTGGGACATGGAGCGTCCCCAGTTCTCCACCTCGCGGCAACATGGATGACCCAGAGCAAACACATTCCAAACGTCCAGCACCCAAGCATCAGCGAAACCGTAACGTCACAGGCAGGAAATCGTGCGACGCACGTCAGCCATCAGCCATGTCGGCGTTTGACATCGTCTTGAATAGCCGCTGACCGGGGGTAGCGCGGCGTTTGCTCATCGACAGGGCCATTCGCAGGCCGCCAGCAGGGCCATCAGCACAAGGGGGTGTTGCTCGTGTCACTTCCATGGCCCAGTGGCATCCCTATTCGGCCGCATCGCTTTGTCTCCATCAAAATGGCTGGCTCCAGACGATCGCCGCCCTCCTCCTCCGCACCGGCAATGACCGGGCCCCCATCCCCCCCGCGTTTCTGCAATCGCGCCGACGGCTGATTTGCCCACCCCAACAGCGGAGCCCTCGGACGAACTTCCCCACGCATTTTCGCTCCTCAGAAGGCCTGGCACTGGGCTTGGCTTGGGCTGGGGAGGGGGGCAAACAAGCTACGCCGCACGCCGGCCCGCCCATCGAAGCACAAACCCGACGACGACAACGACAACGACGACAGCCAAGCCGGCTCTGGGGTAAAAAAAGGCGGAGGCGGCGAGGCGCCAAACCCATATCCCTTGCCCATGTCCATGCAGCCGCACGATCTTGGGCTGGGCGACGACCACCCGCGCGCGCTCATTCGTGGGATTCGCCTTTCCACCAACTGCTGCCCGGCGCAGGCCTGCTGTGATCAAATGCCACAGGTGCCACCACGGCTGTCGTTCCCGTCGCAAGGAGGGAAACCCTTGAGAAACCACTCATATGGGGGGTTGCATGATTGATGGAAATCCGAATCTTGGGACCCTACCAGGACTCCAGGAGGGAGCATGGGCTGAACGCCGTGCCACGAGATTATTGGCATTTGGCATGGGCGTGGCATCCAAGCCACGGCCATGTACAGTACAGTGCAGTATTGGAGGATGAGCAGACAGATAGATTGGATGCCTTCTGTTGCACATGACTAGGACGCAGGGGACGCCAGTCAGCGACAACATGCAGTGGGCGCTGCATTCCTGGTGCCACGACGGCGAGCGCGGCAGGCAGGGAATAAAACCACCACCTCTACAGAGGAAGGAAAGTCTGTGCTGTAGGGATATTCGAAGCAGGCGCCAATTGGACGCGGGACCGCACGCCACGAGAGAGGGCTCGAGTGCTCCCGGCCGACGCGGGCATGGAAGCCCACGACGACTTCGACCGCGGCCGCCATCAGCGCACGTTGCACCACCACAGACAGAAAAGATGGTGAACCAGGGCCAGCTCTGATTGATGCCAATTCGGAGCCACCCCCCACCCGTCGAGCCCCCCGACGCTAGACGACCGACTGGTTAGATTCTTCGAACGAGCGAGCGGCATGGCGCATCGGTCGCGCTCGCCTGCGCGCATGGGGGACGCCACGGGGCGCCGTGCCTGTCAAAGCCGGGCTTCCATTCTGTCCCCCCCCTCCTCCATCCCAGATGATGGATGGATGGTGGTGGTCGGGTAGTGGTAGTGGTGAAGGGTGGTGGTGGTGGGTGGTGACTGGGGTAGCTCCGAGGCGGACCCGGGCCCGGCCTGGGGTGCAACACTAACTAAAACGATATAACCATAAGTAGCGGGGAACCACCATCCTCAGCAGCAGCTTTCGACGTCTTTCCGTCCGTCTCACTCTTCTCTTTTTTTTCTCATCGCAACGCACACGGGCTGCTGCGCTTTGGGCTCGCGCAAAAGGTGTCAACACACCCATCAAACCAGCGCTTTGTCTTTGTTTTGTCGTTGCCGTTATCGTCGCTCTGCAGAGCCGACTGAACAAGAACATTAAAGAAAAAACACACCTAGAAGAGCGGCCATCTCCCCGTGGGGAGATACCACCACCACAACCGTCAACATGGCGCTCATGGCCAGGATCCTCCGCTCCATCGTGCGCAACGATGCCATGCGCTCCGACCCAGACGTCATCTACGGCTGGCGCGTCTTCGCCCTCGTCTTCGCCTCGTGCTTCGGCGGCATGCTCTTCGGCTGGGACACGGGCGCCATCGGCGGCGTCCTCGCCATGCCCGCCTTCCAGGAGACCTTTGGCACCGCAAACAAGTCCAAGCAGGACAAGTCCAACCTCGAGCAGAACATCGTCTCCACCCTGCAGGCCGGCTGCTTCGCCGCCTGCTTCGCCACCAGCTGGCTCGCCGACAAGTACGGCCGCAGGCTGTGCCTCATGGCGACTGGTGTGCTCACGGCTATTGGTGTTGCCTTGCAGGCTGCGTCGGCGGCGCATGGAACGCTGGCTGTCATGTATGTTGGGCGATTTGTTGCCGGGCTGGGTGTCGGGGCGGCGTCGACGTTGACGCCGTTGTATGTGTCGGAGTGTGCGCCAAGGTCTATCCGTGGTGGCTTGACGGGTATGTTTCTTCTATGTCCCGGCGATGGGTGAGCGATGACTGACAGACGTGCGTGACCTGCAGCATTCTACCAGCTCTTCATCGTCTTTGGCATCATGGTGGCCTTTTGGTGCGTTGCCCCCCTCCGCTGGAGTGTCTGAGGCTCTGAGCCAACGCGCAGAAACTGAACTGACACTGCCGTCTAGGGTCAACTACGGCTGCCTCCTTCACGTGCCCGCTCCGGCCGTCTACGTCGTGCCTCTCGCCCTGCAGGCCCTCCCTGCCGTGTAAGCTGCAACGCCTACAGCCTTTCGCAACGCGTCCCAAGAGGAGTCACCCGCTGACAATATCGTACAGCTTCCTGATTGGCGGCATGTTCCTGGCTCCGGAGAGGTGTGTCCCCGAAGTCGACCCTTCTGGTGAAGATGATATGCTTACACGCAACGCAGCCCGCGATGGTGCGCCCGAAAGGATGACTGGGAGCGAGCCACCAAGATTCTCGTCAAGCTGCGATGGTGTGTATTCTCCAATGTCCCGCACGCGGCCGACGGCAGCCACTGACGCACCTTAGTCTCCCTGCCGACTCAGAGTACGTCTCCAGCGAGATCCAGGACATGGCCAGCCAGCTCGAGATCGAGAGGCGGTTGACGGGCGACGCCACCGCCAAGACCCTGCTCAAGGAGATGTTCCTCATCCCCGGGAACCGCAAGCGCGCCATCATCTCCATTGTGCTCATGGTCTGCCAGCAGATGACTGGCGTCAACGCCATCGTGAGTTCTGCCCCCCTTGACATATGCCGTATCGACCCCGCGACTGACCGCTTCGCAGAACTACTACGCCCCGCAAATCTTCCAGAACCTGGGCATGACCGGCACCGACTCGTCTCTCTTCGCCACGGGCATCTACGGCGTCGTCAAGATGGCGGCCTGCTCCGTGTTCCTCCTCTTCATTGCTGATTCGCTCGGTCGCCGCTGGGCTCTGTTGTGGACGAGCGGTGCCCTGGCCATTGTGCTGTACATTATCGGCATCTACGGCCGAGTGCAGCCACCCGTCAAGGGCGAGCCAGTACGTCGCCCTGCGCCGTGATGCCCTCTCCCTGCTTGAGCTCCGCCAGGCTGACATGACAAATAGGTCTCTGCCTTCGGATATGTCGCCATTACCTGCATCTATCTCTGGGCTGCTCTTTTCCAATTCGGCTGGGGCCCGGCCTGCTGGATTCTCGTGTCTGAGATCCCGACGGCTCGCCTGCGTGCCATGAACGTGGCCATCGGTGCCGCCACTCAGTGGCTCTTCAACTTTGTCATGGCTCGATGTAAGACTGCGCCCCAGTGCCAAGATGAAACACAGAGACTGACGTGCCCCCAGCTGTCCTCACCATGCAGGCCACCATGGGCAAGGCCGGATACGTAAGTCTCAGATGCCCATTTGCTCCCTGCGGGTCCGCAGCGCTAACCCGAGACAGGGCATGTTCTTCATGTTTGGCAGCTTCGACATCATCATGGGCTTCTTCGTCTACTTCTTTGTGCCCGAGACCAAGGGCATCAGCCTGGAGAAGATGGACGAGCTGTTTGGCGTGACGGAGACGGCCAAGAAGCTGGACGAGGAGGCCGACGCCGACCACCCAGTGAGCGTGCGGTCGGAGCGGGCTGACAAGTCGTAGAGGCCAGGAGCAGGCTGCGTAATTACCTAGGGTTGGAAATTGGTATGATGTGCGGTAATGCATTTGTTATGAGATTGCCTCTCTGTCTCAGCCCTCGGCCGCTGCCAGTTGTGATTGAGACAAAACGTGACTGCCATGCATGTGGCGTCGGCCCGAGCGTCGAGGGGAGACGAGGCTAAATTGGCTCGAGACAAGTTACAACCAGGGAACAAGGGCGGCGCCTCGGAAGCTGGCTTCCAGAACCGAGCAGCCGGCAGGGCTGAGGGCCAGACCGCCACCGCCCTGGGCTCGCCGTGGTGATGGTACTTGACCGCGTCGAACGTCGATGATTGCCGCAGGCTTTGAACGAGACAGCCTCATTATGGGAATCTCAGCCACCAACTGGACGACTCCCGTCAGCGAGGCCCTTTGTGACAGAGACGAGCAGCCTCCTACAGCTACGGTGGGTGTGCACTTCTCACAGGAGACGACGAGCCGGGGGTATCCTGTGGTTCCTGTCCATGTTTCGAGCGCGGGATCGGGCCGCATCGGTGTTTAGCGACGACGTGTGGTGGCGCAAGTTCGGCACCTTCTCGATGAAGGGACGAACAACACAGGATCAGACGAGAAGCGTGGCCGACCCAGTGGCAGAACGGCACAAAAGTACATTTTACAGAGCACAAAACAAGGTTTCGTGGTAAGCGCGACTCGAGGTTGCGGGCGGTGGAGGGCGCCGGGGACGGGAGGTGGGATGGGCGCACGAAGGAGGGTGTTCAATGCTCACTGCTGACGGCCGGACGGGGAAGCTGTCCGCCCAGCGAGCACGCCTGTTGACAGGGGATTCCTTGCGGGGACGGCGAACCCTGGGCCGACGAAAGGGCATTGCGAAATTGAAGTCGTTGTGGTCGGTGCTGCTCTCGAGGCTACTTCATAGGCACTGTTGCTTCGTGCGGTCTCGAGGGTGCTTTTGCTAGACGATGCTATTCCCGGGAATCCAGGATCCAGTTCGGGCGCCTACGTTCGCCCAGTGGGCCCCGCGGACGACGGGTCGGGCGCGAACCGAGCCGCCGGATTGGGCGTCAGTATTGAGCCAGTGGGTAGGCAACCGACAGAGCGTTCTTTATCTAGGGAACCATTAGGTGCGAGTAGGTTGCAGCATGTTCTTGGAAAGCTTGGCAGCTTCTCTCGGGCCGGACGAGGCGCGGTTGCGAAGGAGAATGCGGTCCCCCCGGCAGTGGAAGAGTTGCCGCAGAGCTTACATGGCTCGACTGCCGAGTACGAATGTAGACTGCATCTGCGGCGTTAGTACGCATGTGCTATGCATGCAGATCGTCAGGGTTCTGCATAGACTGTCCCGGCACATGAAAAGACATTGAAAACCCCAAGAACAAGAAGGAAGAGCAAAATGCAACAATCCACGTGCCTTAACCGCGGTGTGCCCTGCCCAAGGGTTTTGTTTCCCTTTTCGACGCACCTTACCGTTGGGCCGGGGTGGTGGTCAGTGGACACCATCAGGCCCGTCCAACGAGCGGGAGGCGACTGCAGTTTAAGCTCGGGGGGAGCATGAAATCCGACCGTCTTGGTGCTGCGACGCTGCGGCGCGCCCCCTGACTTGGCTGCCACGCGTTTCCCGACGCACGTTTGCAGCAGCAAGGCCACCCGCCTCGGGACGCGTGCCACTGTGTCGGGCGGTCCGAGTTCGGACTGACGGGAGCCGGCCCTTGACGCCTGGCCTGGGCTAGGATAGGCTCAAGGGAGCTCGGTGCCCGTGCGCGTTGGAGACCAAGTCCAGGCAGGTAAGACATGGGCGTCGGAGGCTGCTATTCTTCCTCCCCTCCATCCATGCGACTCTCCTGTTAGTGCCTATCAAACGGCTCCGATGGCCGTGGCCGCTATTGAAGCAAAAAGAGGGGGCTCCGCCTTGATTCGAGATGCAGCCGCGTCGTGCGGTGGTCTCACCCGCGTCGGCGAACCTTGTTACATGTAGCCTGTGGTTGTCGGGCCGCCATGAGCGGCGACAGATGAGTAAATAAATCCCATGATAAGTTATTCATGGGGGCAGGCGAGAAGGGGGCGGAGCTCCCATGGAGCAACGAGCTGCAGCATCCTCCCACCTCGGGCAAAGATCTGATGAGACCCAAGACTGGCTGGCACAGGCCCAGATCGCGTCATGCATTGGGCCGAGACGGTAGTTGCGTTACTGGCCATGGCGTTGGCCTTGATCCCCCGCGGGTTGCTGCCATGGTTTGTGGTGGCAAGGTTCAGTGTTGTATCAGAGCCCGGACCGCCGTAGAAGATGGAGGAGATGAATGGCGATGCGCGCGTACAAGTGTCCGTACAGTATTAGACTCGGAACGGGGGACTGGAACCGGAACTGGAACAGGACCGGGAACCTGGCCAGCGCCTCTCATTGGGGCCGCTGCGAGAGCACCCTGTCGCCCTGTGGAGGCCCAGCCCAATCCGCGGGCGCGATGCCATCCCCAGGCCTGCCGGGCTCGGTCGGGGAGGGACGGACGGAAGGCCGGGAGACGAAACGAAGGCAGCAAAGGGCGGAGGCGATGGGCGTCTAGAACGAGGCAGGACGACGGCGGAATGGGGAGGGGCGTGCGTCGCTCGAGTCAAGCAGCAACCATTCAACACGCTCGAATGCCAGATGATGCAGGGCAGGACAGGGCAAGGAGGGTGAGGGTAGGAAAGAGGAGGGTGTCTGGCGGCGTCGCATCGTGGCAATGTGAGTTAGCACGAGCATGTACGTACTCTGTAGCAACCCGTCGCCGCCGTTCCCTGGCAGCATCGACCGAGAGCGCGCCTGCCCAATTGTCCAGCGGCTCTGCTAATTATAAAATGAAGGGAGATGCTGGGCTGCACCTTCCTCAACAAGGTGGAATAGCAAAATACCAACATTTTCCGGTCTCGCCCTCAGCCAGGGGCACGATAGCTGCTAAATCATCTCGTCCCAGTACATAAGTATGTGATTGAGTGCCCAGAACGCCTCATCAGGTCAACCGTACGCCAGCACCACCGCACACGACGACGACGACGACGACAACGGCGGCGGTCGTGGCGCTGGACCGTGCTCTCACTGATCTACCCAGGCTGGGTCTTCTCGACGCACCAAATCTTGTTAGTCGGCCTCGTCACCTGCGTTAGGTCCCAATACAGCATGTCGTGCGTGCACAGCTACTGAGTTCATATACAGGTTCTCCCGAGTCCCCCGTCCGTCTCGTAGCGAGCGGCCTGGCCTTGTTGCGTTGTCTACGTCGTACTTTTTAACCCGCACTCGGCACCTGCTCGACGTTTTGTTGGCCTCGCGGTTCTCCTCCCACCCCCTATCCCACGTCCCAAACGGTGTCCCCGACTCTCGTCCGTCCTCGGGAACGGCGAGCCAGATGCGGCGCGGCGGACGGCACAAGCACGCATGGCCTCGAGCAGCTCCGGCAGAGGCTCGGCCGCACCATATCATCTTCAGCAACAGCAGCAGCAGCAGCAGGAACAACACCAGCAACATCATCAACACCAGCAGCTGCATCCAGATTATCAGCAGCAGCAACCCCAGCTGCACTACCACCACCACCACCACCACCACCACCACCAAACCCCCACCCAGCACCCTCAGCACCAGCACCCGCCGCTGCCGCAGCTGTACAGCCACCACCCGCAGCCACACCCGCAGCAGCTGCAGCAGCAGCAGCAGCAACACCAGCAGCAGCAGCAGCACCACCAATTCCAGCAGTTCCAGCAGCAGCGTCAACCACCACCGCCGCCGCCGCAGCAGCTGCACCAGCAGCCCCAACAGCACCAGCAGCCGCATCGGCAACACCACCACCTACAGCAGCACCACCACCAGACCCATGGCGCTGGACTCGGCACTCCAACCACGACCACAGCCACGACGGTGGTGCCGCCGCCACCACCACGGCCGTCGCAGGCGCTGCCCGCCCCCTCATTCCGTAAGTCCATCCCGTCTCCGTCTCCGTCCAATTGCCTCCGCCGTCGCCCGCGCCGTGATCCCACGCTCCGTCCTGCCGTGTCACGATGAAGACGGCCGTTTGCCTCCACTGCCTGTGGATCCTCCGTCGACTTCGACTGTTGGGCGTCGCGCGTTATAGCCAAGCATCCTAATCCTACAATTGCCTGTCGGGTCCCACGATTCAGCCTGGCTCGCTCTCTCCCTCAATTGGGGGCCCTGGACGTCCACTGGCCGCATCGAATCCACCACTTCACCTCGTCCGTATCGTCACCCACTCGTCCTCCGGGCCAACTGTCCGGTCGCCCTGGGTATTTCCGGCACTCCCAGTCGCTGGCGCATCTGCCTGAAGCGTCGGCTCGCGACGACGGCCATTTCCTCCTCCGTCCAGGCAATGAATGCACTGTACTTCGCAGCTCTGAACCGGCATCATCCCATCCATCATCTTCATCGCCCCCGCCTCCCGTCATGTCTGAAGCCGCTGACACCTCAACGCACCCCAAAGCCACCCACAACTCGCCTCGCACATGGCTGCTGACCGCTGCCCTCTCACCCTTGGCCGTACGACTCATCCGCCAGCTGCTGTCGCACGGCGACTACGTCGTCGCATGCCTGCCGCCCCACGAGATCGAGCACGATGACCGAAGCGCCGAGTTCCGCGAGCTCATCAATGAGTGCAAGAGCGCCCGCAAAGACCGTGAGGGCTGGAAGGATCGCATCCGCGGTATACGCTGCGATGGTCGCATGAGCTCCTGCGGCGCCGCCGTCGCTGAGGCCGTCCATGTCTTTGGGAGGATCGACATTCTGCTGTGCTGCAGGTCTGAAGGTAACGCGCGAACCCCCAACTGCCACAGATGATCATGTCGCGGTGAGAATTGCCATGCTGAGTGACCACTGCAGCCGTCGTCGCAACCGTCGAAGAGCTCTCCACCACGCCCGTGACCCAGAACCTCGTGAGAGAACAGTTCGAGGCTCTGTACTTCTCACAGGTCAACTTCATCAAGGCCACCCTGCCGGTGCTGAGGCGCCAGCACACCGGCCACATCATGATTCTCACCAGCACCGGCGGCCACATCGGCACTCCCGGTATGTCCATGTACACGGCCGCAACCTGGGCCCTTGAAGGCTTCTGCGACTCGCTGGCCTATGAGATTGCCCCCTTCAACATCAAGGTCACCATAGTCCAGCCCAATAAGGAGGTCCAGTCACTCACCAACCGCCTTACCTTCGCACCGCAAATCTCCGCCTACGCCGACATCTTCAACAACGCCCCGAGCATTCGCGACATGCTCATCAATGTCCTCAACACAGACCCCGAGACGGCCGTGCCCGAAACTCCCGACGTCGCCGAGTCCGAGGCCACCCCGTCCACCCCGGACAGCATGTCCCTCGATCCCGAGCCCAGCCGCGGCGAGATTTTCCACCGGTATCCGCGGCTGCCGCCCGGCGCTGCCGACAAGCTCGTCACCGAGACGGTGCACGCGCTCACAGCCATCGGTGGGCACGAGAACCCGCCGTCGCGCCACATCGTGGGCCAGGATGGCGCTCTCGCGGTCAAGGAGAAGCTCAAGACTGTCACGGAGGAGATGGAGGACTTTGTCGACGCGAGTCTGGCCGTCGATATCTTCGACAGCGAGCTGAAGGAGGAGGCCCGAGGTGGCAAGCGGCGGGAGTCGTCCCCAATCGGCGAGCCGTCAACGGGATAAGGAGCCGGCATGCATCGGCATGTTCGAACTTTATGCAGACGAAGGGAGGGCAAAATCTTCGACTCGCGGCCATGTTAGTGGCTACCATTTCCATGGCCTCCGCCCACGGCTAGAGCTGCAGTCACGGACTAGAAGTGGCGGCAAATCGAGCAACCTGTCACATGTGTTATCAGACGGAGTGAAGAGCTGGATTACATGGCGTGGCGGCAGGACGAGTCCCCGGGCTTGAGATGACGGCGGGCGCGGTCGCGACAACAGCTCAGCGAGCGAGCGATACTAGCTTTGATAGAGGCCTTTGAGCTTCTGACCTTGAACTGGCTATGCCCGAGTTGTGGAATGGGCGCAAAAGAGGTGGCTGGGGTCACGCCGAGGAGAAAGCTTGATACAGCTTACCCCATGATACCCTTGCTACGTAGAACAAAAAGTCTCAATACAGCACTATCGGGGTAGCCTTGTCTTCCCGTCTTCAAGATTGCGTACTTTAGCTAGTCAAGGCTCTAGACATGCTTCCTCATCAACTCCACGTACATATGCGCGCTCGCGTCATTCGCCGTCGTACCCGTGCGCCTCGTATATACAAGAACATTCAGACGACCGCCGACGCCCACCGTCACAGACCAACATCTAGCCAGCCCAACAATTACTTCACTCTTCCCTGTCCCGCACCGCGAGCACGCACGGTCTTCGCGAGTGCCACATCCGGCGCTGCTTGCCGCCCAGCGCCGCGTCCATCATCCTCTGAGTATCCGACCGGGGCCGTCCCCCGCCCGTGCCGCCGTCCTCCCACACGCGCATCTCCTCCACCGAGGCGGCCAGCTCGAACTCGCCCCTGCAGAGGGGCGTCACGCCGATGGCAAAGTCGGCGCTCGAGTTGCCCTGAAGCAGGGGGAGCTGCTGCTGGAGCGTGCCGTTCCAGGCGAACTTGCGGGTGTGGTCGAGCGCGACGTTGACGGGCCGGTGGCAGAGCGCGGGCATGAGCCTGACGAGCGGGTAGATTGGCTTGGCGGTCCGGTTTGTGACGTGCACCTTGACCTGCATGAACTCGTCTACGTGCGCGAGGTTGGCCAGACTGCTGGTGCTGGTGCTGGTGCTGCTTTCCTCTGCGTTGGCGTCGTTCACTGAGATGTCGATGCCCACTTCGTCGACCTTGACGGCCTCGATCATGCGGGACGTGAGACGAATGCTGCGAAGCTCGACTGCGCCGCTGCGTTTCGGTACGGACGTCGTGCGCCACGTAGCTCGGAGCACGTCGAGGATCTTCTCCCGGTACCAGAACGCCTCCCGGTTTGCGCGCTCCATGTCCGGTGAGATCTTGCTCGTGCTGACGACGAATTGTCTTGTGCGCGAGGGGTTCAGACTGGGGATGGCCTCGTGCGGGTCCTCCACGTAGATGCGCTTGACCGGCATCACCACGCGGCTCGTCTTGCCCGGGAGGATGCTCTCGTCGACTGCCATGCCCTCTTCGCCCTCGAGATGGACAGCCATGTGGCTAGGCCACGCATTGCGTAGATCTAGAGACAGCAAGCAGTAGTCCTCGGCGTCCTTGGGCGCCTTGCCACCCATCCTCTCCCAGAACGAGTCCGGAATGTGGCCAAACAACGGCATTGCATCTACTCTCGTCAACTCCACGCTGGCATTGACTGTGACTGTGAGGTCCACCGACACCTGCCTCGTATAGAACTGCTCCGTAACTTCGTCTTTCGGGACGCCGAGATACGTGTAGTCGACCTGGATGGTGGCTTGTGTAAGGCCAGGCTTGCCGAGTATCTCAAAGTCAAACGATGCTTCCCCTCCTGGCGCGATATTGCGGGCCTGGTCACTCCTGGGAAGTCGGAGAGCTTGCCTCTTCATTAAGATTAGCTCGTACTCGTATAGCTCCGCGGGCGTAGCGTCCCGTTTGTTAAGTGCTTCCTGCAAAGGCGCCTGTGTCGAGTCCTTAAAGGAGAACAGCATAAAGTCGACAGGCGTCAAAGACGTGTTTTGCAAGGTGATAGAAAACACCTGCCTCTCCCCTTCCAGGATCATAACAGAGGATTGAGGAAGCGTCGTCGACTTCACTACCAACAGGGGCTGTTCTTGTATGACATTGAGGCTCACATGTCGGGGTTCCAGAGTCCCCTCGGCGGGCTTGATCAGACTATCAGGATTTCCTAGGGCGGCTAGCCCCTTCACCTTGATTTTCTCCGGCCGTGAAGGATTCCAAGGCTTCGTGAAAATGGGAAAGCGCCTTTCCCGGCAACCACGGATCTTGACAATGGCACCGGTGACAGTGATGGAGCCAGCTGCCTTGGGTCGCCCTTTAAGCCTGAGAAGTTGTGTCCTGTACGGTCCTAGAACCACGCTTTCAGAGAGGGGTTCGAATTCAACGCCGTCAGTGCATAGGCGGATGCTCTCTATGTCGACCTCGATGTCGTATGTGTTTTGCAGCGTCACCCGGAAGCTTGCTAGCTCGCCTGCCACAAGGTTCTGCGCCGCAACCTCGTCTGGCTCCTTCAAGAACGGGTTGTATATGAACGGGTTCACATCTTGGGAAGCCCGGCTAGCTGTCGCACCGGGAAGAACGCTGCGGGCATGTGGTATGGGCGTCCGTGTATTCGGTAGAGACTCGAGAACAATGCTCCGAATAAGAAATTCGTCCCAGTACTCGGCAGTCAGGTGGCCCATGCCAATTCTCTGTACAAGGGCTGCGGTCCGTGATATATTAGTCACGAGACGGATTTGTTCATCCCTGTGGATAAGGGCCGTGGCATCCTCGCGCCGAGGACCAGGTGCCACGCCAGATCCAGCCGTGCGCATCAGATCGCTGGAGAATTTGAGCACGCCATTGAAGTCGGGCAGTGCCTCGGCAAAGTTGATGCACGCCCGTAGGATGTTAAGTTTGATGCTGCTGAACCCGAAGAATCTTGTCGACGATTGGTCCAGGATCCTAGCAACGACAGCATCGTCGGACTCGTCGGGCTTGCTAGACGCCTGAGTCGCATTGTTGGCAAGTGAATCAAATCCGACTATGCCGTACGACCTGCATAGCAGATCCAAAAATGCTTCGAGCCCCTGTTCAATGTCGCCCTCACCGAGGTCAAGCGCGACGGCGGCTGAGTTTCGATCCCGCCCTGGGGCGAGCGACACGAGCCCGGCAGCGGGATGAACGCCTGCCTCCGCCGCACCACGTGTGCGCGCCTCGACGAGACCGCCAATGAGGACCGATACCAGCTCTCGAATCACCATGGCCTTCTTTCTTGAGAATCCCAACGGACCTAGGACCGATGCAATGCCGCTCAGAATAGACACGCGGTCAGCTGTCGTAAGAAGTTCCGTGTTGGTCGATGGGAAAGCCTTGAACAGCAAGTTGACAATTTGCTGTCTCGTCGGCAGGATCGTTAGACGAGGTGACGTGGTAAGGCCCTTTTCGGGTAGCTTCCCGCGGACAATGATGTCGAGCGCTTGCTGGTTAAGCTTGCCTCCACAAAGATGAACGGCGGAGAGAATCTTGGCGAAACGAACGGTCGTCTCGGATAGGGGCAGCGGCGGTAAGCTCTCGCTGGATATCCTCGAGTAGAGCCCGACGATTCGCTCCAGTAACTCTGGAAGGAGTGTCTGAAGGTTCCGCAAATGCTTCGGAAGAGTCGAATCCCCGGCATCCGCGTCCGACCTGAGTGCCGATGAACTGCTGTTTGGTCTCTCTTGCAGCGGATAGCAAACCGTTGGTATCTGGAACTCCAGGTTGGACCAGCCAAGGAGGAAGAGATTCATGAGAATCAACTCTAATGCCTTGCCATGCCAGATGTGGTCGTTGAGAGACCGCGCCGCTACCGCACCCTCGGAGAGCTCTCTCAGCGAGTCGCTCCATCGGCCGGCCTGGAGGTACATGGACCCTATGACCACCGACGTTCGCCCCTTGCCCTTTTGCCGCCAGCGGTCATTTGCGCCGCCGGGACCGAACCCCTGCACAGAGACGCGATCACGGCTGACGTCGCGTGACCTCTCACTGTCAGACCTCGTCATCTTTTGCTCCGGGCTCGACGGACCACTACCAGGAGCACTGTGACCGTCGTCAGGACTCATAGGGATGCTGGCCAGCCCACCCCTTACCGGCGTCGACGGGCGTGCGGGGGTCGAGCTGCTGGAGCCTGCGCCTGGTCGAGTGGCCATCGGAGGCATCGACATTCGCGCGTGGCTCTTGTCGACGCCCGTTGCCGAGTTGGAGCGCGAGAGGTGCTGAGGAATCGGAAACTGAGAATTCCGTCTGCTCGCTCCGTTGAGACCTCCTTCCGTGATACCGTTCATATGCCGCGCCACTGAATAATGCCGCGGGGACTCGATGGAGGTCATGGCCTCAAAGGACTTTGCCAGCGTCGTCATCTCTGCCAGTAGCAGCGACGAGATGTCACACATTACGGTCTTCATTGTCGTTCGCTTGCAATCCTCTAGCGGTGGCACCGCCACGAGCCCCTCGGGTATTGGGATCTTGGTTCCAGTCGGCGCGGCGTAGTCGAAGATGATGACTTGGTGCACAAATGCCTTGGGGTAAATGTCACGCAGGTCCTCGAGTTCCTGGTGCAAGGTCCGTACATTCCTCTCGACCACGGTGGCGGCCGCGGCGCCGCCTGTGGAAAGTCGCTTGCAAAAGGTGGCATCCTTCATCTCTGCGCCGTCGGCAACGGCTATGACGGCGAGGGGTTCGCGGTACAGGTCGAAGGGCGCGAGGGCGAGGTGCGACGGGGGCGGCTGGTGCGTTATGAGGTCGTATAGTATGGCGCCATCGGGGAACGCCAGCGGCGAGAACATGTCTTTGCATCTGCAGTCAGCGTCACGAGATTCCATGTCGCGCCGGGGCAAGGGTCACATACTCCGATTGGGACGCCCATCGGCGCTGATGTCGCGAAGGTGGACGACATGCTCGGCGCGCAGCCTCTCGACAAAGGACGCGAAGCGCTCTGCCTTGATCTTGCCGAGAGGCAGGAGCAGCGCCTTCGCCCGCGCCGGGGCGACGGGCAACAAAGGGTCCAAGCTCATCCTCACAGTCGGTGTCTAGGAGCTTCCAACATGTCTGGCAGATTGGAGGCAGTCACAAGACATGTCCGAGGGGCTGGCCTGGCCCTAGCTGCTCGGTTCGTATATTGCGGGGATAGCCGATGAAGCTGCGCATGCGCATCCGGGCGGCACGCGTCTCGATCAGCGGGTGGGTATTCGGCCAGTCGCGGTCGGGAGCTTGGACGTGGTTGGTGATGTGAGGTCGCGGTTCAGGAATAAGGAGCTCGGCGCAAGTGGCAGCCACACGGCGGGCTTCATAAGGCGGCGCTGGTGGACAATGACAGGCTGGCGCAGGCGTGGTGGGGCTGAAGCTGGAGCTGGTTTGTGGGGGGGCCTTTGGGGGGGCATTTTTGTGTGCGCTGTTGGTGCTGCGCCACAGGTTCACCTGCCCAGGCTGTCATCGCCGTGCATTGCCTGTGGCGTGCTCCAGCTGACGCTCGCTTCAGGCGTGTCAGGGGCGCTGAACTTTAAAGCGCAGGCTGCGACCAGCGTTCTGTAATTCGCGTGTGTGCCTGACTGAGTCGCCATCCTAGAAATTGGTACAGCTCCCGCTGCGCATGGACTTGTACTTGAGGTTTTACCGTAACTTTCTGGTCGCGCGCCACTTCCCCCTTTATCCTTGATAGCCTGCCGCCAGCAAAAGCTCCAATCAAGAAACAAAAGGGGGACACAAATCAGGGTCCAGGCAGCGGTTTGGAAGCGCGAAGTATCCGAACACGGCCCTTGTTATAAGCACCGCAAGCTCGTTCGTCCTGGTCAGTGGTAACGGGCGGCACGACGGCCGTCACAGTCAAATACGACAAGAGGACTACCAGGTACAGTAGGGGCGGTATGGACGGCGGCATGGACGACAGATGTTGCCGCAACATCGGGCAGGATACCACCCATAGCTGCTCACCGCGAGTAAGTTTACATGCCTGATTCGCAAAGTCTTGGACATTTCAACAACACCAATGCCTATCTAGGGTCGCCGCCGTACTGGAACGGACTGTTCGGTTGCGCCTCGTACACGTACAGCGTGCTGTTCCTCTGGTCCGGCATCCAGTAGAAGCGCAGCTTGCCATCATGAACGCTCACGTCGACCGGATTTTGGGTCAGGCGCACACCGAGAGCGCTCTCCAGCGCAATCGGCACCTCCGCGAGGGGCTCCATCGTGGCGACGTCGACGAGCGCCACACCGCCCAGATTGTAGCTGCCGATGGTGGCCACGCCTGAGCATAGCATCACGCTCTTGCCGTTGTAAAACTTGCTGTGTCCGAGCCATTTGCAGTCTTGATAGTCGACAAAGTAACTGGGGTTGCGGACGACGCGCTTCGGCTTGGTAGAGGACGATGGCGAGTTGCAGCCAGGCTTGACGTCGCGCAGTGCCCAAGTCGATGCGTTGCGCGAGCCCCAGTTAAGGCAGCTGATGGTCTCCTCCTTTGTGTCGTGCACAATCCCACCCAGGTGGTCGTTGTAGTGGACGACCGTGGTCGGCTTCAACGTCTTGGGGTCTGCCTTGTACGCATAAGCTGTGGTGTTGGGGCGATACTGCGCAATTGTGCCCCAAATGGCCTTGCCGTCAAAGTCGATGCCGCCATTGTGGTACTCTATGTCGCCCCGCTTGGTGATGGTGGCATCAGCAAGGCGCTGGCCCTTGCCATTGAAGACGATCAAATGTCCGAAGCCCTGACCGGGGGTACGGTCGGTGCCATTGATGATGCTACCGTACTTTTTCGTCGGCTCCGTGTACTCGCCGCAACTGACGACGAGGCGGTCGTCGCCCAGGCGGACCATGCCCTCGGGCTCAAATGTGTCGCCTTCAATGGTTATGTTGGCGATGCTTTTCCAGACAGTTGAGCGACCGAGGTTCTGGAAGAGCCGGATGATGGTCTCGCCGTCTGAGTCCGCATGTGAGGGGGGCAGCGGGGTCGGGGCGAGGGGAACATTCTGGTAGTACGTGATGTTGAGCGCGGCCCCGGCAACGAGGGGCCAGAACGCGGCGAGGCCAGCCAGGGCCTTCATGCTGGCGGCGGTTTGGTTGATGAGGTCGACGGGGTGGAGAGACTCAAAAACTGATGCCAGCGGCCAATTCATCTCGTGTTGCGGGACGAAGGAAACAACGCGCCTTTAAGTAAGATGACGTGCTGATTGTGATCCCTGTCGAACCTGCAGCGACGGACCGCGGCTCTGAGGCGGGGAGCCAGTCGAAGCGCCGGGGCGAAGTCGGTGAAGCATTCAGGCGAGGAGTATTGTCGGTTGCCAGATCGGCCAACCTTGATGTAGATATGCCTCACGTGGTGGCGGGGATCTGGGTGTAAGACGGAAATCTGGTGCCTGGACGCGGCCACGTGGGAGGCGCCGCATCGAGTGCGACTTCAACCACGAGCACAAGGCTGCTGCTGGCAAGTGGATCGCTGTATTGTGGCTGATTCCAAATTGCCAGAGAGCCACGCCTTTGCAGTAACTCGCGGTGGGCGGCGTTTTGCTGTCGACCTGAGACCAAAGGGGCAAAGAATCGGAGATTACACTACCGGTATGATGCGGTCAATGAGATACACGGAACTTAAACGCGCACGTTGCCATATTCTGGGACGGCAGGATATGAGCATGCTTCTATATTGAACAGTCTAGTCTATGGGCAGTCTAATCTATGTAAGAGGGTCTATCTGATGCCTGCATGATTGGACTTCTGCGTCGACGTCCAGCTTGAATGTTCGAAGCCTGCCAGGTCAGGTAAGCACATTTCCTGCAAATAAGTCTTGAAGAGATTGACGCATACCTAGAGGCAAGAGCAGATACCACAGATCAAGATCTGCTTGGCGGTGGCCCTGAACGAGCCAGAGGTGCAGTGAGATGCGTCTCCGCAACCGTCTCCCATGTGAGTGCAGTGAGGCTTCTTGGACTTCGGCTTCGGGCGGGCTCTGCCGCTGCCCTTGCCACCGCCCTTGAGGGCGCCAAACTCCTCGTCCGCGTTTTTGTCGGTAATGTCGTTGTCAGTGACAGCGTTCTCGCCCTCGGCTCGCTTGGGGTGAGGGCCAGGATGACCATGGTGCGCGCCGGGGGTGTGGTGGTGTTTCTGAGGGTCGAGCTTGCCGGCAACATCAGCCTCGTCGGCGCCTTCCGAGCGAGTGCCGTGATGCTTCTTCGGGAAATGGACGGGGATGTGGACTGGGATGAGGCCATCGACCGCCTCCGCGTCTTCGGCTCGCGCGGCGAGGACATCATTCACATCGGCAACGTCGCCCACCTCGCCCTTCAAGAGTTTCTTGCAGATCGTGGGATGTCGCTGACAGAATTCCTTGAGATCCATGGCGGCTTCGGCATCCGGGTTGCCTGAAGGGAGGGCAATGGCAACCGTGGCCAAGAACCCGACCGCAACGAAGAGGCGCGAAAAATGCATTTTGAATGACAGTTGAAGTTGCAAGTAACGTTTGTCTTTGATGACTCAAGTGGTGTTTGCAGTGATGCTGATGGAGAAGCTGGGTACGGCTATGAAGAGGAATCTATGCCATCTTATAGTTTACGGAAGCTCGCGATTCGCATAGTCTGTACTGAAGTGGGAGAGAGCATAGCGCTCAAGATGCTCAGCGACTAGGCGCTTCTCGTGTGCGGGCCGAAAGCGCCAAGCAAGAGCCAGGGCGCGTTGTCGATCCCGCATAGTCATCGAGGAATTGAGTGGTTGACGGCACTCGAGCTTCTAGAACGGCTCATGGTGTCGTGGTCCATGCACTCGTGGTTGGCGTCATCAGGCGACGACTGGACTTGATGCGACTATCCTACCCAATGAGACTTCCCGAGCAGCGGCATATACAATAAAAGCATAGACCTTTGCTGCAGGCCATGTTGCCACAGTACTCCGTCGGACGTAGGGGCCAGTTCGGAGAGCTGAATTGAGTAATATATCTCCGGAGCTACGCAGTTAATCGTAAAGCCAGGGCCCGACTATGGCACCGGCAGATCTCGAGAGCGGGATTCGGCAGTGGCTTTGGCGACCCTGACGACTTTGCAGACATGGGCGTACCTGAGCCGTGCAATCGGTCTGCAATGTAGAGCACGATGGGATGGCCGCTACTTTACGTACTGTATTACCTCGTCGCAGAAACAAAACATGAACGTACAGCGGATGGCGAACAGCATATACTGGTATGATGCGCGGCGTACTGTAGGTACCTCACCACACGCACACGAGACTGCGACAGACATAGATGATGGTGTAGTATGTAGTACTGAGATTTGACCACCACATTACAACACAAGCGTGCCGCACGTTGACGGATCACGAGTATAGACTGGATGACATTAGGCCATCGGGCGCACTGATCGCACGCCGGTGCAGTATACTATTATAACACGTATAGTCACAATCGCATGAAAGGATTCGCGTCTTGAAAAGGCCGACGATTAGTTCCATCCGTCCACAGACTTACATGCCGCAAAGCGTCAGTAGCTTCCTCAGTGGCTCACATCCCCCGGCAGCCTTGGCTTGGGCCAAGGCGAAGTCTCCATTCAGGACGGCCAGGAGCTCCTCCTTCTTCAGCGTCAGGACTAGGTCCGAAGCCTTCACATCCGTGGACTGGTCAATGTGGCGATGGGTCAAGGCGCCGTTGCTGAGCCGAACCCGCCACCCGGCCCCACGCGCAGAGTCCTTGATGTCGATGACCATGGCTTCCGGGGCAGCCTTGTAGCCGTCGAGCCGGATGGAAAGGCAGTCAAGCCATTGATCGACGGTACCCAGCGGATTTAAAGCCGGAAAGTCCGGGACGATGGTCGTCTCATCAGTGCCGGCCGACCGGAGTTGCGCCGCGCCGGTAAGGTAGAAGTTGCGCCACGTTGCATTCTCGGCGCCGAAGCCCAGGTGGCCGTACACGGACGCGAGCGCCAGCTTCGCTGCCTTGTTGTCGGGCTCAGCCTTGACTACGTGGTCGAGCAGCGAGGCTGCGAAACGGAGATCGCCAGCATCGGCGTAATGCTGGGCCTTTTTGATGAGCTCTTGGGCGCCACCGAAGCATTCGATGTAGCGTCGCCCTTCCTCGGCCGGCGGGTGCGCCCATAGATGTGCCGGATTGCCGTCGAACCATGTCATGTAACGCTGGTAAATGCCTTTGATGTTGTGACTGACCGAGCCGTAGAACCCCTGTGCGTGTGGCGCATCTCGGAGCTGAGGCGGCAGCGTGAGCTGCTCTGCAATCTCCGTGCCGTTGAGACCAAGGTTCATGAGCCGCAAGGTCTGGTCGTGTAAGTAAGCGTAGAGATCTCGTTGCTCAGAGATGTGCCGCAGGAGGTTTGCGTTGCCCCAAGTCGGCCAGGTGTGCCCTGCGAACAGAACCTCGGACTGCCGACCGTAGAGGTCGATGGTCTCGTCGAGATATCCCGACCATGCCTTGGCGTCGCGAACAACGGCACCCCGAAGAGTGATGATGTTGTGCAGGCTCTGTGTCGCGCATTCCGAAATGTACAAGGCTTTCTGCTCGGGCATGTAAAAGTTGATCTCGGCTGGGGCTTCGGTCCCAGGTACCATTTGGAACACCAACTTAATACCATCGACCTCGACAAGCTGTCCGGTCTCTTCGATCAGCTTGTTGGGCGGAACAAGCGAGCTGGTGCCTGTCGAGACGCCCACGCCGATTCCAACGCCGACGCGGCCAGCGTGTCCCGGGGGCAGCGGCGTGCCGTACATGAAAGCCGCGCGCCGCATCATGGCCGGCCCAGCCATCACGTTCTCGCTCATCGACTCTTCCACGAATCCACTGGGCGCAACAATCGGTATTTCGCGGTCTTTGGGCAAAATTCCCATGGCGCCGCCGAAGTGGTCAATGTGCGAATGCGAGTAGATTATGCCGACGACTGGGCGTTTCCCGCGATGAGTCTGATATAGCGACAGCGCGGCCGCTGCACATTCGTTGGAAGTCAAGGGATCCACGACAACGACCCCGGATTGACCCTCCAGGAGCGTCATGTTCGAGATGTCAAGTCCACGGACCTGGTAGATGCCTGGTAGGACCTCAAATAGGCCATGAAGGGCAGTGAGTTTGCTGTGGTTCCACAGCTTCTCGTTCACGGTCGGAGGTCTGACATTGTCGAAGAAACTGTACGTTTCACAGTTCCAGACTTCCTTGCCGCCTTGTCCGGTCACTATACATGGCTCGATGGTGCCAATGAAGCCGCGGTTTGCATCCTTTGACGCTGTCGATTCGTTCTCCGTGGGCGACATCATGTCATGAGCTCAGTAACAGACCAAGAGAGTACAGAGCTGTGACGAAAGGATGAACTGCCAGAAACTCAATTGAGGGTTCTCCGGCAGACCTGTCAACTTATACATTCCTCCCAAATGCCCAGCAGCGGGTGGCGCCTCGTAACGCCAAACTCTATCCGGAGCTGAACCACCAAAACCGGCGAGACCACCTGTGGCTGTCACAAGTCCATCCATCCTCGCCAGCAGCTGTAAAGTAGTACAGAGTCTTCCTGGCAAAAGTAAAAACCACTCCCGGACAGGAGGGCCGTTATCTGTGTCTTGTACTACCTGCATCCTCTCTGAAGGTCGTAATGAAGCGAAACAAACAACAAAAAACAAGGCCCATGCCAGATTCGAACTGGCGTCTTTGGAAGCTATTTTGATTACGTAATCAAAATCCAACGTCCTCGACCCCTAGACTAATGGGCCGAAAGCTTGCGTTTCAAACTCTGATTTGGCGATTTTGCGCGATATTCTGGCTTATATAGTGCTCCGTAAAGTATGAGAACTTTTCCCGCCGCCCCAGCGCCAACACGTGCCCAGAATCGTTCCAGCTTGTTTCAAATACTTCTGGCAGTCAATTAAGTCGAATAATGGACCTAGCAGCTTTGCTGTGCAGCCTGTTGTGCGAGAAAACGGCGAATTGATGGTTGATGCTCAGGAGAGGCACTACATTTTCGTAACACCCACCATGCTCCCACACAGCTTTTGAACGTCACGAGGCACAATCAGAGGACAATCCGAACATAAATAAAAACCTGTCGTACTACTTTTCTTTATCTAGCCTGACGCGGCGTTCTTCCACGGAGCGACACAGCACGAGAGCGGTAAGACGATGGCATCTGCTACGATGTTGGGAGGAGAAGGCAAGGTGACGCACAATCGGGGCCAGGGCCATCATTCAAGTGCCTTACCCAATGGCGACGTTCGAAAAATTGTGCATTGAGTTGCAAGTATCGGAGATGGGTTTGGCGGTCCGTGGAATTGAGTTGTAAGTCTTTGACTCTTAGTTGAGATGAAGTCGGAACGCGGACCGCGGTGCCGCCGCTGAAGCAAGACGACTCACTGAGGTCAGGAGCGCCACTGCGATTGAACTTGGGCAATCGCCGATGGCAAAGCGTACAATGATCAATGAATGCACGGCTCGCAAGATAGCAAAGCTTGTACAAACCGCGCGCGACATGCTCGCACCAGCCCTGTCGCACCAGCGAAGAACGTACCTACGTGCAGGAGCCCACGGCGCTTGCACGGCCTGTTTGCGCCATACGGCACGATAGCTACACGTAAGTACCCCAGCCGCCACCGTCTGTTCTCTCTCTCTTCTACCTATCATTGCTTTACGGGCCCGCAGCAACAAGCGACAGCTCCGGGGGAAGTGGCGATCATTCTATATGGGCGAAGGTTAGAGGGCAACGAGGGCAACGAGGGCAACGAGGGCAACGAGGGCAACGAGGGCAACGAGGGCAACGAGGGCAACGAGGGCAACGAGGGCACAGGCAAGACAGTCAGGGTCGATCGCAACAGGACGATTGCAAGTTTAGTGGCCCTTGATTGCCAGCCTGCAGCCCTCGCTACGTCTGCAACATAATGGCTATATGCTGGAGTGGCCTCGGAACGCGGCGATGGCCCATGGAGCACATGCTGTTGGTGGTCTCTATCGCATTGTACAGATCCATGACTTCGTCTTCAAAGTGATCATGATGCGCGATACGTATAACTTGGCGATGGGAACCCTGAGGCTCAAGAATGATCTTGGCATAAGAGGCCGCTAATGCTCTTCGATTTGATGTTGCCGTGGTCAATTGGCATCGCATCCTCTTCCGCCATGCCTGTTACTGTGGGTTCCAGTCCGTGAGCAGTAATGCCTCTCATATTCATGATGGCATCCATCTTTGCCTCGCTTATCGCACCTTCACGAATCCGCTTCCTCTTATACCGTCTCAGTCCGTAATGAGATGTTAGAGGCGTAGCGACTCTAAGACAGGCAGTAACGATGGAGTCCCTAGACCCGTATTGCCCTCGTTCCTTTCGTTGCCCTCGTTGCCCTCGTTGCCCTCGTTGCCCTCGTTGCCCTCTAACCTTCGCCCATATAGAATGATCGCCACTTCCGTCAGACCTTGCTTGTCCAACCCAGATCCGGCGGGTTGTAGCGACAGGAAATTCGGCACGACAAAGGGAGTTTTGGGCTCTCCTGGAAGTTGCCAGAGCCGGCGTCAAACATACTCAACACGAGTCCACACGGGTACCTGCCCCTTCATGTTGACGACAGCCTCTGGTGTGATTGTTCTTAGCCACCTATCTGCAGACACATCAGTATCAACTGCGATCTCCTTGGTATTGCCAGTGGCAGGGCTCCTGCCAGCAGAGGCTCATGGTGTCAAATACCTGGCTCTTGCGCTGCCTGTACCACGGCCCCTTCTTCTATCAGATCGTGTAGACTGTAGAGATACTTGGCTGTGCCGGCATTGGCTTGTTGCAGTCATGGGTGTGTGGTTCTGTGCCGATATTGCTACAGCCCTGAGCATTCGGGACACGGAGGGACTGCGCTGCGTCCTTGTCGGATCGGAAACATGTGTCGATGGGCTCACTAGCTGCAAGGATTATGAACAGAGATTTGATGCAATGGTCTGTAAACAGTAACCAAGTTAAACTAGCTAACTACGAAGTAGTCATTGACCAGAACGCAAGTCGGTTGTAAAGCACCATTGCCAGCGCTGGATGTTCACTATTGGGCAACATCGGCGCGCACATAGAAAAGGAGCCATTAGCGATTGATTGCAATGACCAAGTGTGTGCCGACGTCTGATTGATTCGAATCAGTCGGGCCAACCTTTCTCTCAACACCACGACCCTTGATTGTCTTCTTACTCCCCCACGTTTTCCAACTGACCACACCAAGCAATGGCCCCCCCGACAAGCTGCTATAATTACGACAAGCACGGCCAATTCGCGTCAGAAGGGGCGCATCATGCCGAAATGGTGCTGGCGCAGCGGGTAGCGGCAGGGCGTCCAATGGATGAATCCCTGGGAGGGAGCTCCCGCGGGCCGGGTCAGCCAGCTCAGCCGCGTTTGTGGCGCTGTTGGTGCTGCCCATGTGTCCAGGATGTCCAGGAGCCGCAACGGCCCAATCCAATTCTGCCTCGTCAACGCCTTCCTCGAGCCTCACAGACGTCAATTGTCTCCGGGACGCGTCGGTGTTTTTGTCCCTGCGGCGCTCGTGTATCCAGCGAAGCAGCACGGCGTCGGCGCAATGAGGGTGTAGCGCTGTAAAGCACTGAGCTAGGAACCCCCGCAACACCAAAAACGCCCCCCCGACGACAACCGACACGAACCTAGCCCATCCCGACCTCGGTGCCTCCCTGAGCTGACCGCGACGTCGCCTCGCCTCGCCTCTCCCTCCCGCGAGACGACGCGCGCCCAGCCCGGCGCGCAGGTGGCCTGCCATGGTCGGGCTGCCCCCCGGGTGGGAGTCCGACTACGACGGCAAGCGCTGGTTCTACACGTACAAGGCCAGCGGCCACATCCAGTACCACTTCCCCTCCGAGGGCGACGAGTTCCCAGACTACCTCGATGCCTCCGCCCCGGCGCCAGACCTCGCCCCCGAGGAGCGTCTCGAGTCGCAGCAGCAGCTCCGCCGGCAGACCACCACCAGCGCCGCCAGCGCCGCCGCCAAGCAGCTCTCGCCACCGAGCCCTCACCGCGCGGGCAATGGCAACGCCAAGCCGGGCATGTCCGCCACGGCGCGGCCCGTGAGCGCCATATGGGAAGGCGATGGCGGCGGCGACGACGATGCCGAGCAGGTCTTTCAGCCCGAGAACTTCATGTTCCTCGGCCCCGGCACATATACCGAAGTGAGCCCGCTCAACGAGGAGGAGGAGGAGGCGGCCCGCAGAGTCGTCGCAGGCGGCATTGGCGAGAGGGTGGCCGGCGACGGCACTGCCGCTGGCGGGTCTGCTGCTGGAACCAAGGCCGTGAGCCCAGTGGCCAGTACGGCGACGACCCCCATGCTGCAGAAGAGCGAGGCGTCGGCGTCTCCTCCTGTGCCGGCTGCGGGCCAGCAGATTGTCGTTGAGAGCCCTCCGATTGAGGCGGAGCCAGTGTCGATGCCGCCGCAGGAGGAGCAGCCTGTGGTGCACATGATCGACAGTCGCGAGATGCCGCAGGAGCTGCCGGTGCCGCCCCATGTATTCGACCCCGTGGGCGTCGTGGCCGAGATGCCAACAGAACACACGGCCGTGGCGCATATCGAGCTGCACCCGGACCCGGTTGAGATGGGCGACAGCTCAGTCCTCGCTCCGATCGAGACGGCCATGACTGCACCTGCTCTGGGAATGGCCGAGCTGCCGGAACGGAGCAGCCCTGTCGAGCTCAAGCTGCCGCAAAAGACTGAAAAGACGGAAGAAGTGGCCACCGCGGCTGTCGCCACGGAGCAAAAACCGGACAACGCCCAGCACTCATCGCAACACGGCGTGGCTTCTCCAATGAGCGGAGTAAATGGCCATCCAGTCTCACAGGCACCGCCCCCAGGAGCCCAGGGTACGAATGAGTTGGTGGTGACGGGTGTTGAGACCAGTCAAGTCCATCAACAGTCACCTTATATAGTCGTTCAGGAGCAACAGCCTCAGGTACAAGTTCAACAACAGCAACAACAACCACAACAGCATCAGCAGCAGTCGCAACAGCAGCAACCAAGTCATCAGTGGTCGGAGCAACAGGCTCAGGTTCAAGTTCAGCAACAGCAGCAACAACCACAGCAGCAACAGCAACAGCATCAGCATCAGCATGGGCAGCAGTACCAATACCAGCAGCAACAGCCACCTATTGCGCAACAATGGACACAACCGTCTGTTACACAACAGGGCTACCAGGCTTCGATACCCCAACCTGGAGCCTCCGCGCACCAGCCTGAGCAGGCGCTTGAGCCGCAGCAGACGCAGCAACATCCCCAAGGCCAGCCAGCTGCGCCGGCCCCAGAACACGCAAAGCAGCCGCCTGAGCAGTTTCAGCAATCGGAGCAGTCCCAAGTTGCCCAGCCGCCTCACCAAGGCCACCAGCCTCAGCAGCACCCTCAGCATCCGCAACCTGCGCAGCCCGAGCGACAACAACAGCAGCAGTTTCAGCCGTATCAGCAAGTCCAGACGCAGCTATCACAGCCATTGCAGCAACAGCCGCAGAACCAGAACATCCAGCCACCTTCACAGCCTCCACAGCCTCAGAGTCAACCACAGTACCAACCCTTGCCCTCTGAGCAGAGTCATCAGGCCAAGCAAGCAGGAGCGCAGTATCAGGCGCCGCAGCAAGCTCAACACCAGTGGCAACAGCAATGGTCTCAGCAGCAATCGCAAAGCCAGCCACAATCGCAAACCCCCCAACAAGACTTACCTGAGCAGTTCAAGATCACGAGGAAGCCAACTGGCGGGCTCGATCCACAAGCATACCGGCCGTACAGCCCTGGGCAAGCGTCGGCTGATACATCGGCGCAACTCGCTTCGGATAGACGGAAGGGCAGCGCTGTGGCTCTGCAACGTGAAGCATCGCTGATGCTTGGGCCGAAGTCGGGTGCACCCACCGTCGATCCCAGCACCGTCCCTCGGATATTGTCGCCGGCACAGATGCCTCCGCAGACCTCTGCAGCAGAGGTTATGCATCAACCTGCGTCCCAGCCAACTACATCAACGCCCAGTCAACCAGCAGGGGAGGTAAAACCCAAGCAGGAATCGACTCAAGAGCAAAGCCAGGGCCTGGCACACTTTCCTTCGGTGCTACAGCCTGCATCCAAAAGATTGTCTACCCAAGGCATGCCGCAGCCAGTAGCCCCTTCGCCCGCTCAGCCACCATCGACATCCACATCTCAAGCTCCCCAAGCTCCCCAGAAGGGCCACGGGGTCCTGTCCAAGTTCCCGTCTATCCTCAAGCCCGCACGTGGGAAAGCGGCCACTCCCGGGCCCCAGCAAGTGCCACCCCAAATGCAGACAACTCAGCCAGCACAAGCTCCCGTCGCAGGCGGTGGGCCTGTAGGTTCGGGACAGCAGCCTCTGCGCCCAGAGATGCCGAGGCACACTACTGTGCCTGGCCAGTTGCCCTCTCAGGGTCCTGCGCCTCCTGGTACGCAGGTAAACTTGCCATATCATGGAGCTCCCGGTCCACTGTCTGCTCCTCAGGGGCCTTGGCAGATTCAACAGCCCATGAGGCCGGCGAGCGTCATGCCGGCTATTGGAGGCAGCTACTCGCAGCCGAACCAGTGGGCAGCGCGTTATCAGCAGGTTGCGCCTGGTGCCCCAGGTCAGGTTGCTTCAGGACCGTCTCCGCCCGGCCAGTTTGTCCCGCAGCAGTATCAGCAAGCCCCCGGCATTCAGTCGTCACAACCGGCTAGACCTCAGAGCGCGATCGGGACTCATGCTCCACCCAAGCCCGCACCGGCTGCCACGACCCAGGGCACACAGGGACCACCACAACAGCAAACGGACCCAACCCAGACCACGCCGATTCAAGCTGTCCGGCGCGCCTCAACTTTCAGCCCGGGGGACGTGTCGCCGATTCGGTCCAGGTCTGAGAGCCAGTCGTCCGGCCTGCCGGTGCAGACCCCGTCCCCGATCGAACCTTTCCGACGAGACTCTTCCAACCCATCGCTCCCGTCACTGGCACAGAGTGTCAACGGCCCTGGCTTCACACCCTCCCCGGTAACGGGCACTCCTGGGTCTGCTTCCCAGGTGACGGCTCAAGCACCTCAAGGCCCTCCTCGACCAAGCAAACTACCGCTGCAGCATGCTCCAGGCTCCTTCTTTCCGAATCAAGGCTCCGCCACCACACCATCACAGCAGGGCCAGACACCAGCGCAGGCGGGCCCGTCAAATGCTCCGCAGCCACCTGCGATACCGGCACCTCTCCTTAGCAGTGAGTATCCGATAGGATATCAGGTGGTCGCGGCGACGCCCTCGAAGAAAGCACCCGCTCCAGCCAAACCCATCGAGCCCCCGCAAGAGAGTGATCAGAAGCAGCAGCCCCAGCAGCAGCCCCAGCAGCAGCAGGTCGTACCACCTCAGCCTTCAGACCAAAAGTCCACGCCGTCGACACCGGGTCACCTGCTTGGTCGCATTGAGGAGCACGACGAGTCCGAGGCTGTCTCAGAGCCAAACGCAACTCCGCTGGGAACGCGGCCCAGCTCCATTGGCTCCAGCCTGCCGCATTCCCCTAGCCTTCAGAGGCAGAGCCTCCAGCCATCGCCAGCGCAGTCGACTGTGCTGCCGCAACCACCAGCGCAAACACAGGGACAGGGGCCACCCGCTCAGCAAGGCACTGTGCCGGGCCAACCGCAACAGCAGCAGCAGCAGCAGCAGCCAGCACAAGTTCCCCCACAACAGCCGCATCATGGCCAAGGCCAGGGCCCGCACACCCCTCAACAAGGGATGATGCCACATTCAGGGCATTACCAAGGCATGATACCGCCTCAAGGACAGATGCCAATGGGTCCCGGAGCCATGGCGCCTCAAGGCTATGGCGTCCCCGGGCAGCACTTCTCGCAGCAACCTCAATGGGTGATGCCTCAAACAACTCAGGCCGGTCCGGCGTCCCCCCAGAGCGGGAACGGTTCGACGAACAAGGACAAGGACAAGAAGTGGACAAAGTGGTTCAAGAGCTCGAAGCCCTCTGCAAGCCAAAAGCCTCCGCAGCAATTTGTGCAACAACACCCGGGACAAGCGCCTTCTCAAGGACATCCCAACCAACCTCCACCGAACTGGGCCGCCGGGCAGTATGCGCCACCACCTGGATGGCATCCCTCCCAAGGGCCGCCTCCACCAGGATTTCAACCCGGCATGCACCCACAATATGGATATGGGCCACCAATGGGCGGACCGATGCCTCCAGGAATGGCGCCTCCTGGGCAGATGCAGTTCGTTCCCCAGGGAAGGCATAGCATGTCAGACTCTGCCTCTACGTCGACGGTAGCATCGGCACTGCCTCCCCATATGCAACAGCATCCGCATGGACAAGCACCGGGTCAAGCCACTCCACCGCAGAACCAGGCCCCGCCGAACACCGCAGGCCCTTTTCCTGCGGGAGGAGGCAATGAGTCGCATCACTCCAAATCCAATTCCATCGCCAGCCTGCCACCGCAGGGTCAGGCGACCCCGCCCATGCCAGGTCAACATCCCGGACAGAGTTCAAAACCCTCGTCGGAGCATAATTTGATGCCAGCTCCGCTGTTTACAAGCCAGGGCACGGCGATTCCGAACCCAGGGCAAGCCGGTGGAAGCAACATGGGCGGCCAGCAGGCGGCTCAGAGCCAGCCTCTGGACGACAAGTGGTCCAAGAAGCCCGCGGCAGACTACTCTGGTGGTGACTGGGGCGAGGATGATCAGTGGCAGAGGCAATAATTTGCTGTCTTTATTGGATATTTCGTTTCATACCCATTTCTTTTAGCCAAGGCTGCCAGCAGATGGATAGCATCAACAACAGTTGAAGACATGGTCAGATTCTCGACGTCCTTGCTTTGTAGATAATTGAGCGACATGTAGACTACTTGGTACACCAAATTAATGGAATTACTGCCTGCAAAATCAAGCACCTAGGCTGGCAAATGCAGAAAGCGAAGCTCGTGTTATGCATTGTGTTGGCGGTTGGCCCGTGTTCTCCATTCACGTTGCAAGGGGTTCATTAAACTAGCACGTGACAGCGTGTAACCGGCGCGTGTTCAGCGGCAGTTGCAAGCCCGCCGCGCCAATTCGTTAGTGACTTCGCCAACCGTCACAATCACTCTCGCGCGCTCGAGGCGCGATGCGCAGACCAACAGCACAATGACGAGATCGGAGTCGCTTGCGGCAGCGGAGAAGCTGGCCCTGGAGGGGCACAACGACTCGCAGGACAGCCAAGCGATCTTCGATGCCCATCAGGCCCTGTTTGGCGTCGGCACGGTACGTACTCGGAACCTGGCCGCCGTGTTACACTGACCCCGGCTCGCTGACCAGGAGGCCGCCCAACAGCTCAGCAGTTCGCCCGTCGCCGCTCGCATTCTGCCTGCTGCCCTTGAAGTCGAAAAAGGTGCAAGGGGCCCTGTGACGCAGACGTGCGATTCTCCTCTCGCCGGGGTTGAAGAAGTCCCCGTGTCCCTTGCGGCGACTCGCGCCGCCAACTCCGAGGTGAGCCTGCCTGGCCTTGGCTGCGGTGCAGATGACCCTGGTCCACCACCCTTGAAGACTGACAGCCCCAGGAAAAGCAAATATCGACAGATGTGGTGCATGGCGAGTCACTCTTCGGTGCCGTTCACGAATCCTCCACAATCAGGCAGAAGCGGCCGACCTTTGATTCATCCTCCCGACCTTGTGACGCGCCTCTGCTTCTCGACGACACCCTTCCTGCCGACGAGCACGATCCCATACTCCGACATGACATTCCGACGACGGTAGACGCCGTCGACAAGCCGGCCTCGGCGACGGGCGCACCCCTCGTGCCGCCACGAAAGATGGATACCTCACAAGATACGCCGACCCAAGTCAACGAAGACCGCGACTACAGCGCATTCTACGGAGCCGTCCCTTCGAGCCCGACGGATAAGCCGACGCAGCAGCGCACCGGCGACACGCGGACCCTGCACGATGGAGATACCGGAGCCGTGAACTTTAGCAACTTTAGCGACCACGTGCGTCCATCTTCACAAGCGTCCGAAGATGAAGGCTTCGACACGACGAGGGGCGAGTGGCGCACGTCTGATGGCACATCCCAGCTCAACTCCAACGCCGCCGCATACACGCCATATAAACCCCATGGGCTGCCGCCAGAGACCCCCGCGCTGCCCAAGAACCCCTTCGCGGCCAAGCCAAATGGCGCCGTCCCCTTTGCTGCGAGCCAGCTCTTTGCGCAGACGCAGCAGGTGTCGTCGGCAGTCAAGGCCAGCCCGACGTCATCGCGGCCATCTCCGAATCTGTTCCTGAACTCGATATCACCAAACGTGTTCGAGACATCGCCGCTCAAGAACCGAGCGAATGTCTCATCACCCACCGTCATGCGAACGTCCAGCCCGACTCGTCTTGACGAGATCCCAGCTACCGTTTTGAAGAACAGAGGGGCTGCCGTCGCTTTGCAAGAGGAAGACCCCGCCGAGGAGAGATCGTCCAAGGAGGATCGTGTCCCAGAGTCGCCGACAATCTCGTCGAGGCCGGCCCCAGGACGTGAGCCCTTGTCCCACTACGAGCCAATGAAGGAATCCCAAGAGCGGAAAACGAGTGGTGATGGTCAAACAATTGACATCAACATGGACGATGACTACGACGAGGCTTTCCTGCAGCGCGAGCGGCGGAAACGCGCTGAGAGGAAGCGCGCACAAGCCGCAGAGGAAATGGAGAGAATCAGCGTCGCAAGGCACTCGAGACGGGACTCGTCCGAGAATCCAACAAGGAAGAAGCGGAGACTGGACAGTATAGGAGAGGTTGCCAGCAAGCCTCCTCCTGGTAGGCGGACCAAAGCCCAGGATCCGGTACTTGGCGATTCGCAAAGGGCTCCTACTACATCAGCGGAAGCGCTGGTGGAATCAACCAAAGCGACGCCAGGCGACGAGCCTGGCCAAACGCCAGTGCAAGACGCCAGTGTTGACGCCGAAGCGCAGAGAAACAGAGAGGCGGTGCCGCTTGAGGAAGATCTGATTCCGGCTACCAGCCCTATGCAATTCTCCCCGCCTGGAAACGTTCAAGGCATGCAGCCAGCTTCAGAACCAGATCTTCCGATCCTGATGGAAGACGATGGACAGCCTGGTGGCGAGGGCAACACCGCCGAGTCATCCTCCCTTCCACCTATCCGCAACCGTCGCAGGACTTATAGGGAAGCAAACAAGCGACCGCGTCGAAGCCATCTGCTCAGCTCCTCGGCGTCGGACCCATTGCAGGTAAAACTTGTGGACGAACCATGCCCGCCAGTGCCCAGTCTTGCTAGTCCAACAAGCACCGCATCTACAGTTCTTCCAAGCAAGGTCAGGGATGAGCACGCACACGCGCATGACGCAGAAGAAGGTCCGAACGGAACTATGCAGAACGAGCCGCCTTCGGATCCGGCGGTTGCCTCGTCTGAGCCAGTCCAAACCCGAGGGAGGAGAGCGAGACGGTCGATCGAGACGCCACAGCCACGCTTAAAGGAGCCGATAACAGTGCCGTCTTCGAGCTTGACGACGTTGTCGGCAACACCACTGCCGTCATCCACCACGACACCGGGGACACAAGACTCTCCAGTCTCTTCGCGAAAGGGAGCTATGCAAACAGTATCTCCCACCAACAGCAAAAATCTACGTAAACGTGCATTGAGAAGTGCAGCCGGATCTGTGTCACCCCAGCCGACGCGGGCAGTCGCTGCACGACGGTCGATGAGACTGGATTCGGACTCAACGGATGAGTTGCAGCAGTCTCAACCGGGGTCGCTACTGGAAAAGAGTCTAGCATTCTCAAAATCCGGGCGATCGTTTAGGCAAAGCATCACCTCAAGTCATCGTGGTCAGCGTCTGTTTGAGGGGATGGCATTCGCGCTCTCCTTTCTGTCCGTTACGCAAGAGCAGCAGCGGTCAAAGCTGGAGGCACGCATATTGCAAGCCGGCGGCATGATCCTCAAGGATGGATTCCAGGAGCTGTTCGACCAGCCGGCTGTCACGAGCACCGCGGCTTCGGCGGTCGAAGACACGGATTCTCTCAAGTTGACCAAGACGGCGGCGCAGTGTGGGTTTACGGCACTGATTGCAGACGGGCATTCGAGGACTGCAAAGTACATGCAGGCCTTGGCGCTGGGGCTACCGTGTCTGGCGCCGCGCTGGGTTACAAGCTGCCTGGACAAGGGCGACATTCTCAAGTGGGAACCCTACCTGCTCTCAGCAGGGGTTTCTGCCGTGCTCGGACAAGCAACCCGGTCCAGACTGCTCACGCCATATCCCGCAGCAGACGCAGCGCTCGTGGACACGCTGGATCACAGGGCGAAGCTGCTGCAAGACCAGACAGTATTGGTCGTGGCAGATACCAAGAAGATGAAGAAGCAAACGCGGCAACAGTACATGTTTCTCGTCCAAGCCCTAGGCCCAGCCCGGCTCTCGAGAGCCACCACAGCCGAAAACGCCCGGGCTGCACTGAGGAAATGCGAGCAGTCAAACGAGCCGTTCGACTGGCTGTACGTGGACGACTCGGTCGGGACCGTTGGCGCGATCCTCACTCCGCCCGCAAAGACAGGGTCCAAGAAGCGAAGGAAGACGGCGACGCAGGAGTCGATTGGGGGGTATTCGCGGGTGTTGACGGACGAGCTTGTTATTCAGAGCCTCATCATGGGGCAGATGGTTGATCAGGATGATATGGATTCATGAGGGTTCATGTTGACGAGAGGCGTTTTGTGGCGATGGGAGCGGGTAGATATGGTATGGTAGGTAGGGTTTCTGCCAAAAGTATTTTTGGGTCGACTGCTGGGTCGGCGGCGATGTCTGTACAGTCTTGGACGGATGGGGAACTTGGTGTCGGCTTGCTATGTGAAAATGGTGAACATTGTCGTGCGCACGCTAATACGGCTCCCTTCAATGGCCGTGGTACGCCTCATCTAGAGGTGTTATGCCTCCTGTCTCGTCGCCTCTTTTCCTTCCGTTCCTCTCGTTTCTCTCGTTCCTCTCAGTCTTGGTCCCTGCAACATCCATTGCTATCACAATACGGGATGCCCTAGAGTGCAGCTGTGAGTTCTCGCGTCATGGCCACGGGGAGAGTGTTCATCTTACGCAGCGGACTGCTCCGTTGGGGTCAATGCAAGGCACGCATCGCCTTGCCAAGTCTGGTGCACTCGCGGGAGACGCCGCAGCGAGAGCGACGAGGATGGCAGTGATGAGAGCCGAGCTAAACGCGGTGGTCTTCATGGTGTTTATTTTCATGGATGGGAGAATGGTGGAATGGAGATGCTGCTCTGCATCCAGTGCATTCTTGGTCTACATAACTTGAGGCTCAGGTGTTTCTTTAATACATTTCCTCAGATGGCCTGATCCAGCTTGTCTCTGTATTGGTCCTCGTATGTGATCGTATCGCGAGCAATCATCGCCAGATACGGGAACAAATTGCGCGGGGTGGCTCAAATCAGTCTGGGCTGGCAGCGCTTCATTCGATGGCATTCTCACTGCAGTCGCTCCAACCCGTAGGGACGGCGTGCATGACGTTGATGCGAGACAATCCTCTCACTGCGCTACCTAAGACGGCACAATGTTGTGCCGCCGTGTAAGTGGGAGGATGATCCCGTTGCTTCGCATGGGACTTGTTTCCTGGTTCATGATGCGCCGAGGCAGAACCGGAAGTGTTCGTGATAACAGTCCGGGCCGCTCTTGATGTGATGCCAGCCTTGGCTCTGAATTTGGCATGGTGCGTTCAGCTTGACGATCGTGTTGCGCCCGATGACTGCCAATGCTACCCTACGCAACTACGATTAGAGTCTGTCAAAGGTGCCATTAAAGTCATTCGAGGTCAAAGCGCATACCATCGCATACGCCAGCGGATAGATTCCGATCAGAGTGGCGAATGACTCGCCGGCTGGGCCTTTATGTCTCCTCCGCGTTGCGACATTGCGCAATGGACTACTGCCGGGGAAGCAGTTGGCGCCACCAGAGCCTGTAACCACGTTGTGCGCACAGCGAACTCTGGTGTACAAAGGCTGTCCGTAGATCTCGTTTCATTGTATATGTACTCCCTGGATCGGATGGCACCGCGGGAGGGAGAATTTCAGAGAGACTTGGGCGCGAGCTTGACGCCACGAAATCGCCTGTAATGGCGACAAGCCAGGATCGATGCTGAAGATCTGACATGTGGATGCAGATTTATGCGGGCAGTCTGCAAAATCGCTCGTCGCGAAGACGCTGTGCGACCGAAACGCTGCATCAATTGACCGATATATATTAACCATTGCAGAATCCACAACTGCCTCGCTAGTTGACAGTGGTGAGCGTCGGCTCGGACATTCTCACTTATTTAACTAGAAGGTTGCCTTATCCGTCAGCTCTCACACGCCGGCGCTCCGGCATTCGGGATCCGCCGCCGCCGCCGCAATCTATAATTTTTTGAACCGCCGCCGCCCGGCTGTTCGCGGCATTTGCACCCACGTCTCATCAACCCTCTCATCTGCAACAACGGCGGCACCAGAACACGTCCCGAGTGAGTCCGTGACGGTCGCGCAGAAGCGGTGAATGCTGTGGCACTCATAGCAGCGGCCTTTGGTCGGCGCGGCTCTTGGCTGCGGCATCTCCGGCGACTGGACGGGCGACAAGACGGCCGGCCGTCATTTGCTTCAGCCGGACTCACCGCCGTCCTATTCACATTCGAACCAACCTTTGCCTGGACGCCTGAATCAACTCCCAATCGCGATGGGTAGTCTCTCGGACTCAATTGCGCCCGGCGCGGCCGCCGTCGCGCGGCAGCCGGAGCGCCGGATCCTCTTCCTCGACGCCTATGACTCCTTCACCAACAACATCGTCTCGCTGCTCAAGGACGCCCTCGGCGCGCTCGTCAAGGTCCACGTCCTGCACATGGACCTGCGCACCCTCGACTCGGACCCGTCGCCTCCCTGGACCCGCGATGAGTTCCTCGCGCGCCTCGCCTGCTTCGATGCCGTCGTCTGCGGACCCGGCCCGGGCTCACCACTGCGCGATGCTGATGTCGGCGCCTTCAAGCTGCTGTGGGACTTGCCGCGCGCGCGTGCGATCCCCGTGCTGGGGATTTGTCTCGGCTTCCAAAGTCTGGTTGAGCACTTTGGGGGACGCATTCGCAGGCTGAGGCGCGGCTTGCATGGCATGGTGCGTGAGATCGATCACGTTAGAGACCCGCCTGCGGATATCTTTGACGGCGTGCCGCGGTTTAAGGCGACGCTGTATCACAGCCTGTGCGCAGACGTTGGCCAGGACGACGTGGCTGAGGAGCAGTGGCGCGAGGAGAGATGGACGTCGCCCGCCGACACGCCGGACCTGCTGCCCCTGGCATGGACGCTGGAACCGAGCGACGAAGAGGGGGTTCCTGACGAGCGCATCCTCATGGCGGTGCGGCATGCCAGTCGTCCTCTCTGGGGTGTCCAGTATCACCCCGAGTCGGTATGCACCGACGCTGCCGCTCACGGCGTCATCAAGAACTGGTTCCACCAGGCTCTCAAGTGGAACGAAGCTACGCGGCGCGAAGTTGATCGCTCCGTCGACTTTGCCGACAGCCTTGATCCTTCCAACCACAAGCTGCCTGGGCGCGATCTCACGGGCGATGTCGAGCAGTGCAGGTGGTGGAAGGACATGCAGACTGGTCTGGCAACCCGAGGTGTCAGACCGCGCTACTCGTGCAGGACCATCAAGCTGCCAGACGGGGTTGACACGGCAGAGGTGGCCGAGGTTCTTGGCCTAGGCGGTACCGATACTATCATCCTGGACTCGTCAAGCACCATCAGCGGAGACCCGCTGGCACGAAACTCGATTCTGGCTTTGGACGTCGAGCACGCGCTGCGGCTCGAGTACCGGGTCGGTGACGGACATGTCCTGCTGCGACAGCCTGCAACCGCACTTCGTGGCGAGGAGACTCAAAAGATTCGCTTGAGCGACGGACAGCATGACCCTTGGACGCCCTGGCAGGTCATGTCTGAGTATTGGCGCCTGCGAAGGACGCCCGAGGACGACGAACCGTCGTCGACCTTCAAGGGCGGCTTCATGGGCTTCGTCACATACGAGATGGGTCTGAGCACCCTCAGCCCCGGACTGGTATCAACGGATCGCGGCCATGACCGACCTGATATCTGCATGGCGTGGGTGTCCAAGAGCATCGTGCTGGACCACCAAGCCGGGCTAGCCCACATCCAGTGCCTTACCACCCCTGAAACTAACGACACGTGGATCGGCGATGTTGTCGATACCCTCCAGAACTCGGAGGCATGGCTGAACCCAGGATACACGAGCAGCCCGCCGAAGCCGCGGCAGCCCAACGAGGAGCTCCTTCAGCAGGTTCGCGAGGGCAAGGGAAAGCTGCGCTTCAGCATCCCCAATTCAAGTCGGTACGACAACGACGTGAGCAAGTGTCAGGACGCTATCCGCGATGGCGAGTCATACGAGCTGTGCCTCACAGCGCAGACGACCATGACGCGCCCCTCTGGCAACGACACGCCGCACCACCTACGACACGGCGCCGACGTCAAATCCGCAGCGCAGCACGGCACGCCGTGGCAAATCTTCCGCACCCTGCGCGCGCGCCAGCCCGCGCCATTTGGCTCCTTCATCCGCCTCGGGGCCGCGACGCTCATCTCCTCATCGCCGGAGCGCTTCCTGTCGCACGACGCGCGCGGACTGTGCTCGATGCGGCCCATGAAGGGCACCGTGCGCAAGTCGGCCGAGGTATCGACGCTCACCGCCGCCGAGAAGATCCTGCACGTGCCCAAGGAGGAGGCTGAGAACCTCATGATCGTGGACCTCGTGCGCCACGACCTCTACGGCGTGTGCGGCGCCGGCAGCGTGTCCGTCCCGGACCTGCTGCGCGTAGAGGAGTACGCGACCGTCTTCCAGATGATCACCGTTGTCAATGGACAGCTGCCGGCCCCGGCCGCGAGCCCGCGCCGCGCAGACACTGCCAACGCGACCACCACTACGGGGCTGGATGTGCTGGCCGCGGCACTGCCGCCGGGGAGCATGACCGGCGCGCCCAAGAAGCGCAGCTGCGAGATCCTGCGGGGCATCGAGCCCGGCGAGCGGAGCGTCTACGCCGGCGTCGTGGGATACCTGGGTGCCAACGGGCAGGGCGACTGGAGCGTCACGATCCGCACCATGTTCCGCTGGGACGACGAGCGTGACGAGCACGCCGGCACGGAGGTGTGGCGCATCGGCGCGGGTGGCGCGGTGACGACGCTGAGCACGCCCGAGGGCGAGACGGACGAGATGTTCACCAAGTTGTGTGGACCGCTGGGCGTCTTCAAAGACGTGGCGTAAGGGAAGAAAGCGCAAGCTGACTGACAAGACGGAACGGGGTTGGATGAGGCGAAAGAGGCCGCTTGTACCTCAACGTATATTGTGCATGTGCAGGAGTTATCTGGCCTCGGCGCGATCATTTTTGGGCTTTACAGATGGGACGGACCCCTCAACGGTTCATGATAGACGAACATCGCACAAGCGACAGACGCAGGATATGGGATCGGACAGCAGCGCATTCTTTGGGATAGATATAGCGTGCAAAAGAGGTTCACCACCGTCAAGTTAGAAGCCGCATGGAGTGTACACCCGACATGAAACCACGCCAAATTCGCTTTAATGCATTCCCCAGAACATGATTTCGTACACGGGCGCAAAACGCCTCGCTCGGCTAACCCCGTCGTCGAGTCTCCGACCGCCGCCGTTGGCGCTCCGATTACAGTCTGTCCACTTTGCCTCCAGTTGCAACCGGCACGGTATGCTCGCACGCTGCCGGTGCCTAAAACTCCTGCTCCTCGTGGAAGAACATGCTGAAGCTGATGATGGTCCCGTAGATCAACAGGCCGCCGACTATCGACATGATCATGGCCTCGACGCGGATGAGGTCCGAGTGCGCGAGAACGACGGGCAGGGCTGCGCACGCGGGAAGGGTCAGCGGGATATGGTCAACGTACAGCAGAGCCGCGGCTGATCCGAGCAAGAAAAAGCACTTACCGATTCCCATGACGACAAAGAAGCCGGTGAAGAAGCGTCCCAGGTCGAGCACCGCGGCGCCGGAGCTCTCGACAAAGTCATCGGGGTTGGCGCAGCGGCTGGAGATCCAGTTGGGGACGGGGGCGATGATGTAGGTGGCGACGACGAGCAGCGGGTAGTAGACCTTGAAGAGGGCGCAGGAGAGGATGACGAGGAGGAAGCCCACGGCGAGGACGAAGGAGAGGGCGATGATGGTCTTGAGGCCGGCGGTCGGCATCGTGGCGGTTGGGGCGGGGGGGGACGGGATGCGGAGAGCGGACGAGTTGATTCGCCCCGCGATGGGGGGTTTCGAGCGAGCGAGGGGAGCGCGAGGATGGCGTCGAACGGCCAGAGGCTCAGTCGGGAGGGGAAAGCGCACGCGGAGGTTCGGTCGTCGTGTCGTCGTGGGCGGCGTGTAAGGCAAAGCTGCAGCATGCGGACCAGCGACGGACAGCGTGGGAGACGTCAGCCGCCGCCGCCGTCGCAGCTCCGAGCGAGCTGGCTGGTGGCTGGCCGTTGGTGGCTCCACCACCACACGCACGCGCCCGGAAGGTCCATTCTTCCGGCACCGAATGGCGCTCCACAAGTTTGGCAGGCGGTGAGCTGCGGTCCCCAGCGACCCCTGCGCCTCCGCCTATCAAGGCACGCCAAAAAAATCTCGAGGCGTTGCTGCGCTGGGCCAGAATCCGCCCCGCCAGTCTTTTTTCTTTGCAGCAGCAGCCAGCAGCAGCGACACCGAAAGGTCTCTGCAACTTCGCAGTCTCTTTCCTACGTCCAGCGAAGCGCATTTTGCAAATTCGGCGGCTTCCTGATCCAGGGATCCTGGACCCCGATATCTACAATGGCGTCCGACGAGATTATCTGGCAAATCATCAACCAGCAGTTCTGTGCCTTTAAACTAAAGTGCGTGGCCGAAACCTTTACACTCCCTCTTTCTCCCGTCGGGCTCGGGCTGACCAAAAACCTGCAGAACGAACAAGGAGCAAAACTTTTGCCGCAACGAGTACAACGTCACGGGCTTCTGCAACCGCCAGTCATGTCCCCTCGCCAACTCGCGGTACGCGACGGTGCGGCAGCACCCGACCAAGGACGTGCTGTACCTGTACATGAAGACGGTCGAGCGCGCGCACCTGCCGTCCAAGATGTGGGAGCGCATCAAGCTCGACGGCAACTACAACAAGGCGCTGGAGCAGATTGACGAGCGGCTCATCTACTGGCCCAAGTTCCTCATCCACAAGTGCAAGCAGCGCCTCACGCGGCTCAAGCAGGTGCAGATCCGCACGCGCAGGATCGCCAGCGAGGAGGAGCGCCTGGGCGAGAAGCTGGTGCCCAAGCTGGCGCCCAAGGTCAAGCACCGCGAGCAGGCCCGCGAGCGCAAGGCCGAGGCGGCCGCCAAGCTGGAGCGCACCATCGAGCGCGAGCTGGTAGAGCGCCTGCGCCAGGGCGCCTACGGTGACCAGCCCCTCAACGTCAGCGAGACCATCTGGAAGAAGGTGCTCAACGCCATGGAGCGCGAGGGCCAGGGCGAGCGCGACGTGGACCTGGACGAGGGCATCGACGAGGACGATGAGGAGGACGCCGAGCGCGAGAGCGAGGACGGCGCCGTCGAGTACGTGTCCGACATTGGCGAGAGCGACGAGGAGCTCGACGAGCTCGAGGACTGGCTCGAGAGCGACGACGACGAGGAAGACAAGGAGGAGGAGGAGGTGGACAGCGAGGAGGAGGAAGATGCCGAGGCTGGCAAGAAGCGCAAGCGCGGCAAGGTGACCAAGATGAACGCCAAGCGGGCCAAGCAGGTCGAGGAGGCCCGGCCGAAGCTGAAGCTGACGCACGACATGGAGTGGTAGTCGGTTGCGGTACACAAAGTGTCGGGGCGGAGTGTAGGGAGTCGAGTCGTGCTGCTGGCCAACTGGGCAGCCTTTGTTGCGACGGTCTTTTGTTTCATGGCATTCAATCTCAGGGCGCGCGGGCATCATCATTGCATCGCATCAGGGCCTGTACGGCGTTGCGGACACCATTTAATGCAATTACATCACCGACTTTTGCTTTGACTTACAAAGGCCATTGTGACGACCCATCCATTGTACGTGACGCAACGGACCAAATCGTGCCCGGTCAATGCACGGCCGTGATGGCGGCACCTCCATGCACGGCGGCTTTCACGATAGCCGCCCAAGTCCCTGTTTCAGGCCCGGCACTCGACTGGCCACTGGTGGATCTCACTTTGACGCAGCGCCGCAGCTCAAGGCGGAAGGTTAATAAGTTGCCCATGCGAATGAGAGTAGCAGCAGCACCAGGCGGGCCGCCGAACCCCACCATGTATCTTCAACTCTTTGACCCCCGCCCGCCCGCCGGCCGCCTCCTGGACCGACCGCCCACTCGTTCCCTCCTGCATCATCCATCATCCATTCGCCTCCTCCTGGCAAGGCCACCACCCCCCTCCCCCCCCCCCCCGTCCTCGCTCCTCCTCCGCCCTTTCAGCCTCCCGCTGCACATACCACACATACCACCACCCACCACCATCACACAGCTCTGTCTCGATCCGGCTGTCCGTTTTTGCGCATGGCCATAGCTCGCCGCCGGTCTTTTGTTGAGCACTGCCGCCGTCGCCGCCGCCGCCTGCAGCAGCAGCTCGTGATTCCTTGACGATTCTCGGCACAATCTCCCCCCGTACCTCGTAACGCGGCCGAGGGCGCGCACGCACGAACAGCACGGGGAAGACGGCCCGCAACCTCCCTAGCGAATACGAAAGGGGGGTTTCTCACGACCGGACTGCACGCTTCGTAGCCCAGGGGCGTCAAAGAGCGGAGGCAAGCACGAGCACGCACGCGCTTCCGAATCCCATACCGGCCGAACGACAGACCGACCGACCGTTCGACCTAGCTACAACCCACCTACACGCTCTTACGTAGCAGTCGTCGCCGCCGCCGCAGCAGCAGCAGCGACGGCCCACGCACGCGTCCGCCACAATGACGTCCTGGTACAACAACCTCCTCACCAAGACCACGTCGCAAATCTCCTCCCTCCGCTCCACGCTCCTCTCCTCCGACGCCGACGGCGACACCGAGGACGACACCCACGTCTGCCGCGTCCTGCGCAACTACTACGCCGACAAGGGCCGCCCCTTTCCCCCCTGGCTGCCTCCCGACCCAAAGGCCGCCGCGCCCCCGCCCGCCCAGACGCTCTACTCCCAGCCGCAGGTCGGATCGCGATATGGTGGCCTCGGGCAGCAGGGGCAGCAGCAGCAGCAAGGCCCCGGCGGCGGCGCGCTGAGCAGCCTCTGGGATAGCGGGCCGGCGGCACCGCCGCAACAGCAGCAGCAGAGCCTCCGCGCGGGGAGGCTGACGCCGGGTGCGGCCGCCGGTGCAGGACAGGCAGGGAGGATGGGCAGCACCGGGGGGCGTGATGACGCCGTGATGCCGCGTCCGCTGCCGAGCCAGCGCGCAGGCAGCTACCAGAGCGCGACGGCCGCATCCCCGCAACCGGCCGGCTCGTCGGCGCAGGACCGCCTGCGCCAGCGCCTATGGGGCGGGAGCTCGTCGCGCACGTCCAGCCCCTCCCAGAGCACCACCGGCGGCAACGGGCAGCAGGGCCCGTTCCAGCCCCCGTCCGCCAACAGCGTCGGCGGAGGCAGCAGCAAGTCGTCAAACTATGAAGACCGCTTCGCCCCCGGCGGATCGTACGACTCCGGCCGCGGCGGAGGCGGCCCCTACGTGGGCGCGAACGCGCCGTGGTCGAGCGGAGGGGACGAGTACGGAGGAGGCGGCGGCGGCAGACAGGGCCTCCCCAGCGGGCCGAGGAGGCAAGGATTGCCGAGCGGACCGAGGGGATATAGATGAGGATGGAGAGGGAAGGGTGTTGTTATCCAGCGAGGAAGGAAGGGAAGGGCGGCGTCGTTTGTGTTCTGTTGCGTTGCGGGGCGGGTTTGCCGCCGGTTTGCATGCGAGCCTAGCAAGTTAGAGGCGTTAATACCCGGGTTGACATTCCTTTACCACGTCACCAATCCATATCTGGGGCCATGTGTGTTTGCCATGTTTACTTTGCATCGGCCAACGGAGTATAATTGAAGAACATCCTCACTAGTTGCAAAAGAACCTCACAGGAAAAGCGTATCGTCATCGCCATTGCATGTTCGCGTGATAGCACAGCTAAGAATAAAGCCCCCTATGATCCGACGCCCAAATCCAGCACCCGACCTATGGAACCCAACCAAAAAACGCTCCAACGCTCATGTTACACATTACGTACTTCGTATACTTGAATGAACCGGGGCAGGGCACCCAGCTGGTCACTTCGCCGGCATGCCGTCCCCCTTCTGGGCGACCGTCTTGCGCGGCAGCACCTCCACCTTCCTGCTCAGCAGCTTGCGCAGCTCCGGCGTGATGACCTTTTGCTGAGGCTTGTCGGTGGCCTTGCCCTTGTTCGCGGACGCGGCGGGCGTGTTGTTGTTGCCTGGCGTCGGCGCGGATCCCGACGATGGTGAGGACGGGGCCGGCAGCGGCTTCGCGGAGGTCGGGCTGTCGGAGCCGGCGGGGCGAGGGGCGGGGAAGTTTTGCTTCTTGTCAATGGCCTCGACGAGGCGCTGGAACTTGCGGAAGAGGGCCTCGGCGCGGATGAGTGTTGACTCGAGGTCGATGGTGTTGGACAACTCGTTGACTAGAAACCATTGTTAGTCGGGAGGCCTACCCGGCACTCAGGGGTAGAGCAACTTACCATATTTGAGCACCTCGTCGAATGCTTTGAGATGCTCCATGATGACATCCCTGTGCTTCTCCAGTATGGCCAGGGCGACGAACAGATGAAACTCGGCGCTGAGGTAGTCGGTCCACAAGCCCTCCCACAGGCGCAGCACATCCATCCATGCAAACTCACGCTTGTACCAGACGAGGATCATGCGGAAGAAGAAGAAAAAGTTGGTGCTGTCGGCGCTCTGCAAGTGATTCCACAGCTTGGGGTCCATGAAGTTGACAAGCTGATCGAGGGCAAGAAGCTGAGCCCGCATGCCCGACTGGTCGCGGAGGAAGTTGCGCTCCATACGCTCCATGAACTTTTGGAAGCCCCAGAAGGCGATGGCGTCGTCCTGAATGACGGCGTAAATTGGCGCCAGAAGGTCTGACATGCCTTGCACGTAGCCGAGATCCTTGTTGTACTCGTTGTACGTCAGAAGCATCTCCTTCATCTGCTCAAGGTGTACGTTGGTTCCGACTTCGGCAAATGGGGAGTTTGGATCCGGATGTGGCGTGTCTTCGCCCTGGAATATTGGCACGTTGCGGTCCGTCCGGTGGACGTCCTTCTCTGCGATGGGTCAGTAACCAGACGAGGCTGCCTGCAGGTTGCCGTGCTTACCGATGCGACCCCTCTGCTCGCGCCACCACTCGCCCGTCTCGCCCTCGCCCCCTTCGCCGTCGAGCCTCTCCCACCACGAATGCTTGAGTCTATAGTAGTGATCTCTCAGGGATGCGATCTGGGCTTTCCTTTCGTCGATCGTGCCGTACCACTCGTACACGCCGAGAAGGAACAGCCACGCCTCTTTGCGGACACCGTCGTCGGGGTCGAGCCCGCCATGAAAGATACGCTCCTTGACTTCATCCACTGTCAAGGACAGTCGGCCCGTCTCGGGGTCAAAGTAGCCGCTCCATTCTTCCATGGTGACTGGTTTCCGGCGTTCTTCGATAGACAGCCCGCTGGTGGACTCGAGCAGCTCAAACTCGCCGACGTCGGTATCTTCAAGCTCCATGACATCTCGCACAGTCCATATCCGGCCCCTTCTATCACGCTCGCTCTGCTCTGCAATGCCCATAGCCCAACGAGCCAGGTAGATGCGCGCACTGTCGAATTCGTCCTGCAATGTCTGAACCTCGGGGTTCCGGAGCAGCCTCTTGACCTTGGGTGGCATGTTGGAGTTTTCGGCGAAGTCCTGGGCTGCCCTCCTCGTGAATGTCGTAACTTTGCTGAACTGGTTCATAATGTTCCAGCCCGTCTCCTTGACAAACTTGACAAACGGGTCCATCTCTGCGTCTCGACTCCCGGATGCCCGCGCACTGCCCTGACCGGCGGTGCTCGTGGTGGGCTTGCCACCAAAGGACATCAAGTCCTCTGCGCTGGGCTCAATGAGGTAGACATTGGGCTCGGCTCCGGACCTCTCGATCTTGATGTACCGCCGCAGCCATCGAAGGACCTCATCGGCGCCCCAGAACATCTGTCCGCTCTCGCCAAATGGATCGAAATTGTCTCTCGCTAGCTTCTTCTTTTGCAGGATGGTACTCTGGCATTCGTTGTCGTGGAAGAACAGTGCGGGGAAGCTATCGCCGGCGCGGGAGTTGATGATGATGGAGCCGTACCACCAGCCCACGCTGGGCGGGCGCACAAGGAGCGAGTACACAGCGCTCATGGGGATGGCAAAGGCATATCCGCCAACGGAGCCGCTGTGCGTCGTGACCGTGGGCGGAGGCGGGACGAGGTACGACTGCTTCGGGGGCGACTCGGCGTCGGACAGGTCGACCTTGACGTATACGCTGGCCGAGTCCCCGAGCGACGACTCGGGCACCCAGGCCAGGAGGAGGTCCGACGAGGCAGGCGACGGAGGCTCATGGGAGTCTTGCGACGTGGGGCGGCCATTCTTGGAGGGCTTCTGCTGCAGCAGGGCGATGTACCCAGGGATGTTGTCCTTGGCCGAGGGGGTGGGATGGACATATACCTAGGCGGGCTGATCAGTTTTGGAGGAAGAGATGGTGGACTGGGTTAAGCTACCTTGCTCTTGGAAAAAAGCAGCTTGACGCCCCTGCCCGTCTCGGTGTGGGTGATGGTGTTGTAACCACCCTCTTCGTCGTCGCTCATGGCGTAGAAGCTCGAGGAAGGAGAGGCAGGTCGCGCGGGGCCGTCAGCTGATGAAGGGCCGGGTGCCATATCCGTGCCTGTAGCGGCCGAGTCGAAGGGCTGCAGGTATCGCAGCGCAGTCGTGCAAAAGCCGTTGCTGCTTCGGCCGGTTCGTGTTGACCACGAAAAGGACGAGAGGCGAGGCTGAAATGCGGCAAGTTTAGACGGCGGCGACGTATATCAAGGTGGTGATGCGAGGTCCATGTGAGTGGCGGCTGATGACGGGAATGACGACGAGGGTGCTGCTGGTTGCCCCACGCGGTCCACGGAGGGGCAAACGGGTGTCGTGCAGAGTACCGGTACCAGCGCCAGCGGGCTCGTCTGGCGGCGGCACTGGTAGGGGTACCTTACCAACCAAGGCCGCCAACCAACAAGCTGAGGTGCCCACGCGTGCAGGCGTCGTCAGTGGGCGTCAGTGGGCGTCACGCCGCCTAGCAGTCAGCCAACACGCCGGCTTGTGACTGTGTCGCTGGCGCAGTCGTACGTATGCCGCCACGCAACACCAACGACTGGCATTGGTGAACCTTTCTTGTCAATTCTCACCCAGCCCGGTTCTTCGCATCGTTTCTCGAGTCCCCCCCATCGAACGATGTCCATTTGAAGGAGCAAGCGAACCCACCGAGGCGAGCTTGGGGTCCAGAAACGGCTGCCCTCTACGTGGCCGTCAGCGAGGATGCAGGCTCGAGTCACTCACTTCCAGCAGGGTGTCGAGTCACGACTGGTGGTGCTTCGACTTGAAAGCCAGCGCTATCCAGCCGATTCTGCCTCTGCTCTTCGCCACGATTGCCATGCTCCGATCTTTCGACGTCTGGCCACCAGGTCCAACGGCCTGGCTGGTTGTAGGCTTCGCCATGACCGCCGCTTCGAAGCCACTTGGCTGAGGCAGTGGCGGGAGAGCAGCAGGCAGAGCTTGTCCAAAGCCAGCCTGGACGCAACCGATACCGTTGCAGACATGACGACGGTCTCAAGAAAGGGGACCTCAACGCCAGTGATAGACATACCATGTCTTGGCTGCGGGGCCGGCCACGACAAGCGTCATGGCGTCCAAAGCATCGCTGCTTTCTGTCGAGATTTCAGGAACAACCCAATCTCTCGACTGCCCGGGATCGAGGCCTGCAATAGGACCCCGAGAGGACCCCTTGACGAGAGAACGGACGAGCGCCCACAGCTTGCCGCAGCTAAGTTAACATGGGCCATCCACCGCCAGAACTCCGACGGACTTGACAGTGTCCACAGTTCATGCGCCGGCGTCACCGGAATCGGCAACCGGGCAATAGGCTCTCCGCCCGGCGCACACCAGAGGCCGCCACTGCAGGTCGGCGCCGCAAATGCACCCACCCTTGTCCCTACAACCGGGCTGCGGTCAGCCAAAGTCAGACGGTCCCCAGGTGCTGAGCCGTTGGATGTAGGGCGGGACGCGTACGCTGGGCACTGACGACACGACTGTCGAGGGCCCGATAACTCTCACATCTTCAATTGCCTGTTCCTCTTCCTTCGATGATAAGTGCCTTTTGAGCGGCTTGATTAATATTTCGCCCACGACCGGCCGCGGGCGATACCCAATTACTAGGCGCAGAGTGAGATCTCGGCCAGAGCACAGCACACAGCCATGAGCGCCTCGCAATAATACCACCTCGACGCTCGCGCTTCACCCCGACAGCACGCCGGCCCCATGGCGTTTCGCTTGCCCACATTCAAAGTGAGGCTGTGGAGGAAGCTCAGCATCGCCACTGTCATAGTCGTCTTTCTCTTGACATTTTTGCTGCTCGGCCAAGGCTTCGTTGCCGACGACACGGCCCATCCTCCCAGCTATCTGCAGCAGCACCCCAAATCACCACGATGCAGTAGCCGAAATCTGACTGCCGCGGCAGAGGCATGGAGGCGGACGGAGGACCGGTACAAGGACCTGATCGAGGACAAATTCACGTAAGTGTGCGCCTTGCATTGTCTGTGTTGCGACAGCGAAGACTGAACGCCAACAGCGTTGCCCTCTCGACCTTTCACCGTCCAAAGGAACTCGACCACACGCTTGGCACGCTGCTGTCCGTGTACATACCCTCTCTCTACGAAATCGTCGTCGTCTGGAACAACCTGGACCAGGAGCCGCCCAAAGACTTCATCTCATCACATGGCGTTCCCGTTCGCTACCGCGTGCCGTCGCGCGACAGCCTCAACGAGAAGCTGCGGCCCGACCCGACCTACCGCACAAAGGCGATCCTCTTATCCGACGACGACGTCTACTACCGGCCGTCCGACCTAGACTACGTGTTCCAGATGTGGCGCCAGTTTGGCCAGGACAGGCTCGTCGGCGCACTCGCGCGCTGTGCCTCGCTCGACCGTCGCGGCCAGTGGCAGTACCACTTTTGCTATAGGGGCGAAGGCGCGGGCGCATACTCCATCGTCCTGACCAATCTCGCCTTTGCGCACATTGGCTTTCTCGACTACTACTTCTCAGACGCGCCCGAGGCCGTCAGTGTACGCGACCATGTCGACGCTCAGTTCAACTGCGAAGACATCGGGCTCAACGCCCTGGCGTCGATGCTGACGCGCCGCGGGCCCCTCCTCGTGCGCGGCAGCGAGCAATGGGTTAATCTGTCGCCACCGAGCGGCATCAGTCGGAACCCGCATCATCTAGAGACGCGCAGCGCGTGCCTTAACCGCTTTGCCGAGGCTATTGGATGCATGCCCCTGGTGGACGAGATGGGCAGAGTAGAGAGGGGCTATAAGCACAATGTGTGGTACAAGTCGTTTTGGGACAGGCTGGGGACCTAAAAGCAAGCGCCGTGTAATGAATAAATCGAGGCGTTTTTGGTTTGTCTGGCAGGGTGCTGATAGGAGTTCACGAGCCATGGGTCGATGCGCTGTGGTGTTTTGCACATTAGACGCGGTGCATGGTAAGCGCCGACGGGCGCCCATGCACACACCAACTAACGCCGGCGGCGGCTACGCCAGGCCTTAATACGAAGTACGATGCTCACGATCCACCCCGGTCCTTGGGTGGTTGCGATTGAAGTCGGACAGGGCTGCGATGCCACGATCCACGATCCGCTGCCAGCGTCCCGCGCCGGGGGTCGTCTTACATGCAGCAGATCAGCCGCACGCGAGGCCAATCGCGATGGCGCTCTAACGCTGAGCAGGCCTCGAGCAACCAAAGCTGAGAGAGAGAACGAGGCGACATATACTTGGCAAGGGGGCGACTTTGGCGACCCTTGAAGAGGTGACGAAGCGAGGACAAAAGAGCTGCGACCGCGCCTTGGGCCATGGCCACGCACGCAGAGCGCCGCTCCGTCTTTCTTCTTTGCGCGTCGGGACCGAAACGACGAGGACGATGAAGAGCGCAATGCCGCGACGCGGTCGAGGCCCTTCGTCCGCGACGATGCTTCCACTCGCGCTCATCGCCACCATTCTCCTCATCCCTCCCGTCGACGCCAGCCCCTTCTTCGCCGCCACGCCCCAGCGCTTCAACTTCTTCCCACTGCAATCCGCCAAGACGTTCGACCTCATCCGCGACGCCAGCTGCCGCGCCTCCTACGACAAGTACCTCGCGGCGCGCGCGCGCAGCGACTACCGCGACGCAAACCACTGGCTCTTCACGCACGAGAACTGCCTGCTCGACAACATGACGGAGCTGAAGAAGACGGAGATGGCCAGCGCCGCCATCCTGCTCGGCCTGACGCCCGTGCTGCTCTCGTCCATGGGGCCGTCGCTCGCGGAGGTCGGCCTCGTGGCGCTGCATCGCCCCTTGCTCGCGGGGCTGCTGGCGCTGGCGTGTCCGGCCGTGTATCCGAGCCGCGTGATGGCGTATGCGGACGATGACGCGAGGAGGATCCTGCGGGATCGCATTCCCGCCGCAGGGAGCGTCCCGGGGAGGATGCGCGCGTGGAAGTTCGTCGTCGGCGTGGGGGAGTTGCTCGTCGCGGCGGCGGCGGCGGGGAGTACGCTGTATACGTCGTATGAGCTTGGGCTGCGGACCATCTTCAACCAGGACGGGCCTGTGTACTTTATGCCGCTGATTCTGTCGCTGTTTCCGCTGCTGATGCACACGGCTGCGTCGTCGACGTTTATTGTGCAGCGGCATCTGCTAAGCCGCAAGGCGAAGCAACAGCGTCGGGGCGTCGCGCTGGACCTCAGTATCGTAGACAGCACCGGCGGCGGCGACAAACAGCTAAGATCAGCATCATGGTGGGCGAAGCTGGCATCGTGGACGGAGAGGGAGTTTCAGCCGACACACTTCCACGGCGCCGTGGACGAGGCGGTGCTGCGGCCGAAGCTGGCGACCATATCGGTGCACTGGGTATGCCGAGTCTTTGCCATCCTGCACGTGCTGTACGGTGTGCTGGTCTTCTCGTCGCTGCTCTTTATCCTTACGGCGGACGCGGGCGTCGTGGTGGTGCGGTACCTGGTTTCGGCGCTCGTGTCGAAGCTGCTGCTCGCGTTTCAGCTCGGCGGGATGCGCCTGGCGGAGAGTGAGGACGCTGATGGGATATTTCACGGCGCTGACGACGAGATTGAGAGATACGGGAGGGCTGGGGAGAGGTCAACGTTGCGGATGAGCGAGTCGTTGGCCATGGGGTCGGTTCGGCGCGAGACCATGCCCAGAGCGTCCGGTGTGGGCGTCGATACACCAGAGAGCATATCTTTGGGTAAGCGGCCTCGAGTAACAATGTAGCCCATTGGGTAGGCAGTGGCAGATGTGCACCTCTGAACACACGAGCGGGCTATAATAATTGACCCTTCCTTCAGACCTCGGCGGCATATATATCACAGCGATGTTGGGCTGTCCAAAGAGTATCGCAGCTCGATAGTCTCGCCAGACGTCGCGCCTCAGCGAGGACGGTGTGATCACGTAACAAACGGTGTCCAGCCTCAATCCTGCGTGGCCTCGTGCGGCAACACGGCGTCGGACGTTGTCCGCGCCCAACAACAGCATGCGCATGCGTCCCACGGGGCTGTGCACACTTTATTTACTTTATTTCGACGTCCGGACGCAGGACCAACAACGACGTCTTCCAAGAGACAACAAAGGGGAAACAGCCCAGCGCGTTCTGTATTCCAGCGATACGCCGGACGCATCTCTCATCTCGTAAGTGCGTCCTCGCCGTCGTCGCACCGACTGTGCGGCGGAACTCGCACAGGCTTACTCCATCAGTGACGGCCACCACCCACGCCGGACGCCTTCGTCCGAGGCACAACCACATTCGTCAGCGGAGGTGTAAGTCGGCTTGCCGGAGCATGTGCTGACGTGTGAACTCGCGGAACAAGACTACGTCTGGCTAGGCGAGAAGAGCGGTCTGTGACCTGTCCAAGACGGCTTTGCTCAGCGGCGCCTAAAACGAATCGGACTCGCATAGCGGACCGGTTTTGTAAGCGACTCCAGATGTGCTCGGATGCCGGTGACGCCGTCCCGTGAGCTTTATGCACGGGCTGGCGACGGCGCCACCAGCAGCAGAAGCAGCAGCCGCGGCAGCAGCAACGACGTCAAACAACAAACCCCAAGACAGACGGACAGACAGAATACACGTATTTCCGTGACTGGGACCACCCATGCTTCACAGGCCACTGGCTCATCGCTAGTCAGGTAGCAGCGTGGCAGGCCAAGACGCGGAGGGCTCGGCGCTGTATCGCGCGGCGGACTCTCACTGGGTTGCGTCGTCTCCTCCGCCCGACGAGGATGGCCCCCCTGGCGCGTCTTGGCATGCCGGGCGGAGATCATGGATGCCCGGCGCCAAGACGGCAAGTCGGTGAGCTGGAACGACGCGAGGGGGGGAACGAACGAGCGAGCGGCAGCGGACGGTGTTGCTGGCGTCAAGTGTGTCCGACACAACCATGCACTTCACGGACTTGGCAGCCGGTGACGTCGAAGAAAAAACGTTGGCGAGTCGAAATCCCCCCTTTTTGCTCGAAGGGGCCCCAGAGCGTTCGGCAGTATTGAAGGCTTGAGACAGCAAAGCTACGGCAAGTGCCGGGCAGCGCTCTGCAAGCCGGCCACGGACATTATAAACAACAAGCGACGTGGAGCCGAGCCGCAACGAGAATATCCACCAGACCGTACCTGCCGAGGCGGGTCATCCGACCGCTGCTGCTAGCCCTGTCATTATCGTCGGGTTTGCCTTCAAACAAGGAGTCGAACAAGGAGGGACTACTATTACTACTAGTACTGCCGCCGGCACAAGTGAGTGAGTGAGTGGGTGGACCAGGGGGGGCCAGCCAGCTCACGCGACAACGTCGGAGTCGCGACGATTCCGATCCCCGATCAGACACCCAAGAGCAGCGAAGAAGGAGAAGAAGAAAAAAATAGCAAGCGGGCTTCCTTGCTCGAGTGGACGCCCCCACAGGTGGAGAGCGCCACACACATAACCACAGGGAGCCTCACCCGGGGCGGCGGCGTTAGCCTGCGGGCGCGCTCGGAAGCTTCGGAGGGTGGGCCAGCCACCGTGACCTCAGGCGCGTCAATGATGGCCCTCATCGTCGTCCTTGTAAGTCGTCGATGCAAAGTGTAAGTTGTCGCCCGTTGCAGAACCCGCCCGCCCGGCCGCCCGCCAACGCGCCCCAAACGGTCCGCACGGCCATCGGAGTTTTGCGCACCGCGCGTGTGAAACAGGGCAGTTATCGTCATTGGGCCGCCTCCCTACTCTGCCCTGGGCCCCCTTTATTCGATCACGGCTTTTCATGGATCCAGCATCCCGCTCGGGCAATGCTGAGAAAGACAAATTGGCAGACTGCCTCCGCAGCCCCGTTCCCTGTCATCTCTGCTGCTGCCGCGAGAGATGGGATGAGAACGGGATCGAGAAGCGACAAGGGACCGCTTTTCAAGGTGCGAGAGCGCGGGCCTCGGGAATGGAGACGTAGGTAAACAGCGAGGGCCGGGAGTAGTATTACTCGTATACAATGCCAGCAAGCACGTCGGGCACATAACACCGTCCGTATGCTCCGCGCTACGGTACGTAAAAAGCCCGGATCATGGGAGCAGACTCCGCCAGCCCTGTCCGTGGCCTTGACACCTTGTTCAAGCTTGGCCTTGGCCCTCCGCTCCGGCTTGGCTGATGACTTTGCCCGTGTCTCACCACGCACCATGACCTTGGCGGAGCCTTGTGAATGCTCGCCTCCCGCCTTAAAGACATAGAGTTTCCCTCCCCCGAGTCTGACCCGCAAAGCCCGACGTATGTGCCCCTGGTGCCCTGGTTGAATCTAGTAGTACTTTGCGTCCCGCAAGCGGAGGAACACTCCCCAAAGAGAGTCGTCATCGTCCATTTCTCGCCTCCGTCAACTCACACACGTCTCTCTGTCTCGGGGACACTCGTCGACCACGATGCGAGCGCGGCTGCTGCTGGCCCTGGCGGCCATATCGCTGCTGCTCTACAACATCCGCGATCATATCAGCCAGCTGGGCGAGGTCGCCCGCACGTACGCCACCTTTTACAGCCTCCTGCGGCAGCACCCGGAACTGCTGTACCGATATCCCACCGACAGGCAAGACACGACGACGCCACCAACCATCTTGGGTGACGATGCGGCACAAGACACACTCACAACGGCGGCTGCGGCGGCGGCCAGCAACGCCACGAGGATACCGCGAATCATGCACCAGATCGCCCTCGGCAGCGCCAACATGTCGAAATACGCCGACGCCATGGCTACGTGCCGCGCCATGCACCCAGACTGGGAGTTCATGCTGTGGACCGACGGCAACGCCTCCGACTTCATCGCCGACAACTACCCCTGGGTGCTGCCGCACTACACGCGCTACCCGCAGCAGATCCAGCGCGCCAACATCCTGCGCTACGCCGTGCTGCACGCCATGGGCGGCGTCTACCTCGACCTCGACGTCGCCTGCCTCGTGCGCCTCGACGACACGCCCCTCGTCGAGCTGCCCTTTGTCTCCCCCGGCGCGTACCCGGCCGGCGTGAACAACGCCTTCATCGCCGCGCGCAAGGGCCACGCCTTCCTCGAGCACCTCATCGAGGCTGTCCCCCGCTACGACATGTTCTGGGGCCTGCCGATGCGGGTGCCCTACGTCGAGAACATGCTGAGCACGGGGTGCATGTTCTTCTCCAACCGCTGGATGAGCTTCGTCCGGATGCTGTACCGACGGCAGCAGCGGGGCGAGGACATTGACGAGGCTCAGCGCGTCTACATCCTTGCCGATGCCACTGGTGACATGGCCGCACATATGCTCCGCGGCAAGGTGACGACACCGCTGTTTGCTCACGGCGGTGCTAGCAGCTGGCACAGCTGGGACGCGGCGCTCATCATCCTCATCGGGAAGCACTACATCATCTTCGGAGCCCTCATCACGGCTCTGCTCTCCGCCGCCGCGGCGTCCGTAGCGTGCGTATGTGCGCGCCGGCAGGGACGCTGTCGGAGGAAAGGCGGCTTCCTGAGCCGGCTCACAAGATCCAGCTGGAAGGCGGTGAGGAGGTCAAGCGCAGACAAGGAGAGCTGGGTATGAAGACACCACCGCGGTGAGATGAGCAACTAAGCGCGAGATTGGATGCATACATGAAGTTGAAAGATACCCTTACGGCCAGGCATTGATGGTTGGCGGCAGAGTGCAAATAAGACAGCAGCGGTACATTAGTAGTATATAATATTACAGGGAGGCAGGAAATGATTCGACTGTATAACATATTGCCATTGCTTTATCACGATCATCTCGATCTATCCACAGGCTCATCCGCCCAGAACTTCATGACTGGAAATACTCTGCTCAGTCAGTACTTCTTCGTGGCTGTTCTGCAAGACAACGATTAGTTACAGTACAAGGATTTTCTGCTGAATGAAAGCAAGAAGGAACATGGCAAGACGAGACACTCAGGAGAGAAAGACACTCAGGAGAGAAAGAGGAGGTGTTGAGGACAGGACAACATGAAGGCGCCACAGCATAACACAAAGCAGTATAACCCACTTCTGATTAGTTCTCGAATCAACTACACTACAAATCTTCAGTCGCCTGTCTCTTGGGCGGGCGCTCATCCCCTTCGTCACCATCGCCATGACCACCTCCCACTTCCTCCCGTCCACGCTTCGCAGCCCTCGGCCGCAACTGTACGCCCACCACACCCTCCGGCAGAGAAGGTGGCTCTCCGGAAAAGTGCGCAGACACAAGTTCAACACCAGGGGCCCAGCATGATGCAATCTTGGTAAGTTCAGCAACAGTGAACTCCTTGGCGTCCTGGGGATTGTTGAACATGTGCTCCCCAAGGGCCGAGTAGAACTGCCCTTCAAGACGTGTGGCAGCGTCGTCCATCTGGTTCCATTGGCAGTGCAGACGGCTGAAGCGGCTGCTTTGCTGGCCAAAGTACCGCTGAAGCAAGTAAAACCCCACGACGCGGCGAAGCTCTCCTGTAATCCTTGGGTCGATGGTGGCGTCGGCGGCAATTATCTCCGCGTACTTCTTGAGCCCCATATGCTCCAACGCCGAGTCGTAGGTATTCCGCAAAATGACCTTCTTGAACACGACATCGTGCTCCTGCCCGATACGATACAGACGCCCGATGACCTGCATGGCCATGCTCATATTGCGGGGCTCCTCCAGCAGATACCCATGGTGGCATTGCCGGTGAAAATCCACGCCGTACGGCAGTATCGCGAACGATGTGACGAGAGCGACGTAGTGGGAGCTTGGGTCACCGAATCTGGCGACCGCACTGTCTCGCTCAGCCAAATCGGTCTGGCTTGTTATATGCAGCGTGGGCACACATGCCATGACGAGGAGGGCGTTGAGGATCATGGATGTGAGAGGGTGATTGACGAAGAACAATCCACTCTTTCCTCTCCGCTGCAGGTCCAAGGCTTCGTGTACTGCGAATGCTAGCTTCGGCGACCGGTGACACACGTAAAGTACGATCGAAGCTCGGTCTACCGGAAAGGCGTGGCGCGGGTGCTCTCGCGTGAGGTAGAAGAACCACTGCAAGCCGAGAGTGTTGTCATTTGCAGCGATATGGCTGACCTGAACGACGCCCCCTGGAACATGCGGTTCGTCCCTGGAAAGATGCGGTTCGTCCCTGTTCCCCTCGGCTGCTTGTCTGACGGCCTCAGCAAGAGTGATCAAGGGTCCATGCTCAGGAATCGGGATATTCGCGCCGTGTGACCTGGGCCGAAGGCTGTTGAGCACCCTTATAACACGAGCGCGGGGTTGCGTGAGGGTGACAAAATCCGCGGATGTCGAAGCCAGGGCAAGTCGGCGGTGTGCGCCGGTCGACCTTTGTACGACGGGCGTTCCACGCACGTTGCCCGCACCCATGTGAAACCCAAGCAACCGGGGACTTGGGCGGAGTAAGACCTTGTGCATAGCCTCAAAGAACGGTTCAAGCTCCCGGCGGTCCCTCGCGCGAGGCGACAGCTCCACGGTCTGAACTGTCATACCTTTCAAGTCTTTGCCGATGGAGTATTTCGTGCCGTCTGGCAGTGTGAACTCAGTGAACATGGTAGTGCGAAGCATAAGCGCGTCCATGATCTTTCTCATGGCGTTGGTCGAGAACTTGGTGGTATGCTCTTGCTCCTTGGCGTAGTCGATGAAGAGCTTCGGGTTGAAGATGTGCATTGGTATACCCTGCTGGATGCCATCTTCGTAGAGCATCTCCAAATAAGTCCAGCCTTGAGCTCCTTCGGTGTCTGGATTGGCACTGGGCCGGCGTACCGGCTCGTCCAAGGCCTTGGAAAACAAGCGGTCGTATTCCACGCCACCTTCGTTGCCAACTTGGTCATCTTGCTCCGACGGTCCCTCCTAAGGTCCCTCCTTGCGCTCGATGCTTTCGATGACGTGACTGTCGAAGAAGGGTGTTGCCAGCTCAGTCTCGTTGTGCCCGAATCCAAAGGGAAAACCCGTCTTCCAGACGAGCAGCAGATATCCGAGATAGTCGAGGCCAGTGTTCGCTGCTGGGGTGGCAGAAATTCCGAGCCAGCTGACCTTCTTGAGCATAGCCACCATGTGATTGCTAATAGAGGCCGGGTCTTTGACGACATGGCACTCGTCACATATGACAATGGCGAATTCTCCCTCAAAAACCAACTCCCGGGAATGTTCGAATGCTTTGGCGGCGCCAGTCCTGGACCTCTGCACGGCTTCGGGTCCACCATTAACATCGAGGCTATCATCGTCTTCTTCGATCAATACATCGGCTTCGGAATAGGCGGCCTCATCGGCTTCTTCGTACGACTCTCTTTCTTCGGGGTCAAGCTCCGCTATGTCTTCGGAGGCAAATCTTGGCGTTGTCGATGCCCGAGCAGCTCTCGCCGCACGCGAGTTCGCCCGAGCGTACCCGAGTTCGACTTGCTTGCGCAACTCAAGCTCTTCATCGTCAAGTCGCTTAGGGTCGTCTACGCCTCGGAACAAGCGCCGCATGCCAGTCTGATATGTTGTAATGAAGAGCGTAAGGCCGGTGCTCTCATCCTCGGGATTTGACATGCAGCGGCTCATCGCTGCCTTGAACTCAACAATGTTGCATACAACATCGGCCAGGATGATGTCCGCGTACTTCCAGTGCGAGTAAAGACAATAGACGCGGAATACTTTCGGCCAGAACCGCTTGACGGATCGGACGAACTGTCTGATAGCGGATGGTGGCATGAACATGATCGATGGCAGGTATTTGGGCTTGCCGGGTCCGTATGAGAAGTTGCCGCTCTTGATCTTCTGCACCATGATCCAGATTGCCATGAGTGCAACGTTGGTCTTCCCTGTGCCACACTCACTGCCAAGGACAGCGGCTCTGATAGGGGACATGAGGCGGTGGGAGATATCATAGGCATCTGACGAGTGTTAGCGATCTGGGGCTTTGAATTAGGGTAAGCGCAATATACCTATAACCTGCGCAGGCTTAAAAGCCAGTTCGGCCGCAGCCTGGCTATCCGCGGGGACTCGGAAGGCGAATTCGTTGCCAGGCACCAACCCCAACTCATCAGCAATCCTGGCCAGGTCTTGGACCTTCGCAGGGCGGTCACCCAGCATGTTTGCAGTCCTGGCCGGGTTTTCTCGTGCGACATCAGACGCTGGCGGTTGCTCCTGGTGCCTGATGTTTGAGAGGCCACGTAACTTGACCATCAGACGTTGGGCCTCTGTCGAGGTCAGAGGAGGCCGGTCCGGAATCGTCCCAGCGTTGACCCTCTCTTGTAGCCTCTGTTGCATGTCAATCCCCGGGGCCAGAAGATTGAGGTGTCGGGCGAAGCGGTCGGAAATGGCGTTTGATACCATGACCTGCGCCTCGCCAGAATTGAGGTCATGCGGAGCTGTATCAGGCCGGACGGACGTGCTTTGAAGGAGACTGTTGACCTGCTCCTGCGAGAGCTCATCATCACGGTCCCCTTCGTCGTCATCTTCGTTGAAAATGGCGCCTAAGTCTGCGAGTTCTTGCTCACACTGTCGCGCGTGTTCACGCAGTCTGTCCATGGGGCTCGCCTCGGTCGCCTCATCATCGTCCGGCTCTTCTCCAGTAAAGTACCCCCACCATTTCGGGGGATGATGAGTACTCGACTTAAACGACGGTCGGCTCTTTGAGCGCCGGTGGCGCATGAATTCCAGCATCAACCAAGCCCTGAACCAGTCTTCGTTGTTGAACCCCCAAGAGCACGTCGGGCCGGCTGGTGCGGTAGGGTGTTCAGTGAAGCGGTCAGTGAAGGCCCGTAAGATGGCGAACAGGACCGCGATGGTCGACCACAGCTTGTCGATGTCGGTGACTGTGGCAGCCTCCAGTTCCTCGTCGGTTGGCTCTGGTTTGTCGTCGTGGTTGAGTAGCATGAGCTTGCGGTTCGTCCTGACAAGATATCGCCGGTAGTGCTGGCGTTCGTTGATCAGGTCGAACGCCTCCCACAGCTGGCTGCTTTTGACGCGCTTATTCGACACCCCCTTCGTGCTGCCTTGCTCTCGGGGGGGCTGGCGGGCCATGGCACCAACCCAGGACATGGTGACCCGAGGCACTGGAGATTGTATTAGTACTGGGGGACGCATGGGCTGGCAGAGATGAACTCTTACGGGTGCGATCGACGAAGGCCAAGAACTCGGACGTCGTCTCGAATCGGCAATACGCTGCGACAAAGGACGCGCAGCCAGGGTTGTACATAGCCACTGCCAAGGTGATGACAGCCACGCCTTGCTTGGGTCGTGGCTGTTTGTCCGACTTCTCACGTCGGAGCCGTGAAGTGATGGCGGTTGGTAGGGTGTCGAATGGCTTTCTGGGTCGCGCCCACATGCCGCAAGTCGTATCTGCAGGAAATGGCTTGCCAAGTCTCCAATCCTCATCAGAAAGGACGCTGCTGTCGTTGGGGTGGCGCCCCGAGGCCGGTAAGTCGACCGGGAACATGGTCGGGTCTGGTCCGCTCTGGAAGTCATCTGGCCCAATTGCGAACGTCTTGGTAACAGGGCTGCTCTCAGAAGCTTCAATCTCAGCTGCAGTCATGGTCCTGGCCCATCTGTCATCCGAGACGCCATCATCGACGGCATTTTCCTTGACACCCCAGCCGAGCCCCGAGCGCCTGTTCGGTCCATACTGGCGGTCGGGAACCGGAGTCGGAAAGCGGAGTCGGAAAAGCGGAATCGGGCAATCGGAGTCGAAAAAAATCGGAGAGAAGCTTGAAGGAAGAAGAAACGGAGAGCAGCAAACGCAGGCAGCGAGGAAGCTTTTGTATGTGTGGGACGGTGGCAGAGGACATGGTAAAAGGCCGGACCCCAGCAACATTGAAGTAGAGCAAAGGAGTTGTGTTGGAAGACCGTACTTCAACATCAATTGCTCGGGACCGGTCTTCCAACACAACTAACTTCTTTGCTCTTCTTCAACCTCAACTGCTCGGGACCGGCCTTCCAAAACAACTGTTTTGCTTTTATATTGCACGTGCTGGGACCGGCCTTCCAAAACAACTGTTTTGCTTTTATATTGCACGTGCNCGTGCTGGGACCGGCCTTCCAAAACAACTGTTTTGCTTTTATATTGCACGTGCTGGGACCGGCCTTCCAAAACAACTGTTTTGCTTTTATATTGCTGGGACCGGTCTTCCAACAGAACTCCTTTGCTCTTCTTCAACCTCAACTGCTCGGGACCGGCCTTCCAACACAACTCTTTTGGTCTACTCCAATGTTGCTCGGGACCGGTCTTCCAACACAACTCCTTTGCTCTACTTCAGTGTCAATTGCTCGGGGCCGCCCTTCCAACACAACCGCTTTGCGTTTATCTTGCTGGGACCGGCCTTCCAACACAACTGCTGTGCTTTCTTGCTGGGACCAGAGCGCAGAGAACGAGACGACTGTCCCACTGCATATATCATAGTATACGACAATACGTATACGTATAGAGCGGAGCGCGTAAAACGAGACGGTTGTCAAACTCCTCATTGCTATCCTACGGAGCGATGCGCAGGTTCTGAGACAGTTGTCCGGGACTCACATTTGCACAGAGTGGTGTCTGGTACCTAAAATCAGACAATTCTGTAAAAACGTGAAGCTACTCTACACAACGACGCAAGTGCACATGTATGGTAAAGAAATTATTCAGGATGGCAGTTCGGGGATTTGTTTCGGTGCAGGTCTGAAACACTTCAATATTGGGCCACGCCCACACTGCGCCAGCCGCGTCTGCGGGACATGGTAGGACATGTTTCCAGTCCCCATCCGACATGACGTCTCTGTCGTCGAGCCAGCGTGCTCCCTCTCGTGGCAAGTCAACCGGAAGCACAGTCGCAACAGGATCATCCTCAACTCATCCGGGCCGACAGCGAATGTTTTGTTTGTTGGTTTGTTATCCGCAGTCGCCGCTTCTTTTGTGGGAAATTGTCACGGCCCATCGATCTGCTGGCCTCTTGTTGTTCCAGTCTCACCATCTTCGTCGGATCGGTGGACGGAGTCGCCGACTGTGCGGTGATGGCCGGCTGTTGAGCCGTCGCAGGAGCCGTGGACTGTGCCTGACGGCCACGCTTCGGTGGACGACCCTCTCTCTCGTCATCCTGAAAGAGCTCATCTTCGTCCTCGCTAGCATCTTCGCTTGAGGTGTCTTCATCGAGGAACTCGTCGTCGGCACGTCTATGTCTGTCTCGTTGGCTGGAGTTTTGGGGCATACGCCACTTGCGGTGGTCGAACGTGGTGTAGCAGTTCGTGGTCTCCTGTTTGGTAGCGGCGCAATTTGGCGTCGACGTTCTGGAAGTGACTGATCGAGGGAGTGCGTCCCGGGAAACAGCTGCCGCCAGGCCGCTGTCCCGATGCTGCTGCTTCGAAGATGAGCGAGAAATGGAGGGGGAAGGGAGGAAGGGACAATGCGGAAGGAAGTTGATCTGGCCGTCTATTTTTCTGGGCAGCCACGTCTTGCGCCCTGAGAGTGAATCGATGCAGCCTTCCACACAATGATCCTAAATCCTGCACGAAGCAAACCGCTGCCTGAAGGCAGCACCAAAACAAACGCATCGGGAATTCACAAATCCACCTCGACCAGACGAAAGACCTTCTTCTTCTTCAGCGCTCAAGTTCGGTCGTTTGTCAGCCCGTTATTCACTCCTCGCCCTCTTGCACCCCTGGCTCCGAATTCCGTTCGCCTCTCGTCTTCGCCGATTCTGGAATCCCTCACCCTCACCCTCACGGACGCACGATGCCGTCCCCGCCTGCCGGACAGGCTGCGCCCAAAACTCCAGAATTCCATTCACAGTCCAACGCTGAGGAAGAACGGGAAAGGCTTCTGCAGCGGGCTGGTGAAGGGAGGCGTTTCCGAGACGTTCCGTGCAAGAGGTGCCTAGGGCACGCTTTGAGGGCCCGTCGGGACAAACTTTGCTAGGATTCGAACGGTTTGTCCGCCGATCCCGATCCCACTTCCAAAGAACTAGAACTTGATAGCATGCTAACATTGCACGAAAATCTCGTAGGCAAGAGATGCGTCGGATGTGCATTGCGAAGACGCACGTGCGAGCCCGTCAGCTACGATCTCGTTATCCCGTTCTTGCCGAGGTGTGGGCAACCTAACATTCGGTCAGATTGAAGATGCCGCGTTGGCAGATGCGGCAGAAAAACTTCAGCGTCTTGTCCGAGACGGCGTACGCCGATTCACTCCTGAGGTGAGCTACATAGCTCGCCCCGTCCTTCTTACTCTGATGATTCGATAGTTCCACGCCTGCGCGATTGAAGTCAACTCGTTGAGGACGGAATCGTCTAAGCCAGACGCCCCTGAAGTCGCCAGCTCTACGGGCGCCGACACATGTTCAACCAGCGATTTGACCCGTCCGAGCACCGCCCAGGCCGACGCTGCCAGTAAAACGGCAGATATCCGGGAAGATTCTCCGACCCTCTTAGCCCTGCCGCTCCTAGCTCAGCGTCCTGCCTCGGGGTCGTAACCGGTGTCGGGCTGCCATGGCAATTACGTAGACTCCCGGCGCTGAAGCATCGAGCTTACCAGCCGTCGGCGTGCGATGGCCCAACGCGGGGAATGGGCGTTTAAATGGCAGAACCAAGATACTAGGGATAAGGTATATCTTTCGAGCAGAAAGATAGAAATTGAAGCTTCAGTAACGCCATTCGCACGGATACAGAAGCCTAGTCGCATAGCTATTCTTCATTTCCCGGGGTGTCGTTGCTGTCGTTACTGTCGTTGCTGTTGTTGCTGTTGTTGCTCTCGTTGCTGTCGTTGCTGTTGTCGCTGGCGTTCCGTTCGTACGAACAGCACTGTAGATGCGCCCCGTCGCTGTCACCCTACCATACCAAAGTGCTGAGAGAGGAGAGATGAAGAACACAAGGCGATGTTCACCATCAAATCACGTTTGCCATTGCGCGACGGGGTGCCTGCAGCGTCTCTCGACTGTAGAGGGGATCAGTCTGTGACGAGAAGGGGGAATTACTTTGGGGTTTGCCGACCTTCGAGGCTACAAATATTGGTGTGTTCCGGAAGGACTTCCTTCGCTCATGTGTAAGGCTCTAAGCGACGATGCCCGCCACTCCGCCTGGCTCTCCGCCGTTGCGGACGCCACCGCCGCCCCGACAAACCCCCGCCGCTTCGGCTCCGTGTCCCAGCCCGGACCCGGGGATCGCTAACTCCGCCCAAACCACCAAACAAGTCCGTTCGTCCTCCGCATCTGGCCACCGTCGGCGGGGGCACACTCACGTCTACGGTCTTACACGTTACAGATCTCACTCAAGGGCCCACTCGCCTCATCCCTACCGGGACTCGCTCGCAGATACCCCAAGGGAAGAACCACGCGGAGAGAGAGAAGAGGGAGGGGCTCGTGTGTCGGCGGGGTGGTCCGTCAGCAGGCGTTGTGCCCTCGTTAAGCAGCTACTGCTGACGTGACGTGGTGCGAATGGAATCATGGGGCGGCTGGCGCGACGGCCTTCCAAATCTCACCCTCATCTGCATCAAGAGCAGCCACACGGCAGATAAAACTACACACAACTCAAACTAGCAAGTATATTTGAACGGCCCAGTCTCCCGGCTTCTATATCTCGGTCGCGATGAACCCCCCGTGCCTCACTCCTCGACCCTGTACGCCTCACCCTCATCGACGACCACAGCCATCATGACCGCCACGACGACCTACGCCCTCGACCGGCCCATCAGCGAGACCGGCGGGCCGGAACACGTCCGGCAGGCCCTCGCCGGCACGGCCGTCGAGCCCGCCAACTACAGCTTCCACGCCGACGACGGCACGCGCCTCGTCTACCACGTCACCGGCCACGGCCCCGAACTCGTCCTCGGCACATCCCCCGGCTGGGGCCCCGGCATCAACTACATCGTCTCGGGCTTCGCGCCCCTCTCCACCAGCGGGCGCGCCACGCTCGTCGTCCTGCAAACGCGCGGCACCCTCCCCTCCGCGCACCCCGCCGACGAAACCCGCATGGGCTCGCGCCACATGGCCGCCGACCTCGACGCCCTCCGCCGGCACCTCCTCGTCGACAAGCCCGTCACCGTGCTGGGCCACTCCAACGGCGGCGCCATCGCGCTCGCCTACGCCGCCGACTTCCCATCCCACTGCGCGCGCGCGGTCCTCCTCGGCGCGCAGGTCATCGGCGCGAAGGACCAGGGCCCCATCTTCATGCGCGCGCTCGAGGCGCGCCAGGACGACCCGCGCTTCGCCCCCGCGGTGGCGCGCTTCCGCAGCATCCTCGGCGCCGAGGCGGGCTTCGCGGGCGACGAGGACCTCACCGAGTTCATCCAGGCCGTGCTGCCGCTGTACTTCCACGAGCCCGCGCCGGGCGTGGCCCAGTTTGCGAGGGACACGGGCCCGCTGGTGGTGCAGAACTGGGCCAACGCGAAGCAGAGGGCGGCGGATGCGCAGCCTGAGGCGGTGGTGATTGGTGATTTGGGCAGGGTTACGGCGGATGTGCTCATCGTGTCGGGCAGTGACGACTTTATCTGCAGCGTGGACGCGAGTGCGCAGGCCAAGGAGGCGATTGGGGCCAAGGCGAAGCATGTCGTGTATGAGGAGTGTGGGCACATGGCCTGGATCGAGAAGAAGGACGAGTTCTTCAAAGAGCTTCTGGCTTTTTTGCCCTGAAGAGCAGCAGAGAGCGATGTAGACGAAAAAGGAGATGAGAAATGACCTGTTTCGCCCGATTAATGCAAAATAGAAGACTGCAGTTCAGTGCATTGAGCGCGTTGGCATCGTGATGACAGGAAGGGGGAACTACACAACTCTTACGACGTTTGAATGGCTGGAGGGAAAGAGCCTTGAATCTTGGTGGTCGTGATATTCTAGCTTCGTCATAATCTAATTCTACATTCAGTCGCTCAAAGAAAGCATGTCTGCAACATGCTATTTCCCATGTGCACAGTACCATCGACCCGTAGCCGCGTTTGAGCCACGAGTAACAACTGCGACGACACAAGATCAGACAGTCGTGACAGCACGAGCTCAAACAATCGTGTCGTCCTGCTGACTCCTCGTCCCGCTGCGCGCCCGTCCAAAGATGCGCGCGCGCGTCGACTGGGTATGCGACTCCCTCGAATTCTTGGAGATGCTCGGCGCGAGGGCCGACGTCGACGCGCGCCCCTCGGCGTCGCTTTCCCGCTCGAGCGCCCGGTCCTTCTCCTTGATGGACGCCATGCGCTGCGCCATGAGGTGATCCCTGCGGCTGTCGAAGACGTCCTGGAAGCCGAGGATGGCCTCCTCGTTGGTCGTCGGGAGGCGCTGGCCGCGGATGCTGTCCCGCCGGCGCGACATGGTCCTGTGCGCCGAGGGCGCAGGCGGCGGGCCGTAGTCGTCGTGGTGAGGCTGCGACGGCACGGGCGGCTGCGCGCCGGCCCAGTACATGGGGTACTCGCGGCTGCCGCCGGGGTCGACACGCAGGGGGCCCTGGATGCCGAGCAACGTCATCTGGTACATGAGCTCCGTGACGAACCGGTTGTGCCTGTTGAGCCGGAGCAGTTCGTTCTGGAAGTTGCTCTTGTGCATGAAAATCATGTTCATGTGGCACGAGCGGACCTGGTCCAGGGACGTCATCTCGGTGATGATGGTGGGCTGGTAGTCGCGCTTGTTCTGCTGGCAAAAGTCGAGCATGCGGGCCTTGAGCTCGTCGATGAGCTCGCCGGGCGTGCCGAAGCGCATCTCGAGCGGGATGACGTCGGCGAGGCCGTTGGAGCGGCGCTGGTTCAGGATGAAGAGGGTGTTGAGCAGCGAGTTGGGCGCCTGCACGATGTGCCCCTGCATCTTCTTGAACTCGGTGTAGAGCAGCGAGATTTCCGTCACGTAGTAGTCGTCGCCCGTCATCTTGTCGCCCGTGGAGCCGTAGATGGTGACGCGGTCGCCGACGTCAAAGGGGTGCTTGATGAAGACGAAGATGATGGACTGGAGGAACTCTTGCGCCGTCGCCTGCAGCACCCAGGCGAGGCCGAGCACCGATGTGCTGGCGGACGCGAGGCCGGCGGCGGCGGAGCCCGACAGGATCGAGACGAAGACGATGACGGCGATGACGACAATGATGAACAAAAAGACCTTGTCGAGCTTCTGGATGACCGAGTCCAGGTCCTTGAGGGACGCAGCAATGGCCTTCTTCTCCAGGTGAATCTCGTTGCAGACGGCCTCAAACTCTTCTATCGAAATGTCGCCGTTGAGGTCCTTGTCAAAGACGCCAAACGCGGCATCGATTTCCTCTTGCGTCTCAAAGGCCTTCTTCATGTCGTCGGGGTAGACCGTATCCCGCCCCTCCGTCACCAAGCTACGGTAGATGAGACGGGCGAGGGTCGCGGCCGAAGCCGTGTTGCGCAGCAGCTCCGAGACGACCTTTTTCGGCTGGTTGACGTTGACTTTGCGGCCGATGAAGTCGTTGCCGACCTTGTTGGCGACGTAGCCGACCTTGCCGAGGACCTGGCGGGCGTTGTCGTGGAACGTCTGCAGGGGCGTCTGCGCGCCGCTGGTGTTGGGGCCCGTGTTGCCCTGCCAGAAGGCGTCGGTGGTCTCGAGGTTGGCCTTGGCGAAGGAGAAGAGGTGGACGAGCTGGCGGACGTCCGACTTGTTGTTCTCGATGCGGGTGCTGTAGGTGCGCTGGTGGAAGGTGGTGGCGATCCACTGGATGCAGAGCTTCTCGGCAAAGTTGAGGGTCGCCAGCACGAAGAGGGCGATGATGACCTTGTAGACGACGTCGGTCCAGCCGTCGCCGCCCTCGCCGGTGCCCGTGTGGCCGTTGTTGGTGGGCTTGAAGGAGATGAGGATGGCCAGGAACCAGAGGAAGAGGGCCATGTGCAGCTCGAGCTGGTGGCCAATGTCCCTCCACTTTTTGGCGTTGGTCGAGCCGGCGATGCGCGCGAGGCTGTACAGGAGATGGGGCAAGAGGCTGGTGACGAGACGGGAGAGCCACAGCGAGCACCAGACAATCTCGAGCCAGATGCCGAACCACAGGAGCTGGACGCCGCCAGGGCCGCCGACGAGCTTCTCGTCGCGGTTGAACCTCAGGCCGCCGAGAAGCACGGGGATGAGGAGCAGGATGGCGCCGGGAAACAGGTACAGCAGGTAGCGGACGCCGCGGGGGAACTTTTTGAGAAAGAGCCAAAACTTGTAGAGGGCGGCATTCTCGTTCTTGTGCTTGACCGTCTCCTCCTTGGGGGCGGACTGGTTAAAGGCATCCTCCGGCTCGGGGTGGTGGCTCCGACCTTTAGACTTGGACGCCAGCTCGTCCTGTTCCTGATTAGAGATGAAGCGCTCGGCGCGGAGCAGCTCGAGGTCGTCGCCGAGGCGCGTGTCCTCGGCGCGCTGGCCCGAGGGCGAAAAGGGCTCGTTGCTGTGCGAGTCCGGACCGGGGGCGAGGGTGTTGAATGTGTCGAGCGAGGGGGGTGAGCGCTTTTCGTCAAAGTCGTCGGAGTACTGCTGGTGTTGGTGTTGAGGCGCATGAGATGGTGCGTCTGTGTCTCGATACTGTTGCTGTTGGTGGTATTGAGGCGCTTGAGATGATGCATCTGCGTCTTGCAACGGCGGAAAGGCCGACGTTTCCTGCGCGTGGTCATGTTGTTCCGAAGCGCGCTCAGGCTGGTGCTCAGGCTGCTGCCCCGGCTTGTGCTGGGGCTCCGTCGAACCAGCCATGATGAGAGGCTTATCGCAAGACAGAGGCGATTCGCATACACGCGACGAGTTGCGATAATAGAACACTTAGCGAACGAGGCGCCAACAATCAGGTCATCCAAGCGAGCGAACGGCTTGACCTGTCCTGTCTACCTCGGCGACGGAGAAAGAAAAGAGAGGGGGGAAAGAACGGAGGAGTCGGATAGAGCTCCAGGCGATTGACAGACGACAGGGTTCTTTTTGCCCTGACAGCACAGTGACAGGCAGCTCACGCCGATCCGTGGTGTTTGCTGTCAAGGTCACCCGGTGGAGGCAATGACGAAATGGCCGGCGGGTGAAGTGGGTATCTTGGGTTGCGCGTCTGCGTGTTATAGGACGGCGCCAGGGCGGACGGAAGAGGGAAGCGAATGGGGATGTAGAAGCGAGAGTGGAGGAATAACCGTAGAAAGAACAAAGAGGCCGACGGGCGATTAAGGATGTGCGAGGCAAGGCAACGAAAGGGAGGTGAGCGATGTTGCGAGAACGAAGTTGTCGAGGCTCAGGAGTCAGGAGTCAGAGTTCAGGAACCTGGAGCAGCGGAGCGGCGTCGATAAGGTTCGGCAAGAGCCCTCTGATCCTTTCTTCACGGCGGTCTGGGGAGAGACGAAGGGGGAAAGCCACCACCCATCATCAATCCACACATCCATCCATCCATCCATCTCACCCATCTGTGCTGTCGCCATGGGCGCCATGCCAGGCCAGGCCAGGGGCATCCCAATGCAACAGCAACAGGATGGAAAACTCCGAGCAAGACTCCTCGAGGAGGAGGCGCTGACGTGCGACTCGCCCCGAACCACAGGCTAAAGCGCCGCGCGGTGGAGAGCGCGCATCCACCTCCCCGCCCAAGAGGGTATCCCGTCCTCTTGGCCGGCCAGTGATCGGTGTCGCGAGCCCGATTAGCACCTGTGGGCCCCGGCCGGCGCGGTGGGACGGGTGTGGTGGTCCGTCAAGGACTGAGGGCCCATGTTCATGACTCCATTTCGCGGGTTCGATTTTTTGTTGCACGGACGGGGATCGGGGTTGCACGGCGTGGGGCCTGGGGGGGTTTGTGCGACAGAGTGTCGTCACCCGTGGCACAGCAGGCAACTGCCCTGTAATTGCAGTGCTACACGTGCTACAGGACTTCGAGGTTGGTACAGTGGCAGACGCCCTGGCGGCCTCTGGGGCGCGTCGCGACAAAACCGCGCAGCCTGTCGTCGCTGCACGCTACAGTCGGGCGACGGCAACGGGCAAGATAGCAATTTTTTGGCCTGATAAGCCGCACAGCGAAAAATTCCCAAGCACGACGTTAAAAGACTGAGAACGAGTGGTTGCATCATGCAGGTACCTGCGCCTCGCCTGGCCTCGCCTCCGACGCCACCAACGCCATCGCGCCCCAGTCGAGTTTGCACTGCCGGAGCAGGCCTCACAGTTGCCCTCCGGCCCTGCGCGTTTTCGAGACTCTCCAACCACGGGCTTCTGAACCTGCCCGTCCGTCCTTGGTGATTAGTAGAGTGCCAGCGGCAAGCGTCCACCAAAACAGGATTCACGTCCCCTGCCTCATCTCTTTCCGCTGTAAACCCCCGCCCTCTGCAGGCACTTGCGCAGCCAAGCAAAGCGGCGGCAGTGGCAGCAGCAGCAGCGGCGGCGGCGGCGGCACATGCAATCCGGGATGGTGGCTCGGCAAAGCCATCCCTCCATTGCCCCTGGATCCATCCATCCATCCCTCTGCCTGCCTGCCTGCACCGTGAAACCGTCTCCCACCGCCGCTCCCGCTACTACTGTGGACGCCGCAGCCGCCTCGCCGGCCCGCCCACTCCGGCCCCGACACGGCCGACCGTGGCGCCCGCCGATCCGCTGTCAACGTGTCTCCCGCCGAGGGGTGCACAAGCCGCGATCGACAATCGACGGGATACAAAAATGCTCTCGAGCCAAGTCCGCAGCCGCGTCAGCTTTGAGTCTGCCCGCCATCGTTCGTTTGCGATTCGACTGTGCCACGTCCAATCAAGACCCGTTTGAGACATTCACCTAGTTACTCTTGGCCGTGAGTCGAGCATGTGAATCGCATCGCGTCCCTGGCCCGCTTGGATCACACATCTGCATTCGGTGTCACTTCAACTATGCTGCCATTTATAGGTGAATCAGAGTTCCATGTCTATCTGTCCGACCGGCCCCTGGTCGCATACACAATGCGCCTGCTCCCCGCCCATGGAGTAGTCAACGTAGCATGCAGTGGCTTATGCGCAGGGAAGACCAGCACCCAGCATCGGCGCCCACGTCCACCTCTTCGTAAGGCATCCCGTGCCTTGACATGCTCGGCAGATGCTCGCTCCCCTCATAAGTCGCACCATACGATCCACCGATTTTACACAGGGGCTGGCGAGACACTCCACCACGCCTTAGATGCAGGGTACCGACGCCAACGACCCCTTGCTTCGGCAATCTATCTCTACTCTATCCAGACCTCACGCTGAGACGGCATGGTTCTTTATCCAACTCCCGAGAGTCTCGACGCCGAAATGTCGGCAGTGCTCCAGTCGGCTAGCTTGGTCCAGTCTTTTCGCTAGTTGCCATGGAAGCTTCATGCCCAGGGTCTGCCTGCCCTCGCCTTGATTAGAACCCCTATCGTGAACGCTATATTCAACATAGCTAATGACAGCTAAAAGAAGAGGAACAAACACGCTCCATCGCGCTGGCACGAGTTGCTCGCATGGCCCGGGCCGTCACACATCCGACGGGGCACGGATCACGTAGCCATGGGCGCTTGATTGAATGTCCTACACTATCTCAGGTCCCCCCCCCCCCCGTGAGTCCTGGCGCCCGGATATTCAAGCCCTCGATTGCCTTTGCAGCAGGCGTCGTCTCCGTAATTAGTTGATGCACGAGTAGAGGCTGTATTTCGGTCAGCTTGCGCCAGGCTACGAGCAAGAATGCCCCTCGTATCCGGTAGCAAAGTCAGTCACCGGGCGGGAGCGTGCATATTTACCTCTTCGTGCACTTGAACGAGCCCCAGTGCGCAGACTGGCTCCCCATGTCGGCCGTGCCGCCAAACGGCAGAACCAGCGTCTCCACGCCGCTGGTGCAGTTGTCGCTGCTACACTTCCAGTTAGCCACCGCCCCTCTTCCTTTCGAATATGATCCAGATGGTCTCGGTCCCTTACTTGTACAGAGTGCAGATGGCATCGTCGTCCGTACCGGCTGATCGCATGTTGTGGTACCTGTACATTTCATCATCACCATCGTCAGCGTTTCTAACCCCCTGACCTGACCGTATTCTCCAAGGGGATCGGGCAAAACGAACAAGTTGACGCCGTCGACGGGGTTGTCTCTGAACGAGAAGCAAGTGTCCCAGTAGAAGCCTACTTGCGCGCACGGGCCGACCCAGTTCTTGCTCACGCAGCCGAAAAGCTAGGTCTCCGTTAGACTACTGCAACAGATCTTTGCTCGGTGTATATATATGTGTGTGTGTGTTACTGACGTTGTGGCCGTCGGCGAGGGTCGGGCTCGGAGACGTGTCTCGCCTGACCTTGGCCAAGGTCGTGATGGGCTCGGTGGGAGTTCCCGCCGCGTCGCCGCCGACGGCGAGGGCTGCCAGGGCTAGTATGAAGTCGACCTTCATTTTCGGCGCGGATATCTGCGAGGTTGCGTATCGTTCAGCTCAACTCTGCTCCCTCGACGCCATCCACCCCAAGTCCTGCCCCAATGAAAGCGCTTCAGTCGAGCTACTCACGTACAATGAATCAACAGTAGATGTTTCTCTTAACGATAGTGTCTTGAAGGTTAACAGTTGAAGGAATGACTAGGACTCAAAGGGGACGGGAAAAAACGATTGCGGAGTGACGAAGCCGTAGAATGAATGGAGCGCGGGTTCCAACACAGTCCTCCCAGGCGGGCGCGCCTAGCCAGCAGACCAGCACCTTATGTATGTATGCAGGGCAAGTCGCATCCGCAATGGGCAAGGAACATGCCAATTTTGACAAGCCCAAATAGCCTTACGTGAGATGCTTAATATCTGGAGCCCGCATGGGCTGGAAGCGGGAAAGGGTTACGTACGGCTAAAGTGCCCGCCGCTTCGCGCGCGTGCGTGCGTCGCGGCATAGCATGGGGTCGTTTCGCTTGCGACTTGCCGACTCTGGGGCCTGGGCACGAAACCGGGGTTGATGAGGGTCCTTGTTGGGGATCTTTGCGACAGGCTCGAGGACCTCGGGCGAGTACATATCGCGGAGTTGGAAACGGGCATGACTGGGTCGAGGGACTTTGGACAAACCGGCCAGACGCCATGGCAAGTGCGCGTGTTACCCCTTTCAACCAACCGCCGCGAAAACAATAGCATCTCATGCGCCGCAGACCAGTGGCGTTGCTGCGACCAGGGCGTCGCAACGTGCAAAGACTCAGTGCCCCTGGACTGGTGGTGATGCTCTCATCACGCGCTCCACCTCATTCCATCCGACGGGCGTCCACTGCTTTCTCTCTCAGCCATCAAGACCACTAGTCTGCGCCAACTCTGTCTTTACCCGGACTCATACCGCATATGCCCTCTTCTCATGCTTCAAAGCCCTCTTCATGTCCGTAACAACAACAGTAGAGGAAGGTCGACTGACTGTCAACTGATCTGATCATGTCATGCCTCCTCCAAGCCCGCAGTCCAAGTGCTGGAATCCCGCGAGCGTGGTCCCGAACCGCGCCAATTCTAGTCAGAGTCGGGCAACATCCAAGAGCATCGTGGCCCAGGCAATCAAAGCCCTAGCGCGCTTACGCCTCGCGCCATTGCCCACTCCAACAGGCATTTGGAATCAACCGCGTTCCACAGATTGCCAAGCACGTGGCATGCGAGCAAGGGTCCCTAATGGCAATGAAATGGAAGAGACGGCACTTCATGGTCCGCCAGAAACCAACAGACGGAGAGAAGTCGTGGTCTGGTTCCTGAGCGACGATCCGCCCTGAGTTCCGAGACCCAGGCCGGGCCGCGTGCCGAGCGCCGGAACCTAGTCCCTGCCGTCGCTTCGGCGCTGAGCTAACCCACATCTCGGCTCCTAGCGTTGCGGCATCCTGCGCAGTTAATGGCGATGGCAAAGGTAACGGACAAGGCAAGCATCACAGGTGCCAACTGTCTTGTTCAATCCTTATCGTACAGCCAACGCGTACATAATTGGACCTTCCAGCCAAACACAAATCTACCGTCTTTCTAAGCAATGTCTCCGTGAACGCTCCTACGACTGCCGCTCATGCCTTGATGACCCAGTCCTGACCGATGCGTGCCCCAACCCGGCCGACGACGGCAAAGGCGGCGCGCCCCTTCTCGGCGGCGTGGTACTCGACCTTGACCTTCCACGACCGACCGTCGCTCTCAATGTCAACCTCCTTCTTGTTCCACGACGACGGGGCACCGACGACGATAATCCTGTCGACATACACCTCGTGCATGGCCGTGAGCCACTTTCCGGCCTTGATTGCCTTTGCATCTCGACCCTCCGCGTCCGCCGACGACAGCTTGTTGCCGGCCAACGTAAACTTGCGGTAAATGTACTGCCCCTTCTCGTTGTCAAACGAGTCGCCGTCATCGGCGTAGAGCTCACCCTCGGCGGAACCGCTCTTGGAAGCGGACACGACGAGGGTGTAGTCGTCGAATCGCATCATGGTGCTAGAACGCCGAGGAATGTCGCGGCGGGGGAAGATATGGCCACCACGCATGAGCAGCGGAATCTGGTCGATCGCCGCCTTGACCGTGAGGTGCTTGCCCTTCTTGGTGTTCATGGTCTGGTAGGTCGCGTAGTCGTAATAGACCTCGTCATCGGGGATCCAAATGTCGGTGGACTCCTTGTCCTGCTCGACGATTGGCTTGACGAGCAAACCTGTCGATCCGACAAACATCTGGTCGTCAATCGCAAAGCCGCCCTCCTCCTCGGGATGCGTCCAGAACATGGGGCGGACAATAGGGCTGCCATCGCGGTTGGCGTAGAAGAAAGCAGTGTACCAGGAAGGCAAGAGCGAGTATCGCAGTCGCAGAGCAGACGTCACAATGGCAGTGTACGGCTCGCCGAGCAGATACGGCTCACGACGGCGGGCGTCGATGTGGGCGTGACCACGGAAGAAGGGGTAGAAGGCGCCGGCCTGGTACCAGCGGGCCAGCAGGTCCTTCTCGGGGTTGCCAAAGAAGCCGCCGACGTCAGCGCCGGCGTACGGGAAGCCCGCGATGCCCTGGTTCAGGATCATGGGGATGGACGCGGCCAGGTGGTCCCAGGAGGCCTGGTTGTCACCGGTCCACATGGCGCCCAGCCTTTGGGAACCGCTGTAGAAGGACCGGGTCAGGATGAAGGGGCGGCGCTTCTCGCCCTTCTTGCGCGAGACCAGGGCCTCGAACGTGGCGTTGTGGAACGTGAGGCCGTTCAGGTTGTGGATGTCGCGATGCTCCCACTGTCCGTGATGGATGTTGTCCTTGGGCATGGTTGTCTCCGGGCCGTTGAAGACGGAGGGCTCGTTCATGTCGTTCCAGATAAAGGTGTTCTCCATGGTTCCCTTGAAGGCGTCATACTTGTAAAGCGACTTCCACCATTCGATGGCCTTCGGGTTGAAGCAGTCGATCCAGTTAGACGATCCCGGCCAGCACCAACCTTCGTAGATGGAGTCGTCCTTGTTGTGGACGGCCAGGTCTTGCGACGTGAGCTCCTTGTTGACGCTGTAGCCGTCGACCTTTTTGATGTGGGGGTCGATGATGACGACCAGCTTGCGACCGTGGCTGTCGAGCTGCTTGCCCATGCCGATGGGGTCGGTGAAGGAGTGCGGCTCCCAGGTGAAGTACTTTTTGTCGTCCGTGTACTCGATGTCGAGCCAGATGACGTCGTACGGGATCTTGAACTTGTCCATCTTCCGGTCCACGTCCTTGACGTCGTCGTCGGAAATGTAGTTCCAGCGGCACTGGTGATAGCCAATCGAGAACTCTTGCGGCATGGCCGTGTAGCCGGTGAGTTCACCGTAATTTTGCGTCAGGTCGCGAGGCGTGGGGCCGAGGAACACAAAGACGTCCAGCAGGCCGCTCTCCGAGATCCAGTGGGTGTGCGTGTTGGTCTTGCCGCCGGGGCCGAGGTGAAGGGGGTTGGAGCTTTGCTTGCCCTTGGTAATGTCCACCCAGGTCTCGGCCGCGTTAAGCCAGAACACGCCGACCGACGAGCCCTTGCGGTGTGCTTGCATAAACGGAATCGATCCGTAGAGCGTCATCGGGCTGTCGAGAATGTACTCAAACACGTCGGCGTTGTACATGCGGTATGGCTCCTCAAAGTTACCCTCGCCACCTCGGGTCTGCTTGAGAGACATGGGCCCGGTGTGCTCGGGGATGCCGTAGACGTGCTCGTATCCGACAAAAGAAATGTCCAGAGCGACGCTCTCGGGGCCACGCGGCTTCGTGTCCGTGTTTCCGCCAAAGGTCTCATCCCACCAGGTGCTCTCGTCCTCGCCCGTCTCGGCAGGGGCTTCCTCACCCTCCTTAACCTCGGGCTTGTCCACCTTTGGCCTCCAGTGTTCCATGTTGAGAAGTCCGCGGTCGTTGAGCTTGATGTGCGTGGCGCCGTCCCTCCGGAACTCGGCTTCGAGAGGCGCAAACTTGATGACGGCCTCGAGCTTGGACTCGGGACCGTACTTGATGTTGATCTGGTTCTTGTCCTGGAAGGCGACCTGCGCCTGCTTGTCAAGCTCCAGCCCACCGACAATGGCCCATTTCTCGGCCTCATTGTATCGCTCCTTTCGGACAGGGCTGTTGTGCCTGAGCTCAATGTCCTTCTTCTGTCGCCTCTCCTCGTCGACCGTGACCCGAGCGACGCCGCTCTTGAGGAACGAGACGGTGATGGGGAAGCGCGCCGTCTCGCCCTTGTCGTTGATGGTCTTGAGTATCATGGCGTGTAGCTGGCCGTCCTTGAGGACGGGCGACTCGGGGATGACCTGGTACGGCGAGTTCCATGTCGAGCTCTGCGATGCGGCGTTGTCGGCGTAGGCCCGGTTCCGCTTGCAGAATCCGGACTGGTGGCACTTTTTGAAATCATGCTCCTTGACGGCAGCTGGGATGTTGTCAATATCACGGCGCGTGCAGCATTGGACGCGTGCAAGCTGCCATACCTGATTGGGGGATGAAGCCGACTATGATGGCCAACACGCCTAGGAGCGCCGTCCATTTCCAGGACAGCGCGAGCGTCGACCGCATGGTGGAGGCCGGTCGCCGAAAATATATCATGCAAAGACGAATGCAATGTCAGAGCCTGGCTCAGGCGTTGACGTGACGAGAACTCGGACGGGCGTCGTACGAGTGTCTGGCGACGGTCCAACGTTGCATGTGGAGGGCGACAAGCTGTCCCTTGAGGCGACTCTCGCCTCCTGCGACAGCTCCCGATTGGGACTGGCGGCACGCACGCCCGGAGCTCCCTGGGGGCTGCCCTGGCGGGGCTGCCTCGATAATGCGGAGACTACGGATACAGCGGTGCCAAACGCCAGCTGGCCTCGCGGTCAGTGCACGTCAGGAATGCGGACCCAATGCGCACTGTGGCCAGCAGCTCGCCGCCAGACCGTCACCACGGGTGGCCGTCCGCGAACTGCTGATGTTTTGAACCATCTTGGACCCATGCTCTCTGTGAGCCATTGGCCTCGTCTGTCCCTCTTTTGTAATTCGATCAGGCTGTCTTTCACCGTTCATCGCAGCTCGGATCATCGAATCACCTCATCTATCAGCTTCCGCCGCCGCGGTCGACACGGCAAGCTTCATCTCTGTCCTCGGCCTCACCGCCAACTCGTCCTCCGTGCGTCTACCGCCGCATCCACACACTGTACGTCTCCTGGCGGCGCCGTCGAATCACCATGGCTGGACCCCACCACGAGTCCGCCCCAGGCGGGCAGCGGCGGCAGCGCAACCCGCCTCTGGCTGGCGGTGCTGTGGGAACCCTGGTCCCACGAATTTTCCTCCTCCTCGTTGGCCTGTTGCTGGGCTATTTCCTCTTCGCCCCTCGCGACCAGACCTCCAGCTTCTCTCCTTCACTATCTCCGATCTCCAACCCAATCTCCTCCATCTCTCCCATTCTTCAAGTCTCTTCAGACAAACCCAAAACCGCAGCCATGTCTACCGAGCAGACGTGAGTGTTCTTGCGGCAGCCGGAGCCTGCCCCTCCTACCCCGCCATTACCCCTCCAAGAATTTTCGGCCTGACACCGTGATAGCTTCATTGCCATCAAGCCCGATGGCGTTCAGGTGAGTAATTTGCAACCAAGCCATCGTCTGTACCAGGATTCTTGCTGACATTATGTTTCCAGCGTGGCCTGATCGCCCCCATCATCGGCCGCTTCGAGAACCGAGGGTAAGATAGACGATTCCACGACTGATGCGCAGTCGACACGGACGAGCGACTAATCGACTCCAAGCTTCAAGCTGGTTGCCATCAACCTGGTCACTCCCTCCAAGGAGCACCTTGAGAAGCACTGTTGGTACACCCATCCGATTGGATTCTGCCACCGCTGACAACCTCGTAGATGAGGACCTCAAGGAGAAGCCTTTCTTCCCTGGTCTGATCTCCTGTATGTTGCCCGTGCAGCCTTCGACTCGCATCACTCACTGACAATTGCAGACATGGGCTCTGGCCCCATCTGCGCCATGGTCTGGGAGGGCCGTGACGCCGTCAAGACCGGCCGCAGTAAGTTCTCTGCCCCTGCTCACTTCGACATCCTCTGACCGCTCCAGCTCTCCTCGGTGCCACCAACCCCCTGGCCTCTGCCCCCGGCACCATCCGTGGCGACTTCGCCCTGGATGTCGGCCGCAACGTCTGCCACGGCTCCGACTCCGTCGAGAACGCCAAGAAGGAGATTGCCCACTGGTTCCCCAACGGCACCGTCTCCTGGAAGGCTGCCCAGTTCGACTGGGTCTACGAGAAGGCTTAAGCGGTTGCTGCTCAGCACCGACTTGGCAATGCCCGCCATGGCATGTACAACTGTTCATAGCTAGCTTGGACATGAAAAGGCCTCAATAAAAGAAATCGAGTCGACGTCATGTGACGGCATCTAGATTCGTGCAGTAAAAGCTGTCTTGATTGCAAAGATTATGTCAGGGCTTGCGCGTGAGCATGTTTCTAGTCCTCATGAGCACCCGTGCAAACCAGGGCGTCGCCGAGACGCTGAATATGATTCGGAGGGGCAGCAGTGCCTTGGTGACGGCATAAGCGAGGGCCACTTCCATGAGGATCTCGTACTTCCTGTCGCCGCTCCTCCACTTGTCAACCACCTCGTCGGTGTGTGATTTGCCCCCTGCTTCCTTATCCTGCTCTGCACCAGCCCCTGCGTCCTCTTTCCCAAAGCCAAACCAGCCCTTGCGGCTAAAGTATCTCTCAAACCTGGCAACGCCCCCTTGGACGTACTCGCCGAAATGCTCCGTCATGTACGAGATCGGCACGTACGTGGTGTAGTGGAAGAGCGCAAAGAGCGCGACGACGGGCACAATGGCTGTGAGCTCATGCAGGATGAGAAAGGAGACGATGTGCGAGAGTGGCGCGTTGCGAAGCCCGGTGGTGTACTTTTGAAGCCGCTTCGGGAGCCTGGAGGTGATGCGGTCGATGCGCGATGCCTGTGGAGACTGCGAGGACTGGAGGCGCGCCTGACGGACCTGCCGCGTTGGCAGGCGTGGCCGCGGCCTCGCGAGCCAATTGAGCGGCGGCCGGCGACTGAACATGTTGCGGTGCTGGTGAGATGATGAGAGTCGGACTAGGTCACATGGATCATTTTATATTCGTCGGCTTGTGGTGCCAGGACCGAAATACGGGGCGGGTCAGCGACTCGGCGATTGCGCGTCAGCCCAGGTGCAGGGTAGTCCGTGAGCAACCAGCCTGATGCCGTTCTGTCGCCACACAGCGTTGGATATCTTGCGGCGAACCGGGTAGGCCTTGATGAATTTGAATTATTTTTTCTTTTTTCTATATTGACCGTGCTCGCTGGTGGCAAAAAATCAAGCGATACGCCATGTGGGCTGCGTTGGCAGAAGTTCCCTGTCAAGGGTCCGCGGGTTCACTAATGCTTCATTCAGGACCGCATGGACGGCAAGCCACTACGACCGGGCGATTGTGTTTCTCTGGCAAACTGACGAGTAAGCACCTTTGCAAGTGATTTCGATTTGTACCGGTCTGTTCCTTCAAGTCTCGGAGAACGCACTCGTCATGGCGTCAAGTCCGCGTCAGCTAGAGCTCGTAGAGTCGAAACAGTGTCATGACAACTGGGCAACGCCAGCTTGCTCCTGCCTTTGACTTGTCGATACGCTATGCTAGCTTCACCGCTTTTCCTTGTGGCGGAAGGAGACACAAGCAAGATGGCGCGTTTGCTGAGGCGGCAACCGACGGTCCTTGGCCGACTGCGCAGCTGTGGGCAGGTGCTCCTTCCGTGTCGGCCACCTCCTTCCTCGCTGGAGAAGGGTCCTGCCTGGGCGAGATGCTGCCTGACGCACATGGCGGTGAACCGCCAGACACCTTCTCGACGTTGAAGCTCGCTTTTCCTCCTCTGCCTTTGCGTTCTCCATCTCTTCACTCTCCGCCTCCGCCTTTGTCGTCGTCAACTTGCGTACTCAAGCCATCAGCTGCGTCTGCCAACGTCACCAGATCGAACAACCGAAGATCCTCAAGCAATACCAATGCCTATCATCACGCTCGCAACTGGCGTGGTTGCCGGTCTGGCCGTCATGGCCACGGCTCAAAAGTTCCCTCAGGAGGATCTCCTTCTCTGCGACTGCGGCATCGGAGACAACAAGGAGCATCTCGACTGGTCCACTTCTCGTCAGATGAACTGGTACCAGGACATCACTTGGCCCCGTTCTGCCTACTCGTACCCCGAGGCCCCAGACATGGCCGTTGAGGTTCCCTACAAGGACGGCACCTACCCCTGGGACCCCTCTGGCACCACGGCCACCATGCCAAACGGCGATGTCTGGACGGCGTATATCGAGGCCGGAACTCCAGATGGTTTCAAGGCTGGCTCTGCAGTCTCGACCAAAAACGCACAGGACATCCTCAACTGCTGGGCCTACCGTGGCCGTCCTGTCAGCGCGGCCATCAACACGACCGTCACTCATGATGCCATCTGCTGGAGCGCCTTTGTCTGCAACCGCGACAACCACGCCCCGTCCCGCCCCGATGACATGGGCTCTCACACCTCGTCTCTGACCACGTCCAGCGCTGCACCAGCCACTTCTTTCTACTCCCAAGCTCCTCCCGCTACCCCTGTTCCCACCACAGTCTCTGGCCAGCCCACTCCCACTGTCCTCCCCGAGACTGGAAGTCTTTCCGTCTACTCGACAGTCAATCCCCGGTTCATCAACTGGCAGAACACCTGGCAGGCCTTCATCAACAACTTTGTCTGGGACAAGAACACGGGCCGCTGCGTGGGAGGTCCGGTTCAGGGCAACGGCTTCACCATTGCCATCGAGTGTGCTGGCATTCAGATCGACGAGGATACTCACATGACCCTTCTCCTCATCAAAGCCCTCCGAGACGTCGGCCTTAACAGCCTCTGGTTCAACCAGAACCCCATCGTTCCCGGCAACAACGGATCCAGCGCAACCAACCAGAGCTGGGTCGTCATGCCCGAGGCCTTTACCATCCAGGCCACGGACTTGGCTACCAACAATGTCGTTGGTCGGCTTGCCTACAAAACGCACTACGACGGCTTCCTCTCCGGCCCTTGCTCGGCCTGCGAGACTGCTCGTTTCAACAAGAAGTTCTTCGATCCCCTGATTGCCGCCATCCAGGGCAGCTACCCCACGTACCACAACTTCACCGTCGCGGCTCAGTGCGACCCCTGGATGGTGTGCGTCTGAGCCGTCTCCGCGAGCATTCTTCTGCGTCGCTGTATTTGTACTCAAATCGAGTTGGAGCTTTCGTCGCCCAATGGGGTTGATTGGGAGGGTTACCATGTTATGCCACTGGCTTTACACTAGACATGTAGACAGTTTTGAGACGACAATTTGACGTTGATTCATTACGTGTCATTGATGCTGGGTCGCGCCGTTGCCTCTATGTAGGGAGGATTTGTTCCTCCGCGCGGATGTGTCATTGTCTAGATTGTCTGTATGTGATCTTTCCCTCGAGGGGCTCATCTAATGCATGACTCTCTGGTGTCCAAGCTCAGCTCGACGCGTGTTTGACATGACCGGGACTCTGTTGCGTTATTCATCACATCGTCAATCATCCCGAGGCCCATCTGAGTAATAGTCAAAGGGCGAGGGCACGACCGCTGCTGCCCCATCCGCCCGATCGGGATCAGCTTCGATCTCCCCCACCGGCGCCGTTGTCAAGGAAGCTGGCCGAGGGGGTATCGGCGGAGGCTCTGCAGGCTCCTGTGGAGGCGGCTGGACCGGCGGCGTCTCGAGAGCCTCGCGCCGCAAGACCGAGGTCATGTCCCTCGCCCACTCCCACGGGCGCTCGGCGCCACCAGGTAAGCCGTTAAAGTACTCCCAGCCCATGACGCCGCCAAAGTTCTGGTGCCGACGCCTTAGCATTGCTAGCACTACGGACAGCATGTGCCAGGGCACGAAGCCGGCGCCGTTGGCAGGGTTGGTGACGAGGCCGATGACGAGCTTTTCGGGGGGCCAGCCCTTGCCGAGCATGAGGTCGTACATGTACGTGTTGCTGGCGTCGCCCCAGTTACAGTAGAACTGGACGTTGTACCAGGCAATCTCGCGGCCGCGCAGCACCTCGAGCGCCTCGTAGTCGAAGCCGCTGAGGTTCTTCTCCGCGTCGAGCATGGCCATGGCGACGGGCGCGAGGGTGATGATGAAGCCGGGGCCAAAGTCGGCGCGCAGCCGATCGATGAGGCGGATGACGCCGCCGAGGGACATGTTCTCCTCGACGTCGAGGTCCAGGCCGTCGAGGCTGCGCTGGCGAACCAAGTCTCGCAGCGGGGCGTAGTAGGCCTCGAACTGGGCGTCGGAGCCGTCGAGGCGGGTGAAGGTGCCGGGGGCCGCGCCGCCGAGCATGCCGAGGACACGGACGCCCGAGGCCTGGAGGACGCGGAGCTCGGCCCAGAGGACGTCGAAGCGGGGGTGGGACGGCGGGTGGTCGTTGAGGGTGAGGGCGGAGGGGTCGTCGTTGAGGTGGATGGCGGCGAGCATGACGTGCGTCACGGAGATGGAGGGCTGGGTCAGGGGCTGTCTCTTATACACATCTAGATGTGTATAAGAGACAGGTGCGGAGGGGGGGAGGGGAGGCATTTGGGAGTGGTGGTGGGCGATGTCGCGATGTGTCGTGTTGGTGTTGAGGGCGCAGATGGCGGGCGTGAGGTGAGGTGAGGTGAGGTGTCAGTGGATGGCGGGGTGCAGGACGGATTGACCTGCAGGGTCCCGCAGTGGCCTGCGAGTGCTGTGGGATCAGTGCGCATAGTGGATCGACGGAGCATCTTACACGATATGTTGCCCGCAACGGGCATATCGCTTATTGAAACACCAAGACGTATTGAAAGATAGATCGAATGGTGATATTTCAGCCAGAATGAAGGCTTAATCGTCATAATTCAGGGCTATATACAATCATGTTTGATGTTGTCGAATGTCGATGCCCACGCATGGGTCAAACGAACCATATCATAGGCACCACTACTACAGCGTACACCGATTCGAGGGCCGTAACAGGATATCATGGCCAAAGCAACTCGACTCGCGAAAAATAAATCTCCGTCTAGATTCCTCAAAATGCAGTCGGGGCATAGCGACGCTTCTCCTCGTCCGTCACCCGCACCCTGTTCCCGACGCACCGTCCCGGATGCCACACGGCGAACAGCAGCACGGCCAGCGCAATGGGCGCAAACTCGAGGCACGCAAAGTACACCTCGTTGGTCTGCAGCTTTCCATACAAGCCCTCTGCCGTCTCCGCCAGGCGAAACGTCGTTCTCAGGTACACCAGCAGCGTCACGACCGCGAATACGGCGCAAAAGACGGTCAGGCCCGCGTCTCTGATGGCGCGGCGCGCGCGCACGAGAAACGTAGCCGTGAGAATGACAAAGACGCCCATGGCGAAGACCTGGTACGCTAGGCCGCCGAGGAGGATGTTGTTCGCCGTCGTGGGGTCCTGCCGGCGGGAGGAGCGCACACCGATGAGGGCCGCGCCCGCGACCTGCACGACGGTGGAGATGACATCCGAGGTGATGAAGAAGGCGAGGATGACCTTGGGCGGCAGAAACGCATAGCGGCTGCCGAGGCGGGGGATCAGCGCCGAGAGCACCGTGTAGATGCCCGCGGCGAGGAACACGGGCGCGGTGACGATGAAGAAGTAGTTGAGGACAAAGTAGATGAGGTGGTAGGGGTCGCGCTCCGCGGAGAGGGAGCGCGCGACGTAGCCGACAATCTCGAAGAGCAGGCCGACGGAAAAGGTGACGAACCACCAGCTGCGGAGGCGCACCGTCTGGAAGGTGTGCACGACGAGGAAGAGGAAGAACCAGGCGGCGGCGAAGGCGGAGAGGGCGATGGCGGGCGTGTAGCCGTAGATGATGATGGGCGTGTCCCACTCGCCGTCGGGGTTGGGGAAGTCGGGGTCGACGTACCCGCGCGGGCGGTCTATTGCGTTGTGTCAGTTTGCGAGTGTGGGCTCTGAATTGTGAGGCCATCACCAACCACCGTTGCCGCTCATCGTGACGGGGGTGACGCTGAACAAGATGCGTAGACAGGTCCTCAGCCACGAAAAGGGGCAGGCCTCCCTGAACGAGCACTCAGCTTGTGACGGGCAACCGTCAAGATAAACAGTATCCAGATTGTACACTCGCAAAGGCCTCAGTGAGGCCCGGCTAGGCGAGCGAGCGGTTATTTATCAATACATGCAAAGCCGTTAGCCTGCACCCGAGGCAAGCCTCGTCCTGTCCGCCAAGCATGACGAAGTGGAATCACACAAGTCCACGACAGGTGCCTTGCGCCCCATTAAACACGTTGGAGGACGCAACGTAAACGCAATTAAGCTACTTTACGAGTAGCTGGATGCGACCGCGCTTGCAGGGCGGCGCGGCACCAAGGCCCAAGGGGTGGAGGGCCTCCCGATCTGCACGTCGAGCAGGATGGTCATGAATCACCATTTTTCGTCCTGCGAATTGAGCCTGAAGGGGGGCTTGACAGGGGGAGTGGGTTGTTTGGCGGGCGGGACGCCAGAGTGGTGGAGGGAGGGAAGAGACGGGCGGGAGCCACCACCGGTTGACGGCGGCTGGGGGCCACGTTCAGGCTGGCGGCAAGCCCACCACCAGAAGGGAAGCTGGCAGGGGAGGTGATTGGGCGGGGGGTTGCCTGGCAGGGTGGCAGGCAGGCAGTCGGCACGGCGCCGGTGTGGGGACCGTCGGTGCTCGGAGGCGGACCGACGCCGATGGCACGGGAAGGCTTGGAGGCTTGGATGCGCCGCGTGGTGCCGTGACGAGGCCGGGCACATTGTGTGAGTGACGATATACGCGTCCCGGCACTTGAATGCCGTGGCCAGATTCTTGACTTGCCTGTGAAGGCCTGTTACGGCGCTTGCGCATGCTGCCTCACACTGCCTCCACGACGGGCGTGTTAGTCGATACGTGCCATACAGGCAACGGCTGACGACGACAGGTACGGCTCGAGGGACGTAGGGCTATGCTGGACGGAGGCCCTATGTTCGTGATTCGTGAATTACTATATGCGCTTTCCTTGCTTCACTCCCACCACTCCCTCGCTGGCGTTTCAGCCGGCCGGGCCTCGGGCTTGCTCCCCTCCGTCGTCGTCCCCGCGGCCGGCTCTGGCACCGCCTCGGTAGGAGCAGCAGCAGCAGCAGCAGCAGCAGCAGCATCAGTCGACGGCCCCGCGCGGACAGCCTCCTCGTACGAAATCGGCGGCCCCTCGTCCGGCGGCGGCGGCAGCGAGGCCACGGCGTCAAACACGCGCTGCCGCTCCTCCTGCAGCGCTATCCTCCCCTCCTTGAGCTCCGCCTCGCGCCGGGCCAGCTCGGCGTTGAACCGGCCCCTCCGCGCGGCCGCCTTGTCCAGCTCCTCCCTCAGCGCGGCGGCGCAGCGCATCATCTCGGCCTGCCCGCGCTGGATCTCCTGGTGGAACGCCATGTCGGTAAAGATGTTGTCGAAGAAGACGTCGGCAAAGATGTGCCCGTGGTTGATGTTGACGCCGGGGAGGGCCTTGACCTGCGGGCTGGCCTTTTGCGCGCGCGACGCCTGCAGCCGCGCCATCATGAGCAGGCGGTCCGCGTCGGCGAGGGCGTTGCGCTCCATCATGTCGGCGAACCCGCCGCCGCCAAACATGTCGACGCGCGAGTAGCTCAGCGCGTCGGCGATGTGCTGCAGCGCCTGCATCATGAGGGCGTCGCCGCTGGCCAGCAGCTTCACGGCCTCCTCCTCGGCCTCGCACGCCTCGCGCACGGCGCGGTACCGCACGACGAGCGCGTCGCGCCGCTGCTCGGCCGCGTCCTCGTCCGGGAACTGCGGCGTCGGCCCCGCGAAGATGGACTGGTACAGCTCGTCGAGCTGGCGCTGCGCGTCGCGGTTGCGCGCCGCCACGGCCTCGAGCGCCCGCGCCGCCCCCTGCGCCTCCTCCATCTGCGCCTTGAGCCCGCCGTTGATCTTGTCCTCCTGGTGCGCCCGCTGCAGCACCTCGAAGTAGTCGCGCTCGCCCTTGTCCGCCTTTTCCGCGAACCGGTCCTTCTTGCCCGCCGCCTTGTACATGAAGCGCCGCACCGAGCTGTCGCGGTACTTTTGGTGCGACTTGAGCTCCAGCTCGCGCTGGGCGTTGAGAGCCTTGAGCCGCGAGTCGGACGCCCGCAGCTGCGCGCGCAGGTCGTCGAGGAACCGCCCGTGCTGCTCGAGGTCCGGCGGCGCGTGGTCCGTCTCGGCGAGCGTGCGCAGCAGGTCGCTGTTCCTGGCGGCCGCATCCTGGATCTTGGCCGAGATGTCGGCCATGGCGGCGAGAGCGTAGCAACGTCACAGACCAGTCGTGAGATGCAACACAAAAGGGTATCGGGGTATCGTGAAACAGAAAAGTAAAGCGCCGGCTGGGTATGTTTGATGAAACGGTGATTTAGAGTTGCTTCCCAAGCCCGAGCCGGGAGTCTGGGGCCTTCAACATCTTATTAGTATCGCCCCGTCCATCTAGCACCAGCTAAGGGAAATCCGCCTCGCAACCTTAAATGCCCGCAGGGGCTCACAGGACCCCGAGAATGACATCAGAAGGACGGGGTGAATTGGGCGTGCAGGGGGATGTGGTGGAATCACCGGACGAGCTTGGCGGCCGTTCCGGCGGCCATCTGCACCTCAGCAGACGTGGCGGTGCCGGCGGGCTGTGCAGCGCTCCGGGCGATACGCGCCGCAAACCGTCTGAAGAGTGGCGCGGGCTGCTTCGTAGCGCCCATGGAAATTTGTCAAGTTCAAGCCGAGTGGCGGTGCCGGATTCATGACTTGAACGGACGGCGCTGTTGCCGAGGCTCGTGCATAGTCCGCACAGGCAAAATAGATCTTTCAAACGCCCGTCGAAGATTTAAAATCTGGATTGGCAACGAAAGAGGCATTGATTTCTTTGCGCCCCGGCGAAACATGGCTGCTTGCTGGGTCTGGGAGTACTGTGACGACACACATGTGAATGCGCTCCATTCTCTTGCACATAACGGGCGGAGTGCAGGTACTACATTTGTCGCAACACACCGAGTTGGAACAGACATTATAAACAATTACTCTAGAATTGAAACTTCCATCTACCTGCAGAATCAGATTTCTACTCACTCGTACATTTAACGTGTATGCTTCCGCTCAGGGCTCCCAATTCACTTACAGAATCGCTCGCCAGCGGCTGCCGGAATTACCCGCGCCGCGCCAGGATGGAGCTCGACAAAACCACCAATTATTCTCGGCGATCTTCCCACCCCGTCCGAGCTCCAACCCGCCAACACCAACCGCCCATGGCCTCCAAATCCGCGCTGCTGCCGCGCGGCGGGCCACCGCGTCTGCTCGCCCGCGCAAGCAGACGACGCTACGAAGCTCCAACATGTCTCTTCTGCTCGCTCGCCCCGCCCTCGACGCCCGCCGGCCCTGTCCGATCCAGGGCTCCGAGATCCCGCCGCGACGTCGCTTCACCACCGCGCCCGAGACGATGGCAGTCGACCGCTGCGCCTGTGGCTTCGGCCACGCCGTCAAATCCCCGCGTCGAGCTTGAACACGCACTCCTTGAGCTCCAGCGTCGGGCTCCGAACCTCGTCAACCTCTCTCGCCTCCAATTGGCCCTGCAGGGTTTGCGACAATCCGCTGGCCAGGAAGTCGTTCGCGTTGCCATCCTCGGCCTGGCGAACGGCGGCCCGGCAGAGGGCGGCGGCGCGGTGCATACCGCGCGTAGGGTTCTTCGCATGTTGCTGGCCGACCCGCTGTCCGATGAGCAGCCGTGGGAGCGGGAGCTCGCGGCCCATGACCCCAGCAAGCCTCTCATTGTTCGCGTCGCACCGGGCCAACGCGCCGATGTGCGCGTCGAGATATCGACGGACACTGCTCTGCATGAGCTGCACGTCTCGTCGCCCGACTTGAACGGACTCAACCTGGAGCTCCTTCTCATGGAGGTTACGGCTCCGTATGGCGCACCGGGCGAAGTCACGGTCCAGTCCCTCGAGGATGCCGTCCTCGTCCCCGCTGTCGACATACCCTCCGCGGAGGACCGCGTGTCGCCCGTCACCACGCCCGTACACCAGGCGCTCCTCGTCGCCGACGGCTTCATGGGCGCCGTCAACGTCTCCGCCCTGCCCGTCTCCGAGGCGGGTGGCTCCATCATGGCCGCCGTGCAGATCGAAGGCGTCTCCAAGGAGCAGCTCGACACAGACTTTGACATTGTCGACATATCACAAGCAGAGCAGGGCATCCGACTATTCCGCCAAAGCCCTGAGCATGCCATGGACTACGAGCGTCTCTGGTCCACGAGCAACGTCCCCGCCCTCGCGTCATGGCTCCGGGCCGGTGCCAGATCTACCGGCGAGCACGCCACCAAGCCCGCCGTGCGGCAGCTCATCGCCTCACTGCTGCAAAACACCATCTCATCCATCCACGCAGCCGACGCGCAGAAGCTATCCCGCGCACTCGCCGCCAACGGCGCTTCTCCCGCCCTCGTCGGCCTGCACGGTCGTCTCGCCGACTGGGCACAGCGCGCCCATGCCGAACTCCAGGACGAGCTGGACCTGGCCTTCACCGGCCGCCGTTGGAGGAAGCTCGGCTGGTGGAAGCTGTTCTGGCGCGTCGACGACGTCGCCATGCTGACAAACGAGATGCTCGGCCAGCGCTTCATGCCCACCGCCGAGCAGGAGCTCGTGTACCTCACCGGCCGCATCGCCGAGCTCGCGGGCGACTCGCCGCAGTACCCGCAGCCCGTCTCCGCGGGGGACGCAGACGGCGCCGTCCCCTCGGAGCAGCGCCGCCTCGGCTCCGGTGAGCGTGCGCCCGCCCTCGCCGCGACGTCGTCCTCCGCGCTGCCCAAGTGGCCCGGGCACATTGCCTTTACGCGCCGCTACCTCCAGAACGAGACCGTCCCCGCGCTGCAGTCCCTGGCGCAGCGGCTCGTCATGCAGGCGCTCGGCACGTCTGGCGTGACGACGTCTCTCGCCGCGCTCCTGTACGCCTCGTCGTTTGCGTCCACGCTCTACGAGGCTGGCGCCGTGGCCGCCCTGGGCATTGTGTACAGCCTGGGCCGCATGCAGAAGAAGTGGGAGGCGGCGCGGGGCTTCTGGGAGGGCGAGGTGCGCGAGGAGGGACGCAAGGCTGTCAGGGGAGCTGAGGAGAGTGTGGCCATGGTGCTCGACAATGGCGCGGCGGCCAAGGCGTCAGAACAGGAAGCTCAGGAGCTGCAAAGCGCGAGGGAACTGGTGGCCAAAGCCGAGGACGCGCTATCGCGGATACAATAGACGCGCCTGTATGTTTACGTGTATGATAGATCAAACCAGCGGCAACAACGTTTTGTCTGGCACTTGTGGCAGCTCTGCATTCACTCTCTATATCCATTGGCGTGTTGTGCTTCCAAACATGCTTCCATGCAATCAGTATCCTGTCAACCAGTCATCCCAGCTGGCACTGTATCCACTGATATTCCAGTCCAGAAGATGATAGCCAGAACCTTATGCGGTGCTGCACACGCTTCAGAGCGGGAGCATGGGCCTGCCAGCTCGGCGGCCGGAGCCACCAGCACCGCCAGCGGGCGCAAAGGCCGGCTGGTTGTACGAGGCCGGCGGCGGGACCGCGTGAAACGAGAACGCGACGGGCGGGGCTCCGTCCGTCATGACACTGGCGCCCGCGGCGCGGCCAGCCTGAAAAGCAGCAGAGGTGCTGCTGCCAACGACACCACCACCACCACCATGGGGAGCGGAGGAGCGTCTGCAGAGTGAGGTCACATGGTCAGCGAATGATTCCGAAAGTGAATGAAAGGCCACTGTTGTGATTATTGTGTCTGCGGCCGTCGACGAAGATTCTCCCCCGTCGCCCAAAAAATCAGCTTTTTGCAACGTGCCCTGCCCATTCAGCCAGCAGGGGCACAATCCCACCCATATTCCGGAACGCCAACGTGGAAAAACAAACCCAAAACCCTATTCCACAAGAAAACACAACAGCCCCCAGGGGGAAGTGTAGGCAAGCGGAGGAGGGGGGCGTCACATCTTCTACTCGGCGTCGTACCTTTCGATCGAGCCCGGGGCGGCGGAGGCGGCGCCCGAATCAGAGGCGCGGGGGGCATCCTAGCGACCGCCGCGGCCGGTGGCACGGGCGCGACTGACGGTGGCTCGTCCACGGGCGAGACCGACGCCGCGGCCGCGGACGTTGCGGGCGCGGAACATGGGCGCGTTGCGGAGCATGTCAGGGATGATGAAGAAGCGGACGTGCGAGCCGCGGATGTAGACCTGGTCGACGTGGTAGACGCGGCCCTCGCGCGAGGTGACGGTAATGTCCTTCATCTGGACGTTCATGGAGTCCTCGGCTGTTTGCGACGAACAGGCGGATAGTTAGCGGATTGTTCTCCCAAGATCAAACGAGCGCACGATGGAAGGAATGGGAGGAAGGGAAAGAGGTTGGGGCGGAAGACTTGCCATCGAGGAGGGTGCCGCGGTAGGAGTTGCCGTTGGTAAGCTCGACCGTCACGATGTGGCCCTGCAGCGCGGAAAGAGAGAAAGGTTAGCAGCTGCCAAACACGCGCGCGTTGGGGAAGGTGTTCGGGAAGGAGGCAATGCAACGAACCGTGGCCTCGTGGAGGAGCTTGATCGGGATGCCAATGTTGGACGTCATGGTCGCGGGCGGGAGTTGCAGCTGCCGTCGGCTTCGAAGCGCGAGCAGGGAAGGAGAGAGGCTTGTCGGGATGCTGGTAGCGATTGTGAGGTTGCGGTTGTGAAGCTTCGCAAAAAAGGTGGGCTGCGAAGAGAAGGCCAGACGAGGCTGTCGAATGGGGAGGCGGCGCGAGGTTGTGCTACTGGGCACTGCTGCAGGCGTGTCAGTGAATCACTGACTGGGAGGTAGACCCGCTGCTGGCGGCTTGGCCTGGCTGGCCGGGGTTCACGCGGCGCAACCTATTTCCGGGCCGCCGTCCTCCCAAGCACCCATCCACCCACCCAGCAGACGGCCACTGCGTACCAGTGGGCTGTCACTGAACCCCCCCGCCATGCCGCCTCTTCCCCCAAGCCCCTCCCTCCAACAACCTACCGGGGGCCAAAAAGTTTAGTGACACGCAGACCGGATATCTTTTTCGCCGTCTTTACAGCGCGGACAAGCTGCTCGCCCTGCGCGCCAGTTCCAGCCCTTTTCCCGCCCGCCACTCGCATTGAGATGTGGGATACGAGCTGCACCCGGAGCGCCAGGCCGAAGCCTCATCAGGAACAGTGTCACAGCGCGCGCCCGCGGCCTTCTTCCCTGGCCATTCAAACCCCATGACATCAGCGGGGTGATGCCTGCGCGACACTCCATCGCGGTTAACCGTTGCCGTGCACCCCGTCCAATGGCGCGCCCCAGCTGTCACGGGCTGGGCTTCTCGGCTGTCGCCAAACTATCTGGCCGTCGCATCTGCGGTCGAAGGAGCTGCAGCAGCAACCAGGACCCTTGACGTGACAGCCGCCCTGGCCCCTCCCTCCCCGGGACCCCTCCCAGGGCTGATCCCAGGCGCGGCCCTCGGCCAGCTTGCCTAGCTCTGCGACGAGGCTTCACAACGTCGGTGTCATTGGCGACGCGGGCTTTTGCCTGCCAGTGACGCGGCCAAAGGTGCCTTTGGCATGCAGACGCCACCGCTGGTCGAGAACAGATTCGTCCGCGATACCGGCTTGAGTCAAAAACGTGTCTACATGTGAAGCTCCAGCGCGCGTGTATATAAAGAGCTGTAGCTTCGCGATGATGTCACTCGGCGTCCAGCTCTCCAGGTGATCACTTCACTCGGCTTCGTTGCTACCTGCTTCCATTTAAACCATTGAGACATCCCACCATGGCCACGCAAAAGGGACTCGTCGTTGAAAAGGCCGGCGCGCCGTTCACCGTCGTCGACAACATCCCGCGCTCCAAGCCGGGCCCCAAGCAGGCGCTGGTCAAGTCGCTCTTTGTCGCCATCAACCCCGTGTATGCCCCCCCTCCACTACTATCCAACATCATAGATCGTGACTCATGCTCTTCCACAGGGAGGTCTTTATGCAGCAGACGGCCATCCTGACCACCGCCCTGCCCGCCGTCCTCGGATCCGACTTTGGCGCCATCGTCCTCGAGACGGGCAGCGAGTGCAAGAAGCTCCACAAGGGCGACTACGTGTTCGGGTCGTGCAACCTGGGCCAGAATGCGTACTCTCCGTTCCAGGAGACGTTTCTGGTCGACGAGGATGCTGCCTTTAGGAAGAGCGGCAACATCTCCGTTGAAGAGTCCACCACCATGGGCGTTGGCATCCTGGTGCGCATCCGTTCACTTCCGACTTCACATTGGTAGTCATTAAAGCTGACAGCGTTCAAGACTTCGTCATTTGGCATCATCGTTGGTGGCAAGGTCGCTCTGCCCGATGCAGAGGCGACTGTCCCTGAGCGCGACGAGTGGATCGTTGTCCTCGGCGGCAGCGGCACGGTCGGCCACTTTGGCATCCAGGTACACAACCACGACACAGGAGACCGGTTCCCAAGATGTTGACATTCAATAGATTGCACGCGCATGCGGATACAAAGTCGCCGCCTCGTGCTCCCCTGCCAAGTCCTCTGTAAGCCCCCTTTCAACACTGTCAAAGTCGCAAAGCCCATTTTAACCGTCGCTCAGAAAGTGCTCGCCAGCGGCGCCAACGCCGCCTTTAGCAACCGCGCTTCGCCCGACGAGCAGGCCGCCGAGGTCAAGTCCATCACCGGCGGAAAGGTCGGCCTCGTGTGGGACAGCAGCGGGCAGGCGCACGAGGCGGGATTCAAGATCCTTGCCGAGTCGACTGCGCAGGCCAAGTACTTTAGCACCACAGACAATGTGTAAGTCTCTATCCTGTACCCGAGAAGAGTAAAAGCGCGGCGCTCATAGATCACAGCAACAACTACACCGTCCCGCCTGGCATCAACGAGTACCAGGTCAGGATCGGCATGCTCGGCCGAGACACTGACATTGGCAGGCACATTAGCGAGGAGACTGTCAAGCTGGTTCCTGTCCTGGAGGGGCATGTCGCCAAGGGCACGCTCGGACCTGTCGAATTTGACGTTTTCGACGAGTCTGGGTGGGAGGCGCTGGTCGATGCAATCAAGTATTACGCCGAGGGCAAGGCGGCCAAGAAGCTTCTGGTCCGCCTGCAGGCCGTATGAGGGCACCGTATGTGCCATTCACATGCAATGTTTGTAGGACGCTGGCTTGAAGAAAAGTGGACGGTTTATTTTGCCATATGGCTTCACGTAGACGCCGGTGCCCGGGTATCATCCACCTTCTGCTTCTTCGACTTCTTGCTTGCCAACATCTCCCTCTTCTCCTGCTTCCGCGCCTGCTTGTCCAGATTGCCGATCGTCTTCTTCTCCTGGCCGCAGGGCCACTTTGCCAGGGCCGCAGCCTCTGCCTCGTCGTCCCACTCTGGTGGTAGGACGGCAAACATCAGGTAGGACGTGTGGGTCTTGATATCATTCTCGGTGCGGTGAACGACGCGGCCCTGCATGAAAGGAGGCTCGCTCGGTACCTCTGGGTCGTCGGCTCCGTTCTTCTCGGGCTTTGATACCCCATCGTCCGTGTCCATCTTGGTGTCGGACGACTCGGAGACGTTGTCAGGCTTGTGTCCTTTGTGAAACTCATGCGTCCGCTTGAGGTCGCTCTTGAGCTTCTTGACCGCTTCCGTGACGTCGGCGGGCGTGGCGTTGATGCCTCGTTCGCTGGTATAATTGATTCCAACTCGTTCTCGCAGGACGGAGATTCTCTTGTGGGCGATTTCCACCATATCAATGTCGGTCCACCCCAAGGTGCGAAGCTCCAGGGCCGTCCTGGTGACTTGCTCTATGCACGGTGAAAAGGTACAGATGTGGACGCTTTGCTTCGGATCCAGAGGTGATTCCCAGGCGTCATCGCTGTCGTCCGGCTTGCCGCCCTTGTGAATCTTTCGCCTTGACAAGTGGTGCAGAGCTTCCCATGGGGCAGGCAAATCGAGAAAGATGGCCGTGGCCTGAGGCGACTTGCCGTCTATCAGAAACCCCTCCTGATATACGTCGCGGTGCGTTATATGGACGATGCCATCTAGGCCGTGATTTTTTATCTCCTCCTGCATCTTCTCGAAGCGCGGCTGATGGTACTCGAAGGAAAAGACCTTGCCCTTCTTGTCCGTGTCGCCGCGGGGATACCCATTGTAGACTGCTCGCGCAGAGGCGTGGGTGAAGCTGCCGCTGCCAGCGCCTGCCTCTATTATCCGCGTGCCTGGCCTGGCTCGAATGCGCTGAAGGACGTAACTGTAGTCGGGAGTGTAGACGACCTGCGTTCGGTGCGGCAGGCCACTCGTCCACAGCTCGGGGCTGGGCCGCAGGAGATAGATGAATCCACTAGATGCGGTCACTGCTTTTGCCAGGCCTTGTTGCCCAGACTTGTCGTCGGTTTCGTCCTGGCTCGGCATGGGCGTGCTCTCGCTCTCCACGTCCTCCCGCCTTCGCTTGCGCCCTCGCGATCCCGTGTCGACGAGCGACGCGCGGACTTGCGAGCCCCATGGCACATTGATGAGAGTAGAGTGAGGAAACGACCCGAATCTCGTGTTGAGCGTCGCGCCCTCTGCGTATCCGTCGACGGCTCCGGAGGACTGCTCGAGGGTGATGGGTTGGTAGTTGTCACGCGACAGGCCAACAATGGCGAGAGAATTCGCCGAGGTCCGGAGACCCGGCTCCAGGAAGGGCGACGGCCTGGTCATGGCGGGCCAATGCCTATGCGCAGAATGTCGTATGCCACCGGTGATGTCAAGGTGCTCGTGGATGCCAGGCGTTGATGAAAAAAAGTTCCGGCGCCTGCAGCCTCGCGCCAAGTCAAGCCTCGTGGGCGATGCTAGTGCATTCAGCCCCACTAGCCGCACGGGCAGCTGGCCTTATGAGGGGCAGCCCTGGAGCATCCATGGAAGCGACCCCGGGGCGCTGAGCTGCACAGACACACCTGAGGAAGGTGGGGGAGTGCCTGAGAAAACGATGAGGCCACCTGCAGCTTCGGCACTTTTCGACCCTGGGCTGACCTCCCTTCGACCTGTACACTCCTGGTGACTCAACCTCGACGCGCGACCGCCATTGACTCAACCTCGAGGCCTGAAGTGACTCGAGGGTGGTGCGTCTGCCGTCTGCTTCTCTCCTTTCGTTTTATACCCTTCTACCTCTCTGAATGAATTTCTCGCGCCTCTTCACTCGAGCCAGACCGACAATTGCTGCCGCCCAGAATAGCCTCCTCCCCCGCCGATTCTCCTTCGCTACCGCCACCATGGAGTCGATCAAACTACACAACTCGCTCAAGCCCGGCGCTCCGGTGCCCTTTGTCCCCATCCAGCCTGGCAAGGTGTCGTGGTACGTGTGCGGTCCGACAGTCTACGACAAGAGCCACCTCGGCCATGCCCGCAACTATGTCTCGACCGACATCATTCGCCGCATCCTGATGCACTACTTCGGGTTCGACGTCAAGTTTGTCATGAACATGACCGACGTTGACGACAAGGTGTGTGCGCGACGGCCCTCCGCCAGACTATTCGGCTCTAACATGCCCAGATCATCATCAAGGCCCGTCGACAGCGATTGCTCGAGCTCGAGAAGAACAAGACGTATTCCGCGGCAGAGCTTCGGGCCCTGGCCCTCTCTGCCTTTCGTGCGTATGCTGCAAGCAGCCTTCCGCTGCTTGTCGAGGAGGGTGCGGACCTGGACGAGTCCAACTACACGACGCGCCGTGATGCCGCCTATGGCAAGGTGCTTTCTGGAGGCACCCTGACCGGAGAGGGCAAGCCTGGCGACCCCGAGGCCAAGGTCAAGATGCACATCGGCAACATGGACGCGGCTGCGGCAGCCATGAAGCAGGGCGACATCTTCCCCGGCGCCGACGAAATCCTCCTCCCGTACCTCGACTCTCTCTACAAGGAGACCATTGATACCCGAGACCAGACCATGTTCACCGATCTCACCAAGAGTATGGAGGCTCTGTTCACGGAGGATATGGACAACCTCAACGTCCTGAGGCCAGATGTCATCACACGGGTCACCGAGTATGTCCCGCAGATTGTCAGCTTCGTCGAGCGCGTGGTGCAAAAGGGGTTCGCGTATGAGGCCGAGGGGTCCGTCTACTTTGACATTGCAGCGTTCGAAAAGGCAGGCAACACGTATGCCCGCCTGCGTCCGGATAGCAGAAACGATAAGTCTCTCCAGGAGGAAGGCGAAGGCTCCCTTTCCAAGAACCTGGGCGGCAAGAGGGGCGCTGGCGACTTTGCCCTTTGGAAAAAGTCCAAGGCCGGCGAGCCCTTCTGGCCGAGCCCCTGGGGTGACGGCAGGCCTGGCTGGCATATTGAGTGCTCCGTCATGGCCTCTGACGTCCTCGGCTCGCGTATGGACATCCACTCTGGTGGCATCGACCTTGCTTTCCCTCATCACGATAACGAGCTGGCTCAGAGTGAGGCGTACTTTTGCGAGCACAGCAAGGGCGAGCACACTTGGGTGAACTACTTCTTGCACATGGGCCATCTCTCCATCTCGGGGTCCAAGATGTCCAAGTCCCTCAAGAACTTCCAGACCATCCAGGACGCACTGTCGACCGACTACACGGCGAGGAGTATGCGCATCGTCTTCCTCATGGGCAAGTGGAACGACGGAGTCGAGGTTTCACCCGACATGCGAGCCCAGGCAGACAACTGGGAGAGCACAGTCAGCGTACGTAATTTTCTCATTTCTGTGGATGCCGTTGCTAATTGTTTTAGAATTTCTTCACAAACACCAAGTCATGGTTGGCCGAGGCTGGTGTCACCGATGGTGTCAAGTCGCTGTCAATCAGCTCTGATACTCCGGCCACCGGCCTTCTGGCCGACCTCGAGCAGGCCAAGAAGGAAGTCGAGGCTGCCCTCACCAATTCTTTTGATACCCCGCGTGCCATGCTGGTCATTCTCAAGCTGGTAAACTCGACCAACGTCTTCCTCAAGGACAACAAGGACGCCAACCTGGCCGAGGTCGAGGCCATTGCCAGATGGATCACCAAGATGGTGGGAATCTTTGGCCTGGACGCCCGCGCCAAGGCTCCCTACGACGGGCTCGGCTGGGCCTCGGCTATCTCGGCGGATATGGACCCCAAGACGGCCGTCGGACCGTACGCCGCCGTGGTTGACAAGGTCAAGGCTGAGGTCAGCAAGCTGTCGCTGTCCAGTGATGCCATTCCCACCTTGCTGGCCCAAGACCCCAGCAAGGACTTTGAGTCTGTCGCATCCACGGGTTCCCGTGACATCGAGAAGCTCGCCCTCCCGTTTCTGCGCACCGTCTCTCAGATTCGTGACGAGCTCCGACGAATCGTCTCGGCCCAGACCCCGGAAACCAAGAAGCAGATTCTTGCCATCACGGACCGCATCCGCGACCACGATCTCACAAACCTCGGCGTGTACCTTGACGACCGGCCTGACAACCAGCCGTCGCTCATTAAGTTCATTCCCGCGGCCGAACTCATCGCTGCCCGCGAGGAAAAGGCAGCTCGCGAGGCCGAAAAGTCCAAGAAGAAGGAGGAAGCCAGGCTGGCTCGTGAAAAGGCCGAGCAAGAGGCCAAGGAGAAGGCAAAGATTCCGCCAGAGGAGATGTTCAAGAAGGACGAGCGGTATAGTGCTTGGGACGAGCAGGGTCTGCCGACCAAAATGAAGGACGGCAGCGACGTGCCCAAGAGCCAGATGAAGTCGCTGAAGAAGATGTGGGATAAGCAAAAGAAGGTGCACGAGGATCTCAAGGCCAAGGGGGGCTTGTAGACAGGCGAGGCGAGGCGCAAGGCGTTGAATATACTCGCTGGCGATGACGAATCACCCAGCGGCGTTTCTTAAGGGAGTGATCGCTCTCAATTCAGTATCACATCTGTTGCCGCCTACGAGGCGTGCAAACGGTGCGCTTGCTCTCACTTAGCAAACCAGTACGGGTGGGATTTCAGGGCCGTTGAATCCCAAAGTTGGCAGAGTCCACTTTGACTAATTGAACGGGTATGGAGAGAAACGACTCGTCCAGGTGATCAATTTTGTCGTGCGTAGCGATCAATCTCCTCGATATATCGCCCTGGCTTGCCTATTAGCTTCAACACGCAGAACACTCATTGCTGTAGCCCGCAACGTACCTGCAGCCGCCCACCGCTTGCCGATCAGCAGTAGCGCGTCTCTCAGGGGCTTTACCGACGGCCCAAGGTCCATGCGATCAGCGTCCGTCAAGTTTCGGAGGTAAATCATGGCCGCTTTGTACAGCGGCTGCGCGATGAACACCGAGAGAGCGTCGGTCCTGACCGCGGATGACGCGGAGAGGAGATGTGCAGCGCCGTGCATGAGCTCCTCGACTATCGTCTTGAGCATGTTGACGGAGGCCTGGTTGCAGAACTCGCTGTCCGGCTGCACGACGCGGGATCCGAATTCCAAAATCTCCATCACCGCGCTGGCAAACGCAAACATATTCCCGTTAACACAGGCGCCGGGGGAAGTGGAGGTTTATAAGGGGCAAGCGGCCAGGCAGGGAGGCTTACCTCCTGCAGACGGCCATGGCGCTGGATAGAATGGCGTTCTCGGCGGCGTCTCCGTCTGAAAACGTCTCCATGAAACAGGTTGCCGTTTTTATGATCTGGAATGCCTCTGCGGTGTTGAATTCGTGGTGGGGCGTCGTCTCGTGGATGTGGGCGAGGACTTGTTCGAGGAGCCGTGATGCGTGAGCTAGCCTCGTGAAGTGGTCGATTTGGGATGGGGTTGTGTGGTCGTGAATCTCCTGTCTTTTCGTCAGGATCCGTCTTGGAACTAAGTATGAGGTAGTTCGTTACATACAGCACTCTTCTCGTCTGCCTCCGAGGATGGTTTCGGTGGAGGGCACGAGCCCTTGCCGCTCAGGAGCGTGGCATATCTATCACGGCTTTAGGCTTCATGTTGGTATATCTTGACAGCTAGGGGCAGCTCACCTGTTGGCGATTACGACGCCTCGCCACACTTGCGGAGTAGAGTCAGCTTGCCCCGTGGGATGCTGAAGCGTCTTGTGCAACCGGCCAGACGACGCTGCGTCGTTCGCTCCGAGACAGACCGCCGCCCGGATGCTAGCCCCTGCAGATATATACGCTGCTGGGAACAAGCCGTGGCCCATCTCAAACACAGAGAGAAGCAACCTGCTCTGTAGCATCTCAAACGAGTTCCCCGCGTCCAGCCCCTCAAGCATACCCACGAAGCTCCTGAGCAGCGCGTACAGCGACCTCGTCTGTGCGGGTACCTGCCCGTCCACCGGCAGCGCGCAGACGAGGTACATGCTGAGCGTCAAGAGGCCAAAGTCCGCCTGCATCGGCTGCGTCCGTGAAGCGGACAGTTGGCTGTAGTAGGCATCTTCCGATATGACTGGGAGCCAGGGGTGGACGGTGGTGAAGTATGCCTGCGCGGCGGCGTGGACGAGCGGAGGGGGGCCGATGATGGCTGAGACTTGTGCCTCGAGGGTCTGGCTGATGTTTGCGGGTGTGAGGTCGAGAAGATCGGGGACCGGTAGCGGATGTGCGGCGCCATCGGGGTCCGAGTAGCAGCAGCTCCGGTTCAGTCTGGTTCAGTGTCCAGGGTGCTCAGTTTACGATTCATCCGACGATTTTCTCATCTCGTCGGACAAGTTTTACACTGACCTTTGACACAGCGAACACACTGGCAGAAGCCGATCGCATTTCCGCTTCTGTTGCTTACACCGCAGACAAGCCTGGGTCATGGCCGTGGGCATGGCGGCGCGTGTCACCGCTCGGCCGGTATGTGGGCCGGGAGCGGGATGCCGATGAGACGAACGGTGATGATGCAAGTGCGGACGCTGTGCGGACATGGCCCGGACTTGACACTGCCCCAATCTTGGTATGGTAGTGACTGGCGATGAAATGACTTGCCCCTGGGTTTCCGGATCGTCTGGGAACACTGAACTTGGGTTTGGGAATGAATGGGTGACGGTCCGTCCGTGGCGATGGCTGATGAATCGACGCATGTAGTTGAACGGAGTCCGGGATGTCCTGATCGGGTTTGGCGTCCGCGTCCGCGTCCGCGCCCGCACTTGCACTTGCACCGGACTCCATCCGCGGCCAAGTCCGACTTACACGAGAGCCTCAATGATTAATCTGGTGGATGATAAATTCGCAATGAGACAAGATCCTTGGAGTGTACGTATGCTTTCTATAGTGGCTCTGGGAAGTTTATATATCAGGCAACGTTCGCAACTCAGTAGGACTCTGCAATCGACCTCTTACTCTTCAGTCTCAACGACACGAAGGCATTGCATGAACTGCGTTCCTGAACTACCTTGAAAGTCGATATTCTTCTTTCCATCTCTTCAAGGTTGAAAATCGCCACCATGAGTGCTATTCGAAATGTCGCCATTGCAGGGGTACGGCAAACTGTTACCTATCCTTCCATACGAGTGCCCGACTAACACCACCCAGGCATCCGGAGACTTGGGCGCTCCAATCCTCAACGAACTCATACAGTCCAACCTATTCAACATCACCGTCCTGACGCGCGCCTCGTCCAGCGCCGAATTTCCAGACTCCGTTCGGGTCGTCCGCGTGGACTACTCCTCCATCCCGGACCTGACCGCCGCGCTGGCCGGCCAAGACGCGGTCGTCTCGGTCCTAACCACCGAGGCCATGGAGCTGCAGCTTGGCCTCATCGAAGCATCCACCGCCGCCGGAGTCAAGCGCTTCATCCCCTCCGAGTTCGGCTCCGACTGCGGAAACCCAAAAGCTTCCCAGCTGCCCGTGTACCAGCCCAAGATCGCCGTGCATAAGGCCCTGCAAGAGCGCGCGCGGGCGCACCCGGGTTTCTCGTACACGCTGGTCCGCAACGGCGTGTTCCTGGACTGGGCCATGAAGCGCAACTTCATCGTCGACTTTGCGTCCGACACGCCTGCGTTCTTCGACGGCGGCGACCGCCCGTTCAGCACCACGACGCTGGCGACGGTCGGGCAGGCCGTCGTGGGAGTCCTCCGCAACCCTGACGAGACGCGCAACCGAGTGGTCTTTGTCCACGACATGATCATTACGCAGCGCAAGATACTTAAAGTGGCGCAGACCGTCGCTCCGCAGAGGAAGTGGGATCCGGTGACTGTCAAGACGACGGACTTGGAGGCTGCCTCGCAGAAGAACTACGACAACGGCGAGTTCGACATGAAGTCTTCGATGGGGTTCCTTATGCGAGCTGTTTTTGGGGAGGGGTATGGTGGGGAGTTTAAGAACGTCGATAATGAGCTGCTCGGCATCACGGGCAAGACGGATAACGATCTGAAGGCCCTGGTTCAGGAAGCGCTGGCTTGATGTCGACTAGACGGCCCCTTTCCAGTTGCGTTAGAGGTTGATTTAGATCTAATCGAAACAATGCTCACAAAATGCTAGTCTCTTTTCTCATTCTGCAATCCATGGCCGCCACACTTTCGGGTCCAGCGTCGAATACAATGTAGAGAAGGGCCTGGCCGCGCCAACGTGAACCTCTATTACGGATCCCGTGACAGAAATCGCCGCCCGTGCTACACAATGTGATATGGCTGATTCGCCAGCTTTTTCAGCTGCTGTCAGCCAGAAGCCAACATCAATACAGCGGCACGTAGGTCCTGTTGGCGTCGTACATGTGCAACGATTGATGAGGCCGCCTTAATGCGCGTGCCCAATGTACACGCAAAGATTATGAGACAGTGACCAAAAAGTCGAGAGCTGGAAATAAAAACCTCAAGCCCCGCGTGGGAGTTTCTCACGACATCGCAGAGTCAAACATTGCCCTACTATCTCATGGCGCTCACTTCAGCAGCACTCTACCTCGTCCTCGCCGTCGTTCCCAGCCTTATCCTGATAGCAATTTACCGCTCTTCCAGAGTTTCGCCTCTGTCAAAGCCAAACCAATGGATCACGAAGCAAGGCGTCGCACGCTTCCCCGGCCCGCAGCAGTTTCCCATCATAGGGCGCGTACATGACCTGCGACGCACGTCGTCGTGGCTCAAGTTCAAGGAATGGGCCGACGAGTACGGTCCAGTGTACAAGACGTCTATGATGGGGCAGCGCTTCATCGTCGTGTCGGACGAGGGCATCGCGACGGACCTGCTCGTCAAGATGGGGAATCATTTCGGTGGGCGGCCGCAGATACGCGCGCTGATAGACCACAAGAAGGGTCCGACGTATTTAGCGTTACAGGACCGCAATGGTACGGTTACCCCATTTCCACAGGGCTTCCTTCACGGCCGGCGAGACGACATGCTGATGGTAGAGATACACGACAGAGACATGGAAGGCACAGAGAAAGTGGGTTCACGCCGCCATGGCCGTGGCGACGCAAAACGACTTTTACGGCCACGTCGAAGATGAGGTAAAGCGGTTCCTCGCCACGCTGCTCGTCGACCCGAGCAGGTTCCACGTCAACATCCGCGAGACGACGGGCCGCATCATGGCACGGCTGACCTGGGACGACGCGACGCTCGGCCCGCGCTACGGCGATGAAGCGCTCGCCGCCCTGCGCCAAATGTCCACCTCCGGGCCCCTGGTCAACACCATCACGCCGCTGTGGCACCTCGCCGACCTCGTCGGGCACAACCCCTGGCGGCGGCACGAGGTCGCGCGCGAAGGGCGGATGAAGACATGGTGGACGAACACTCTGCGAGCGGCGAAGCGTCGGTTCCGCGAGGGCACGCTGCCGGGAGACACGTGGGCGGCGCGGTACTGCGAGCAGCTGCGCGACGAGGGGGCCTCCCTGGAGCAGGGCGCCGAGGATGAGGAGTTTGCGGCGTGTATGCTGGGCTTTCTGTGCATGGTGGGCGTGGTGACTGTCGCTGGGCCAATGCAGTACTTTGTCATGGCCATGGCCATGCACGGGAAGTGGCTGGCCAGGGTACAGGAGGAGGTTGATCGTGTTTGCGGTGCCAGGATGCCGGACATGGGCGACTATGCGAAGCTGCCGACAGTGCGGGCCTGCGTCAAGGAGACGCTGCGGTGGAGGCCGACTGTTCCTCTTGGTAAGACGTGCCACGTACCGGCTCATATAGGCGATCACGGCGTATCAGACTGACGGCAGCAAGGCGTGCCTCACGAGTGCGAGACGCCGACCGAGTATCGCGGCGTGCACATCCAGCAGGGCGACATCGTCCTCGCCCTCGAGTGGTAAACCTCACAAGTCCAACCCCCATCTCACAAAGAAAAGCACGAGCTCACTTCTCCGCCAGGGCCCTCAACCGCGAACCCTCAGTATTCCCAGACGCCGAGTCATACCGCTCGGAGCGCTGGCTCGAGCCCGGCTGGCCGACGTACGCGGAGCCCCTGACGCAATACCCGAGCCTGCGCGAGGGCAAGGCCATGCACACGTTTGGCTGGGGTCGGCGGGCGTGTCTCGGCACCGCGCTGGTCGACCGCGAGATGTTTGTCTTTGCAGCGGCCGTGTGCTGGGCGTTTGACCTGGCGCCCCGGACGTGTCCGCTCACGGGCGAGGAGGTGCCCGTAAATACGCGGGCGACCGACTCCAACGTCATACTGGAGCCGACGCCGTTCGCCGTGGACGTTCGGCCGCGGAGCGAGGAGAGGGCGGTGCAGGTCATGGAGGCGTATGCACGTGTAAGTGGGAGGATGAGGGTCTAGAAAAGTGAGGCGTGGTCAGACTGCGATACTTGGCTTTCTGCAGCAGTCACTTGCGAAACTCGGCGCGCCAAAGAGAAAAGGGTACGTATTCTAGCTGCTCGTCATACCCTTCAAAGCGGCAAGACTCAAACGAGCAAAAAGAGACGTCGGGCAAAGGCCAAGCATCAAAAAGCAGAGGCAGCAAAAAAAGAAAATGATCTCCGATGCGGGGAATCGAACCCCGATCCTTGCGGTGCTTACAGCCGTGAAGCTTGAAAGCGCAATATCATAGCCACTAGACCACACCGGATTGTGGGTCGCCAACCATGTCTTCGGAATGAACCGTACAGGCCAGATTGGGTTGAGGAGCTGCTAATTTTGTTTATCAAGGCCACCGTTTGGCGGGCCAATGGCAACGCGTACCTGGGAGCGTCTGGCATGCAGTGACTCAACCCAGAGGCTGGCAGTTCAACTCGCGCATGAGATGGGAGACGCGGTGATGCGTGCAATAAGTAGCGACGCATACTGCGGAACGGCGCACAAGGCGTGAGGTCCTTCTACCTTAGTGTTGACAGCGCGTGTCTTGCGGTGGTTTGGCCGCGGCTGTTCAGGCCTGTCTCTGCCCTGTGCAAGCGGTAGACCTTGAAAGAGAGGCCGACGGCATAGGATGGTCAACAAGCAGACATAACATCATCACATGTCGCGGCGAGAACGCAATGCGTACCTTGACCGAATACCGTCTCGTATTCGTATGCGGCATCTAGCTTGACACCACCATCTTCTCCGGGAACTTGTAGCCGTCTAGGGTCATGCTGCCATGCAGGTCACTGATGCCGGTGCCCAGGGCATCGAGGCTCCAGGGTGGTTCCGGGTTGCAGAAGCGATCCTTTCAGGCGGCGCGTCGGACGCTCCAGCGCCCCGACAGAGGGGCTCCAGTGCACCAAGGGCAGCGGACGAGACGGCCAGCGCGGCCACACTCCCGGTCCCGCCGCCCTCGGGCGTCCCTCCCCACCACGGCCAGCGCCTCCCCTCGGCGCAAGCCATCCCCGCCATCGGCTCCCGCGCGTCAACCTTCATCTACAAGACCCTCCGCCACTTCCAGCGACGTCGCTTCTTCTACTCTGTCTTCCTCGCGCCCGCATTCCCGCCGGGGCTTTTTTTCCCTACCTACCTACGTGCCTAATCCCCCGCGCCTGTGTACTCGACGAGAGCAGCGCGAAACGGATAGAGAGGTAGACTCAGACGCAGACAACGACCGCCGCCGCCAGCCCCGCGCGCAAGTCGCACGTCGCAACCACCATGGCCCAGTCCACCGCCCACCGCCGCCTCCTCCAGGAGTACCGCGCCCTCACCAACAACCCCCCCGAGGGCATCACCGCCGGCCCCGTCTCCGAGGACGACCTGCTGCACTGGGAGTGCCTCATCCAGGGCCCCGAGGGCACACCCTTTGAGGGCGGCGTCTTCCCCGCCGAGCTGCGCTTCCCCAAGGACTACCCGCTCGCGCCGCCGTCCATGAAGTTCCTCGCCGACATGTGGCACCCCAACGGTGAGTGGCCTGCCTTCCTCCTTCTTTCTTCTTTTCCTCCGTTCAGCATGAGACTTGCGCACGCACACAAAGTCGCGGCTGGCAAGAGAGAGTGGGCAGCTGACTGAAGCGACACGCAGTCTACCCCAGCGGCCTCGTCTGCATCTCCATCCTCCACCCCCCCGGCGACGACCCCAACCACTACGAGCACGCCTCGGAGCGCTGGTCTCCCATCCAGTCCGTCGAGAAGATCCTCATCTCCGTCATGAGCATGCTCGCCGAGCCCAACGACGAGAGCCCCGCCAACGTCGAGGCCGCAAAGATGTGGCGCGAGCGCCGCGCCGACTACGAGAACAAGGTCCGCGACGGCGTCCGCCGCATGCTCGGCTTATAACGTAGTCACGGGGCTCTTATGCGTGTCGCGAGCTCCCGTGCCGTCGTTTGTTCGTGAGAAGCGTATGACAGGACATTTGGGGGAAGATGGTCATTATGTCTCGTTCGCGAGCTTGTTTTGTTTTGCAGCAGTATATATCTTTAGCATGGCATGGCATGGTGTTAAATGGTAGCTCTTCGTCTCTTCTACATCTTCATCCGCCCAAATGCGTGGCTTCTATGGGAATCAAACGCCGCTCGCTCCATGCTAGAGGCCGTTGTCGGCCTTGAATTTATCCCAGCTCTCGTTCAACGTGCTAAACACCAGCCCGGCAATCAGTCGCACCTCGGTGCTCGCGTCCTGGGGCAGCTGCCGAGTGTCAGTGTCTCCCGCGGCGAGGTCGGAAGTTTCCCACGTACCTTGTCTGGATGCGTCTTGGCAATGGCCTTCATGTACACAATCTTGACCTTGTTGGCCATGACGAGCTCATGCATCCCGACGCTCTTCCACCCGGACCCTTCCCACAGCACCTTGTCCATGCTGGCCAACAGGGCCCGGAGGTTGTCCCGCTTCCCGTCGCGCCAGGCCGACACCCTGGCATCGACCGCTTCCGACAGCGCAAACTTCTCGTCGTCCTCCCGTGCCGCCGCCTGGTTCGCCTCGCGCAGTCGCGTGACGGCTTCGGAGCTCTTCTGCGGCGCCAGGCTCGCCGTGGCCGACGGCTTCGGTCTCGGTTTCGCTGCTGGTTTCGCAGCCGGTTTAGGCTTGGGCGCGAGCGCATTCTGGCAACGCTGTCGGCCCTTGACGGCCGTCGCTCCACCTACGCCGGCCTCGACGCATCGCTGCCACACGGCACCAGCGTCCGCCCACTTCTCCATCTGCTCCAGCGCTTCGGCCTTTCGGCTCAATGCCTTACCGTACAGCTCCTTCATGTCCCTCTGCTCGTCCTGCCCGTTCTCTCCTTTGACGGCGACACTCTCCCCCTGCCCATTGCTGGGCCCGATGATCTTGAGAGCATCGTCGGCGTCAGACACGGCCTGCTTCGGCTCGCCAGTCTTAAGTGCCGTCAGCGCGCGGTTCGTAAGGAGCACGACCATCAACGGATGCGCTGCGGGAACCGCGTTCATGGACGACGAGTAGGATGAGTGAGCCATGGCAAAGTCTCCGCGCTTGAAGTGGGCTGTCCCTTCTAGCCTGTGCTTGGTGGAACTCTGAAGCGCTGAGTGGTCCATGGGAGGGACTTGCCGGGCAGGCCTCGGGGTGGCGCGCCGCGGAGGTGTCGGAGCGGCCTGCGGGCGTCGCGCGGGTGACGGCGCGTCGCGCTGTGCCGGGCGATGGGGAATAGGCTGGGCCTTGGGTGCCTGTGTGTTGAAGAGGAGGTCAGGTTCCGGCTCCTGCTTGGGCTGTTCGGGCGGCGGCGCCGTCTTCTTCCTCCTGTTTGCGCTGACATAGCTGGAGAAGTTGTCGTCGTCGGCAGCGAGCCTGTTGAGGCGCGACCTGGCATCGGATGGCGCTGGTGATGCGCTCTGCTGCCACCGGGGAACCGGACTGCTTCTACTTTGAGTTCCGGAGGATGGGGCTGGAGACGCCCTGCGTCCTGCCTCCGCGGCCAATCTTGGATCAGCTGCTTGCCTGCTGCTGGAGCGAGAAGGATTAGGCCGGCCGCCGGCCTCCAGAGCCATGGCTTCGTCTGTGGCCTGCGCAGCTGCTCTCTTCTCATCTTGAGCGCGACTTTGTTGCAGTTGCGCGTCGCGCATCCACTTGGGCTGGCTCGGATCGCCTTCTTGGTTGAAATCAGCCACAGCCTTTTGTACCTTCTTCTGCCCCGTCTTCCACAGCGAGTTGGCCGTCTTGAACAAGCTGCTGCCCACGGCGGCGGCCGACTTGGCAAAGTCAGCGTCGCCCCTGTTGCCGGACCTCTGCTCGGTCTGCACCGGAGCTTTGCCAGGCCCTGTGGACGAGCTTCTGCCTTGTGCCTTTTCTTTGGCTTTCCGGTGCGCGTCGTCCAGGAGCCAGTTTGCCGCCGCTTGTACGTTGAGGCCAGCCCCGCTCTCCGACAAACCTCGCCGGGCATCTTCTGGAGAAAAGCCGTAGTCGACGAGCTGAGCTAGAGCTCTGTCGAATTCCTTGTTCGCTCTCGGCTGCGACTCCGGCGCCCGTCGCGGCGGTTGCGGAGGCTCGTCGGACGAGCTCGAATCGTCGTCCTCGATAGGCTTGCCAGGTTCAGGTTGCGCCGCAGCCTGCTGCTTCTTGCGCACCTCATCTACCGGCCTGCCGAGATCGCCCAGGAAGTCGTCGTCGTCGAGCGCGTTCGTCGATATTGCCGCTGGGACTGCGCCCGCCGGTTTCATTTCGTTGAGGCCGAATGGGTCGTCGTCGTCCACGGGGAAGTCTCCGTTCGAGCCGGCGGTCGAGTTCCATGCTGTCGGATTGCTCAGGTCTAGTCCAGCGCCGTTCGCGGGAGTCGATCCCTTCGACTCAGGGGGTGGGTAGTGGCTGGAATTGTCAACCGCGGTATCCTTGTTGAACGCAGCGAAAAGGTCATCGTCGTCGCGCTTGGGTCCGTTCGAAGGGGCGGGTGGCTGTAGACTCGGACTCGGCGTAAACGCGCGCGATCCAAGCGCATCCCAGTGCTGCCCGCTGCCAAACTGCGCCTCGGTCTGCCTTCTCTGCTCCTCGGCCTTTATCCTTTTCTCGGCCTCGAGCTGCGCTTGTCGCTCCGCGAGGGTCAGGTTCTGGTTCGACTTTGCCTGGCCAAAGTTCATCAGATTGCTGAAGCTATCTTGCGCCGGCTTGGGTGGCGCAGCCTTGGGCAGCGATCCCGTCGATGCGTTCGCGGATGCCGGCGTGCTTCGGCCAGAACTAAACGGCGAGGGGCTCGGTCGCAGCGAGGAGAAGGAGGGGTTCATGGGAGGCGGCTTGGGCTGGTTGGCGGCGGTCTTGGACCAATCGAGCCCCGACAGGTCATCCATCGTTAAAAGGTTTGATTCCGCCGGTAATCATCAAACATTCGCGAGCGTCGTCAGGTCATGTCATGCTTGGTGTTCTCGTGTGACGGGTTGATGGCGTTGCGTGGTCGCATGGCGAGGCGGCGTTGACGGTTGAGGCTGGTGCCTGTGGCTGGTGCGAATGGACGAGTGGCGTCACATGACTCCACCTTCCTCGACTTGTCATGCAACTCCCAGAGGACTTGAGGAACTGAGCGAGGAAGAATTGATGTGCTTCAAATTCGTGGGCTTTGGAACTGGGAAGTGTGTCTTATGTGCCTTGCTGCAGACTGACATTGACATCTCTCCTCAAATCCCTTCATGGAGAGCAATCCGCCATCTTCTCGCCTTGGGGTCATGCACCCATAAACTTATCGTGACCAAGCTGGCAAACGACAGATATTGGTCACTTCCGCCATACCCTACACTTTCCGTCAGTTCAGGTTTACATAGAGCGCATGCTCTGCGTTCCCTCCGCTCTCGACGCGTGGAACGCGGTGAAGAAGGCGTCTACATTCCAAAATTCCAATATCCTACCCTACAGCCATCTCTCTGATACCAATGATCGGGTCTTCAGTGCTTCTCGAAGCCCGAAGGTTGCCAGTTGAGCTTTACTTGGCGCCTCATGGCGGACCTCTTGGCAGTAAATATGCGAGTCATTGAGGATGACGAACAAACGACGGTAGACTACGAGTCCCGACACTTAACAAGAGGCCGGATGGTCGAGGCCAATCTGGGTGAGGTGTGAGGCTACGAGTACAAGTGCAGCGCCCCTGTTGATCTACCGGTGGAGCAGCATAGCCACCTGGGCTTATACAATACGTATAACAGACGAAAGATGGGGCAAGCCTTGGCCGTGTCACGGAAGGTCGCATCTCCGTGATGATCGAAATGTTGTTGACCGAGCGTGACGTCGGTGGACATGGACGCAATCTGGGCGCAGATCTTTTGGCGTCTGGAAGCAACTGCGCCGCCCGCTGCCCAGGGTCCCTTCTCCACAAGGCTTCTTTCTGCAAGCCACATTCTACGACGGACGGACGGCTTGCAGCAAACGCGGGTCTGCCGGAGATGCACGCCGTGACTCGGACGAGAGGCGCCGCAAAGGGTTGCATATGCACCACGTATTTGCTTCCATCTCAAGAGTTTGGATGAAGCTGCCACAAGTGCGCCCGAGTCCGGGTCGACTCCGCACTTGGGCCCAGGTTTCGGCGCTCGAGCGAAGTGACGCCGTGCAGCTGGCCATCTACAATCGTGTTACCGATCGCGTGTCAGAGACCGGAGAGTCAATGCGTTTCAGCCTTGGGGCGATGTTTGCTCTGCATGTTGCGCCTCGCCGAGCCGCCCGCGAGTACAGTAGCAATCGGAGCGTCAGTGGAGGTCGGCGTCTCACGCAGCTCTCACCAGCTCCAAGAGCGGTGTGAATCAACGCGGCTCCGGCGGCGGCTTGGGCCGAAAACGCAACCTTGATGAGCCGTGTCCTGGCGTTACACCACCTCTGCAAGCTGCACTCAACAGCCTGGTGGTGGTGGGTGTTGGAATCAGCCGCATCGCTTATGTCCTGCATCTGCCACCCATCGTGTGATGGCACACGTGTTTGCTTGTTTGCTGCTATATGGACGACGACGACAAAGGCGGCTCATTTGGAGTTGACAATGTGCCGCCGTTCCGCTGGATGGAGGCCACCTGCACCATTCCGCGGGACCAGCAGACTCGCCGTGGCGTGCTGCAACCGCACTTTGATGCACCTCTTGTTCAGCTCCGCCTTTGACGTGGCCATCGATTGCCCTCCCACGGCGAATGAGGCCCGTCCCAGGCACTTGAGATGCGGCTCTTGTCATGACCGCCTCACCCACGCACGGCCGCGACTGGCGGATTTGCCGGAAGGCGTAGCAAACAACGCAGCCACGGCCATGTTGCTGTCGCGCGACCGGAAGGGAATCGATGTCGTCGTGGCGCAGAATATGATGGAATCCGCGGAAAAGGTGACGAAAAGCATGTCAGCCGAGCCGCTGTGACCATTGACAAGCAGCGGGCCGATACCCTTTCCATCGCTGCGTGGATTCGTAATCCTCACTGTAATCGCAGCGGCCCGCCCGCTCACAGTGCCCTTTTTAAAGGCCGGCTCGGGTCGCGCAATGCTGGCGACGCTTGGCGAACAAAAGTCTCACTGCACCGCACTGCACTGTACACGTTCACGTCGACGGCAACCGAAGCTCAAGAACCCACTACTTACCCAGAGCGTCAGTCAGTCAGCATCCACCGCTGTCCTCTAGGTTGTCTTTCGCATCACGCAACTCTCTTCCCCGCACGTAACAGACAACACAACTGCACACGCATTTTCACACCATCACAAACAAACCCAGCAAACGCGCGCGCAAACATGGTCGTCGTCGAGATCAAGTCGCTCGAGGAGTTTGAGCAGGTGCTCAAGGAGAACCCCAAGGTGGTGGTCGACTTCACCGCCAGCTGGTGCCCGCCGTGCAAGATGATCAAGCCGATATTCGCCAAGCTGTCGGAGGAGCAGGGCGAGGTCAAGTTCGTGTCGGTCGACGTGGACGAGGTGGCGCCCGTCGCGGAAAAGTACGGCATCCGCGCCATGCCGACGTTCCTCTTCTTCAAGGACGGCGAGAAGGTGGACGACCTCCAGGGCGCCATCCCGCCCCAGCTCACGAGCAAGGTCACGGCGCTCGCTGCTTGAGGGGCCCGTGGTCAGTGAGGAGTGAGGCGGGGGAGCTTTGTGAGGATTGTGGTGGGTTGGTCATGGCCGGTGCGTGCCGGTCGCTCGCACCGGCGGGCAAATGCGGCGACAGCGACCCCGCGGAGGGATAATTGCATGATTTGATTGAGACGAGCTCTTTTTTTGCTAGGGGTGCCATCGTGCACACTCACATTGCCCGCCAGGGCCAGGAATCTACAAACACCCGGGAACATGCTTCATGATTCACGTCCATGTTATTGCTGCGTTCGCCAAGCACGGTGGCCGGGGTGGCCTGTTCGCTCAGCCTTGGGGCAGTGTCGAGTCAGAGGAGGAGGCAATCTGCACCTGGTAGCTACTAATAACAGATGTCAAGTCGAGTGTTGATTGCCCATACGTACTCGTGAGTGCACGTGGCGCCAGAGATGCGGGTGCACCCGACCTTTGTTGCAAGTTGATCAACTCCAGGCGATTCCCATGCGCCATCCCCAGTAATGAAGCCGGCCGCTAGCGTTTGCACATTGCGATGCGCTGGAGCCGAGGTGCCAGGAAGCTGGATGGCTGGATGAGCTTCCTCGACCGCCTGCTGACGCAGCCGCCGTCTGCCCAGAAGAGTCGGATGGCCGACCAGTGGGCGGCTGTGGCTGTGGCTCCAGGCGACCGCCCGTGGCAGGCTGCCCGTAGCCATACGCGAGGCCAACCTGCGCTGCCACTTCAGCCTGGGCAGCGCCTCCGGGCCAAATTCAGTGGGAGCGGCCCCCTGCGGGACCCCTCCAACCCCCAAGCCCCAGCAAGGGCCGGCGCTGGATCTGGGGGTGGCGCCCACACGGGATTGGCTGGTTGGCCCAGCGTGAAACCGCGTCCCTGGCTGCTGATCGGCCCCCGCCCGCCCCTGACATTGATTGAGTTCCCGTTCCTCTCCTCTGCCCAGCCGTGCCAGCACTTGCGCCAGCGAAGCGCCGTCGAACTTGAAGCGCGTCCAACCAACACCACCACCGCCAGCGCGCGCTGCATGCCAGTCAGGCACCTGGGTTCCAAAGGTGTGTTTGAGGTGGCAAAGGGGGCCCTCTCCCCTCCCCGTCTCTGCCCCAGGCTCCGTCGCGGAGAACGGCTTCTCCTGATAGTTTGCCTCTCTGGCACGCAGCGCGGACGCGTCTGGCGCACCAGCCTCTTCCGAGCTCCCGACTTCTGGCTTGGCCCGCAGTGTGCCCGTCGGTATTGTTCCCAACACGGTTCCCTATTTAGCTTGTGGATATTGAGGCTCAGAGCGGCCCCGCAAGAGTTGAACGAGCCATCGTCATAGAGGGGCGCACCCATGCCGGCGCACCAACGACGCGCTTGGCACCGCACCAACCGCAGGCGAAACACCCACGGCATCGTGTAGACGAAACCATGCACGCGCGCCAACTGCGACGACGATGGCCTTGCCGTCTTGCCGACGGGGCAGCCAGGCAAGTCGGACAACGCACTCCGTCGACGATTTGGACCCGAGTCGCTGGGAACCCGATCCATGGATGCTTCAGGCACTTTTTTGGCCAAGAGAGCTGCCAAGGGTATGGACCGCCAAGGGGCCCAAGGATCCTCGGACCCTCAATGCGACCTGGGGGTCTCCCTGATGTGCAACCAAGTCCTCAGTTCCCCTGACCATCGCTCGCCCCTCCAAGACAGCCTCCTCCAACAGGCAAAGCTCGATGAGGCCAATCAGGCGCGTGGGGCCGCCCATCCCTCGTGCCCCTGGACTGATCTCGTCGACGCCTCATCAGTTTGCCATCCAGTCCCTCTCTGTTCTGCCGGCAGCCGTCGACCTCGTGGTTCCTGGTACCTCGTGCTTGTGGCCCCCGAGCTGGCGTTGCACCGCGCCATGCGCCCCTGCGCCAACTGGCCTGGCCGCCCCTGTGTACCTAGTACTCGGGATCTTTTGCTCTCGCACAACGTCACCAACCGTCGCCGGACATGCTGGATGGATGATGGATGCCCGTCTTGGGTCCCATGCCCAGTGACCCTTGGAACCCCCGTAATCTTGTCTGGAGCGGCAAACGGACGGCCCCAGAGAGGTGTCCATCCGGCCCTGGGGGCGCTGCCGTATGGCCCGTCCTTGGCCTCATGAGTGCCCAGACGAACAGTATCTCCACCGCGATCTTCCATTGTTTCGATGTGGCCCCCTCCCCCTTTGGTGTGAGTATTCGATACCTACGGCCATCTCTTTCCCTTCCGGCCCCCTCCCTTCGTTCCTGTGATGCGTGAGGCTTCCCGCTCGACGTCTTGACCCTTTCACTCATTCCACCACGCCACGAGGCGCCTTGCACTCCTTTGCATCTTCGCTACGCTCCTTGAATCTTTGCATTTCTCTTTTTCGTAAGACACAAACTCATTCGTTTCGTCCCGAACCCGACGATCCTGTTCGCCCCGGAACCGTTGCTTCCTGTACCAGTCTCTGGGAAACATCCACGAACGGGAGCGCCGAGCAATTTGCACGACGACAGCTGGCTGCATTACCTTGACAACGACGCCATCTTGGTAGCACGGTTTGTTCGTGCTGTGCGAGTAAACGCCGGTTATCAGTCCGAACCTTTTGGTCGCTGATAGAGTGGGAGCGATTTTGTTGAGAGGTCGGGACGCCGCCACCGCGAGCCTTCAATATCCATCCAGTCTGACCGTCTCCAAGGCTTCGAAAATCTTTGGATCCATACCCAGTATCGGACCCATTTTCAGTTTTAAACGAGAAGAAACCGTGGTTCCCGAGCCAAACCGCCGTGGTTGCCGCGCACGTGCAGAACTTCCCAACCACGCCCAGAACCAGCAACCGCGCCGCATCAAACCATCGTCCAGCAGCAGCAGCAGCAGCTGAAAGTCCGTCGGGCCGAACAAACGGATCTCTTTTTTTAACCGACTAAACGCGTGTGGGAAACATTGAGTTTCGGAGGGGATTGTGCCTGACGTAGTGTCTGGGCCGCGCGTTGGAATTCTCAGTCTTGGAACGCTCGCGGGGCTGGGACGAGCCTTCTTTTGGGTGAGCGCTCCCTTTGCCATTGTCGATATTCGCCTTGCCTTGCGGGAAACCGTGCTTCTTTGCTTCTTCACATCCCATCGATTGCTTGTCTATTTCTGGACGCCATATTCACATCATCTTGCTGTTTGATCGGGGGCGAGAACGTGCTGTGCTTGGAAGCCGCCCTCCGTCCTGCACCATCCTCACCCCCTCATCTCATCAATCACTTTACGCGTCAGGTCACCACATTGAGTTTGTGAAAAGCGCGGGTCGCGGGAGTTGGGAGAAACGACATCGTTCGTGTTCGTGGCGGACGGATCAAGGAAGCGAGCGCCTCTGCCTGAGCTGCTCGGCTGCCTCGAGCCACCTCCTTCCGCTTCTTCATCCCACCGCACCTGCACGTACTTCTCGCACCTCATCCTTTCCTCTCCCAATCCGCGCATCACCTCGCCCCTCGTTCGACGGCTCACCACGTCGCACCTTCTCTCTTCCTACGCTCCGTTTCCAGTACAGTCTCCGCCTCCCTCGTTTCGACATCCCTTGAGCGCAACTGAACAGGGGAGCCTGGAGCCGTCACTGACACTCTTCACCCAGACCGCCTCGTCGCGTCGTCCACTCTTTCAACTGGGCCTAACGGAAACGGAAGCCGTTTGACACACATTTCATCAGCTGCATCACACGATGACCAAGCTATCTCTCGCCTTGTCGGCGGGCCTCATTGCAGGCGCCAACGCCTTCTGGCGAATGGAATGCCCTGGCCGCGTCGGACTCGCGCGAATGGACCCCATCGTCAACCCAGGCAGCGTTTCGAACCACGTACACGCCATTCACGGATCTAGTGGTGAGTACGATGTTGTAGTGAATCGCCCGTTTGTCCCGTTCCCGGCATCGATGGCGTTGCCATGCACGCCACCAACGGGCGCACCCGCTTCTAGTGCAACGCCAGCTGTGGCTTGCACTTGGCGCATCAGAGGAACCGTCTAACTCGGGGCTACAGGATTCTCCGAAACCGCCAACTCGGCGGATCTTCTCAAGGGCGGCTGCACCTCGTGTCGTGTCACGCAGGATCTGTCGTCTTACTGGACCCCTGCGCTCTACTTCCAAGATGAGAAGACTGGCAAATACGAGATTGTCCAGCAAGTCGGAGGCATGCTTGCGTAAGTTCAAGTCGGCTCTTGTCTAACACGAAGGCGCGCTCGCCTCGCTCCAAGCATCATATGCTCACTGTAGGACAGCTACTACCTCCTTTACGGGAACAACATCACGGCCTTCCCCACGGGCTTCCGCATGCTGTCGGGCACCAATGAGCGCCGAACTTACACAGTTGGCGACCCGAACAAGCCCGACCCGGACAAGTCGATGTGGGCGTCTCTCGGCCAGACCAAGCAGGAGGACCTCGAGCAGCGAGCCATCGGCTTCAACTGCCTCAACTACGCCAAGACGCCAGAGGGCACGCTCTACCGCCACTACATGCCTGACAAGCAGTATCTCGATGCCAACTGCAAGGACGGCATCCGTCTTGAAATCATGTTTCCCTCTTGCTCCAAGGGCACACAGTACCTCGACAGTGAGAACCACAAGGACCATGTTGCGTTCCCCGACCTTGTTATGTCTGGAACCTGCCCGGACACCCACCCCGTGCGCCTGCCAAGCCTTCTGTACGAGGTTATCTGGAACACGAATGCCTTCAAGGACAGGAAGGGAAAGTTTGTCTTTTCCAATGGAGACACGACTGGTCAGTAAAGTCATGTGCACTCAAATCCTGATCTGATGAAGCTGACCCGTAACAGGCTACGGCTATCATGGTGACTTCATGATGGGCTGGGACGAGAGCTTCCTGCAGAAAGCCGTCGATACCTGCACGAACCCTTCAGGCCGAATCCAGGACTGCCCATTGTTTAACGTCGTGAGCGAGGCAAAGGCAACCGCGTGTGGCCTAAAGAACTCGCTGCCGCAGGCACTGTTTGGCGAGGATGTCAAGGGGCCGATGATCAAGCTGCCAGGCGGTATGACTGGCAGTGAACCCGCGGCATCCTCTCCGGCCGCTCGCCCGAGCCTGACTTACAAACCTGGCGAGAAGCCGTCCGCACCTGCCTCCCCTCTTCCCGGCCAGATCTTCAAGGCATCATCGAGCGCTCCCGCAGTCCCGACGACGACCGCCGTTCCCACCCCGTCCAACTATGGAGCCAAGGCAAACCCCGAGAATGCCACACCTACGACGCCGACAACGCCTCCCCCGCCTCCCCCGCCCGCCAGCACGCCGGCGCCGGACACTCAGAGCTACTACAGCACCCAATACGTGACCAACGGAAACGTTGTGAGCAAGATCCTTTGGCAGGAGCAGCTCGTCTACGTGACCCAGTATGTCGACGCGGTCGAGACGGCAGCCCCTGGGGCCGCCCGCCGCCGTCGCGGGGCTCACCTGCATGGCCGCCATGGCAAGCGGCTGTAGCATGCGCAAGGAAGAAGTACGAAGGAAATAGGTTGACGGATTTTTGGAGGATATTTGCTATCTGGACAGGCTCCAGATGACAAAAGGACAAAGTGACATTCGAGTGGCATGATTGGCAGTACATTTGGCTTCGCGCTTTCTTTTCATAGAGCAGAGATGCTACCCAGCCTTGGTGAACATATGGTGTTTTAACATACGCGACGTGCGCTGCCGAGGCGCTCGATGCCTCTTGTAAGTGAAGTGCCGAGCGTGGAGGGGCGGGCTGGACGGGAGCAGCCTTATATGCCGAAGCCAGATCACCCAGCTTCCCCGACGCTTCAAGCCACGATTGAGGTGTTGACGCCGCGGCCTTTAGTCTCCGTAAACACGTTTTCCCACGCGGCCAATGATATTTTCTCCTTGTCCAGGAGTGGCGGGCTCCAGTCTCTTGTGGTTTCTGGGCCCCGGCCACATCACCAACGGTTTCTGCGCCGGGCGCTGGAATGCAGTCACACCAAGCAACGCATTCCTCACGACATTAACCGGTCCAGGCCCTCGCCCGCGCCGGTTCGCCAGCCGAGTTTCGGGGAAATTGTTATGATTTACGATGGGGAGATTGCCCGCGGGCTCGAATCTTTGCTTCCCTCGGCGCAAAGTTCAAGTCAAGTGCAGACGAGGGCCCAGCCTGGCGCCAGACAGACAGACAGTCGTCTCGCTCGTGGGTGCTACTTGTTTCTTTTCCTCGACGCAACCCTAACGTTTAGACGACGTCAAGTACACGGACGACGACGACGACGACGACGACGAAGGAAGGAGCTAGTGGGAAAGGCCAGCAAAGAGTAAGAGCAAGAGACGGACGAGACGAACGAGACGGGCGGGCCGACGGCATGAAGGCTGGCTATGTGTCGTGAGTGAGGGACGAGGATAACGGACACACAACGGACGACGACGACGACAACGACAAACAGCAAATACGACCTGACCTCTTGGGCGACCACACTCTCTTTAATTGTCTTGCCGGAGCCAGCCCACCACACACTGTTTTACCCTCCAAACCATGGAGTCACCAACCATCGCACGGCGCGAGGGCAGCACCTCCGGCAGCGGCGGGCTAGGGCTCAGCTGGCTGCTCGTCATCGCCATCGGCGGCGGCATGATCTTCTTCCTCGCGCTGGGCATGCTGCTCAGCTGGTGGGTGAAGCGGCGCTTCGGGCCCTGCACGACAAAGGTCTACTCCGTGTCCATGGAGGAGGTGACGACCAACGGCAACAAGAAGAAGAAGAAGAAGGGCGATGGCGGCCTGCCGACGCGTCTGACCAAGCGTCGGCTGCTCGAGTCGCAGAGCCACCTGGGCCTGCACTCGGCGTGGTCGAGCCGCTTCAGCAGCCGCCTGTCCCTCACGGGCACGGCGCAGGGAAGCGGTGGCGCGGCGATGGGCGTGGTGCCGCCGATGCCGACGTATGGGGGGGATGGGACGGCGGGTGGGCTGGGGCGGAACCAGAGCGGGAGGAGGCCGCGGATCGGACAGACGTTGGCGGGCGACGTGGAGGGGGGAGACGCGGGGACGACGACGACGGTGATGATGGCGGGCGCGAACGGCGCGGGCGAGCCTCCTCACGATGGGAGGGATGGGGGTGCGGCGGCGAGGGGAGGAGGAGGACCGCCGGGGTTCCTGCGCGAGAGCACGAGCTTCCTGCGCAACAGCGAGCGCTGGAGCCGCAACAGCTGGTATGCGTTTTTCGGCAAGATTGCGACGATGCCGCGCTTCCCGTCCATGCAGAGCATCAAGACAGATGCGAGGGACGTAGAGATGCAGCAGCAGCAGCAACACCAGGGCCAGGAGCACGCACAGGAGCCGAGTATCGACGAGTTGCGGCGGCGGCTGGAGCAGGAGGAGCAGGAGCTGCAACAACAACAACAGCAGCAACAGGACGAGGAGCAACAACGCCAAGAACAACAACAGCAGCAGCAGCAGACTGCCCAGCAGCACGTCCACTACCAGCTCTTCCCGCAGCTGCAGCCACACCACCAGCAACAACAGCAACAGCAGAAGCAGCAGCTCGACGAGTACCGCGGGCAGACGTTCCACCACCAGCCGTTCCAGTACCAGAAGCAGGAGCTCGACATCCCCAAGCGGCGCAGCAAGGACGCGGCCACGCTGCGGACGCTCAACGGCCTGGGAGCAGCAGCAGCAGCAGCGCCAGCACCAGCACCAGGAAGAGCAGAAGCAGGAGCAGCAGCGGGAGCAGCACCGCATCTCCCGCCGCCGCCGCAGCGCCAGGAGCACTACCTGCAGCAGTTTGCGCAGCAGACGCCCGAGGAGCAGCAGAAGCAGCTCATGCAGATGCAGCAGCAGATTGCGCAGCACATCCAGCAGCACCCGGAGCTGCAGCAGCAGCAGCAGCAGCAGCAGCAGGGAGGAGGAGGAGCAGCTGGAGGAACAACTCAGCAGCAGTGGTGGTCGCTCCAGTGGCCGTATCATAGCCCGCAGCACTCGCCGCAGAAGGCGAGCCAGCCCTCGGCCGAGCAGCAGCAGACCTCGTCGTCGCAGGCGCCGTTGCTGTTGCAGATGCAGCTCCAGCCGCAGCACCAGCTCCCGCCGCGGGGACAGCAGCAGCAGCAGCAACAGCAGCAGCAGGGGGCTACCACCGACGACGTGCCCCGGGGTCGCCGTCGGCTTTCCTCGCAGACGCACGCGCGGCGGTCTACGGTCGCGGATGCGGACCTGCGTAGCATCCTCCGGTCGACGGACCAGCGGCTGCGCGAGGGCTCCAGCCGCTCGCCCAACAAGAACAAGGGCGCCGCGGCGGCGGCTGCGGCGTCATCATCGCGCTCCCCGTCGAGGGCCTCGCAGAGCCGAGCCGGTGCCGGCCAGGTCCAGGCCGGGCCGCGCACCTCCCACGCCAACTCCTGGCGGCCGGGCAGCAGCTCAGCAGCGCGCAGCACCGGGCGCGTCAGTCCCATCAAGGGCCGCTCCGGCAGCGTCTCGCCCGTCAAGGGCGGCCCGGGCCACCTCGCGCGGAGCGGCTCCGCGGCGTCCATCTCCAGCGCGGCCAACAGCCTGCTCGCCGAGGCCATGGAGCAGCTGCTGCTTCCGGGCGGGACGAACAGCCCGAGCCGCGTGCAGGGCGGCATGGAGTGGGATCTCCAGACCGGAGGAGGAGCGTGGCAGAGCCAGCGCAGCCCTCAGCAGAGCGCCAGCGCGAGCCCCGAGAGGAACGCGCAGACGAGCCCGCGCCGCGGCCAGCAGGCGGCCGCTGCCATCACTCCCCAGAGGAGCCCGCAGCGAAGCCAGCAGGCCAGTCCGCAGCGCGTCGTCCCTCAACGGAGCCCTCAGCGCAGCCCGCAACGGAGCCCCCAGCGAAGCCCCCAGCGCAGTCCCCAGCGCAGCACGCAAAAGAGCCCGCAGAAGGCGCCCCAGCGGACGCTCTCCAAGCGCCGCTCCGTCGACAGCGACGCCTCGAGCTCCCTCTCGACGCTGTACAGCGTGGGCGAGCCCGAGGAGAAGAAGCCGCAGCAGCAACACCAGCAGGGCGACGACCCGTTCATCGACCGCGCGCCCTCGCCGCACCGCTACCCAAACGTGCACGACCGCAAGCAGGTCTCGGGCCCGCGGCCCCTCCAGCGCGCCAACACGGTCAGCCCGCGCAACCTCATGAGGCGCGAGGTCGAGTCCCCGCTGCCCAAGGCGCCGCTCCGTCCCATATCGGCCAACTTCCAGCCGGGCCACGGCATCCGTCGCTCCGTGACGTTCCTCCCGCCCAAGCTGCAGCTGTGCGAGGAGACGCGCCCCAAGGAGGCGGCGGCGGCGGCGGCACCGGCGGAGAGGGCCTCCACCGCGGAGCCGGCTCTGGCGTCGCCGTCCGAGGCGAGCTTCACGACGGAGTCGGTCCATAGCACCGACTCGGAGAGGACGGAGACGGCGACGTGCGAGACGCCCCGCCCGGAGAGCGCCCTCAACAACGACCGCAGGTCTCCGCCCATGAGTCCACTGACGCCCAGCCGCAGCAGCCGCGCCTCTGACGTCTCCTCGTCGCCGTACAATGAGCACGACATCCTGTCCATGCTGCTGTCGGCGTCTGGCCCGCGTCGTGCCCTGCCCACGCCCCCCACGGCCACCGTCACGGCGCCCGACGGCTCCGTGGTGTCCACGCCGCTGTCCCCGCGCCCGGTCGACAAGAGCGAGCGCAACTCGGCCGTGCTCGAGCGCAGGAACTCCGAGGCCAGCTCCTTCTACTCGACCGCGCCAACGGACGTCGGTCCCGCAGCCGTGTCCAACGGCTCGCCGCGGAGGTCCGCCGTCAAGGCTGCGCGGGAGCAGTTCGAGAAGCGCGAGCAGGAGAAGGGCGAGCCGGTAGTGAACCCCCGCCAGTCGCAGGACATCGGGTCGACCATCGCGGCGCTGCGTCGCATGAACAGCGTCGTCAGCTCGCAGAGCATCGGCTCCATCGCGTCGACCATCATGGGCGGCGCCGGCAGCGAGGCCGCCGACCTGACGGACGGCAACCAGGAGGGACCGTCGACGCCGAGCGCGCGGGCCCGCGTCCCGCTCGGCACGCCGCGCTCGCTGCCGCAGTCCAAGAGTATCGGCAGCCGGCACTACTTCAACCTGGGCAAGAACAGCCCGACTAAGAACTCTGCGCGGATGCAGGGCGGCGGCGGCGGCGGCCACAGGAAGACGGTCTCCGCGGACCCGCGCTTCAGCGGCATGGTGATGCTCAAATCCCACGGCAGCGTCGGCAGCAACAGCAGCAGCGGCGGTGGTGGCAGGAAGCGTGATGTCAGCCAGAGCCCTACGCGGAGACAGCAGCAGCATGCGCGCTCCGACGGATCGCCGCGGCGCCGTAAGGAGGGCCGCACGCGTGGGTCTAACCTGAGCCGCGAGCCGTCGAATGCGTCCTCGGTGGCGACGTCGAACGCGACCACGACCACGACCACCACGTCGTCGGCATGGGCCCCGAGCAAGGTCAAGCTCACGCCGGCCAAGCACCTCGCCGTCGAGGAGAGGCGTCGCATCGAGCGGCGCTACAGCAGCGACAGTAGCAAGAGCTCCACCTTCCAAGACAAGGAAGGCTTCCTGCTCTCGTCGCCCGAGGGCACCGTGCAGCGCCGGTGGATGAGGATGTGAGATGGATGTCGTTTTCTTTTGCCTAATATCGGTTCAGAATGAGCCAGCTTTCCTTATAAATTCCCCTAAAAGTGTCACCGAGTCTTGCGGGGACACACGCGCGCCTTCTTTTCTTACTTACCTGTTTCCTTTTCCATATTTTTATATCATACGTGGCGGATGCGGACCTCAGGCGTTTCGGAGCGGTCTTCGATTCTTTCATGTACATACCCTTTTTCAGACTATTCGTTGCTTTTGGACGTAATGTAATCTGCCGAGGCGGACCTGACTTTGAATTCGAGTTTTCCATTTGTGTGTGTGTGTGCCGCACGGGACGACCCGCGCGTGCGTCTACCTCCCTGTCGGTATACCTGTCCCGAAGTTGCCTGTAATAATCTCGCACACCGTGTTTATTTTCCCGTCCAGAACGCCATGCTTCAGCCGTTCCCCCAACCTGTCCAAATGTGACAATCGATGGAGCTCGCGGGCTTACTCGACGCGAGGGCGCTTGTTCTCCGGGTCCTCGTCGGCGTTGCCATTGACGCCGTCGCCTTGGCCCTCGACCTCGTCGCGGCCGCGCGTCCGTCCCGCGCCCTCGCCGAGCTCGCCCTCTACCGGCGCGGTGTCGTCGCCCTCGCCGTCGCGGCCGATCCAGTTGCCATCCTCGTCAAAGTACTCGTGCATGTTCTCGGCGGTGATCCAGCCGCCGCTGCCGGGCATGGGCGGCGGCAGGGTGCCGTCTGCGTTGCCGCGCAGGACGCCCGTGAAGCCCTCGAGGGCCTCGGGCTCGACGCTGGTGTCGAACACGATCCTGTCGGCGTCGTCCTCGTCGTCCTCGTCTTCGTCGTCCGGGTGCAGGTCGGAGCAGTTGGACAAGGCCTCGTAGAGCTTCTTGGCGGCGCTGGACTCGTCGGCTGCGCCCTCGCCGGCGGTGGCCGGGATGATGGTGAGCTCCGTCATGTTGAAGTCATCGTCGCCGGAGCCGCCGTCTGAGATCTCGACCTGCATCCAAACCGCCTGCGTGCGCTTCTCCTCCGACTCTGGGCCTATTTGCTTGAGAGCGTGGATGGAGATGGACGGATAGGGGATCGAGACGCCCGCGCCAGCCTCCTGGTTGAAGAGGATAAAGTTCCTGCGGTCTGGTCAGATGTGCGCAGAGCAGAGGGCCTGCGCAAGTAGCTCACTCCGAGGTGATAAAGACGTCGACCTCCTGCTCCACGATCGCCTCGTCTCCGCTTTCGCCGTTCGTCTGGCCGCTCTCGACGTGGGCCAGGTCCGCGGGAAAGATGGCGAGGCCGCCGCATTGCGCCTTGGGCGCCTGGATCGTCGCGCCGGCGAGATGGAGGTGCAGGACCGGCTTGCCGTCGGCAAAGGACTCGGGCGTCTGCGTCTCGTACTCGGCGAGCGGGACGTAGTCCCCGACCGAGGGAGAGGTCCGGATCGTGGTGGCGATCATGGCTGCTTGAGAGGTGGCGAGCGAAGCGGCGAGAGGGTGTTTGTTTGTGTTCGCGCGCAATGAGGGGAGCTGTTTCGTGAGTGCAAACAGCAAGAGTGCGAGTGTGTGGTTGGAGCTTCGTTGCGCTTTCGAGGGGCAGCTGTTGCTCGCCGACGTTTTGGGAAGCGCTATCCTATCGGCGTGGTGGGGCGGGCGCAGTGACGAACCCCAGGCAGTGCCGAGCGCGCGCATTGAAGGCGGGCTCATCGTGCTTCCTTCATCGACCCATGGCCCGCCGCTGATCCCAAGACTCGACGCTCTGACCCCCCTCTCCGGTAATTACCCAGCACATACCAAGGAAACTGCCGCGAGCGCAACACGTGGTTTGCGACAAACGAGACACCCGCTGTCCTGTGACCAAGCTCACCCTCTACTCCGGCTGCTTGCGCGTTCCTCGCGACGGCGCCATGTACAACAATCGTGAGCCATTGCCCGTTGCGCAACTAACGACCCGGAGACGCCGCTGACCGCCGAACCGCAGGCCCCCATCCCTTGCTGGAACAGGTCCCCCTCACCGTCTCGCCCTTCATCTCGCTCCCGAGCGCCACCACCCTCTCCTACAACTACAAGACGATGCCGTCCAACATCCCGCCCTCGCCGCTGGGCATCCCCACGGCCGCCGACGACTCGTCCGCCGAGCAGCAGCCGAAGCCGCGATTCATCGTGTCGGGCACGGGTCACGCCGCGTCGCCCGACGAGATCCTCGAGTCGTGCCACGCGCTGCTCAATCACGTGACGGCGCTGCAAAAGGACGCCGAGCGCGACCTGCGCGAGTTCGAGGAGCGCATCAGGGAGCGCGAGCTGGCGGAGAAGAGGAGAGTGGCACCCGGGTGGCTGGACAGCGAGTCGCGGCTGCTGGAGCCCGAGCGCACGTCACCGGTGCAGCAACGCGGGCCGGGCGCGGCGCCGACGACGACGACGGAACAGAAGCAGCCGCCACACCAGCAGCAGCAGCAGCAGCCGTCACAAGAAGAGCACGACGAAGGGGCGGAGCTGGACAGAGCCTTTGGCGGCATGGGGCTGAAATAGTGCGTGGCTATCACGCGTGTATTATGACTGACGAGAAGCACCACCCCTATGAATAGCTATGTACCGCTGAATCCAATACGAAAGGCCACGACACGATTAAGAGCCGTCTGATTTTACAACCGCGTCATCTTTGCGGTTATTACAATTGCGCACAAGATGTGCTATTAGAACCAAGCGGCAGCAACGAGCGCCGCAACGCCAGCGACAAAGAAGCTGGAGCCCAGGGTCTGCGAGCCGCCGGACACAGTGACGGAGCTGGGGCTCGCGCTGGCAGTCTGTCGGTGGGACGAAGTCAGCGGATGAATGGAAGAGAAACAACCAAGCCATGTCACGACAAGAGGACTTACGCCGTTGGAAGAGTGGCTGGGAGCAGTGCCAGAGGCCGTGGGCACGATGACGCCGCTGCTGGTGGCGGACGGCTGCGTGGCACCAGGAGCCGTCGAGCTCGGCGCGGCCGAGCTCTGGGTCGAAGGCTGCTGGGCGCCCGTCGTGGCCTGAGCAGAGGTAACAGCGGTGGTCTGCTGGGCAGGCGTGGTCGCAGCCGCAGAGGTGGTGGGTGCGGCGCTGGAGGGAGCGGCGCTGCTAGGCTGGTCCGGGTTGGCCTCGAGGCCGCACCCCTTGGCCGCGGCGGTGACGCTCTTGCCATAGTCCTTCCAGATGTCTTGCGCAATGGCACACTTCATGCAGCCGTTGAAGTAGCCGAGCCACTCGCTGTCCTTGCAGTAGGTGTCCTTCTTGGTCCTGGCCTGCTGGATGGCGTATCCTGCCGACTCTGCGTCAGTATGCTCGCTGCGTGTGTAGTCGGGTACATGAGACTCTTGGAGCAGTCAAGGACGCGAGATGAACGAAAAGGCACATACCGCAGTTCTCGTGGCACTTGTAGTTTTCGTCCGAGACGTCGCCTGCCTGGCGCCTCTGGAGGAGCACGGGGTCAGGGAAGACGAAGTCTGGCGCTGCGGCGGCGGCGGCCGTAGCGGCAAGGGAGCCAAAGGCGATGAGAGAGGCAGCGAGATGCATCTTGAAGGCTGGGGACTTTATGCTCTGACAAGTGGGAAAGAGTGTGTGTGCAAGTGTGCTATAGCGGGCGCGAGCAAGCAAGCAAGCGAGTGTGATTGCAGAAGACAGCTAACAGTTCAAAAGGAGGTGAGGTGGCAGAGGGTCTCGTCCTTGTAGTGCGGGCTGGATGGGCGCGTGAGCCGGAGCGGAGGAGCTTACTTATACCCCCCCGAGTTCCGCAGGTGACTTTCAGACTTTTTGGGGACCCAATATTGCTCATGAAGGATCCAAGGGGGGAACCCTTGGCAGAAAGGCCCGAAGCAAGCAAGTGGTCCCGGATCAGGATGCCGTCGACGAGACGCCGGCCGTCCTGAACTCAATAATGCCTTTGCCCCCGTCTCTGTTGCATCCTGGACGACGCAGGCTCCATATGGGTCTCCTCTCCAATGACACGACGGGACCGCGCTGCAGCCAGCCACATGCGGTGCCACCCAACACGCAAAGCGCGACCAAGCGACATGAGGGCGGACAGGCAAGCAGGCATGTTTCCCTGCGAGAAGCGTCAAGTGCGGGAAAAACACCCATGAATCGATATGTCACCTCGACCGAGACCGCTTCGCCGAACTGGGATCCGGCTCGTCCAACGGCCAAGTTCGGAGGAGTCATCGGAGCAGCGCCAGGCGAGCTCGGACGGCCAACTAGTAAGCGCCGGAGAGCAGCTCGTTTGTTATGACTGGTGCAGGAAACAGGACCCCGCCCCGGCAAGCGACGAAGCCGTTGGTGACTTGAGAGGCCGGAGGGTCTTGGCCCTTGGGTCCTCCTGCGTGTGAGTGGGTGCCTGACCAATGGGAGCCGCAGGATGCATCTGATTAGATGGGCGACCAACCATCTTATCTGATCGAAGCAACAGCACGCACAGTAGCCGGTACAGTGCTCCTCGTATCCAAACTTTGCCGTCCCCCACTGTGCCTCACGCAACCCGCCCACACTCCCGCCCGCTGTCGTTCAATAGTTCCTTCCGCATCTGGGGCCCATGGCATGGGTCCTCCCGGTCGGCTCCGTGAAAGGCCTCGCTCTCAGAACGCAGAGCTCGTCTCGGGTGACCTCGGTGGTTCGACGACGTGAGGGCCGTCGCGGTGGAGTCCCACGTGGCATGTTTCTTCCAGCCAAGGTTTGTTCACTGGGGCTCTCGCGTCCCACTGCCGTCCGGACATCATCCCATTGTTGCATCTTTGACAGCTCGCGGGGGACGGGGCTTGAACGATGTGTGCGGCAGCCTGTCAATGAGCCGCCGAGAGCTTATCATGCACGAGAGGCACGGCGAGAGGCACGGCAACGACGACGGTTAGCCGAGAAAGTCACGGGATGGGGGGGAGGGGGGAGCCAGATAGGAATGCCTTGCCTGCCTCTTGGGTGTGTGTCACCTTGGCAGATGCGACTCCACGAGGTTGGGTCGGCCAACGGTCGGAGTGGCTGCCACCCGCGCGCGGGTCCAGTCGCAGTCCTCCCCATCCAGCCATCCATCGATGGCGTCGTCGCATCGGATGTATGGTCGGCGCCGACCCCTCTTCCTGTCCGCCCAGAGTCTCGGCACCCTGCCGGACCCAGCCACGTCCTTGTCGTGTGAAAAGGTTGCACGTCAAGTGAGGGGAAATGCCAGCCGACTGCGTGGTATTAATAGAGGGCGTTGGGGCCGCCCGCCCGTGATCGTGCGAACAGATGGATGAGAAGGAACGGAAGGTAACACGCTCGATCTGAGTCCTTCATCTGAAAAGCCGTCTGAACCTTGCAGCTGTTCTCAGAGACCGAGTCCCGACCGGTCCCTTGCACGCTTTACACGGCATGGCTCCCTTGGTTTCTGCCGTGGCTGGCCTGGCCATGCTGGCGTCTGCGGCCATGGCCCAGATGACCTCTGAGGACATGGGCCCTGCCGCCTTCATGTGGCCCAAGGACCGGGTATGGTCTGCCGCCGCCGACAACACTGCGCCTTGCGGCTCCATCGCCGGCGCCGGCAACCGGACACTGCTCCCCATGCGTATGCATACCAGAGACAGTACTTCGATCATGAACTGACGCTTTGTAGAAAACGGCCGCCTTTCTATTGTTGCACAGAACGAGTCCTTTGATGCCATCGTCAGCATCTCATACCTGTCAGGCAAGTATCCCATTTGACCTAGTCACTGGGCGATGAGGCTGACCAGACACAGATCCCAAGTCCAATGGAGACTTCACCACCCTCATCGACGCCAAGGCGATGCGCGAGCTCGACAAGGGCCACACCTGCGTGCCCATCGCGGACCCGCCGTCGTCGGTCAAGGCCGGCGCCAACGCCACGCTGCAGATCAAGTACATCTCCGAGTTCGACAAGCCCGAGAACGAGACCTTTTATGCCTGCGCCGACATCACATACGTCGCGCTGTCCGACTTCAAGGACACCATCCCCTGTTTCAACGTGACGCAGCCGCCCGATGGTGACAAGGGCAGTAAGAGCTCGCCCACAGCCAGCCCCACGCCCAGCTCCGGCTCGCCGTCAGGGTCAGGTGGCGGCAGCTCGGGCCTCTCAGGTGGTGCCATTGCGGGCATCGTCGTCGGCGTCGTCGCTGGTGTGGGACTCCTTGGCGCTGCGGCGTTGTTCATGTATAGACGGAGTCAACAGCAGAAGAGAATGATGAGGCAGCAGAACTCGTCTCGCGCGGTCAAGTGGGACGAGCAACCGCGCGACTCCAACTCGCAGCGCAGTGTGAGGATGCAGAACATGCAGCGTTGAGGTCATGATGTCACGATTAGGACCGTCCTGAATGAGATAAAACGATGTGTAAAGGTTGCATGGTAGCAGGTACTGGCACAGTTTATGGCATGTGTGTATGCAGATACGATATCATGGGAAGGAGGATAGCACGATTTGAGAGAAGGCGCAACCCACGCTCGGTTTGGCCGTCGCCACGTCGGCACTGGAACGCGTCCGCCCCCAGGTGGGCTTAACACGCCTCATTCATCACTCTTTAATACACCGTCTATATTGCCGCCAATATTAATATTCGCCTATCTCCGCTTCTTCACGCGCATCTCAAAATGCCGGGCAGGTCGTCGCATTCCGACGAGTCCGATGACCAGACCCAGGGCCCAGATGGAGCGCCACAGATACTTTCCTTCCTGTATCAGCGCGATGGCCTGGACCGCGTTTTCGGGCACAGATTTCCGCAAGGGCTACGTCCGTTCCCCGAAGGACTGTCTAATTCCCTGGAAGATGTCTCTGCCAACGCGGCCCCTCAGCATGACCCCAGTCCAAGCAGCAGTTCCGATACCACGAGGGTTGGCAGGGAGAGTTCCGCCAGCACCGCAAAGGATGCCAGGAACACCCTTGGCGCCGAGATGAACATACCTTCAAGTGGCAATGGCCCTGGCATCGCCGATGACCCGGATTCATCGACAATCCCGAGTTCCTCCATCGGCCCGCTGTTGGCCTATCCTACGACCGTCGGCGCAGAACAAACTGGTAGCCCACCTGAGGTCAACAATGGACCCGTTTCAATCAGCAAAGTGGAAGCAAGAGATGGAAGAGTATCAGCAGACAGCCCGGGAAGCACGGGTGACGAGACCCGGAGCCATATCCCTGTCGGCACGAATGCGGGGGCAATCGACACCTCAGAACCGGGCTTTGACATATCGATTGCCGCTGGCCTTGGATATAACCCGGAAGATGCCGAGTTCGATTTCGGGCAGATGGATGGCCAGGCTCCCATCGCGAATGGAAACGCTGAAGCCATAGCCGAGTCCCATCGTCCAGCTCTTTCGGGTGACCATTCTTCTGCCATGTCTCGATTAAAGGACCCCGTCGAACTCGAAGAGCACAGGTACAACGAGATGGATTGTCAAACTGGATGTCTCGCGCAACCGATAATGCAAACAGTCCCTGCCCTCCGTGGACTGACCCTAGAGACCCGGATGGCAATATGGGAATGCTTCTACGCCGTCCCTCGAGCTCATGGCATCGTGTGTTTCTTCTGCGGTCAATATCCACTGGGATGGACCACCTGGATAAGAGGATCCGCGTATTACTACGCGGAGCCGAAGGACTTGCGGAAGATGATCCAATCTGCTCAAGAGGAGACGTTCAGAGTAGACCATGACATTGACGCCGAGTCTCGATGGGTCGCTCACAAGAAGAGACCGATTCTTCTACACATGCCTCCTGCGTATCGCGAGGCGCCCCCCGGTATGCCTTGGGGCCCGCTCCTGCGTCCGGTGATCGACTGCTTTGACACTACGCGACCGCTTGGGCTCCAATGTCGCACCGGCTACGGCAGAGTCAACTTCTTTGACACCTTTCGGTGCATAGAGCCATGTGTGATACATACATTTCCCTTCTGCGCAGCGGCCGACGTTTTATGGAACTCGGGCTGGAGCAGTCAGATTCGACACCTGGCTCTACCGTACAGCTGCCTTCACAAACCCACGAACGGCCTCTCCCATTGCTTAGCTCACTTGCCGAGCCTCCAAACCGTAACATTCGAGCCTGATTTCTGGACGCACCCACGGGATTGCTCGACCAGCGAGGGCCTCGCCAACTCCGCTCTTGCCTCGAAGCTGATGATTCGGTTACAAGAACATCTATCCCAGTGCACTCCCCTCCGGACCGTTTGGGTGGACACGTGGTACGACCTCAAACAAAGACCGCGACTTGTTTTACCGACGGACGGGGGGCTAGAAGCGTCCTTTGAAAAGGCCTTGTGGGAAGCGCTGCAGTGGAGATCTCCGCGGGTCGAGATGTGGCTACAGACAGTCCTTGACTCCTCGAAGTGAACAGCAGATGAAGCAACACCGGCTGGGTATCGGCTTGTGATGAGGAGAGGGTCGTTGACAGCGAACACTTCTTCCGAAAATGACATGGACAATTTAAAGCACGAAAAACACATTCAACAGCGGCAAAAGCGCACCACAGGACTGGGGAGTGAGGTGTACTGCAGTCTTGCGTCAAACAATAAAATACGCATTCACGAACGGTTGCAGAGCTCAGCCTCAGCTTTCGTGATTGCCACGATTGCAATACTGCTTTGACAAGTGACGTTGTACGAAGTCCCACCGGTGAGTACCGCCTCGCAGCCTTCGGGATAGGCTCGTGCAACTCCGGCACGGTGTTTCGGCGAGCAAAGAGATTTCGAGTGTTGGTAGATGTTGTTGCAGGGGCAGCTGTCAGCCTCACGCGACATTTGCTTCCCGCCCTGGCAGGGCAGCCCGCTGAGGACGGCCAATTGGAATCCCTATTAGCCGCTCGGAAATCCTGGTCGATTGGCCATTTTGCTTTGCTTGCAACTTTAAAACCAACATGCAGGCTGCAAGGTGACCCTGCGCCCCCCTGCCATAGCCCCGCGTCGGCGGCAAAAGCAGCTACTTAAAGCTGAGTGTTGTTTGCCCTGTCGAGTTTTCACGTCCGATAATCTTCTTCGTTCTCCTCCCTCTAATTTTGGGCTACCTTTGCTCCAGTCTCCGAATTGTGAAAGTGTCTGGGAGGACTGAAGCAAGCATGGCTAACCCACTGTCGTCGTCCGTTTTGGACGAACTCAACACGGCAGAAGCCAAGGCCCTGCACGAGATTACGCATAAACTCAGCTCATGCGGCGTGGGCAAGATTGTGAACCTACCACAAATCATCGTTGTCGGCGAGCAGTCTGCCGGCAAGTCCTCGGTCCTCGAAGCCATCTCGCGCGTGCGCTTCCCAGTCCACAACGACATATGCACGAGGTTCGCCACGGAGCTCGTGCTCCGACAAGCGCGACAGACGCGAGTGGACGTCAGTGTCCGATTCGACGACAAGTCCAAGGCCCCAAAGGCATTCCAGAAGACGGGGTTCAACGAGGATGACCTACCCGGCATCATCAAGGAGGCTAAAGCCTGCATGGGCATCGCCGCCACCGGCAAGGACTTCTCTAGAGACGTTCTGCGCCTGGAGATTGAGGGCCCCAACATGTATCCGCTCACGCTGGTGGATCTCCCGGGCATTTTCCATGTTTCGACAGACCAGCAATCTGAGCCGGGCCGGGAAACCGTCAACAGAATCGTCGAGAGCTACATGCAGAAGAAGAACAGCATTATTCTGGTCGTCATACCAGCAAGCAACCAGCTCGCCAACAACTATGCCCTAAAAGTGGTCATGCAAGTCGATCCAAAACGGAAGCGCACCCTAGGCGTCATCACTAAGCCTGATTGCACCCGGCCGGGAAGCTCAGACGAGCGCAAATACATCCAGCTGGCGAAGAACCAGGAGACTACCCACAAACTCAAACTTGGATGGCACGTGCTGCGAAACCGGTCAGAAGACGAGGAGAACCTGGACGACAGGGACGCGCTCGAGGAATCCTTCTTCGAGGAGACAGCCTGGCGCTCGCTCTACGCCGAAGATCGTGGAATTGTGAGCCTTCGCAAGAAGTTGAGCAAGGTCCTGTATAAGCACATCCGGGAGAACATCCACGGCGTCATCGACGACATTGAGGGCAAACTGAGGGAGAGGCAGACGGAGTTGGGTCGGCTTGGAAGGCCGAGGTCTAAGCCAGAGGAGATGAGATCTTTTCTCCTAACGATCGCGGGGGAGTTCCAGAGGCTTGCGCGCGATGGCATCCACGGACAGTACAGCGACCGTTTCTTCGGAGACCTGGACACCACGGAGAACAAGTTTCGCGCTCTGCTGAGGAACTTCAACCGCGCCTTCGACTACGTACTCGCCACCAAGGGATCCACGCTGACCATCTCTCCGCCCGACGGCGCAGAGCTACCGCCCACCAAGCCACCAGCGTTCCTCACAGAGTTCCTCGAAGCATACCCCTACGAATTCCCGGACCCCACGCCCATCAGCAGACAAGTCCTCAACGAGCAGCTCCAGCGGCAAGCCGCGTCCAACCAGGGGCGAGAATTCCCCGGGCTGCCCAACCGAGAGCTCGTCACGCAGCTGTTCCAGAAGCAGGCGCTTCCGTGGGGAGCCATTGCGCAGTTCCACATCAAGCAGGTCACGCTCGTGGCCAAGGCGTTTGTGGACCAGCTCTTCCGGCATGTTCTCGGTCCGCCCGACGCGAGCGCCACCACGGAGGCGATTCTGCGCATCTGCGTTGACAGATTCTTCGCGGAGAAGGAAAGGACGCTGCAGAGCAAGATGGAAGAGCTGCTGCGCCCGTACACGCGGGGGTACGCAATGCCTCTGGATTCTGACTTTCACCGCACGAGGTTGGAGAGATCGAGAAGGCAAGTCACCGTGGCGGCATCTAAATTGATCAACGCCCAACCGGAAGATGTCTTCACCCCGTGGAAGGAAAAAGCCCGAGAAGCTGTCTCAAATCTCGTCATGGATGAAGAAAGCCCCTTTGGGTCTGAGTTTGGAACAGAGGTCGTTATTGACATGATGGAGACGTACTACGAAGTAAGCATTTGCCACGCAGCATTCACTGCGCGGAACTCAACTGTTAACCAAGCTAATGTTTGTCGCTCAGATGTCGTTGCGCACCTTCACCGACAACATTGTCAACCTGGCCATAGAAGGGTGTCTAGTCTGCGACATACCTGACATTTTGACGCCGACAAAGGTGGATGGGATGACCAACGAGGAGCTGGAGGAACTGGCGGCCGAGACGGACGACGCGCAGTCGCGCAGGGACCATCTCCAGGCTGAGATTGAGATTCTCCGCGAGGGCCTGGAGCAATGTCGAAAGTACAAACCGAGGGATTTTACCGGTGAGCTGAACCTATCTCGAAAGCGATGATCTAGTGCTCATATAATTTCCGTGAAGTGATTCATTCAGCGCGACCAGCCGTCGCTGCGCCAGCGGTTCAAGTCAGTGCCGCATCTGGTATGTCCTTCGCAACTCGCATGCTAGGTGTACGTGTTAACAGTTCACAGATACGTCAAGGGCAGCTTCTCGCAGTACATCATCGACCCCAGCACGAGTCCGCACCCCGCGTTCGCCATCAAGGGCTGTGAGCCCTGCACCGTCGGGGGGGCTTTCACCAGCGGCGGCGACGGGTCGAGCTCCAAGTGCCAGTGCCAATTCACCGTGCAGGACCGCAAGTCCTACGCCTTCTGGAGGACTTGCAACAACAATAACTGGAGGGTCGTCTGAGCATAAGAAGTTGATTTCGCCGGGTGACCTTTGGTTGTCGTACAATGCCCTTGACGGCAATTTATTCAGCTTCGACTCAAAGGATAAGCAGCCATCATACTCTTTGGGTCCGTTCGGGAGCACAGGGGCGTCTTCGTCCAATGGCAGTTCAGTCACCCGGGCAGGCCAGCCAGCATCGCCACTCAACCTATTCCCAACTACGCCCGCAGTTTCTTCGGACAACGCGAAGGAGTCGTCCTCCCAAACGTCGACATCAGCTTCAACCACAGCGGCAACTTCTCAGGCTAAGAAGTCAGCCTCATCGAGCGGCTCTTCTGGAGGCAGCACAGTTACTCCAGGAGCGTCAACTTCGTCGCTATCCGAGGGGAAAAGACCCGCTTCATCATCTGCAACACCTGGTGCTGCAAATTCTGCAAAGGCAGCGTCACTGTTTCCCAACCCTACACCTAGCAACACATGGTCCAAAGGTAAGGCATCCCGTCCAACTGTGAGCTTTGGCGACTTGGTAGTGAGGTTGACGTGAATCCATAGGCTAATTCTATCTCAACACAAGGCGTATCGCTCCGCGAGCGGCTCGCTGACCCTTCGCAACAGCACATCGATCGCCACTTCGAGAGGACAGATAAAGTGGGGAGCGGTTACTTGGCATCCGACGAGACGTTCAAACACATTTGCACTGTCGAAGGCTACTCATGCTATTCACCAGAGGAAATGAGATTGGAGAGGTACAAGGGTTTATGGAAGGAATCAACGTTGGATTAGTGGAATGAGCCGCTGTTTAAAAGGGGTATTTATCGTCCTCAGCGGTAGTGGCGCCTCCTGTGCAAGAATCAGCACTGATTTGACGGCATTGAAAGATGTACGTGCTTCCATGTGCAAGCCAAGCTGACTACGTTCTGGACACAAGGTCCAGGAAGCCGATTCTTGTGCTCAAGGCCGCTAGTGTATCGGAAAGGGCCTCCTCGCCGGTGAATGAGTGTCAAAACGGCTACATAATTTAGCCCAACGGGAGGGCGGAGTGAGGCTGAGGAGTGCTAGACAGCGAATTTACGATTAATGCTAGGCCCCAAGCGTTTCTTGTCCGACTGGCTTGCTGCATGTCTCAGGAACGACACCATGTGTATAGGACCAGCTCCTGCGACGCTGTGTACCCTATAACCGACCACGCCGCTTTTGCGCTCGGTGTCCGAAGGTCAGGGCAGCAAAACCAGCGGCTTAATACAGAGGTATAGATGCTCTGTCGTGTACGCACGAGCCAACTCCTGGTGTACAAGTCAACGAAAAAGGTGTAAACCCTTCAGGTCTTCCTGAGCGAGCGAGCGTGGCACAGCCTGAGCTGGGTGGAGAGGGGCCGGGTCAAGGATACCCGAGATCGGCCGACGCGTACTTTGCAGGGACTGTACATGGCGGATGGGCCTCAATCCGGACCCAGGTGGCGGAAAATTCGGCTTCTTAGATCCCTTGGAGCCCGGATCTGATTAGATCAGGGCGGTACCATGGACCAAAGACGAGTGGGTTTTCTGCAAGTGATACGCCCACAACTCCTTCCTACTCCTGGATCAGCAGCTCGCGGAGTGTCATCAGACGCACTCGACGCGTGGCGAACAAGCATTTGGGCAGGCTGACGCATCTGTTACTGCTCGTAGGCTGGAAATGGCAGCGAGTGCCAGGTTGTTAAGCGCCGAGACGCCCGCTCTTGGCAACCCCTAGGGTAGGGTTGTGCGCTGCGTGACGGGATTGCTCGACCCTTATCCGCCGGGGTGCTCTCCCACACGCCGAGCCTGGCCAAGGCCCAGTACCAAGATGTGATGGACGATGAGAAACATTGGCATCGAGGAACTGCCGTCGGCAGCCCCCAACGTCGGGCTGGGAGAGTGCCTCAGCTCCCGCGCGTGGCGTCGGCCTGGACCTCATCGCTGTGGGGTCACCAAAAAGGCGGAACTCACTCTGCAGGAAGAGAGGCGGTATCTAGGGTTAGGGAAGGCAGGGAGACTAGGCACAACCTGAGGATGCGTGCCGGCGGTGCGCCCAGGGCATGGGCTGAAGAGGCGATCACGGCGGCAGCGTGCGGCAATTTCCACACAGTCGGGACACGGTCAACATTGCCTCCTCCGAGGCTCTCAACTCAACGCAACGCAGGCATGTGGGGGCCACACACACGCAATGGACGCAGATGGCGTACGGGTAAATCGGAATCCAAGACTGGGCAGCGTTGCATTCTGGCAGGGTTTCTGCCGCGTGGAGGGTTTCCTTGGCCGTGACGTGCATTTGCCAAGATGCGAACCCACCGCCTGCATTTGCAGGCAGGTAGGCTAACGACCTGGCTCTGGAATCAGTTATTACCGCCACGGAGCATTTTCTTTCCCACCCGGCCGGCCAGGTGGAAAAGGACGGAAACCCCCTGGTCTTGGGGCGCCGGACGAGGAGTCGACGATGGCCCACTGGGAGAGGGTCGTCATGCTCATCAAACAAGGCCGGGCGAAAGCGCATGCACAAGAGCGCTGGCGAACCAACCTGCCGCGCCGCGGACCTGCTCCTCGCGAGCTTGCCCGTTAGTTTAGCTCGTAAAAGAATCGGGTGGATGTTGCAGGGCTTTGGCGCCGTGTGGCGTCGAGTCCCGCATGCCTTTTCCCCACCCCCCAACGCCCCCTCCTTATCAGATCATCTTGATCATCTGATAAAGTGAGGGAAAAAAAATGTGACGGCCGGGCGGAGGTTTTTGGGCGTCGCTGTTGGCGGGAACGAGGGCCGTGGCGCTGCCGGAACTGGTCTGTGCGACGGCAGATGGCGACGCAGATTGAGTTTTTGTCGTTTGGTGATGTGAAGAGATGCTGTGGTTGAGGGTTGACGCGATGGGTTGGCAGGGCGGGACGAGATCCAGCGCAGGCCGGCAGGGGGTGCTCTAGGTACCCTGCCCAGGTCCCGAAGATGGGACGGGAGGGTAGAAAAAAATCCGCCAAGGGGTTCGGTACAGGCCTGAACTTGACGACAAGTGGAAGGCACTTCCCACGGCTACCTGCCTTACGTACAAACATAGCTGGCAGCGGGTGCCTCAGGCGTCGCCTCGATCGTCGTCAGTCATCGTCTTTGTCAGATACTGGATGCTCTCTTTTTTCTCACCATCGTCGCCCGCCCGCTCATTTCCATGGAGACCAGACCCTCCTCTCCTGTCGGGACGACCCCTGCTTGCCCATGCAGCGCCAAAACCCACCACGCCCGGCCCTCAGCCATTGACGCCCTCATCGCCGCCCGCTGGCGCGCCCGCCGCGCGGTGGAGTAGCGACAAAAGCTGCTCGACCCTCCCCCTCCCCTCCATCTCATGGATCATGGACTTGAAGTTTCTGCTCGACCAACTGGGTAAAGCGACCCGAAGGCCCTGGCTCGCCGCTCCCACTTGATGCCGCCGCCACCAGGCTCGTTAACCTGTTCTCGGCATTAGCCGCTGCAGCCGTGGGTGGCATGTGGGTAGTCGGTGCGGTAATCCAGACGCCGGCTTGTGGGCAAGTAGGCATTGCAAGCAACTCGCCCGGCACCCGCCCTCACCCACACGACGTCGCATCCGCCCGGGGTGCAGGTAGCGTCGCCGCCGCCGGTCCTCGGTCAGACCTGGCTGGCGCGCGCGCGGCAGCTACAGGAATTAAAAGGGTCCAATGTCGCAGTCGCAATCGCCCTCCGGTGTCACCCGTCCTCTTGGCTTCCTTCATCTCATTGCCACTGCGCTTGGCCCCTTGGCCCCTGTTTTGCGGCAGTTCACGGTCGAGACGCTTGCTCTAATCAATCGCCTGATTGATTAGATCGATTGATAATCTTGAGCCAAAAAAAAGCCTCTCCCGCCGCCCTCGCCATGGCCGCCGTCAACGGCCCCCCGCCGCAACTCGCGACGGAGCAAAACCCGCAGCTTGTCGCGGACCTGGAAAAGGATCGCATCAGCGAGGGCCATCAATATGCCGAAAAAGATCCCGAGAAGGATGGCAGTGAGTCGGACGCCGACTCCCAGGAGATGCAGGACGGTGTCAAGCGCGTCGAGGCCATCACGCAGGTCTGGTCGCGCACCGAGCTTGTCGCCATGTTTGTCCTGTAAGTTCTGCTGTTCTTATGGATCGTGGCGGACCGACGTGCCGCTGCGTCCGGCACGCGTCCTGTCAAGCCCAGTTGACTGACGCGAAACTCCACAGCCTCTACCTCGTCACATTCGTCGACAATCTCCTCCAAAACGTCCAGGGCAACCTCGTCCCCTACGTCACCTCTTCCTTTGCGCAACACGCCCTCCTGTCCACGACGGGTGTCATTGCCACCATCGTGGGCGGCGTCTGCAACCTCACCATTGCCAAGATCATTGACATCTGGGGGCGCTGCGAGGGCTTCATCTGCATGGTTGTCCTCGTCGTCGTCGGCATGATCATGAAGGCCACCTGCAAGAACGTTGAGATGTACGCCGCCGCCCACACCATCTACTGGGTCGGCCACCTTGGTCTCGGATACGTCATCTCCATCATGCTCGCCGACATGACCACTCTGCGCAACCGTCTCATCCTCTTCGGCCTGCAGCAGACGCCCCTCATCGCCAGCACCTTTGCCGGCCCCGAGATTGCCAACCTCTTCTACACCAACGTCAACTATAACTGGGCCTTTGGCTCCTTCTGCATCATCCTCGTCGCCTTCTGCTTACCCGTTGCCGTCGTCTTCATCATCAGCAAGCGCAGGGCGGTCAAGCAGGGCCTCTACCCCCCTCGCGTGAGCGGTCGCACCAAGTGGGAGTCGTTCAAGTACTACTTTGTCCAGTTTGATGCCGTCGGCATGTTCCTCACCGTCGCCGGCTGGTCTATCCTGCTCCTGCCATTCAGCATCGCCACCTCGGCGCCTAATGGCTGGAAGACGGGCTACATCATTGCCATGATCGTCCTCGGAGTCGTCCTGTTGGTCGCCTTCGGCATCTGGGAGAAGTACTTTGCGCCGGTCAGCTACTTCCCCTGGAAGTACCTCAAGAACCGCACCATCCTGGGCGCATGCCTCGTCTACGCCTTCATGTTCATGAGCACCTTGTATGGAACCCCATCTCTGTCTCCTTGAATAAAATGCTAACGCGCGTGCCACAGCGCCTGGGACACGTACTACGGCTCTTACCTGCAGGCCGTCAACTTCCTCGACATTACCATCTCGGGCTACGTCCTCAACAGCTTCTCGCTGATGTCTGCCTTCATTAGCCCATTTGTCGGACTGTACGTGTGCACTTCGCACTCTCACAGGCTCAAGCTAACTTGACTCAGCTTTGTCCGCTACACTGGTGACTACAAGTGGCTGTCCATTGCCGGCGTCCCCTTCTCGATCCTGGGAACCGCCCTGCTCATTAAGTTCCGAACACCTGACAGCGATGTTGGTGTCTTGGTCATGTGCCAGCTCTTCAACGGCCTTGCCACTGGCATCTGGGCCATGACCGCCCAGCTGGCCATCATGGCCCAGGTCCACCACCAGCAGATCGCCGTCGCCATTGCCATGTTTGGCCTTTTCGGATCCATCGGCGCGTCCATCGGCCAGGCCATTGCAGGAGGCATCTGGACCAACATCCTGCCGGACAAGATCGCCGAGGCGCTGCCCGCCGACATGCAGGACCAGGTCTTCCAGCTCTATGGCAACCTGTCTGCGGTCGTGGAGGCACCCCGCGGTAGCCCCGCGCGTGAGGCTGTCATCGAGGGCTATGGCATCGTCCAGCGGTACATGGTCATTGCCGGTGCTTGCTTCATCCCCCTGTGCCTTGCCGCGCTGCTGCTCTGGAAGAACGTCAACGTCAAGAAGCTCGAGGAGGAGAAGGGCAAGCAGACCAAGGGCACCGTCTTTTAAGCGGTGGCAGTAGAAAATTGGATACCCAAGATCTAGCAGGCGAAACGCATATATCATAATCTATCACTCGACCTGATGGTCAATTACTATGACGTGTGTCCATCACTCATCCACAAGACCTATGAAGAGGGCGAATGTGAACCGAGTGACATTGAGTGCGCATGCACACCATTTTCATTAATAAATCTGAGCCGTGTTTTAAAGTGCCAAGTAGTGAAGTGAATCACAAAGAAGTAATGTTGTTCCAATGAGTTTTGGAGCGATGTGTGCAAGGGTGAATGGCGAGCAAATGCTCCAACCTAAGTTGCCCTCGCCAACTCGGTCCCAGCGCACTCTATCAATCCAGATTCTGCGCCTCGCACATCTTTCTATACATGCCCCCCAGGGCAATCAGCTCCGCGTGCGTCCCTTGCTCGACGATCCTACCGCCGTAAAAGACGCAAATCACGTCGGCGTCCTTGATCGTAGACAGGCGGTGCGCGACAGCGACGGTGACGCGATCGCCCTTTTTGGCGGCCTCGGCCAGCGCGCTCTGCACAATCTTCTCGCTCTCCGTGTCGAGCGCGCTGGTGGCCTCGTCGAGCAGCAGGACGCGCGGGTCGCGGATGAGGGCGCGCGCGATGGCGATGCGCTGCCGCTGGCCGCCCGAGAGCTGCGTGCCGTTGGGGCCCGCCGCGGTGGCGAGCCCGTCGGGGAGGGAGGCGACGAAGTCCCATGCGTTGGCGGCGCGGAGGGCGGCTTCGATGGCGGTGTCGTCGACGACGGTGTTGGTGTTGGTGCTTGTAGAGGGGGAGGAGGAAGAAGAAGAAGAAGAAGAAGACGAGGGGTCGTCGACGCCGAGGGCTATGTTCTCCCGGATGGAGCCCTGGAAGAGCGTCGGCTCCTGCTGGACGAGCGAGACGTCGCGTCGGTAGAGCCGCGGGTTGAGCTCGGGGAGGGGGTCGCCGGCGATGCGGATGACGCCCGTCGAGGGGTCGTAGAAGCGCTCCAGCATGGCGACCATGGTGGACTTGCCGCAGCCGGAGGCGCCAACAAGGGCGACGAACTGGCCGTTCTTGATCTAGTCCTCGGGTCAGATGTTGCAAAAATCATCCTGACGCACGACGTAAGAAAATACTGACCTCTAAGTCGACTCCTTTGAGGACCGTCGCATCGGGACGTAGCGGATACGAGAACCGCACGTGCTCCAGGTCGATGGAGCCGTCCGCCCCGGGCTCGTTGTCGCGGTTCTCGGGGGTTTCTTGAACGGTCGGCTGGAGCCCGTGGAGCCAGAAGATGTAGTTGGCGGCGTTCTTGCCCTTGGTCATGCCTGCGGACGGACGGACGGACGTCAGCGTCAACACTCTTAACTGTACAGCAAGGGTTTAGAGCGGATTTTGTCGCGACTCACTGGTCGAGAACTGGAAAATCTGAGCGGTGGCCTGCCCGGAGAAGAAGACGCCCATGAAGGTGACGAAGAACTGGTACATGGTGATTTCGTTGAACGACACCAGGCGACAGCCGTACCTAGATGGGGTTTAGTTAGATGGTTGGTTCCATTCGGCCGGTCGTTCGTCCGTCCGTGAATTGGTGACATGAGGGAACGGCAGAGAGGAAGAGGGAGCAAGACGCACCAGAAGCCCAACGCCAGGAACCCATACTCGAGCGACTGCGTCAAGGCAAACCACACCATCATCGCAAACAGCGGCCTCACCGACCCCCTCACCGCGCCATCCAACTCCTCCGTATACCGCCTCAGCACCGACTCCTCAATCGCCAGCGACGAGACGGTGCGAATCGCCGTCACCGCCTCCGACGCGATGGCCGAGCTCTCGGCGTGCCGCGCCGCCACGTCGCGGTCGAGCCGCACGTCGAAGCGGATCTTGAGCCACCCGGCGGCCAGCATGGGCGGCAGGCCCGCCAGCACCACCACCAGACCGAGCTTCCAGCTGTGCGCGATACCGAGCACGCTGCAAGCCAGGACGTTGAGCGCCGAGATGAAGATGAGCGCCACGTTGAAGCCCATGAGCTCGAGGATCGCCTGCGGGTTCTCGTCCAGGCGGCTGGCCAGCGCGCCGGTGTTGTTCTCGGGCCGGTCGAAGAATTGGAGGTCTTGCCGGAGCATGTCGTTGAGGCTCTGTTTGCGGAACTTGTGGGAGAGGGTCTGTGGGTGCTGTTAGCGCTTGCGATATGTGTCGAGGCGAGGGTAGGAGGCGGTGATAATAAGGGGGCAATAAGGGGCGGGACGCACTTGGGCGACCGTGTTGGTCGAGTAGCCCATTGTAAAGTAACATATGAAGCACCCCGCCGCGAGGACGATGAACATGGCGGCGAAGAAGTTGCCTTTGTCAACCATTGCGGCGCCAGTCAGGGTGAAGACGTCAGTCATGTTGGCCAGCAGGATAGCCTGGCCAGGGATGGCAGCGCCTGGATGTGTCAGTTCAGCCAGGGGTTCTTGTTCTGAGCGCCAGTCCGGTGACTTACACGATCCGAGGCATGCGAGCAAGACAAATATATAAGCCCCACGCAGCTCGGGAGCGTCCCGGATCAGGCGCACAACGACAGACAAGAGTCCGAGATGGCTGTGGCGCTCATAGTCATCGCGGTCTTTCTGCGTCTGCATGCGCTCCCGCTCGGCCGTCGCATACCGCGTGAGCGTTCTCGTCAGCGCCGCCTTATCATCTCCCTCGCCGTGGGCAAGCCGCGCCGCGTCGTCCTCGTCGCTCTCCTCTTCCACGCCCGACGCTTTCGCCGCCGAGACGAGCAAGTTCTGCACGCGCACGAGCTGCGCATACACGCCATCCCTTGCCACGAGGTCCGCGTGCGCGCCCTGCTCGACGATGCGCCCCTTACTCATGACGACGATGTTGTGCGCCTTCTTGATGGTCGCGAGCTTGTGCGCGATGACGATGGTGGTGCGCCCCTCGGCGGCCCGGTCCAGCGCCTGCTGCACGATGCCCTCGGCGTGCGGATCGAGCGCGCTGGTGGCCTCATCGAGGAGCAAGACTTTAGGCTGCGAGACGACACTGCGGGCGATGGCAACGCGCTGCTTCTGCCCGCCCGAGAGGAGGCCGCCGCGCTGGCCGATCTCGGTATCGTAGCCGTTGGGCAGCTCGGTGATGAAGTCGTGAGCGTAGGCCGTCTTGGCGGCCTCGACGACGAGGGCCATTTGTTCGTCCCTGGCGGCACTCTCCCATTTTGTGCCGACTAGGCCATGGGCGATGTTGTCGAACACAGAGCCGCGGAATAAGATAGGTTCCTGGGCGATTAGACAATTGGCGGCTCTATGGCTTTGCAAGACTTACCTGTTGCACCAGGCGCACATGCTTCCTCAGCCAGTTGAGATTCAGGGTCTCGATCGGGCGGCCGTCTAGTTTGATGGTGCCCGAGGTTGGCTCGTACCATCGTTCGATGAGTCCGACAATGGTACTCTTACCCGAGCCGCTATGACCCTGATATCGGTGTAAGTCTCCTTCAGAACCCAACGCGCACCGGGTTCCACTTACTACAAGAGCAGTCACTTTGCCTGCCGGGACCTTGAGAGAAAACCCATCGAGAACAGTCGTGTTTGGGCGCGAGGGATACGCAAAGCTGACATCCTCAAGCTCCAGCTCGCCGATTGTCTCGGCGGGTTGCTCGCCAGATGGGTCCAGAGGGTCGATGGCGGATTTCCGGTCTATCAAGCTGAACAGCTGGGCGGCAGCGGAAGCAGCCCTCGCAAACTCGATCGAGTATGGAGCAAGCAAGGTCAAGCTGATGGCGCCGATGACGACGGAGAGCAAGACCCTGCGATCCGGACTAATTAGCCTTCACCTCGCACGGCTAACGTGCAGAGACTCACGTAAAGATCTCTCCTGGCGACCCAATGTCGCCTCGAGCAAGCATATGAATGCCTTGCCAAAAGGCGAGACCAAAGCCCAGATAGATGATGGTGTACTCGGCCGAGAACAGTATGCCAAACAACAGCGAGATTTTGCTGCCCACTGTATGCGCCTCGGTCAAGTATCTGTCGAACCTGGCCACGAGCCTCGCGCGCATGCCAAAAGCGTGCACAGTCCGCGCACTGGACAGGACGCCCTCGGCAAACGCATTAGCCTGGGCGTAAATCTCCAAGATCTTGGTCTCGTGGCCAGCCTCGATTGTGCCCGTAATGGCCATGACGATGATGGTCGCCGGCGCGATGCACAGCGTGATGAGCGTCAGCTTCCAGTTTGTGGCAAAGGCGACGGCAAAGGCGGTGATAAAGGCCGACAGGCCCTGGAACGTCAGGCCAAGTTTCTCCGCGATGCCGCCCTGGATCAGGCGCCCGCTCGAGGCGGCCTGCGTGGCGATGGAGCCGCCCTGTCCGAGGTCATAGTAGGCGGCTTCTTGGCGGAGGGCGGAGCGGAGGTAGGCGTGGCGGATGTTGCGCACGATGCGGTAGGCGTTGTAGTTGAGGAGGACGTTGTACAGGTATGCGAGGACGAACCTTCCGATGCCGAGGTAGACAAAATACAAGCTGCGTCAAAGTCAACCATCACTTATCGCTAGAGGTTGCTGGCGCTAAAGACACAGCGTCACGTACGCAAGTTCAGCGGCCTCGCCGCGAAAGTCCGCTGCCGACGACTTTTGGGAGGCATAGTCGGTGATGATGGTCACGAAGCGCCCAAATATGAGGTTCTGGAGCGCGATTCCAGCCCCGGATGCGATGGCTGCGACGATGGATATGGCGAAGAAGGTGTACTCGAGTCTGCCAGCGTACGAGAAGATCCGCTGGATGCCTACCGTCAGCAGTGTCTTCCAGCGCCTAACGGTGGGAGAATCACCCAGTACGCGTTTCCAGAGCCATCTTCTTTTCCGTCGGCCTTGCCCTTGTCCGGTTGGACAGACTCGTCTGCGCCAGACGCCGGCTTTTCGAGGTTGACCTGGCTGGAGGCGAGGGCTGTGGACTCGAGCTCCTGCTGTTGCCCCATTTCGACAGATGCCGATGGCCTCCGCTTGGACGTTTGAGACAGGCGGCTTGTCAAACGTTCTTAGGAGGAGCAACGAATGCGGCAGTCTCGAACGTGGTGAGCAGGAGCGCTGCAACAGACAAGCCTCCTGCCTGGAAAGTAGCAAGATGAACGGCCGCGGTTTATAATTGTGGGTAGCGCATCCTTGTGAGGTTGAACATGTGTAGGATACAGGGGCACACCGCACGATTTGATCCTGCAAGCGTGAAGAAATGAACATGGGAAAGTCCTACTTGACAGTCTGTCGATCCTGGGGCTGCCAAGATAAGGCCTCGTTGTGCCACCACTGTTGTGCCACCGCTGATGTTCCGAGGATCGAGGACGACCAAGACATGAGCCAGTCCTGGGATCTGGACTCTGCGACTCGCGGGAGGCGCAGCACACGATGAGGGAACGCACGGCAAATTCACGGGCGGGAGTGCAAGATGCGTCTCGGCATGACTACGCTCGGCGAGCTCAACCGGGTCATCATTTCAATCCTCCCTTGGCCAACGCCATTGGCAGGTGGGCAACGCCAAAAACAGCTGCCAAGCAGACTGCCTGGAGAGCGTTCAGCCTCATGATTGGAGTCGCATGGACCCACGCGCCGGGTAGCAGCTTCTGGGGCCGGACGTCAAACCTTGCCAGCGGACGGCCAGGAGGCTTGATCGTCCAGCATGCCAGAGGGTAAGGCCAACTTGCCAAGAATGGGCTATTCACGCCACGGCGTCGCGCACTGTCGCGTCGTGAATGGCACTCGACCGCGGGCCGTATTTCGTACTGGATACGAGCAACCGGAGCACAGTGCACTTGCATACATGCCAAGGGAAGCTGCAAAAAAGCATACGCCAACACAGTGGCAAGAAGTGCGTCGCGGTACGTTGTATCAAAGCACATTGAGGTCAAGCAGAAACAAGGCTTAGCTGCAGGGGGTTTCGGGTCCGGCGCGCTGATCCGTCCGCCTCACTTTTCGGCACAACCCGAACATGAAGTCCGAAGACGTCCAGCGGGAGCCTTGCCGGGTCGAGAATCGTCGCAAAGTCCTTGGCTGCCATGCTGGAGCAAAGGACAGACAGGGAGGGGGGAAAGCGCGGACTCGAATGATGACCGAGCTCCGCGCGGGTGAGAAGTTTAATTTTTTCGTCATCGCTGCACGCCAAGCGATCGAGCCCCGTGCCCTGCCGCGTCACATTTAAGCTTAAATCTTTAAAACGAGCAACACCGCCTGGCACCAAAACTGGCTGTACCGGGAACTTGACACAAGACGATGGCTTCGTCTTGTCGCTCAGTACATACACCACTTGCCAAGGAGTGTTTGTCTTACTCGGTCCCTTTTCGTCACTGTTCTTCTCTTTTTCTGGTATGATTCCTGGATTAGTTGCTTCACCACGCCCCTCGGTACGCACCAGACACGGTCGAGACAGCGAAAGGCTTGAACCCCACCAGAGACACCAGTGGATGTGAACTCGAGGTCAACAGTCGCTAAGACGACAACTGCAAGTGTCACATGTAGTGTAGTGCAGTACTTACGGGGGGAGAGTTGACGCAGAGAGTAACTTAATACCATGAATCTCGTGACTTGCCCATATCCACTTACATGTACCGACTGTGAAAGAAATGCCTTGTACTGATATAAAACCAAGGACATATCACTGCATCAAGGTGAACTGTTGCGCCGGTAGCACACCGACTCAGCCCGAGCAACAGCGCGTAATGTATCTACCCATTGCAGAAGCCATTTCACGAGGTTGGCCGACAGGCTCAGCTCCAGGCCGACCTGTTGCAGTGCGCCTCGGGCCTACTGACAGGAGCCTGTCCGACGACCGCATTCTTGCAAACGCTTATGCGTCCGCCTTCAAAGAGGCCACCACCTGGCTAAAGCGCATCAGGGGGTCATGGCTGACAGACGCGAACCAAGAAGCAATCATGCAGGAACTCCACGCGACGATGGCGGCGGCCGTCTTCACCAGCAACACTGTTGCGCGTGCCGGGCTGAACTGGGAGCTCACGCAGGCCCTGTGCCGAAAGGTCTGGGCGGATTCCGACGACACTTCGCGGGTTATCACCACATTATCGGACGAGGCTATCAAGGGCGTGCTCATGGAGTTGAGCCAACTGCAGCCCAGTATCATGCCCATGTCCGTCGCCGACGCTCTGCGTGCCCGCAATGAGGTTGTGCAGCACGCCAAAGCCTACCAGCACATCCTTCACGAGTTCGTCGTCAACAAGAAGGACCTTTCCGAGGAGCTCATCAAGGAGACGCACTGCATATTGACGCTGGGTGTGCCCATCGTGGAGGAGGGCCGGATGGACATCCCGCCGGAAGCCTATGGCGGCATCTACAGAACCGTCATTGGTCGCAACATCAACTATCCTGTCCCGGAAGTTGTTCCCGCCCACATGCAGTATCTGTGCGAGGAGCTGAAGCGCGAGATCTCCGCCGCGGAACAGGGCGGCTGGGTCGACCCGTTCTCCCTGGCAACAAGATACGCACTCGAGTTTGTGAGCATCATCCCCTTTGAGGACGGCAACGGGAGGATGTGCTGCATGATCCTCAACGCGATCGTGTGCCGGTACGTGGGCATCCTCGTCCACTTTGGCGACGGCGAGGGCGAGTGGTCGGGCTACGCCGAGATGAACCTGCACTCGGACCTGGGCATGACGGGCGCCGAGGAGTATGCCCTTCTCCTGCTGCAGCGCTCTGTTAGTCATCTAAAGGCTTTGAAGAAGAAGCTTAAGGGTAAGGGGGACAGCAAGTTGGCTGCAGTCACGATAAAGACACGTGAAGGGGATGTTGTTGCCCTTGATGTGTAAAAGACGCAAGACGTGGCCATTCTGCCAGCGCTGATATTGTTTCTATACTGCGGCAAATGTCACGAGCTGTTCTTACAAACCCTACTTGTCAAGAAACGCAACAGTGTCTTGTCGCTCTATCGCTTGGTATATCGCTACTGGATTACGACCCTTCGAAGGTCAAATGTGACTGGTATCAGAATAACTTGTTCAACCACCTCCTCCACGTCGGGAGGCTCTTGATATGCTCTCTGTACGCGCGGATCTGGTCCCAGTCCAGCTCGCGACGGCCGGTGTCGACGTCAATCTGGTCCAGGCGCAGCCACCCCGTCCTCTTCCAGACGAAGCCGAAGATCCAGAAGGCGATGACGATCGGGAAGGCAAGGTAGGACTTGAAGAAGCCCTCGGCGTTGTTGACGCCCGTCTTGCCCGGGGGAGCGATGGCGGTGAAGAACTGCGCGTGGTCAGCATTTTGATGTGTGGTCCAAGTGATGATCGAGGCGGCGAGAGTGTACGTACCTGGGCAGCGAGAACGACGACACACAGAATCAGACCAATCCAGGATCCCCAAACGCCAAAGATGGCGTGGAAGGGAATCTCCTCGAGGGAGTGGCCGTGATACGCCCAGGCGGAACGGAAGCGGATGTGAGCCAAGCAGATGGCGCCCCACGAAAACAAAATCGCGAGACCGGAGAGAGCCTGCAGCCAATCGAACACCACGGGACCAGATGCGCTGAGGTTGATGTACGCAAGGGGACCCGTGAGGATCAGGACGAGCACCGAGAACAGCGGTCGGCCGGAGCGATCAATGTAGGTGAAAATCTTGGGAGCGTAGCCCTGCTGCGCAAGGGCAGTCAAGGTGCGCGACCCTCCGAAGACGGCCGACACGCCGATAGAGAGCACCGAGATGAGGATGATGACGTTCATGAAGTGATCGAGGCCGTCCAGACCGGCATATTTGCCGATGAGCACCCACGGCGAGGCCTTGACGTCCGTGAACGCCTGGTCCGAGAGCAGACGCGGGTCATCCGACGGAACCAGGAGACCGACGAAGAACAGGCCCAGCACGTAGAACAAGACGACTCGCCAAAAGACCTGCTTGATGGCGCCGGGTAGAGATCGGACCGGGTTGCTCGTCTCGGCGGCGGCGAGGCCCACAAGCTCCGTGCCGGTAAAGGAGAAGGCGGCGGTGACGAAGACGGCGCAGAAGCCGCGGAACCCGTTGCGGAACGCCCCCGGCTCGTACCAATACCGCGCTCCCCAGTATTCGTTGTACCGGCCGCGCTCAGGCCCGCCGCCGAGGACGAGGACTAGCGCGATGATCATGAAGATAACAGTAGCGACGAGCTTTAGCGACGAGGCCCAGAACTCTTCCTCCGCGAAGCCGATGGCGCCAAAGATGTTGACGACGATGACGGCGACGAGGAAGATGGTAATCCATACGGCCACGCTTGTCTCTTGGTCCCAATACTGGATGACGAGAGAGCATACTGTTAGTTCTAGCGGCAGCACGACGCTCCATAGGAATAGGTAGTTCCATCCGACGGCAAAGCCAAACGAGGGATCAATAAACCGGGTCGCATAGGTGTAGAAGCCGCCAGAGATGGGATACATGATGGCCAGCTCGCCCAGGGCGAAGACTATTACACGTCACAAATTAGCAAACGGGAACCGGCCCGCGCACCCAGTCGGGAATAGCACGTACCGACGTTGAAGACCATGAAGCCGACAATGCAGAAGCACAACAGGACAGAAGCGGGACCCTGCAGCACAGAAAGTGGTGTCAGTCACAGTAACAACCTGCCAACGCAGCGTCGCATTTTCACAAAGTTCCCGCAACTTACACCCTTGGCCAGGGCACCACCCGAGCCGACGAAGAAGCCCGCGCCGATGGAGCCGCCAATGGCAATCATGTGCAGGTGGCGCGTCTTCATGGCGCGGTCGAGCTCGACGATGCCGCGGCCATAGTGCCGCCGCTGGAACGACTTGAGGTTGAGGCCGCTGCGCGTCCAGAAATCCTCCTCCTGGAAGGTGGCGGCAAAGGTCTCGCCCTGGACGACCTTGTTGTCGGCCGCGTCGGACTCGTGGATGGGGAGGACCTTTTCGGTCCCGGGGCCGACGCCGCCCGAGGGGACGGAGCTGCCCTTGTCGGACATGTTATTTGCGTCTCTCTGTGTGTGTTGTGTTTTGCCTTTCTTCACTCCTTCAAGGAGGTGCTGGCGCGTGTAAGGGGGGTGGGCTCGTAAAGGGCCGGCCAGCACTGGGCGGCTGTCACTCAGTGATGATCGACGATCAATGTGGAAAAGAAAAACAAGGATGAATCCACAGACCCAGTAAGGGACCAAATACAAAACCTGGGGAAAGAACGTGAGAGTTGGGGCAGCATCGAAGGGTATTATACTCGCGCGGCCACCTCGACATGGGACATGTACATTCGAACAAGCGCCCGATCTCGGGCAATGCGCCCCATATCCCAACGGGTCCGTCGCCCCCTTAGCGAGGAGGGTCGTCTCGATGCAACGGAGCTGGGGAAGGTTAAGCTCATGTGGAGTCTACTCCGTACGTACGTACAACGAGGGCCCTTGTTTGCGTGGTGGGAAGCCCCGGGGGATGTGCTCCATGAGTCAGAGCGGGTTGGTGGGCGGGAGGACGGGCGCGGTCTCTTCGACGGAGCGCGAGATCAAGCGAAGCAAAAAACGACTCCACCTGTGCTGCGTTCTGGCCAAGCCAGGGCATAACGGGCGAGCTGGCCGGGGCATGGCATGGAGGGCGAGCGGAACCGTTGCGGGCTTGTGATCCATAACACTAGGCCGTCGCCAGCGCTGGGTCGAACCACATAACCCGCCAGGAAGGCCTCGTGGTGTGGAGGTGCGAGCAAGTAAGCTTGGATAAGGCACCTAGTTCAACATGTGTGGCCACTAGCGAGATCCGGGTCAGGGATGGATGGGCAAGTATGGATTGGCAATCACGGTGAGGGGCGGTGGTGGTGGTGGTGTGAGCCCGTCACGGCGAGACGCCGTATTGTCGCTTGGTCATGGTGAACCTCTTTTTTGGTGTTGACATGCCGTAGGGCGCGGGCGGCGACAGGGCGATGAGGCATCTGACTGGTGATGCCGGGGGCCGCCATTTAGGTAATAGTTCCAGAAGCACGGATGGAACAACCTTGAAAGGAGGGCCAGTCTCCCAAACCCGATCTCCAGAAGGCGTCGGGCGTCTGTAGTTGCGGTGGTGCAACTGCGTTGCGGTTTGGCGGCATCGACGGCATGTCTTGGTCCCTTCCTTTTGGCCCCCCTGCGAACGTTGTGTCTACTGGCCGTTTCTCTGCGTTTTGCGCTCTCTACACTACGTCAAAGCATTTTTTTTTTTTTTCTTGACGTCGGAAGAGCTCTCCGGCCAGCAGCCTGTTTGGGCATGGCGGCCGCGGCGGACAGGCGCCTCGTCTGTCTCACGCCTCCCGGCAGTCGGGAGATGGCCAGCCACCACCGCGGCAACAGGCAGACAGGCAGATGCCAGGGCGGGCGCGCGGAATCCAGCGACTGGGCAGGCGCAGGTACCTATCTTACCTGCCTGTGAGGCGAGGCCAGCCGGGTCCCAGTCCAGCCAGTCAAGCAACCTTGATGCGCCATGTCCAGGGATGACCGTGACCACCCCCGTCCGCTTGCCGCTGCGGCTGCCGGCTGGCTTGCCTTTTGCTTATGAATCCTGCAAGCCACAGCGCTGCAGGCGGGCGGTCCGCCGCACACCACCATCGGAAGAGAAGACTTCTAGAAGCGCCAGCCCATGCTGATCTGGCGAACGCCAACGCCCTTGCGATGCCATACCGTCCTAGCCGGAAAGGGCCACATCCTCGATTGCGCGAGAGGGCAGCATGGCTTCACTCGACGGCATGGATGAGGTTCTGCATGTAGATGTAGCAATTGTTCTCAGATTTTCGCAGACAGTGTCCGGTCCGGAGCCCGCCGTTAATGCGAGTCAGGGAAGCGCCGTGTCAGTCCCACATGGACAATGGAACGACGGGTGATGGGGCCCTCTCCAATGCCCCCCCAAGCCCCGGTGAAGAAACGAAGTGGATCACGGCTGAGCGACTGTCGGCGATGCAGGTCGGCTCCGTCCCGTGGGCAGGCAAGGCATCTTGCCAGACAAGGGGGGGAGGGTAATAACGACGAGTGTGCTGTTGGGCGGCAACATCGAGTAGTAAGCGGCCAAGCGTGGCAGGCATCTCAACCATGGAAACTCGGACGCCCGAATGCATGTCCGGTAGCTACCTAATCCATCATGGCTGTGAAACCTTGCGCAGCATGCATTGCGGCGAGCGGATCCTCAAACATCTTGGCTCCGGACGTCCGTCCTGTTTGGCTCCCTCCAGTCGTGTCCTTGCGAACAGCGCAAATGCCCACCACATCTCCGCCTCCGCGTGCCCAGCGTTCCCTGACCTGGGGGAAAAATTGGGGTGTGGATTCCCCCCTCCCCCTCACACCCCGTGAATTCATCAGTCCGTCCCCATCGGCGGGATCTCGTACGACTGGGTTTTGGTGGTCCTTACGTACGTAGCCGAGACGGACACCTCGGGGCCCCGCGGGACGACCAAGTTTCTGGTCTGGTACGCTGCGCAGCGCAGCCCATGAGTCCCACGGGGTGGGTGGGAAAGAAGCGGATTACGCGGGCCCCCCCTGCCCCCTTCTTCCCCCGTTCTTGGCGGGTGGACGACGGCGCGGGAGGTGCTGCTGCTCCATTGCGGAATGGTCGCGGGGCGGCTGTTTGCGGTTCACGGGGGAGAGGCGCAGATATGGAGACGGACGGGCATCGGGGTTCTGACGAGGACAGGGGGGAATGCCCGACATCATTGTTGTTGGTACTATGTGCGCAACATACGAGTTACGGGCGTGGGGAGAGACGGCCAGCTCGGATAGTCTCTCGTGTCCGTCAGCATCAAAGCGCCCCATGCCGGGGACATTGGATGCGCTGATGGCTGGGGGATGGGCTTGGCTGCCTCTGGCCCGAGGCACCGACAAGTGCCCGAGGCGCCAGGTTGCGATGCGATCATGTCCGAAGCCGTCTTGTGAGGGTGGCATGATGGCTCATGTACCCGAATCTTTGGTGGCCGGGCCGTCATGCGATGCGACGCTTTTAATTCCATCGTGTCTTGGCCCTGTATGCAGGAGTGCATGCGACATCAAGCGTAAGCCCACCCACGTGTTGGATGGAACCACTAGCACAGCTCAAGCAGACACGGCACAGCACGAAAAGAAGGTTATTATCATGGACATGATGAAACCAGCTCGCGTATGGACGAGACACGGCGCGGTCCGGGAACTCTCTGGAGTCTGGAGTCTGGAGTCTGGACCGGGCATGAGAAGACAAAGAGTCCATTCATGCGAAAGCTTATCGTCTTATGCGGCTCTAACATCGGCAAGTCAAGCGCATATACTTGCTACCCGCGCGGAAACCGACATATACAAAACACTCAGTTTATCATCTCTCCCTCCCGGCCCGTGATTCAATGCCTTCTTGGGAGTTGTTGGGGTCCCCCCTGCATCATTTCAGACAGCCGGCATGCCTCCCGCATCCACGAGGATCCCCTTTGCCGCCCTCGCCACCGCCGCCATGGCCACCCTGAACAGCGTCGGCCCAATGCTGATCCTCGCGACGCCCAGCTCAGCCAGCTCCTTGACTGTCGGCCCGCCCTTATACGCCGACAGCAACACCGCAACCCGCCCGTCCAGCTCCCTCACCAGCGTCTGCACGCTCTCGCGGCTCAGCCCGCCCCTACCACCGCCCCAGTAAAACACCGTCGTGGCACCCGCCTCGAGGAACGCCTTGCCCCGGGCCACCGCCTCGCGCAGCCTCGTCTCGTCATCCAACGTCGCCTTGTCGTCGTCCAGGCAGAACACGTCGCACCGCGCGTTGAGCACAAAGTCCGGGCACCCCGCGTCGGCGGCCGCCTTGAGCGCGCCGCGCAGCCGCCGGACCTGCTCGTCGAGCGGGTACAGCGACCCGGCGATGCCCTTGCCGAAACCCGCCGCGGGGATGCTGTCTTCGATGTTGGCGCCCGAGACGCCGGCGCGCACCGCCGCGGCGACGACCTCGTTGATGCGCGCGCCGTAGCCGTCCTGCAGGTCGGAGCTCAGCGGCAGGCCGGCGGCGCGGACGAGCGGCGCGACGCGCGTGATGGCCGCGAGGTTGGCCTCCCAGGTGAGGTCCTCGTCGGCGAGGCCCTCGGTGGCGGCGATGGCCCACGACGCGGTGGCGACGGCCTTGACGGGCTTGTCGTTGTTGGTGTCGCTGGCGTTGGCGTTGAGCGACAGGACGGTGTTGAGCGAGGCGACGTCCCAGACGTTGGTGAAGACGACGGGCGATGAGGGGACGTGCAGGGCCTTGAGGGCCTTGGCCGCGTCGTTGACGGTTGCTGATGCCATTGCTTGAGGCCTGGGTTGGAGTCTGGGTTGAAGCCTGACTGAAGTGCTGTGACGTGAAGCTCGCTCTCTTGATTCAACGGCTGATCCCGTCTGCTGCTGTCCCTCTCTTATACTCGAATCTGTCGGCTATTGTCACCGTCCTTTGCTTTTGAATCCCCGCTGTACAAATATCAAGAGCTGTATGATTCAGATGCGGCTTAAAATGCACAGGCGTGGCGTCTTATAAGGGCGCGGATGCGGGGTTCCAGCTCGCTGTGCGAGCAATACGCCTCTCACGCGGAAACTCATATGCCGTGCTTCCACTTTGAGAGCAACTTTTGCCCCATTCACGGCCGTGAGGCGCCCGGTAGCCCACCGCGCCATACAACCACGGGCAAGCCATCGTGAACGCCGCTCTACTCCACCACCAGGGTTTCCGTCGCACGCACGCACGCACGCAACGCAACGCAACGCATGCTCTGTAATCCGTTTCGTGCCGTAGACTTGGATGGAGTTCGGGGAGGTGAGTCATTCCGTGCCGCACCCTCAGCCAAACGAAGAGCAAGGCACGATGCGACGCTGCGGGCTTCAGCGCACGATTCACGATGACTTATTACCTGTCCATGTCGTCGTCGCGCCCTTCTGCGCATTCATCCATCATCCGCCAACGCCGGCGGCATCATGCCCTCATCAGAAACCCGGGAAACGCGCACGGATTTATATTACGATAGCAACACCGAAGGATTGACTGATGCGTCTCGCGCACGCCCTAATTGAACTCCGTCTCACGGCCTCATGTAAGCGTCAGCGCCAGCACCAGCGCAGCGCACTCTCTTCTGTGCCTTCGGGATTCGCACAATGGCTTCCAACTTCTCCCTGCGGCGTGCCACGCAGCACGACGTCGAGGCCCTCTGCGACGCCTACTTGTCGGCGTTTCGCGACGAAATCTTCAGCCGCCAGGTCTTCCCGCGAGACGGCTCGTCCACGGGGAGGGAGTACTGGCGACGCGCCTTTGCGGAGGAGCTGCGCGAGCCGGACGCCACGTTCCTCGTCGCCGTGGAGCGATGTCGCGGCGACGGTGACGATGAGTCCGCGACGGGTGATGGTGATGAGCGTGCGGCGCCGGAGGATGAAGCGGTCGTGGGCTTCGTGAAATGGGTTGCCCCCGGCGCGCCGACGCATGACTTCTCCGAGGACGGGTATCCGCCTGATGGACTGCCTGACGTGGCGGCGTTGTACTACAAGAAACTGTTTGAGGGCCACCAGCGATGCGTGGGCGCCATGCCGCACTGGTATCTGGACATGGTGGGCGTGCGGCAGGAGGCCATGGGCAAGGGCACGGCGAGGCAGCTCATGGAATGGGGCCTCGAGAAGGCCGCGCGCGACAGCGTGCCGTGCTTCGTCGAGTCGACGGGCGATGCGCAGGCCTTTTACGAGCGCTTTGGGTTCAGAGAGGTAGACAAGATGAGCGTCGACACGCCCCAAGGCGAGGCAGTGGTTGTCTTTATGCTGAGGGACGTAGCACCCAACGGCTAGCCGATGCCCTCCATCTAAATATCTAAACAAAAATACTTGGATATCCAAAAAGGTAAAAGACAAATCAACACGAACGTCTGGGGAATCACTTCTTGAGCAGGTACTCCTTGTTTCCGGTGGCCTTGTCCCACATGGTCTCGAGGATGCCCCTGACGGGCCGCCTCTTGCCGGCGCCCGTGTCCATGTCGGCCTGGAGCTTTTGGAAGACGGTGGGCAGGGTCTCGGCCTTGTACTTTTTGCGCATCTCCTCGTAAATGTCCTTGCGGTAGATGAGCCAGAACTCGTCCTCGGTGTAGTAGGTGCGGGCGTAGAGCAGCTTGGCGCCGAGCAGCTCTGCGCTGCGCAGCTCGAGCTTGCGGTTGAGCTCGTAAAAGGCCTTGGGGTCGCGGGGCCCGCGGCCGTAGACGCCGACGGCGAAGATGCGCTGGTCGGCCACCTCGGCGACGCGCTCGTTGAAGCGCGAGCTCAGGCCGATGTCGCGGGGCGCCTTGCAGGGGGCGAGGAAGATTTGCAGCTCGGGCAGCGTCTCGTTGACGTACGAGATGAACTCGGTGACGGTGCTGGCGGGGATGCCAAAGTCCTGGACCACGTACTCGTTGGCGAGGCCCGACTTGTGCAGCGCGTGGTAGCAGGTGCGGCTGTCGAGGAAGGGGTCGGCGAGGCGGCGGGTGAGCGAGTTTTGCGGGACGTGGAAGTGCTTGAAGGCGAGCTTGCCGCCCCAGAAGGCGCCGTGGTCGTAGCGGAAGAGGTAGTCGGTGGTGGTCATGTAGATGGAGGTGGGCTTCTCGGCGGTGGGCCGCTTGTCGAGGATGTCCTCGATGGTGTCGGCGAACCAGTGGACCTGCATCTTCTTGAGGACCTTGTCGGGCGAGGGCGGCTTGTCGACGAAGCGGGCAAACATGACGGCGATGCGGCCCTTGCGGAAGTAGACGCCGTCGATGAAGTGGATGGCGTCGTCGAGGGTGGCGGCCTCGAAGATGTCGTGGGCCTTGGTGACGTCCTCGACGAGCTGCAGGTCGACCTGGACGTAGGGGGTGGCGGGGATGAGCTCGATGGTGAGGAGGGTGACGATGCCAAAGGTGCCGAGGCTGCCGGCGGCGTGCTCAAGCAGGTCGGCGTTGTGGGTGCGGCTGGCGGTCTCGAGGGAGCCGTCGCCGAGGACAATCTCGATGTCGGAGACGGTGTTGTTGAAGAGGCCGTAGCGGTACATGCTGCTCTCGCCCGAGAAGCCCGAGTAGCCGCCGCCGACGGTGATGCCCTTGAACTCCATGACGATCTTGGGGACGACGCCCTTGGCGAGGCAGTGGGCGGCGAGGGCGTCCATGGGGACCTTGGGCTCGGCCTGGACCGTCATGGTCTCGAGATTGACGGGGAAGAGGCGGCCCATGTCGCTCGTGTCGACGATGGCGTCGCGCTGGAACTGCAGCGGGCGCGTCGAGCTCGTGGACCCGTGGTAGACGCGGAAGTGCTTCTTGTTGTCGTAGAAGTGCTTGACCTGCTTCTGGATGCGCGCGACGGCGGCCTTGTGCTCCTCGAGGAGCTTTGTGCTGTCCGCCATTTTTTTTTTTATTCGTTGCTGTTGCTGCTGCTGCGACGGCTGTCTCGGGATGGATGGATTTCGGGGCGTCGACTCCGACTCTGACGATGATTAACGACGGAAGGGAAAGGGTATCCGGTTTCGAAGGAGACGACTCGAGGGGGGTATCACGGCGACGGCGAAATCTCAATGCGCGCGCAAAGAATGGATGGTAAGAAAACGGACGAAACGACGCGTCAACGAGGCTTGGCCGACAGACGGAGGTCGGCAGACGGGAAGTAGGTGAGGTGAGCTTCCGAGGGGGGCTGGTCTGCAGCTCGCCATGCTGCTAGTGGGAGCTCGAGTGGGGGGAGGCAGCTTCATCAATTGGTGAGGTCAGCACTGCCCGCGCCTGCCCCCCGCGATTAATACGACGAATACATCCACGGCTCAACTCAATTGATTGTTTAATTAATCAAATTGCTGCCTCCAACACTGCTCGGCGGGAACCCTCCGATGGACAATGGTCCTCAACGGCAATGAAAAGCACCCCAAGCCGCGATTGTGAATATCTCTGGTGGGCGTCGACTTCACGATGGCGCAAGTGCTTGGCGTCTTTGCGGCGGAGCGGCGCATGGGACCAGCGTTGCACTCGCGGGCAGAGCACATTTATTAGTCCAACGCTGCGCCACTCGGGGTGAGTCTCGCGCCCGATTCCCGAGGTTGGTGCAGGCGCCGCATTTTTCGCCCAAGAATTGTGAATCTCACACACATGTCAGGCATTGGATGGACTTGCCGGCGGCATTGACGTCCGTCGGGAATTCTCCAGTCCCAACTCTTTACATGCTCAGTAGGGCTGTCCGTACAACCAGGTGCCGGTGGGCGTCGAACAATAGCCGCCGGTACTGTCGCCTACCCTAGATTAAAGTGTGCCGGCGCTGAGAGAAGTCTTGCTGCGAGCAATCCACCAGCAAAAAGACATGATGAGGCCGTGATTTTTTCCAGCCTTTCCAGCCCAGCCACCAAATGCCGAGGCCTTATGGCGGGCGGTGCAGTCCAAACGATACCAAATCCCGATGGATTGTACCTCGAGGCCCGGTCTTGAAGGGCGACACCCCCGTCTAGGCATATTGCATGACTTTGCTTGCCTAGATGGGATATTGTCCTGCGTCAAGGACCCCAATATCCCGTACAACAAGTATCGTGCATATGAGGAGATAACAGCATCGCTGGAGCTACCCTTTCGGCAATGACTTGCAGCATCTAACCAGTTCGTCGCCCTGACAGAACGCCCACTCCCCATCACCTCGCCCCAACTGCCGCGTTTGACAGCGCTGATCCGGGCGAGATGGATCGCCACTCGCAACTTTCACCGGATCCCCAAGTCCGTCTGGTCAGTGCGTCCACCCGCCACGGGGTAACATTGGGGCCGCCGCCATCGCGTGGCGTCATCTCGCCGGTCCCTGAACTCGTTGTCGAGCCTCGGCAGCGCCTTTCCCACCGCCAACCATCGGTGCCGCCCCCTCCCCACAGCAATCGCCGCCGCCGGCGCCATCGCCGGCCGTGACGTCCGCCGACCTGTCAAAAGCCCAGCCCAGTTTGGCAACCGGGCACAAGCCCATATCCAGCTGGCGGCGGCGGCCTCGGTCGCGAATCGGGTTTAGACGCCACTCCGGAATTCAAAGTTTTCCTCTCCTACTGCACCCCCGATGCGCACTCTGACTCGGGACGGGGTTTTTGTCGCGTGACTGACTTCCGTCTCTGTACATGTACAGGAGTGCAGAATGCGACTTGGAGATGGAATCGTGACTGCGACGAGTTGGTTGTTGCGCTCGTTGAGGTCTTCAATTGCTCAGGCGGGCTGGAATGCAGTGCGCCAGCCCCGGAGGCGTCCAGCTGCGTGCGCCACGCCCTGTAATACGGCGCTGCGTACCGAGACAAGCCCCCTGAAGCCACCTGTACCGGGCTCCGCAGGGCTGTGGCTTGTCAACGCATTGCGTCACCGTACCGGTACTTGGAGCCCAGTAGCGCCGCCGGCTTTTCCAGCCAGCTCAGTGGAGGGCTGGCACCTCCGGCATCAGTACAAGTGCAGCGCCCATCCCAGATTCCAGCACCTGCCAAGAACCTGGACACTCTCTTCATTGCTGCCGTCCTTCTTTTCTTCTCTCCTACGTTCATTGCCAAATGAATAGCCGCTTGCACTGCACCCGCGAAACGAATCACCTACCAGCATCATCCTCTCTCGCCGGCCGAGCAGCGACGATACTCCAACAGCCGGCTTACTGTCTCGCCTCGCCATGGTCGTCCCGGACCCCTCGGCGACGTCCAAGCTCGCCGCCTACCTGGCGCGAATGAGCCCGGTGCCCGCCTTTCCTGAATACACAGGCCCCTACAAGGTCGGAACCGTCGATGTCGAGATTCCCGTGTCCGATCTGAACACCGCGAGCGCCGCCCCGGACGGCGCCGCCGACATCCCAACGGTGCAGTTCCGCGTCTTCTATCCAGCCGTGCCCGAATCGGACGAGAAGCGCATCAGCTGGCTCCCGAACCCCCAGCGCCACCATGTCTCGGCATATACCAAGTTTGTCGGCGTTGGCTCGACCCTGGCCGAGTTTCTGTCGTACGCATCCCGCCGTTGTGTCACCGTCCCCTTCAACGGTCACGCTAACCGTCTACTGCAGCTTCCTGCCTCGGCATCTCCATTACACCTCGATCCCCGTTCACAAAAATGCCAAATTGAGCAAGGCCGAGACGGCAGCCGGCCGGTGGCCGACAATGATCTTTTCACACGGGCTTGGTGGTGGCCGCAATTCGTACTCTTACGTGGCGGGCTCCCTTGCTTCGCATGGCATCGTCGTTGTTTGTCCCGAGCACCGTGATGGCAGCGCCGTCATCAGCTTCATCCGACAGCCCAACGAGTCTGGCCGCTACTTTTCGTCCAGTTCGAGGCGCGTTGTCCCATACAACCGCATTTCGCACGACGTTTCGCCCGAAGTCCACGAGGCTCGAGAGGCGCAGCTCCGCATCCGCCTGTGGGAGATGGGCCTGATACACGACGCCCTGCTGGCCATGGACAGCGACCGCTCCTTCACCAACCTGAACACGTCGACCCCGAGCCTCAAGCAGTTTGTGGGCCAATTGGACGTGCAGGAGCCCGGGCGCATCATTTTTGGCGGACACAGCTTCGGCGCGACAACCACGGTTCAGTTCCTCAAGAGCACCTACTACGCCGACGTGCCAGAGGTGGCGGCAATGGAGCGGCCCTTGTTTGTACCGAAGCCGGACAGCAGCATTCGGAAACAGATCACGGAGAAGACGGTCACGATGCTCCTCGACATGTGGTGCTTCCCGCTGATTGCGCCCAATTCTGCGCCGCTCTTCAACCTGCCGCTGCCCGTCTACGCCGACACTCCTTCGGCGCCGGGCGGCACTGCGTTGTTGGCCGTTGAGTCCGAGGCCTTTTACAAGTGGAAAGACCACCTGCATGTCAAGGCGCGGCTGCTCTCGCCCGATCCTTCGGCCAAGCTGGTGACGCCGCAAATGTACGAGCGCCCAAGCGGCATCAAGCTCCCAGAGCCCAACTTCTTCTACGTGGTCAACTCGGCCCACCTGAGCCAGTCAGACTTTGGCATCCTCTTCCCCTGGCTTACCAAGAAGATCTTTGACGCCGAGCAGCCGGAGCGGGCCCTGCGACTGAACCTCCGCGCCCAGCTGCAGCTCTTCCGCGCCAACGGCATCCCCGTTGGGCGTACTTATGCTGGCGACCTCGTCGACGGCGCGCATGTTGACAAGCTTGATGCGCCGAAGAAGGACGGAGGAGTTCCTGCCTCCAACGACGGCGTCAACGATGACAAGGCCATCTTCGATCGGAGTGGGAACGATGTCGTCGGTCACTGGAAGTGGATCGACTTGATCGGCCTCGGCGAGGCAGGTGAGTCGGAGACGGGCAAATCCGCAAGCGAGAAGGTCGAAGAGGGCGAGTCGAAGATGAAGGGTGAACTGGAACCCAGCGAGCAGAGTCCTGCGCCCGTTGCGGCCACCCTGAGCGCGGGCGCCGCCTAACGAGGTGTGGATTCTGCTCCACATGGAGAGGATATTTGATGATACCCCGACATCTATTGTGCATATACGTTTCGGATTTAAAGCGACTGTTGGCGTTTACGATGGCAAAGAAAGGGAATATGTGGAGTAATTGGTTACATAGCGGAACTGTTTACTTTTCGAATTGAACTAGGCGCATACAGTATCATACTTTCTTGATCATCTGTGGAACGGATGCGGAGCATCTCCCGCTAACTTGTCCAACTCACAGCCAGCCGAGGCCCAACACAGCCATTCAAGCACCATTGCATTGCCATTCCACTTTGCGTCCTGAGAGATGCCGAGTTCCGTCTGCTATGACGTTGCTGGGAATAGTGGTTCTGACGTCAGATTATCGGCGCCGAAGCGGTGGAGCACGATTGCAGATCCCGTGGTGTTCATCTACGTTTATTACCGAGACGAGCTGCAGATGGACATGGCTATGTCGTGACGTCTATCGCTTGTCCCTTATAGCTCACCTATAGCACTCACATCTCTTGACCAATCTCACCATGCTGGAAAAGAACCGCGTGCAGCAACTCGACATCCCCTCCCGCAAGGGCTACGACGCCATCTTCAACTCCAACTTCCTCGAGGACATCCCCGCCGCGCTCTCCCAATGGGGCAGCTCGCGCGTGCTCCTCGTCGCCAGCAAAGCCCTCGCCGCCAACAGTTCGCACATCTCCGCGCTGCAATCCGCCCTGGGCCCCACGCTCGCCGACACGAAGCTCGGCGTGGGCAGCCACTCGCCCTACGCCGACGTGCGGGACATTGCGCAGCGCATCCAGCGCCACCGCGCAGACTGCGTCATCAGCGTGGGGAGCTGCTCCTACAGCGACGCGTGCAAGATCTCCTGCCTGCTCGCTGCCAACTTTGACCCCGCTGCGTCGTTTGACGAGGCGGACATGGAGGCGCTGGTGGACAGGGAGCGCGGCATCGCGGATCGGCGCGCGGACGGGACGGCCCTGCGGCGCCGCGCGTGCAGGCTCGTGACCGTGCCGACGAGTCTCTCGGCGTCGGAGTGGAACGCCCTCAGCTCGGCGACCAACGCGCAGGGGAAGAAGCAGCATTTTGGAGGGTGGGACGACGGCGGGCAGCCGGATCTGATACTCCTGGATCCGGAGCTGGCTGCGACGAGCCCGGAGAGGTTGTGGTTGAGTAGCGGGGTGCGGTGCGTGGACCATTGCGTGGAGCTCATGTGTAATCCGCGGAGTGGTGAGGAGGGGTATGAGGGCGTGGGTGGGCATGCGGAGAGGGGGCTGCGGTGTATGATTAGGGGGTTGACGGAGTATAAGGAGGCGAAGGGCGTGGGGGAGAGGGATGAGGATGGGCAAGGGATGGAGGAGAGTGAAAGGAGGAGGAGGAGGGAGTTGTTGCTGGAGGGGATATCGGAGTGTCAGTATGGATCGAGGGAGGCGTTGACGGGGTTGTTGATTTGGAGGGTGCCTATGGGTCCGAGCCATGCGATCGGGCATCAGGTGGGAATGCCCTCACCTTCCCACTCGTACTCCCACTCTCCTCAACTGCCTGATGCTAACCTTTAACCCAGCTCGGAGCCGTTGCCAACGTCATGCACGGGGTACGTCCACCACCACCCCGCTCATCCCACCATCCGCGCACCGAAACACAATACTGACCTCAAGCTCCCAGATAACAAGCTGCATCATGCTCGCGCCCGTGCTGCGCTGGCAGGCCGCCAACCTCAGCAACCCGCACTACAAAGACACGCAGGCCAAGATCCTCGGCATCTTCAACGAGACGCTGGGCTGGCAGGAGACGTCTGCCGCGGACGCCGTGGAGGGGTTCGTCAAGAGCCTGGGGCTCCCGACGACGCTGAGGGACGTGGGTGTCGTGTCGGACGAGGAGGTGCGCAAGATTGCGGACAAGACCATGACGGATGTGTGGGGTGGTGGGAAGAGGCAGATGGAGTTTGAGGATGTCATGGAGGTTCTCAACAGCGTGAGGGGCCGATGAACTTACACTCATGACCACCAAATGCTGGTGCCCGTTGCTGCATATGCTAAAAACATCAATTCGTGATGCGTATATCTACCGTCATCCGTCGTATATACATGATACCATGATACCGGCTCATAAAGGCATGCTTTGTGCCGCTCTATAACTTGGCGAGCAGCTTCCACTGCCCCTGAATATTCCGACTCGCCATCATCCCACACGCCCCAACCATCGACGACGCCCCCGCAAAGATCCACATCGAATTCCATCCCTTCTCTCTCAGAATAAGGCCCGCCAACGGAGGCCCGAGCAAGTTGCCAATCATGGCAATGGCAAACCCCATGCCCATCCGCGTCCCCACGACGCTGCGCGTGGGCGACAGCCGCACGTAGCATGTCGGCGGCAGCGAGACGTACGCCCCCGAGAAGAAGCCAAACAGCGTCGCCGCAACCGTCACGCCCGCGAGGCTAAAGTTGTTGACAAACGCCAGGCACAGGCACCCGGACATGACGGTGCAGATGAAGATGATGTTGAACGGGCCGATCCTGTTGGCGAGCAGGTTCGGCAGCACGCGCCCGAAGAACGAGCCTGTGAGCATAACGGAGAGGAGATAAAAGCCCAGCTCGCGGGAGGCGATGCTGTTGCTGATTGCGTAGTACTGGATGTAGTAGAACGGAATGTTGATGGTAATGGCCGTCATGGCTGCGCCGATGACGAACGACGTGTAGGCGGGCTCTTTGAACGCCGACAGGTCCACCAACTTTCGCTTTGTTGGAGGCTTGGGCCGCGGCCGGAAGATGATTAGCGGAATCGCGGACGTGGCGAACATGACAAAGCCCAGCGCGCGAACGGTCCACGCGAAGCCGATGCGATCCAGCAGTCTGTGGAATATGATGGGGTACAGGATGCCGCCTGCGAAGTCAGTCCTGTTCATGTCTAGTCAATGAATAACATACCTAGTCCGCTCCCAGCCGTTGCAATGCCGTTGGCAATGGCCAGATTGGTGGTAAAGTAGCCCGACAAGATGGCGACACCGGGGATGTACGCGGTCCCAGCCCCGATACCGATACAGAAGCCTTGAGCGAGCAGCGCTTGGTAGTACTTGGTGCAGAGACTCAGCATCATCTGTCCAATGTTCAACAGGAGAATGCCGCCGTAGACAAGGGTGTGGAAGTAGCCCGCATCGTAGAGTGGACCAGTGATTATGCCGAGAAGCAGCAAGAACGAGGACTGGATGGCGCCTATCCAGGATATGCTGGAGGATGATGCGGTGAACAGCTCGCCGGACTCGTAGTATGTCTGGTAAGCGCCAAACGTGTTGATGATTCCCCTGGCACGCGATCAGCATTTGACATCGAATACTTTTAGACGGTCAAATCCCGCGTGCAATTATGATACTCACCATGTGTTGAAGAAGATGAAAAAGGATCCAATAACTTGGATCCATGCTTTCGTCCCTCCATTCGGAATGGAATCCGTGTCATTAACGGGCGACTCGACAGTCTCTTGTGTACCCAGCTCGGAGTCTTCATGTCCCACCGTGCTCGGGCTGCACGTGCTAATATCCAGCTTCTCCTTTGGGTGATCCATGTCGCGTCTGTATCACCCCAGACTTTGGAAGCATTGCGGAAGGAGAGGAGAGGAGGGAGAGAGAGAAAAAAGTCGGCAGCCGAGCGGCCCGCGACTGTGTGCCTGATCCGGTGGGATCTCAACACGTCGCTCATCCAACGTCAATGAATGGGCTTAGGTCAACCTGCAGATGCGGGGGTGAGCCCGCACGGCGGCGATGCCCGGCAAATCGGGGGAGACGCTGCCGTCGAAGGGTGCTTGGTCCACGCAAATCCCTTAACCGAGGTTCGAGAAGCGGGAAGCGATCCGGGGTTTGCTGCGACGGGACGGGACGTCTATTGGTGATTGCCTTGGTGTTGGTTCTGCTCGCCCGGGTAACAACCCGCGATGGAGGCTGCCAGGCCGGGAGACTCCCAGGATCGCGGGATGGCAGGCCGAGTAACGCCCACGTCCTCGCTCTCAAAACCCCAGCATAATACGGTGAGATTGTGCGTCGCAACACGCAGCCGCATCTATGACGGCACTTTGTTAACGCCCGGTACGGGACCTTGTTCCTCACTTGAGATGTTTGAGTGCATATCGGGCTTGTTCTATTCACAATGCGCCATTGTCAAGTGGGTACACGGTCGCGCCACCAATTGAAAGTCGGCCGGGTACTTCATTCAGCTATTCAGCATCGTCCAAGCTCTACGTACCTGCGTTGGGCGTATGATGGATGCTCCTGTGGTGGTCCGTGTCGACGGGAGTTGGATCACCGACGACTGGAAGTGGACCTCGGTCGACCGCGGCGACGACCCCGGGGTGGACCACGGCTTCGGCAGGGACCCGGCTGCTCCGGAGGCCGCATCAAGGTGAGCGGGCGCCGGAGCAACGTGGAGTCATCGGCGGGAGCGCCCCGGGCTCTGTGGGTCATGCATGGCCCGTGGAGGCCTCTGCCACTCGCGTCTGACTCTCAGCCGCAGGCAGGACTCTGCAGTCTGCACATTGTCAGACGTGAGACAAGGTCAGGGTGATGCAGCCACTGAGCTCAGGTCGGCTGGCCACGCGCCCGCGAGTCGTCTGAAGGCAAATGCGGCCATCGCCGCTGGGGCAGGACGCTGTGGTGTATCCTCGACTCCGTCCGCGGACTGGCAAGGACAGAGTTCCGTTGCGCGTCTGTGCACCGCGGGCGGCGGTGACTCCCTCGGCAGACACAAGGCAGTTGCGCAAGGCAGCCTGGCAGTGAAGCAATCGCGACTTGTGACTGGCCACCTGCTGCCTGCACGATGGAGAACATGGAGACATGCCGTCAGCCCCCAATGTTTGCCTGCTGCGCCGGACCGGGGTGTGCATGAAGCTGGCCCTGTGAGGCTCAAGTGGCTGTGCCAGATCCGCCAGCGAAACGCCAAAACGCCAGCGGCAAAGGATCGCTGCGGTGAGATCCTTCACAGTCGTGCAACGTCCACAGGCCCTTGCCTGCGCGACGATTGGCAGACGATGCGGGGAATCGGGCTGCGGCGTGAGTAACTCGCCTGGTTTCGAGGCATCGAATGGTTTGTGCATGTGGGCTTTGTGGAGTTGCGCTCGTTTGTGGCGATGACCTGCCTGGTATGCTGCCTAGAAGCGGAAGCATGCTGTCAGTGACGAGGTGTGGCGATGGGCTTATAAAACCGAGCTCAGCCTGCCTGCTCCTCACACCTGGAGGAGTTTCTGCGCACCTCGCTCCTTCCCCTCAGCCCACCGGCTTCCTCCTGCTCTCATTTTGTGACCCATCAAGGTGGCCTCGTATCGATCACCGTGCTGCCCGCCCGCACCTGTGACTCTGTGAACAGTCCACCCGTACTTTACGAAGCTTCCTCCGAGCCGCGACAATGTCCGACACTCCGGATCAGGCTCGGAAGAGCGACGACGAGTCCGTATCGGTCGTGGTCGTCACCCCGGCCGAGGCTGCGTCGGTCACCGGAGACGAGAAAATGGAAGACGTGGCCGCTCCCGACGCCGATGAAGGTACGACTGGTAACGGGAGTGGACATGCTACGGGAGCCACTGCTGACAGCAACACAGCTGGCGACAGCGAGGAAGAGAAGAAGGAGAAGCAGATGGTCGGCCTCGTCGCCGAGAGCAAGGACCTCTACGCCAAGCTCGACCAGCACGGTAACAGGTCCTGGACGGAAAAGAAGCCCGACGACCTCGAGGAGGCGGCCGAGAACGAGGAAACGGAAAAATATGCCATCATCGTCCGCAAACGTGAGTCGTTCGTTCCGCTGTGATGCGTTTGATCGAATCGCTAACAACAGTGCAGAGAAGCCGGAAGACGCAGACTCACGCAAGCCTCTCGTCATCGACAGCATCATTATCCAATCGCCCTATCTGAGGCCCGTCCTGGCCGAAGTATTACACAACTACCCCGGCATTCTCACGAACCTGTCGCGCCTCAAGCTCACCGCCCCCTTCGAGTGCTTTGTTCATCGATGGGACCGATTCGAGGCTGCCCGAAATGACCCGACACTCGAGGGCGCAGCGAAGGAGCACATCGAGCTCCTCTACAGGATCCTGCAAGAGGAGCTTGGCGACGTGATCCAATTGCGTGAGGACTACTTCAAGAACAAGGCCGTTGCCTGGGAGCACGCCTGGACGCTCTTCCCACCTGAATGCACCGTGTTCGGGTCCAAGAACGGAAAGCCCGTCGCGGCCAAGTTCAAGCGCGGCTTTTATACGCAGACGCCATGTGGCAAAACCTACGCTCTGCGATGCGAAATCATTGACTGGGATGGAGTCAGGATGGGCTGGACCAGCCTCGACATGCAGATCCCCCAGTTCCCAGGCACCCTGCCCTTCTCTGACCTGCCCACCTACCCGCTGGACTATCATCCTCAAGCCGAGTCAGTCAAGGCCATGCTCATTGAGCGCGGCCGGAAGTTTGACAGCCTCGCGGGCTACTGTTACCGCTGGTACAAGGGCGTCGGCCTGTGGCACCCGGAGGCCAACAAGACCCGCCGCGAGAACGTGCAGTCACGCATTGTGGTCGACGGCGCGAATTGGGAGAAGGAAAACTACGACCATCAGGTCTATATCAGCGCTCTCCACAAAGGCGACGGACGCGGTCGGCGCTATAGCACCTCCTCGATGGAGAGTGACGCGGACTCGGATACCGGCGAGGATGACGGGGAAGCCGTTAAGCGGGCACCCTTGACTGACGAGCAGCGGCTGTTCACGTGCCCGATAGTTCGTGGCTATGCTCTTCAGAACAAGCGGTGGATGGAGTTTTACATCGACCAGGTCTCTGAAGTGCAATTCAACGAAAACGCCTTCAGCTCGCTGGTCATGGAAGAGGAGAAGAAGGAGCTCATCCTCGCCTTCGCGCAGAGCCAGGTCAAGTACAAGGACGCCTTTGACGACGTCATCTCCGGCAAGGGCAAGGGCATCATCATGCTCCTGTCGGGTGGACCAGGCATTGGCAAGACGTTGACGGCCGAGTCTGTGGCCGAGGAGATGCGTGTGCCGCTGTACGCGATGAGTGCGGGCGACCTCGGCAGCTCAGCCTACGATGTCGAGGACAATCTGAGCAAGATCCTTGGCATGGTCGCCAACTGGAATGCCGTTCTCCTCCTCGACGAGTGCGACGTGTTCCTCGAGGAGCGCACCCCGCAGGACATGGAGCGAAACCGCATCGTGGCCATTTTCTTGCGCACGCTCGAGTACTATGAGGGCATCCTGTTCCTCACAACAAACCGCGTCAAGAACATGGACCCCGCGTTCCAGAGTCGGATCCACGTGTCGCTCGAGTATCCGGACCTGGATACCGCGGCACGCGCGGCCGTGTGGCGATCCTTCTTGGCGCGGACCGTCAGCCTCGTCGACGCCAATCTCAGGGGTGATGATGCGCACGATGTGACCCCGGAGGAGATTGAGGCGCTGAGCAAACTTGAGCTCAACGGGCGGGTGATCAAGAACGTGCTCAAGGCGGCCAACTTGCTGGCTTGCCATAGAGGAGAGAAGCTGACGTTTTCGCATCTGAGAACGGTGCTTCGCGTCGAGGGACACTCACTGTAGACTATAAACTGACATATTGAGCGAGCGATACACGCCTAAGAGGGAATCTCGGGGACTTGTTACGGCCTCAGGAGTTTAGATATTACATTATATAAGACATATCTAGAAGGCTTCGGCTGCGTACGCAATCGTGTGCTGAGTGCACGTTTGACCGTGAGACTCGTGTAAGAACATGATGAACATGAAGTGGCCCATGCCTGACGGCTGGGTACTTGTTAGTTCTTCTGAAGACATGAATAATCTGCAGGTAACAAAAGCAAGTCTGACAGTGTTTCATGTTCAGCTTCGGGACGTCGCTGATGTACCCCGCAATGAAGAATGCGGGGAGTGCGTGAGACGCAAACCCTGGCCTGTGTCCAACCCATATCTCCAACCCGTGTTTAGCAGTAAGTCTCGTCGGATCTCAAGCTCGGCGGCTGGCTGTTCGTGTTTGACGGCTGGCGGTGTAGCATGGAGGGTTCCTGACCACCCGACACGAGACCGTCCTCGTCGCCGCCGGCTTCCATTTCAATCTCGAGGACCTTCTTGCCGTCCTGCGTGCGGTCGACTTGGTAGGAGCGCGTGAGCATAATCTGGCCGCGGGCCTCGCTGTTGTGGCTCGGCTGTCCCAGGTAACCGGACTTGTTGGCGCGGACGAAGATGGCGTTGATGGCGGGGAGACAGGCGCAAATCAGGCCGATGCCGACTTCGGCGTTGCTTTTCGTGCATTAGCATCGATGTCTAGCTGGGACCTGATCTGGGGCATTGTACGTACCCAGACAAGACGACCTTGGTAAAGACAATGGTCTGATTGTGGGAAGCCTTATCCGTGATGATGAGCGCGAGACGGTAGATACTGAAAGCCGTAGCGATGCCTCCGGCACACAGCAGGCCAGCGACGCGGAGACGCTTCCGCTTGGGGAGCTGCAGAGACCAGGTGAGGGGCGTGGGGAGGAACAAGATAACGAGATCGCTGATCACGGAGATGATGGCGTCGGCGGTGATGATGGCGCTCTGGTTCATGCACTTGTCGCTCTCGCCGTGCCAGTAGGCGGGGATGGGCCAGCAGATGAAGATCTTGATGAAGAAGCCCGAGACGTAGTAGGCGACGATGACGGCGATGAGGATGTACATGCCGATGAGCGTCTTGCGGTGCACGGTGCCGAAGACGCGCACGATCATGACGAGCAGGGCGAGCTTGACGGTGAAGGCCATGGGCGCGTAGAAGAGGGTGGCGGCGTAGCATGCCTGGAGGGTTTGTCGAGTCGCGTTAGATACTGCATGGACTGCCACAGGTACTCTGAGCCTTGGATCGCATCGAGTCTTACCTTGAAGAAAGGCTCAATCTGGGTGACGGCTACATCCCACTGGTTGAGGCCTCCGCCATGAATACCCACTGTAGAGTCAAGTCAGCCTCTGTCGGTAGATCATGAGCGGGTTTGGATGGACCGTAGCATACTGAAGAAGGCGCATATGCAGTACCCAACCATGAAGAGCTGTACGACAAAGTCAGCGCCAAGTTAACGCGCCGCAATCACCGTGCGTCCGTACATATGCAGAGTAAATGGCAACTGTCTCGCGTGGTCAGCAATCCAGTCCTCCAAACCGCCAAGGCCTGGCGTATTTATGAGACGACATCACTTACAGTCGTCCGTAGTCAGCGAGTTGACCAGAACCTTTCGCTTGGCGTATAACCGCAGGCCGACAAAGACTGACACAAAAACGAGCGTGAGGGCCTGCGTGACGTAGTGGCATGTTCGCAAAACATCCTGAGGGTTGTTGATGTCTGCCGTGACGCCAGGCGGCGGCGGCAGGGCGCCCGGGTAAGAGGACGACATATCTGTGTGCGATGTTTTCGTTCTCGTGCTTCTTGTTGTTGTTTTCGAGTCCCAGGGTGCTTGCGCTGGCCCTAATAGACCGCCAGGACCTGGAGCTTGCGAGGCGGGATGCTCCAGTCAAGTCGCCGTCGTCGTCGTCGCCCAGGTTCCTGTCGTTCGAGGTCTTATGCAGGTCGTAGGTTCTCGATCTCGGCAAAACGATCCTGGAGAATGAAGGGTCCAACCTTCGAAACTTATATCCGAGCCGTGCAAGTTTGACACCAGTACTAGTTCGTGGCCCAAGGGAGGGGTGTGCGGTTCCGTTTGCTCGAGTGTCAGTTCGCCACGCCCCGAGACCACGAGACGTAAACCCAAGAACGATCGCTGGCGAACCGGTTCGCAGCAAGAAGGATACCCGTCAATCCCGAAAAGAGCTGAGGGCGAAGAGAGGCACAATCTAGACTCGGGCGACTGGGCGATGTATCACTTTCCCGATGCGAAGCATGGAGCAGGGGCCGGGGAACCGTGCCGGGAGCCCTACGATTAATGCTGTAATCCGGTTCGACCTGAAGGCGGCTGGGATTGCCAGTGTTCAAATGTTGGTGGCGGTCCACTCCGCGTTGGCTTCGCGCACGGCCCGTTGTCAACTGGGGAGGGGGTTTGCTAGTTCGAGTACGTATCATTGCTCTTTTCATGTGAGAGGCATGGCATACGGTACTTTCACCTACATGCCGTCCCGGTAGACGCCACAGAGATGGATCTGAATCTGGGCTTTGGTGGCGGCCGGGACCTGCCCCGGGCTGCATCAGCCGGCGGCATATACCGAGATTGATGGCGCGCAGCTGCGTCTCATAAGCACTCTCCCTTTACACTCTCTCTTCGAAAGCCATCAGCCACAAAATTCGCCGACGAGAAGCATCCAGTACTTCGTACGTACACCCAAACTTCTGTTCCCGCCGCACCGCCGCCGCCGTTTGTCTCAAGTGGACTCAGTGGAGGAACTGCCGGCCGGTCCCGCCTCCTAGTCCCCCCGGTCCGCCCGTCACCAACGGCCTGAAGGCTGTCAAAGCCCGACCAACACTCGCACCATCTGGGCCTCCCGCATACGCGCGACCAACAACAGAACCAACGGTGGCGTGTTTGGAGATCGTCAGGAGGTGCCCTGCCCTGCCCTGGGTCACACAAAAAATGTGCATCCGACGGGCCACTCCGCGCGGGCCCCGAAGGGTGCGGGTGCCGTAGACCGTTGTCCCAAGAGAGTGGATGGTACCGCCAAGAGTGCCTCGGCGGCGGCGCGCGGTGCAAGGGGCCGGGATGTTGCCGTCGTGGCGACCCCCATTGCTTCAGGTTCCCAGTGCGAGATTTTCGCAGTGCCAGGTTCAAGCCGCAAGAGCGCGCCCCAAGGCGCGCCCCCCTCCCGTGGAGTAGAAGCGGCGACTGATGTCGACTGAATGACACGGGAGTGGAGTTTTGACAGACGGATACCCGTCTTCGGCGACCCGCCGCCGGTGCCGAGCTAGCAGCACATTCGCCCAAGATCGTCATTCGATAAGCTAGTACGGAGCATTTACATGAACTTGCCAGGGCTTGTACGGTAAATACGCGAGGCGTGGAGCCTGCGGTCGGGCAATCATAGCCCGGAAATCTCTAATGCCAAATACCCCCTGGCCCGTTTCTCGATACCAGGTTCGCCGACTATCAATGGGGAACCTTGGTCTATGCGCAGGGGGGGCATAATTTCACAACCAGGTTGAGAGAGCCGAGGGACGATCGAGTCCGCCGCCTCCATCCCCATCGTATTTTCTCCTTTTGTGCGATTCGATCTCCCGCGGCCCTTCTGAACGTTCCATGTCTTCTACGTGTGTTGCACTGTGCATCCCGTCAGGTCTCTGCGTTGTTGTGTTGCACAAGCCTTGTCAACTGTCAACTGACGTGATTCTCTCCCCGGTAAGTCGTGCAACCAACAGACGCACGTCAACCCATCCCTCCTGTCCGCTGTGCTGCCAACACGCCTGCCCACCCCCCCTTTGCCTTCCCGTGGCGGTCCCGCGACCGCCCTGGCGACATGGACATGGAGTCGGTGCCTGCTGTCTGGTTTATTAAAATGAACCCGTCCCGGACGGACCGATGAAGGGGGGAGTGGCGAAACCTCGGTGCATCACGCAGCTCGCTAATTGTCACGTCTGCCCTCCTTATTAGTATCTGCAGATCGAACACAAATCGCACCGTTGATACCGAGTAGTCAGATTTGAAAAGAGGACCAAGCGAGGCTACATAGCTGAGCTTCTCGCGTCGTACAGGTCTTGGGGGTGCTTACGGACACTTGATCCTCTGATCCAACGTTGAATACACCCTGTTACGTCGTACTCCACCCCGAAGGGTTCTGGACAGTCGCACTCGCACCAGACTGCATCACCCGCATCTCGCGGCAGTCACATCCACATCCGCGCGAGCGCCTCAATACTGGCCACGATCCCGCCATGGGAGAACAGTTCAACAACGGCCTCGACTCGAGGCTGTTCCAGCCCCTGTCAATTGCCGATGGCAGAATCCAGCTAAAGCACCGCGTCATCCATGCGCCACTCACACGGAACCGCGGAACGCCCTTGAGTGCCGAGTCAACGGAAGAGAACCCGAACCGTATTTGGATTCCCAATGACATTGTGGCCAAATACTATGAGCAGCGCACCACGGAGGGAGGCTTGCTCATCTCCGAAGGCCTTCCACCTTCGCTCGAGGTAGTATTCACCAAGACCCCTGTCGTACAAGGCGGGAGTAGGGCTGACTCTATTGTCTGCTGTCCAGGGCAATGGCATGCCTGGCGTCCCCGGAATCTTCATCCCGGAGCAGGCTGAGGGCTGGAAGAAAGTGGTCGAGGCCGTCCACGCAAAAGGTGGATACATCTACGCCCAGCTCTGGCATTCTGGCCGGGCCAACATCCCGCACCTAACAGGCACTCCCATTGTGGCGCCATCGAGCGTCCCCTGGGACGACCCGGAGGAGCGGTATCCATACCCGCCGCCGCACACAGCATCCCAGGTCAGACTCGCGGACCATCCGCCCATCGAGCTGACCGTCGAGCACATCAAGAAGACCATCAAGGACTTTTGTGATGCGGCCAAGACGGCCATGGACGTGGGCTTCGATGGCGTCGAGCTCCACGGCGGCAATGGCTACCTGCCTGAGCAGTTCCTGAGTTCCAACTCTAACAAGCGCAACGACCAGTATGGCGGCTCGCCAGAGAAGCGATGTACCTTCGTCATCGAGCTGATGGAGGCTCTCGCCAAGACTGTTGGCGAAGATAACCTGGCCATACGCCTAACCCCCTTCGGTCTTTTCAACCAAGCTCGTGGAGAGCAGCGCGTTGAGACATGGGGCCATCTTTGCCGAGAGCTGAAGCAACGCCTCCCTCGCCTATCCTACGTCAGCTTCGTAGTCCCACGCTACGAGCAGATATTCTCCGAGACCGAAAAGCAAAGTTTCCTGGACTCGTGGGGCCTGCCAAATGTGGATCTCGCCCTCTTCCGCGAGATCTGGGGTGAAACGCCCTTCTTCTCCGCGGGCGGGTTCAACGATACAAACGCCTGGGGCCAGGTGGAGAGCGGCCAGTGCGACGGCCTCCTCTTTGGGCGATACTTCATCAGCAACCCAGATCTGGTGGATAGGCTGCGCAACGGCCTACCACTTGCAATGTACGATCGCTCGCGCTTCTATGGGCCTTTCGAGGACCCGACGATTGGATACACGGACTACCCGACATATGCGGAGGGCAAGGAGGGGCGTTGACGCTTTGCGCGGAGCTCGGGGGCGTCTTCCGTCTCGACCTTGGGCGCCACAGGCGCGCCGGGCAAGTTGATTCTGGTCACATAGTCTATCATCTGTCTTTTCAGCTACCAGCGCACGGGGCACTTTTACCCATGTCGAGAGCCACATTGTTGGTTGGAGTAGATCTGATTCTTTGCATAACGGCGGGGAATTGCCAAAGCTTCCCTTTGTGACGTGATCAAGAGCCCCGTGCGCCCAACGCACAATCGCACTCCTGCCGGTTACTTCGTCGTTCGTGGGGAGCCTTTCATTTCCACCACCCTGCTTCACCTGAGAAGCTCATTGCTTTTGAATTGCGCAACATCACCCACATGCAGATTTCGCGGGCGAGGGGCGCGAGGCGCACAATTTATGCCCCTTTTGTTCTCGATGGACAATGGCTGGCAGAGAATCAACGATGTTGGAGAAAAAGATCTCAGTGGGTACGCAGGCGGGAACACAATGTCGTCATATGGGCACTGTGGCAGCGGCATCTCTTACGCCGTTCTCTTGGATCTTTTGGCCTGGTCGCAGGACGTCTGCTGGTGATCAACCCACAGGGTCTACCCTGAATGCAACAACACATATCGTGTCCTCTGAACCAAGAGAAAGCATTTTTCTTCTTCTTTTGACATCGGGAATCATTGAGAGCCAAGGTTTTCAGTGATACAGATCCTGCAGTGAACGCGACCCAACTCTGCTGGATCTCGTCCGCCCAGCTTCCATGTATCACTCTTAGCAAAGGCTGGGTTCTCACCTTGAGGTGTTCATCTGTTCAGTTTCTCTCCTTGATCAGCTTGCTGCTCTGTGGAATGAAAAACATTGCGCCGCAAGATCAAACGGTTCGTTCAGTTGTGTCTCAGAAAGCTTGGCGAACAGAACCCAGCGTTGCTTTTGGTAACCCTTGATTCGGTGTGGCTCTAACACTCAATGCATCTGTTCTTTGGTTGTACAAAGCGTATGCAGTGTCATTGACGGAACGGATAAGATGACTATGGGGTGGATTGACCTACAAATACTCAGAATCAATCCAGCTGGATGACCGGATGGATGCTTCACTATCGATCTGACTCTCCCATCTTCTTCCTGAACTCATTACTTCCTCCCATCTTCCTGAACTCATTACTTCCTCCCATCTTCTTGGTACCTCAGTTTTCGTGGATTTGGCTGGCCTGAGTACAGAATGGTCCTCGAAAAACTCTTCAGGGGGCGTTCCGGCCGCTCGGATGACAGCAGCGATGGCGAAGAGTTGTACTATTGTCCCGTTGTCACATGTTATACCCTGAAGCAGTTGTCGGACCCCCGGAAGGCAAGCGCCGTGAAGACATGGATCGAGAGGGACGTTCTTGGACTCCTCGGGCCGGGCAAAGAGGCGGATCTCAAGGGAATCCGGCGTCCCGAGAAGCACTTCAGCACGATCAACAACATCCTCGCAGAAAGCATGGACATCCTAGAAATCCAGAATGGCTTTCTCTTCTCTTGGAGGTGTGAACTCCCAACTAACAGGAAGCCGCACCGGAGTATACCTAGGAGCACGAGCCAGACAGTTGACGGTATCGCTCGTTGGTGCTGGATAATGGGTACTCCGGGGGTTCTCCCGACGGACCAATCCCCCACGTGCCGTTTTTGCGGAGGCCAGACCTCACATTGTGCGGCCGTGATGGACAGATCATACGAGAGAGCCTTCGGGGATTTCCTGGCCTACAGGATGGAAACGCCGAAGTTCGACTCGTTCTCGGAGAAGCAGAGGGCAGCGTTCTCGATAGCGGTCACGCTCGCAACGTTGCAAGTTGTCGCTACGGAGTTGAGCATGACTGCAGCGGCGAATCAGCTTCGCCTCATCCTGGCCAGCTGGCTTCCAATCCTCTTGACAGCTTGGAAAGCCCACGAGGGTTAACACGCCGCAGTTCAGGCCTGGAGAGGTCCTCTAGGCTGCACCAAAGGAGGATTGAGGGAGTATGGATAGTGATTTCTCTGCGTTCCCCTCTTTAATCGACGCCGTCTTTCTACAGAATACATGTGTTCGTGTCTCAGAGGTGTTCAATTCAAGGTTCATTTAAAGCTGGAGCATCAGTCAGTGATACCAACAGCGAGCTTTGCGTTTGTCCGGCGAAGTGGTCGGTTCTGGTCCCAGCTTTTCGTGCACCACACGAACATGGTCGAACAAATGCGGCGGACTTGGGCTTGGTCCGTAAAAACATGTCTCAGTGTCATTCACGCATCCTATACGATCGATGGCACGTCTTTCGATATTCAGAAGTGAGTAATCTTATCGTTGGGACCAGGGTGCGATCTTGGGGATTTATGCGTCTTTGTCTTTCGGGCGGACACCACCCGATCCAAAGCACAATCCTTTTGATGCAAAATGTAGCAATGATTTGGACACGGGACGTGGCCGACCATCACAGTTGGGGTTTGGCGTGTCTTTCCATGCCATCGTAGGCCCTGAGCGTGAGAGTGGGGCCGTAGCAGCACTCGCCTGCTCAAAGGCCTGCCCTGCATAAAGATGTACAAAAACTCCTATAAAGGGCTTTCACATCTTCGGTCTTGCTGTCAAAGCACGCGCTTCAAGATATTGTTTAGGTATCGTGACTATGGATGCCTTTTGGTCTTATAGTACTGTCCGCGACCAGTTTCTAAATTTCCTTCGTGAATCAGAGCAGATGCATAACTCCGTAAACGCCCTTCATTCAATGTTGCATCATCAGGTATGTTGATCACTTTAAAGAATACTATGCGAAAAGATGCCGCTGTGCACCCTGAGTTCGCGTCTGATTTGGACCGAGCAAGTGAATGACTATTTGTTGACGGCACAAGTCACGGACGCAAAAACATGAAATCTTGCAACCTATAAATACGCAGGAAACGAACCCCTCACTGTAAGACTTAGCATCTCTCCTTACCAGCTTACTATTTTGTTACCCAAGCAGTACTCGCCATCAATTGCCAAAGGCGTGCTATCACCTCAATTCAAGCTACATCGTTGGCGACACCGCAAGGTACAACCGAAACTACCTATTCACAAACCCAGAGCTCTCTAGGACCTCGGCGGGCCAGAATGGTTTTCCGCAAGCTCTACAAGGGACTTGTCGGCCAGTTGGCTCGGTCCAAAGATGAAGAGGCCCCATACTGCCCTGTCATCATGTGCGAGACTCTGAGACAGTTGGCGGACCCTCGAAAGGCGAACGAGGTGAGGGCCTGGATTCAGGATGACATCCTATCCTTCATCGGCCCCGGCAAGGCGATAGAATTCACGGATTTCCCATTCCCTGAAAGGGGCTATATCCAGGTCAACGCCATGATCATGAACAAGATGGTGAGTTTGGAAGCCAACGTCGCCGTTGAATTCATGTGGGCCATTCTAGCGCCGGGCAATAACCAGCCGTATGGAACCCTCCCCGAGAGCACGGGGATGACCGTCGGTGGCATCGCTCGCTGGTGTTGGATAGCCCTAGAGCCGGCCCACGGCTTGAGGTGCGAGCTACCCGAGTGCGAGTTCTGTGGCGGGGAGACCGCAGCATGTATGTCCCTGGTCAACCAAGCGTACCACAAGGCTTCATTTGGGTCTTTTATACCCGGGAGGATTGAGGTGCCAAGCTTCAGGTCGTTCTCAGAGCAGCAGCGGGGTGCATACTCCATCGGGGTCTCGCTCGTGACGCTGCGAATCATGGCGATACAGCTGGGCATGGTCAACGAGGCAGATAAGTTGTACGAGATATTGGAAAGCTGGACTCCAATTCTCGCCAAAGCATTTGATGGTTAGGCCACCGCAACACTATGTCCTAAACCGGAACCAAAAGACGTGGTGTGGTAACATTGATGCGTCTACAAACTACTTAATGTATGTAATTGGTGGTTGTAGCATACTGACTGCAAGCATGCGTTGACAGAAACCACCACTGAGCTCAATATTAATGTCGTGTCATTGCGGCATTGACTCCCTGCCGTGCTTGGCGTGAGGATGTTGTGCGTTGACCCAACTGTTGTGTTACGTGAAACAGGGTACCCAAACAGCACAGGCGGTCACCGACGCATCAATCCGCGAAACTGTATCACTAACTCCACGCGCGATGCGTGCCACTAACTCCACATGCGCACGCGGATGTGTGTCGCACAAAAACGGCCAATATCACCCTCGAGTTCGCAAACAGGCTTGCTACCACGGCCGCAATTGTGTCACCGACACTCAAGCCAGAGTGCATCACTGTGGACGTCAAGTGCCCCTTGCCCCCACCCCCCCAACGTGACGACCCCGATTTCTCCGCAACATAAAGGCACTGAACATCATCCCCGTAAGCATGGATGCGTTCGGGCCCGAGTCCGACCGACCCGGTGCCTGGATTATGCACGACACTCATTCGTGCTGGCACAAAAACAGTCGAATTGCTGTCCTTCCCTGGCAAATGGACTGTCGATCGCAGCTGATCCAACAGCCACCTTCGGAGCCGACGCTGGGCTCGCACTTGCTAATTTCCGTCGATCACTCCTCTGTGCGTCGAGCTGACTTTGGTACCTGGACAAGCGCTGCTGGCCGGCGTTCCCAAAATAGCAGTCAGCTTCGACGTAAGGGTCGGCACAACAAAAACAAAAGCTGCGATATAAAGGACGATTGAGGACACTTGAAATGTGAGCCTTGGCGTTTCTTAGCACAGATCTGAGCAAGAACGTTGACAAGATGAAGTCTTTGAGCTTTCTGGCCGCGGGGCTCCTCGCCCTGGTTGGCTCCGCCGCTGCGACACCGATTGAGCAGCGCGCCGCCAGCGTCAAGGGCTTCGACATTTCGAATCATCAAAAGTCGGTCGACTTCAACAAGGCGTACAAGGATGGCGCGCGCTTTGTTATCATGAAGGTACGTGCGACGATCGACGAAACCATCTGGTCACGTCACCACCCAGACGGACTCGAGCGGATCAGGCGGACACAACTTACACGGGATGTGTGTGTTGACATGATGCAGGCCACCGAGGGCTCGACCTTCATCGACCCCAACTTCAACAAGTTCTACACGGCGGCCACGAAAGCCAAGCTCATCCGCGGGGGGTACCACTTCTGCCGGCCCGACGGAGCCAAGGCATCAACGCAGGCCAACTTCTTCCTCAAGCACGGCGGCGGATGGTCCAAGGACGGCATCACGCTGCCCGGCATGATCGACCTGGAGGCAACCAACGGCCACCCGCAGTGCTACGGCCTCTCGCCCAAGGCCATGGTGGCGTGGGTCTCCGAGTTCGTCGAGACGTACCACAAGGCGACGAAGCGCTACCCCATGATCTACACGGGGCCGGCGTGGTGGAAGGCCTGCACGGCCAACAGCCAGGCCTTCAAGGACAAGACCCCCCTCGTGCTCGCCCACTACGCGAGCGAGATTGGGCCCCTCCCCGGCGGCTGGAAGAAGCACGCCATCTGGCAGTACAACAACCATGCCCCCTGGGGTGGCGACTCGGACCGCTTCAACGGCGACGCGGCGGCGCTGAAGAAGCTCGCTACTGGCTGATGGGCGGGGATTAGCCGAGACGGTCGAAACTGATCCGAGCGTCCTCTCTTTTGTGTCTTATTATCAGGCACTTGCGAGTATGTACATATCACAAGCGATATAATAGACGAGCTTTCAGCTTTCTTCATGTGTCCAAATTGCGATGCGCGGCTCTGGAACCCCGTAACATTACACCCAGCGCAGAGTGAAGATTGCGTAGGCTGTTGCGCTCAAGTCAACTTATCATTTAACTTACACACGACTTGCCCGATAAAAACGACCGAGGGTGCCGGCATCATATCGTTCCTTTGCGTGACGCGTACGACTATTTGTCAACCTCGATGCCGCCATTCACGCACCCTTCACGCCCCTGGCCAGAAACCCGCGCATGCTGCCGCCAAACTTGGAGGGCACCTCCGACTCCTCCGCGAACGCTTTCCATCCCCAGCCACTCAGTCCCGCCTTCTCAAACGTCTCCCGCAGAGCACCCTCGCTGAAGCCCATCCGGCTCACCGTCTGTCTCACGGGCATGTCTTCCGACTGCAGAAACTTCCAGTCGCTGCCCGCCTCCTCGCTCATCCAGTCCACAATGACGAGCACGCCGCCGTCGGCGAGTCGATCCGACAAGCGTTGGATCATTGCGTCGACGTCTGAGACGTGGTGAAGGGCGAGGCTCATCACCGCGAGGTCAAAGTGATTGAACTCGGCAGTCGGGAGCTCTGCGGATGGGGTGGCATCGCTGTCGAGCAGGTCACCGTGGACAGCGCGCATCGTCTCTAGTGAGAACCCTGCTTTCTCTGCAAGCATGTTGTACTGTGTGACCATGCCAGATGAAATGTCTATTCCTCGAATGACGGGCACATCAGACGAGAGGGCCTAAAGCGATCTGTTTTAGCCTAGCCCGGATACCATGCGGCGAACGAGACGAAAAGGAACACCTGTGACCTACACGAGACACGATACCACTGCCACAGGCATAGTCCAGCATCTTAGTTGGTGAGCCAGCGCTGTTTGCCCTCACGCCAAACCACGCAAAGTTGTCACGAAGTTCGCGCGAGACTTGTTCCCCGAGCTTTGCGACCCACGGCGTGTCGAAGATGGTCGCCGCTACTTGGCTGCAATTCCCGCCGTCAGTCTGTGTAAGCCTGCACCTGTATTCACGGCATCACGTACTCAAAATGCTCCTTGTTCTTTTCGCCCAGCGTCTTGTCCGCATTCTCATCGGAATGCACGTGGTGGTGATGGTGATGCCCGTGGTGATTGTGGCTACACTGATGGTGTGCCATGGTTGCAAGTGAGGCAGATTGATTCGGACAAGTACTGTGACGATGCGCCGCAGAAGACGCTGTAACTGAAAGGAAACAATTGAGTAGAATGCTTGGCCTCATGGATCTCGAACGAGAATGGGTGCAGCTTGGAGCTGAAATGATTGTTTGCCTCCCGTAGCGTCACGCTATATGCAAAGTCCAAGTGTCACCGGAAACTCGCCGGCTCTCCACTTCTAGCAAGTTTAGAGCGATTCACCGCAGTCGCTACCATCTCGACCGAGCATCGTGCCGTGGCCGTGGCCAGTGATGTCATTCGTATTTTGTACAAGTCTGAGCCTGGCTGCCATGCATGAGCACTCTGCGTAGAATCGCCTTTGGGTCCTTCACGTTCATCGCATGTTCCGCGACACGCGCTATCATGTACTTTATCAATCATTGCCATCTCATCCGTCATGGTCATCACTACATGTATGATACACTTTGGCTCGACTCTAATCCGTCCGCCTCGTTCCGCCGAGGAGCATGTCCCTGCACACGCTGAGCCGTTCTCTAGCCTCCACCAATAACTCCGTGTCCGCCTCTTCTAAGATGCCCTCCATTACATCCAAAAGTTCCGGCAGCCCTTCGTGCAGCATCGCCGCGGTCGCCTCGTCCAGCTCCGGCAGCATCGCAACGCCGGACAGGTATTCTGCCATGCGCGCGTAGGTGCTCTGTCCCATCTGCGACGGTCGCAGGGGAAATCCCTTGCCTGGCGGTCGGCCGACCGCCTGGACAAATGCCCATATGGACAGCACAGCGTAGTACATGATCCACGGCCGGTGCGGATCGGTCTCGTTGCGGAGCGAGTATTGCACCGCTGGTGAGTCCGGGGAGTGCGGGCTGCTGTTGTTGCGACGCCTCGTTGGGTGGGGGTCCACAAGCACACGGTAGAGTAGCTTGAAGGCGTGCAGGATCGCGTGCCGAGTCGACGCCTGCTTAGCCCACGCGCTCATTCGCTTGACCGCGTTGGTGTAATCTCGCGCCGATACCTTGCGTCCGAGGAGTCGCTTTGCGCCCGCGAACACTTGGCAGTCCACGATGTCGGCATGGAGGCTGATGTGCGCCAGGTGGAAGAGCAGCGAGGCGCTGTTGATCGGCCCATTGGGGACCGGCCGATGACCCGGCGCGTCAGTGATGGAATCAGACATGGCCACGTCGAAGCTTTCCTTCCAGTTTCCAAACGCCTTGAGGAGCATCTTGCGCCAGTTATCCTGGGTCTCCGTTGACGGAGTCCGCAGGTCCAGCCACTTAAGATGCGTCTCCTTGTGGCTGAGATGCCATCCCACGCTCAGCAGCCCTGAGATGATAATCATGCGCCCAAACGAGTGTGTCTTGACCTCCTTGCCATGCAATGCACTCTTTAGGCCGTCCAAGAAAGACACTTGCTTGACGCCGTACATGCGGAAGTTGGCATCGAGCTGGCGCACGACGTCCGGGCTGCTCGCCGTCCACAGATTATCGTCGCACGGCAATGGCAGTCGGATCTCGTGCGCCGCCATATCGGCTGTATGTCCAAACATTGCGGCGTGTATAATGTCAAGCATGAAGGCGGCGAACACCACCCGGTGCATCGACTCTGTCTCCGCCCAGCGTATCCACCACGTGCGCGAGTCGAGCGCCATGCTTGGCGCCTCGCGCTCTGCACCCAAGCCGTCCGGCTCTGGTGGTGACTCGCTGCCGTTTCTTCCTATCAACGGACTTCCACGGCGCAGGAGGGTCAAGAACGCCGGGTGGTAAATGTGCGCCCTCTCGTGTAATTTTCTCGACGTGTACAGCTTCTCGTAGAACTCCAGCAGAAGCAACGCCTGGGCAACCCACAAGCCTATCGGAGGCGCCGAGTCGTCGGATGTTAGGATCTCCCACCGAACACTAGCAATGATGACGTCGGCAAATGCGCCATACTCGGAGAGTCGCCCGGTGTTGTCCCTGCTTCGGAGAGACGCAGCACCGAGTGAGATCATGACGAGCAGCAGAAATATGGGACATCGGTTTGCGGAGAAGGTGTGCTGATGTATGATAGGAAGCCGTGGTGACACATTGTCCCAGAACTCCTTCAAACAGTCTCGCATCATGTCGACATTGAGCGCTGGGAGGTCGCCGCCACTCTCTTGGACGAGATTGGGCATCAGAGTCTCGTATCTCGGTTGCTTCTTGCGGAAGATCTGGAACCAGTACAGAAGGTCTTGCCGACGGGACTCCGTGATCCAGTCGTCGGACGCATCGGAGTGGCGGGTGGTTTGCTCCATTGGAGACAAGCTGTTTAACGATTCGTAGTCATAGTGTATGTTGTTGTTGAAAGTCGACTCCAGGCCGCCCTCGAGGAAGGGTAGACTAGCGACACTGAAGTCGTTGTAGGTGGTCTGCGGATCGAACAGCCAGGCGGCAAAGTTGCCTTGCGCCAGCTGGTCGTCCGCGGGGTATGCAACGTTGGAGAATGCGACCATGGCGGAAGGCTCTGGTAACGCCGTAGTATCGCCCTCATAAAAGCTCTGTCTGTGAGGTATCATGTTCGTCGGGGCGCGCTCATCTATCGGCGACGTCCAGGTGGCATTGGGACCGGCGGCCCTGCCAGAGAGCGGATGTTGCAGGGGCGCTGGTGTTGCGGCCGTGTTCGAGTCGGGCGTCAAGAGGATGGCGGCATCGTGCGGACCGGCCGACGGCGGGTGATGGGAGAAGGAGCTTCTTGTGTGCCCATTTTGGCGCGCCTTCGCGGTGGCCGTTGATAGTCTCGTCCGCTCGCCCGGGGCGTCGAAGCTTGGTATTCTGTTCCGTGGGGTATAGGACGAGGTATGACGCTTCTTGTGGCGCGCGAGCAGGTCGAGGCGCACAAACTTTTGGTCGCAGTCGCCAATGTCGCAGCGGAAAATCTCTTTGGGGTTATCTGCGTCGTCGCGCAAAGGAGCGCCATGTCAGCGCGGCTGCGAGAAGGCAGCGCGCGGGAAGGGGACGCTCACGGTTCAGCTGGTGGCGCTGCAGGTGCTCGGCCCGCGAGTATATCTTGTCGCAGCCCGGGTGCTCGCAGGTGAAACGGCGCGGCGCTCCCTTCCGGCTCGCGCGTTTGTATCCCGCGGCCGTGCTGCCGCCGTTCGTCGTGGGCTCCTCCGGGGACGCCATCAAGACATGTCTCTGTGCGCAAGGCACGGCACGACTCGCCGATGATCGATGGGGGTCGCGCGCAGGTATGTAGGCCGCGATTGCTTCTTTCGAGCTCGAGCTCGACCCCTGGGACGAATGAGACGCTGGTTAATTTACCACGGCGAGACAGTGACACGGGGGGCTGGATGCAGGAGGAACAGAGATGCATGGGGTTCGCGGGGTGCGTTTCCTCCCACGTTGTTGGGGATCCGGGGTGACCCCCACGAACTGGAGCCCGTCGGACCCCGGAAGGGGCAGGCGTCGCGTGGGGGGTTGCGCCACCCCGATGTCGACAGTCTGGACCCTCGTCAATCAGGGCTCGGCCGTGCGCGATGTAATGCCACCGGATGGCCGAATCTGGGGAGCACCGATGCCCCGGGGCCTGCGTCGGGTGACTCCAGAGATATAATGGCCTGTCAGGCCCCATCTCCAGACCATGCCCGACTCCAATCGGAACGACAGGTCCCTGGACTCCGACCAGAGATGCGACGCAAGAGGTACGTTACCAGACCGTCAACCAGTCTGTATCAATTGTTACGCCAGGTCCCAGCCTTCTATCTGTCATCTCGGCGGTCTCCTGAATTGTTCTCCGAGTCGTCTGTCAGCGCGACGTCGCTGCCTCGCCTTCGCCGCGGCGGTTGCGTGTACAGACGCGTCGCTGCACCGCGCCGTGCTTTCTTTCTCTCCCGTCCTCGCTTCCTGTGTCGGTGAAATGGCCGATTTCCCCGGTTCCTGCAAGGCGGGCCGTTGACGCTTATCTCGGTACCGACTCCGGGAGACGGATGCTTCCCATCGCCGTGGCATCGCCTAGCGCCACTAATGTAACGTGCCCTCTCCCCAGAGCCATCATGCCCGTGACCTGGGTGAGTGAGGCTCCTTGGGCGCAAATGCGCCTTTGTGGGCGGCAATGAACGCTTCATGGTTCGTCGCGCTCATGCAGTCGATTCCGATGGCCCTGAACCGTCCTTCTTGACTTCATCCCCGTCCGCCAGCTCAATAGACGCCGCCGCGTCATTCAAACCACTCTCTCCGTTGCTCTCCTCCAGCATCCCCGCAGCCGATAAAAAGTACTGGGCGATCTCGGGCTTGTCGTTGAAGTTGGCGAGGTCCAGAGGAACGTAGTTGCGCTCGTTTGCCAAAGCCGGCGAGGCGCCATGCTCCATAAGAAGCTTCACCGTCTCGAGGTGGCCTCCGAGTGCGGCCCAGTGAAGCCCCGTGTTGCCATGCTCGTTCGGCTCGTCCAGAAAAGCCTGCTTCTCCTCCTTTGGTCGGCCCTCGAACGCATCGACGAGCTGACGCACCATTTCTGGTCCTTTGTCAGCGACACTTCGCAAAGCCATGCTCCCGGCCTGTGTCATCGAGAAGGCCCAGTAAGACTCACCCAGATGGCCGTTGCCGGTCGCCATGTGCAACGTCGTCGACTTGGCCTCGTCCCGGGCCGCGACGAGGATCTCAGCGGGCGTGACCTTTTCCCGCTCCGCCAACGATATCAGCGTCTCCTTCATGTCCTCATTCTCACCCGCCCGGGCAAAGTAAATGAGATCATCGATCTCGTCTTCGGTGAGTTGAGGCGCCATGGCGATTTAATGTGTGCTGCTCTCAGTGGCATTGAGCGAGCCTCAAATTTTTAAGCCGGCCTCAATTGAGGGAGGGGACTGTGCAAAAAGCAACCCCGCACCTTTCGCACTGTACGTGAGTCTCGGTCTAGGGTAGCCTACCTATGGAGAGGCCAGGCCAAAAGGTATCGATCTTCTTTAGGTGAGGCAAGCCTACGGAGACAATAGCCTGGTCAGGTTGTTTTCCAGCCATTGCGTCAAGTCCCCCGAGTCCTCTAGTAACTGGATCTCCGCTTTAATTCCCATCATGAGCATAACCTGAAGCTCTCGTGTGAGACTGACCACTTCTGCGTCGGACCCACCTCGCTCTACGACCCTGCTTAACGTCCCACTAACATGTTTTCGATCACGGGAGGAGAGAGTCTGGGCCGGATAACGACCACTCGTTGAAATCGCGGAATCGGAGTGCTGTGTGCTCGCTGAAGACGATTGAAAGTCAAAAGCAGAGACTTGATTGGTGAGTGCTGGCCGGGAGTCAGAAGCTTGCAAGTCAATGACATGGTCCGACTTGATTCCCAGCAAACGCAACCCAAGGCCGTCAGGCCGAGCACTGCTTGGGGCCGGACTTTCGGTGTCCGGCCAATAACACCGAAAGATGTTGAGTCCATCGGGGTCAAAATCGGCAAGTACCACGACCGGCACATCTGGACGCGTGGAGCAGAGCAAGTTCACAAACGTTCGAGTGATGAGATCGGGATACCCCTTGGCCTGCGCAGGATTAGCACGGCAGGCGCTTTGTCAATGATGAGAGCGGGCTCCACACACGGTGATCAGCAAGCCCGGTCCGCATAGACTTGTTTTCCAGAAGCTCGTCGACACAAGTGACCGGAACGTAGCCTGGGGACATCAGTATCCGTGCACCACGATTGCACGCCAGAACCAACATCTTTTTCGACCACCAAAACCCAGCGGATCGACGGGCACTCCACGGCCGAAATGCTCCTCACTAGCGGAATCGGCGTCCCCTAACTCGGTCAACATTCAGAGCTGTGTCTAGCTCAGGGCCGAGAACGCACAGTGTCCCCGAGCGAGGCATCAATATCCGTGCCATCGTGTAAATGGATCACCAATAGGCCACAACAAAGGCCCTTTGCCGTGGCGACCTGGCCGTGTTAGCGCAGAGAAGTGAAGCTGCCATGTTAGCAAGAGTCGCACAATGTTCAAGTCATGCCGCTGCACCGACAGGGTTGCGGCAAGGTCATCCACAAGGTCGTCCACGACTCGCTGCTTTTCGAACAACTCTCGGTGCTGGTAGTAGATTTGGCTGGTTCGAGTCAGCCAATGTGCTACCTCCGCCTGGCTGTTGAATGCCGTACCGTTTAGTGAGGATCCTACCAGAAACAAGGGCGTCATGGGAGAGTTGGATCATCAGAAGCAACCGAGCTGAAAGATTAGACGACTTGCATATTGCCATTGCCATTCGGAGCTCACAATCGGCCGCGTACCAAACTTCTGGCCCTCGGACAGACTCCTGCCCGGGAAGCGCAGTTCCTGCATGCGGCGGCTGCGTCGACTTCCATGGGTCATGAGCTCCAGCCGAAGCTCGTGACCGCTGGACAAAGCATCGGCGACAGACTCCAAGATGCCTTCCATGCGGGCTATGAGAACCCCGCTTGTGGCTGAGCTGGGTGACGCGGATGCACCCTCTCTGTGGGACCGGGTATTGTATGCGGGAGCGGCAGCGACTTCAGAGGATGGAGGCATTGCGACGACGGCTTGAGGCAGACAGCTCGGGGTTCGGTGCCCGAACGATACCGGGCCGGTGTGAGAACATGGTCAATCGAGGATTAGCAGGACCTTGCTCCCCGTCCAGTGTCGTCTTGATGCCTCAGGTCGTGGCGCAGCCGCTCACCCGCGGGGAAGTTGAGCAGGCAAGTACTGTGAGGCGCTCCTGCCCGTCCGACGTCAACATCGTTCTACGGATAGTTCCGCACGGCGGTCGTTTGTGAGTGGTGCATGGCGCTGGAGCAAGCCTGGAAATGCCCGAGTTCCTCCAGCTGCAGGTGGGTGCAGGCCCCACCTGCTCTCCGGGCACCCTTCAGCTGTACAAGGCGGCTGCGGCACAGCACGCCAGGCGCAATGGGGTGACATGCACAGGGGGCTGCGCAACCCCTAATTGGAGCCCTTGGGGACCGGAGCTGGCAAACCTTCCGACCTGCCGCTGTCAACGACGATCAGGCACGCGCCCCTTGCTGCGACTTCAAACCCGCACGTCCGTACTTGTACGGAACGCACCCGCGCCGCATTCAACGCACCTTCGAGCAATCACCTTCATTGACGACGTGCACCTACATCCCGAGTAGCTTCGCAACCGCCAGCCGACAATGGCCACCGCGACGGGTCGCGACACGCGCGCTGCGAGGTCGAGAAAGCGAGCCAACGACGAGGAGCTGGGGTTCCCCAAGAAGCCCAGAATCGAGTCCAAAACGGACCCTGCAAGATGGAGGTTGAAGGACGACGACAGCAGGCATACTTGGCACTATCTTCCAGATGCCAAAGCTGCCAAGGAGTGGCCGCAGAGCTACGCGGAAAAATGGTACCTCAATCTGCCACTGGTACGGCTCCTGTCTCCCACAACCAAGCCATGGAGCTGACTTGGATCCCGTAACAGGGCCTCCCGGATCTTCCCAAAGCAGAAACCCCCTTAGAAGCGACCAAGAATGGCCTCACCTTCTTTGAGAAACTCCAATTGCCCTCGGGGCATTGGGGCTGCGAGGACGGCGGGCCTCTGTTCTTGCTCCCAGGCATCGTCATCACCTGGTACGCGACGAAGACACCGATTTCATCGGCATGGGCGACAGAGATCAAGAACTATATCTTTGCGAGGGCAAACCCCGAGGACGGCGGCTGGGGCCTGCATATCGAAGGCGAGAGCACCGTTTTTGGAACAACCCTCAATTATACGGTGCTCCGGCTCGTCGGCGTCGACCCCGAAGACCCGGTTATGGTCAAGGCCCGAGGCACGCTGCACAAACTGGGAGGAGCAGTCAACTCTCCGCACTGGGCCAAGTTCTGGCTCGCCGTCCTGGGCGTCGTGGACTGGGACATCGTCAATCCGGTGCCGCCAGAGATTTGGCTGTTGCCTGACTGGGTCCCGATCGCACCCTGGCGCTGGTGGATTCACATCCGCCAGGTATTCTTGCCCATGGGCTACCTCTACTCCAAGAAGTGGAGCTGTGAAGAGACAGAAATCATCCGCGGCCTCAAGGAAGAGCTCTTCGTCCAGCCGCACGCCGAGATCAACTGGACAGCGCACCGAAACAGCATCGCAGCCGTCGACAACTATCATCCCAAGTCGTGGCTTTTGAACACGGCGAACTGGTTCCTGGTGAACCTCTGGAACCCGTATCTGCGGCCAAACTTCATTAAGGACAGGGCTGAAGCATGGGTGAGCGAGCTGGTCGACATGGAAGACGCAAACACCGACTATGCCTGTTTGGCCCCCGTCAACGCGCCCATGAACACGCTTGTCTGCTATGTCCGCGACGGCCCTGACGCATTCAGCGTCCAGAGGCACATTGAACGTCTGCAAGAGTTCCTGTGGGTCAAGGATGAGGGCATACTGTGCAATGGTACTAATGGCATGCAATGCTGGGACACTGCTTTCTTGATCCAGGCTGTATTTGAAGCCGGCCTGCAGGAGGACAAGAACTGGAAACCCATGCTGGAGCGCTCGCTCAACTATCTTGAACGCCAGCAGATCCGAGAAAACTGCAAGGACCAGGAGAAATGCTACCGACAGCCACGCAAGGGCGGGTGGGCGTTCAGCAACCGCGACCAGGGATACGGAGTCAGCGACTGCATCTCGGAGGCCCTCAAGGCCATCATCCTGCTGCAAAACGTTGGTGGACTTACCAAGATTCTCAGTGATCAGCGCATCTTTGACGCCGTCGATACACTTTTGCTGTATCAGAACGACAATGGGGCCTGTTCGTCTTACGAGGCGCGTAGAGGCGGCGAATACATGGAGATGCTGAACGCGGCAGAGGTCTTTGGGCGCATCATGATCGAGTACGACTATCCGGAATGCACGACGGCGTGCGTGACGGCGCTGTCGCTCTTCAACAAGCACTGGCCCGACTACCGACCCGACGAGATCAAGCTGTTCATCAAGCGAGCTACCAACTGGATCAAATCCAACCAGCGGTTGGACGGCAGCTGGTACGGCAGCTGGGGTATCTGCTTCACGTATGCCACCATGTTTGCACTGGAGAGCATGGCCAGCATTGGCGAGACGTACTCCAACAGCAAGATTTCCAAGGCCGGATGCGAGTTTCTGCTCTCCAAGCAACGCGAGGACGGTGGTTGGTCGGAAAGCTACAAGGTGAGTCTTGCCACGTGTTACAGCCGCAAGCAGGAGCTAACGCTTTACAGGCTTGTGAAATCATGAAGTATGTCGAGCATCCCTACGGCTCGCTCGTGGTGCAGACGGCCTGGGCGCTGATCGGCCTCATGGAAGCCGACTATCCCAACGTTGAGCCGCTGAAGAAGGGCATCGAGCTCATCATGCGACGGCAGCAGCCAAACGGCGAGTGGCTCCAGGAGGCCATCGAGGGCGTGTTCAACAAGTCGTGCATGATTTCGTACCCCAACTACAAGTTCACCTTTACGCTGAAGGCGCTGGGAATGTTTGCCAGAAAATATCCTGATGTCAAGGTGGACGTTTAGATAAACGCAGTCGGGTGAGCGGGTTTGCACGCAGGACGATGGCGGCAAAGACGCGATTTAGCTTCCAACTAATGATTAATGTTAATATGGCCGTGCCGTGGCGCGGCGGCGAAATGCTTGGGTGCCTACTGACGGTCGTGAAGCAATGTAGTGAGTAACGTAGAGAGTGGGAGCTCGTGGTATCATTGACGGCGGCACCGGGCAGTTCCTGAGGCTCCACATTGGTGGGCAGCCTGTTAAGGTAAACCCACTGTTCTGGCACTGCCGGGGCGGCCAACCTCCACTTCCACACCTCACATACCGCCAGAGCTCACCACCGCATCTTTGGCCTTCCTTTGCCTTCCTTTGCCTTCATCACCACGAATCCAGCACACCATTATTCGTGGATCGTGTGAAAGCACACATTGCCTTGATCTTGACCTCTTGCGTCGCCGTCAAATTTCCCAAACGCAATGTCCTACATCACCCTCGCCAACGAGGGCCTCGCTGCCGTCGAGGCCAAGCAGTGGGACGACGCCGTCACCAAGCTCTCCAAAGCGCTGCAGGCCTCTCCCAGCGCGGCTCCCAACCCGGCATGGCTCGTCGGCCACTCCAAGGCCCTCATAGGGCTCAACCGCTTCAACGAGGCCCTCGACGACGCCAACCTCGCCTGGCACGCGGCCTACGAGCGCAACAAGCGTCCTCTTATGGTGGAGGCACACTACCGCCGAGCCATTGCCTACTACCGCCTCGGCCAGCTCGCCAACGCGGACTGCTGCTGCGTCTACGCCATGCGTCTCGTCAAGGGGTCCCCTGCTAAAGAGAAGGAGGATCCGAAGCTCGCGCTCGTGGACAACCAGGGCCGCTGGAAGCCGACGCTCGAGGACGCCATGAATGAGGCCAAGACGGATGACTTCAACGTCGGGGACAAGGCTAGTGGCATGTCCCTCGCTACTGGAGCCGTGACGGCGCGATCTCAGACGTCGGAGTGGCGGCTTGCGAGCACCCTGCGCATGCAGATTCTGCGCACCATGGGCAACCTGCCCGAGGACGACCCTGCGAGGAAGGTGACGATTGGCCTGGTGCCGGAGCAGAAGAAGCTTGCCGCTCTGGCTACTGAGGCGGATGAGCTGGCAGCCACCCAGCCCGCACCCACACCCGTCGTCCCCAGCGACACGCCCCCACGGTTGCAAGATTTCCAAAACGCTAAAACCATTTACGTGTCGATATTCTCCAAGGGAAACAACAAGGAGAAGCTCCAGGTGGAGTTTACGCCGTTTGCAGTCCGCCTGAACCCGGTCGTGTACCCTAACGGAGAGGCAAAGGACTTTATCCTGGAGCTTTGGGGTGAAATCGATACCGCGGCGTCCAAATACACCGTGACGGCGAACAAGGTGGAGCTCACTCTGGCGAAGAGGTGGCCAGGCACATGGGCGAAACTCCAGGACGAGGCGGGCATGGGGGCAGCAGCCGCTCCTCAGATGTCAGTATAACCTGCAAGGCCGGCCGAGCGTTGATGTATCCGCCTAGCTAACACAGCCTCGCAGCTCTGAGACTCAGACGCCCAGCAGCGACGCTAAGAAGGAGGCCGCAGCACCGACTGCCCCGGCTTCCCAGCCCACAGCAGAGCCCAAGACAGCGTCCGCCACGACGACGGCGGCGACGACGACAGCAGGCCCGGCGTACCCCACGTCTTCCCGCTCCGGACCCAAGAACTGGGACAAGATCGGCGAGGAAGAGGGCGGCGACGACGATGCGGGCGATGTCAACGGCTTTTTCAAGAATCTTTACAAGAACGCCACGCCCGAGCAGCAGCGCGCCATGATGAAGAGCTTCACGGAGAGCAGTGGCACGTCGCTCAGCACGGACTGGAACGACGTCAAGTCACGCACGGTGGAGACGGTGCCGCCTGAGGGCGTCGAGGCCAAGAAGTGGTCGTGATTTTGGGGGGAAGCAATGCAGGTGGATTTTGGTGGGGGGGAGCTTGGGGGGCATGAAAGCAACCAAGGTCGTGCTTTGCTGGTGGTGGGCTCGCATGATAGGGATGATGGAAGATGAGGACGATATCCGCCACTTTGGTAGCCAGTCTAATGTGACGTCCAGTCTAATGTGGCCTTGAAGGCGTTTAAAATTGAGCAATCATGAGTTGTATGCCATGCCATCGCAAATGCCAGCTATGCCGATGATGCAGCGCTCTCTATCCAACTCTACCCCTTCTCCACGATCATGGCGTTGTTCTCTCTATTCCGCAACGCTGGGGTCCAGCCTCCTGACCTTGTCCAGCACCTCCTGGTGCCACGCCGTCTGCCGCAGCTCCTGCTGCGCCCCCTCAGGCGTCCACTCCTCCGGGCCGCGATACGCCTCGGCCTGCCCCGCGGGGATATACGACGCCCTGCTGAGGAAGTCCTCGGCGGCGATGTACGCGCCCCGCAGCCAGCGCGAGCCGCCGGAGCCGACGTCAAACGCCGTGCGCCCATGCATGGTGCGCAAGTTGTCGAACAGCACGCACTCGCCCGCCTCCATCTTGCGGCTGTGCACAGCACTCTCATCGTTGATGAGCCCCTCGAAGATGCGCGCCGGCTCGATCCAGGGCCGCAGGTCCTTGGCCGCGCTCAGGTACTTGCCCTGGAACGGCGGGCTCCAGTGCACGCCCGCGAAGCCGCCCCCCTCGGTGTGGTCGATGACGTACCGCGACGCGAAGTAGTGGTAGCCGTTCTTGTCGTACTGGTAGGGGATGTGGTGGTCCGCGAGGGGCGCCATGCGCGTGCTCGCGTTGACAAACGGCCAGAGCAGGCGGCCGACGCGCTCGCCGTCGCTGAAGAGGCTCTCGCCCCCCGCGCACGAGTTGTCCATGCAGTGCAGCACCTGGATCATGGGCGGCGGGTCCAGGTACATGAGGTCCTGGTGCAGGCCGAGGTATCCGCTCGTGTAGGCGACGTTCTCGGCGTTGGGCTTGGCGCGCACGTCAAAGGTGCGGCCGTAGAAGGTCTCGCGGATGTTGGCGATGCGCGTCGTGATGCGCACGACGGCGTCCTCGTCGCGCGGCACGTTCTTGAGGTACACGATGCCCAGGCGGCAGATGTCGATGACGGCGTCCCAGAAGGCCTCGCCGCCCTTCATGTACTCGTCGTAGTCGATGGTGCGCACGTGGCGGTCCAGCGTCGCCGCGTCCCAGTACTGCACGCCCGTGCGGCGCAGGACGGAGCGCTTGCGCGGCAGCGGCAGGTCCTTGGCGGAGCGGCGCTTGAGGGCCATCTCGACCGACGCCCAGGGCAGGACCATTTCGTGCCCGCCATCGCGCGTGTAGCGCTCCATGTCGTTCTCAAAGGTGATGGCCAGGCCGGCGTCCACGGCGCGCACGTCGGCGATGCCAATGTCGACGGGGATCTCGATCGAGGCAAACGACTTTTGGCCCGACGCCGGGTCGCGGCACTTGGGGCACGCGCAGCTGTCGCGCAGGGTGGCGGGCTTGAGGGCGCGGCGGCCGCGCTCGGGGCTGTCCTGGACGAAGAGGAAGTCGCGCGTCCAGGCGACGGTGATGGGCCCGCCGGGCGAGCTCTTGAGGTCGTAGACGAGCCGCGACGCGCCCTCGGGGATCTCGTACTTGGGCCAGTAGCGCTCCGCCGACGTGGTCGTCGAGCGCTCCAGCACCCGCCCGGGGCGCGGGCTGTTGTTGTTTGCCTTGGCCGCGGAGCCGCCTCCGCGCTGCGTGTGGAGGGCGGCCCGTTGGCAGAGGAGAGGGGAGGAGGAGGCTGTCGCAGCCGCGTGGGAGGGAGCGGCTTTGGCGGAAACGGCTCGGGCGAGGAGCCGCGGCGCGGCGGCGATTCGGGACGACGAGATCATGGCTGCGACGAGACGGGGTGGAAGGGCGCGGCGAGGTCAGGGTTTGGTCACGCCCCGTGGAGACCAGGAAGAGAAAAGGGAGAGAGACGGGGAGGATATCGGAACAGTGGTGGGTGGCTATATCATATCATGGCGGCAGACGTGGACAGCGCGCGTGTGGTGGTGCTGGTGCTGGTGGGCGACGTCGGGAAATGCTGGCGGGCGTCGTGGGCCGACTTTTTCGGCTGGCAAGCTGTCGGGACCTCGGCCGGTGCCGCCGCTGCCCCGCGTTGGCCGCCGTGCCTTGCGCTTCCGCCTGCCCGGGATGCGACGCGACGAGCTTGTGACGAGCCATCCATCCATCCAGCTACTACCTAATCCATGCAACTCGTGCAGCAACATCAGCAGACATACATTTGCGCTCGGGTTTGTCCGGTTTCCGAAACTTCATTAAGTGCCTCATGGAATTGCAGCCGATTTGTCTGGGAGCATCGCGTAGTAGCTCACCATCAATAGATCTTTGGCAAGAGAAGAGCAGCTACCCCGCCTACTCCAAGCCAGTTTCAGCTGGGGGGTGGGTGCTCAAGTCTTCCTAGAAGAGGTGCTCTGCTCTTCAACACCAATCTTCGTCTTGGAATAGTCCCCACGGATGACAGTGACCCTCCCTCCCACAAATGCTCGCGTCCAGCCCAGGGCCGTGTCGTTGTATTACCCATCAATCACATTTCCCTCGCCTGCGGCGGCTGCGGCGGCTTTTCACGCTGTCTCTGGCACCCTGCGTTTGACCCCGCAGGCGGCCCAGGGCTCAATCTGAGGAACTCCATCCTTGATGCACATCATGCTCAATCGGCGGCAATCGGCGGTCAGGCTCGCGCGCGCATGTAAGCAGTCTGACTGTGTTCTCGAGCACAACGTGCCCTGTAGTCAAGTCTTGGATGTTTCTTGAGCAATGCCGGAGGCAGCTCCGGTATCCAATGCGCGGTGACTCGGCCGGCCAAGCACGATGACGGCAAAAAGGATACCAGGCCATCACGAGACCATGGCGATCCTCACGCATCACACAGTGCCGGGAGCTCTGGTTCCTTCCTGAAAAGGCGCCCGTGTTCTGCTGCATCCGACTCTTGGGGCGCGATGGCCTGACATTGAGGCGAATGTTTGGTAAAGGTTCATCGTCGCAGCAAGATTGTCAAATGGCAAGATGCCATGCTGGCCGCGGGCACAGGTTCACTTGGCGTGCGAGGTAGACCGATCGCAGGCATCTTGCGGCCAAATTTTTGCCGCATCAGGCGTGAAATGGAGATCTGGCCATGGGAGCCCTTTGGCTATAGGAAGCATTCCAAGGTGTTGAAGCGCGGGCCTCTGCTATAGGACCCCCGGATCTTGTGATGGGAACGTCCTTTTTGGCGCCACCCATCAACGGCCGCTCATCGACACGGATTGGCGACTATTTGACTTGCGAAGGAACAATCCATAAGTGAGAGACCATCGACGAAAAGTCCCACAATGGATATCTGCCCGACGATGGACACGTGGTGTGTCTTCCTAAATGCGTTTTGGAAGGATTGTGACAATGAGTGTTCTCGTGGAGAGCACGGCGTGCATGTCACCTCCATTATTGCTCCCTTGGCATCTTGGTCAGATCCTTCAACCCCATACAGTATGCATGAGCTTTATGCGCCGAGACGGAGTGTCAACATGACTTCTATGCCTAGACGGAAGCATGAGCACCGACCACGGGCCTTCCTCCCAGCGCATCGAAGCGAGGTGGTCGAAGTGACCACTTCTAGCTGGACTATATAAAGACGACGATGCGCTCTCTGCCTCACTGGAAACGCCAACCAACCAGTCAGTTTCGAAACCCGACCACATTGGTCCCCATCATGAAGTGCGTATTCGTAGCCGTCATGAAGGCCGCCATCACAGTCGCCTGCCTTTCCGGGCTTGCCTCCGCAGGACCTCTTCTTGAGCCCCCCACCATATACAACGGGACCATGGAATGCCAGTACTCGTGGAAGTACGGGCGCCCAAGCAGGGACGAGAAGTGCGTCGGGACCCTGGTGTGGTGCTTCACGGGCGGAGCGCGCCAGCGCGGGAAGCAGAGCCCGGAGGAGGCAGAGTTCGCCTGCGCCGTCAAACGCGGGTTCGACAGGAGCCGCATCAAGCTGCCGCTCGACAGCCTGATCAACGGGACGGCGAGAGACGAGGTCGACAATAAGCTCCGGGTCCTTAGCAGGCAGATCGATCGTACCAGGTTGATCTCGCGTCTGTCCTACGTCAACGACCTGCATCCCATCCCTGACGATCCGGATCCCACGGTCCCTGCACTCGTTCGGGGGTTGTCTGTTGCAAGCATGGCCGGCTTCAAGGAAACGCGACTGGTCGTCTCCATCAGAGACCTCGCCTGGCAAGCGTTTGCGCCGCCCTTTGCAGAGAGCGCGTGGCACGCAGTCATGCATGCCTACCTGGGAAGCGTCGGCTTCGTACAGGAGGTGCTGCGGTCGCCGTGTTTCAACCCCAGCGAGGCCATGGACATTTTCGCCATCAGCCACCCTGAGCCGCAAAACGAGACGGCCCTGGAGGAGATGAGCAGCTCGCTGGAGATCATCGCGACCCTCGAGCTTCGGGCCCGCCTGATCCTGCGCCTGCAAAGGTACTCTGGCAAGTTCCTGGACTCGATCAACCCAGATCGCGACATGGAGGACGCGACGCCCGAGATGACGGTCATGATCCGGCACCTCGTGGCGACTCTCAATGCCACGGCAAAGCGGCGCATACGCCGGATCCAACTCGAGCTGAAGCTCGCAAAGGCATCTGCCCGGCTGGCTTTCGGGAGCGATTTCCCCGAGGCGGAACGTCTGGTGCTCGCCCTCCACCAAAAATTCCATCACGACCTGCGCCAGCAGTTGATGCCCCTGTTTGCGTCGGACGTAGACCTGAACTTTTCGGAGTTCTACAAATCTCCGAACTATACGTTGCCACAGTAAACGACCCGCCGTCTGCCGCCTGCCACTAAACGAGCAGTGAGGTTCAACGAGTCGGTTTGCTTTAGTATGCAGACCTCCACGGCCCATTTCCATCGTTGCGCCGCGCTCGGTGTTTCGTATGTAACCCTGCGCGCAAGACGGGCGATGGATGGTAACGCTTATGCTATACCACAACTATCTTTGTAGTTTATAGAGACGATGCTCCCATTTCTGTAATAGACGCGATATAAAAGGCGATATAAGAGCCGGCAAGACCACGCCATCTGGGTCTGCACGCTGTTGCACCTCACTCTAAAAAGACAGTTCTACCCTGACTGCGTTTAACGTCCAGATACACCCTTCTCGTGCCCAGTCCCACGTGATACCGAGCCTGAAAGATGGGGGCAGGCTGTGTATCCGCCGTCCGGATAGGACACACAGCAATGATGTATGTACTTACCATTACCGCAGACTGTATAGCGTCGTATTTGCAACCAGATATAAGTAGGCGAGTGGCTACATCTATATCGCACGTTGACAACTCGCTACTCTGCCCGGTGCCAATGCGCCGCGCCGTCCTCACTGGACATGGAACCGTATAAGAACGCGAATGGCCATGCACCCTGAGACGCAGCCAGTCAGCACACTATTAATAGTCTTTTCCCAAGATACCAATTATGTATCGCATCGCCACCATGAAGGCCATCGTTATACTCGTCACAATCGCAAGTCTAGCGCTCGCAGCCCCCTCACAAGACGACAGCCCAAGCCCTCCCCCCCAGCCCTTCCTCGAGCCCTCCACCGAACCATGCGTCTTCTCCATCGCCAACAAGACCGAAACCCCCGTGCAGGCACGCATCCGCGAAGACTGCATCGGAAGCCTAGCATGGTGCTTCTGGCGCTGGTACGAGATCGAACAAGGCTCGCCCATCACCAGCGTCGACGACTGCCTGCGCTCGCGCGGCCGCGACCCGTCCGCCATCACGATCCCGCACATCGTCAACGCCACGGCCTACGCCCGGTTGTGGCGACACCTCGAGATCGCGGTCAAGGCGTACGGGCGCTACTCCGTGGTGATGCTCTTCATGGAGCTCTCGTTTGGCGACGGCGCCGATCAGCCGGATTGGCCCGGCACCGTGCAGATACAGAGCTTGGAGGCTACCAACGAGAGGCGGCGGGTCCTCGCAGAGCACAGCTTCAAGAGGGTCAAGTACTATGCCGGCTGGGCGTTTGATGCTGCGTTTGTCCCGCAGGCGACGGAGCGGCTTGAGAGGTCCTGGCGGAGAATCACGTACAGATGGGGTCGGGTACTGCAGAGGGGCCTGGAACTTGACGAGGAGATGCATGACTTCCGTGACTGGATCAGTTTGAAGACGCTGAGGCGATGGGCTCCGTCCGACATGCAAGAATCAGCCGGCCATGATGTCTGGATCCCAGGCCCATTTCGAAAGGGTCGGGGCTTTCGGAAAGATTGGATGAACGGCATAGCTTGACGCCATCGTAATCAAGAATAGTTTGGAGAAAACGCCTCGGCCTGACAAATCGCCAGCGTATTCCTTGTTGTTACATTGTCATATGCCTGGGCTACCTCGGTACAACCCTTCGCGACCATCACCTGTTTCGGTTGCTGGACCAGCGTTTGACCATGACCTCCCTGACCTTGTACAGACTGAGTGCCTCCGCGATTCCCTTGTCCAGAGCTTCCTCAAACTTTGGAGGGGGAGGAACGTCGACGTACACTAGGACCAGGCTTTTTGTGACGTGCGATAGTACTCGCACGATGCTGTGCATCCATGCCCACGTCCGGTGAGGTGCCTTCTTCCCTGATTCCTTCCACCACGGATCTGAGTATGACGGCACCACCATCAAGCCGAACTCGGCGTGATCAAACACAGGCCCGCGCGTGTACAACAGCCAGTCAACGCCAAATTTGATGCCCGCACGTGGCACCCATCCCAAGGATCGAAAATGGTGATATACAGCGTAGTGCACGAGAAACCCATCGTCAGGCTCGAGCTCGGGTTCTTCGGGCCCGATCCGAGGTGGAAAGTATGAGTGCTGCCGGAAGAGGGTGAACAGCTCCTTAGTAGACATGGGCTGGCCAGAAGCTCCGTCAAGGACGCTTAGCGCCCCGAGTCCAAATGTCAAGAAGAACGCCTCTTCAGGCGTCAGCTGGAGATGCTCTTTGTTCACGATCGGCTGCGTGTTGCCCTTGGAAATTGCGCCCACATCCACCAGAGGTATGGTAGGGATATCTCGCGTCTTGAGCTTGCCGTCACCGTTTGCCAGCGGGTTGTCGCCCTTCCCAGCCGACGAGTGATTCGGACTTGGCGGATCAAACAACTGGAAGGTTGTTGATTCCACCTTTGGAGAAAATCGGACGCTCTTCTGACGCTTCAGCGATTTGGATTCGACGCTGTCACTGCAAGAGTCTGACGAGGTGGCCGACTTGGACGGTGTGCGCGGCGTGTCGGCATCGTCTGATCGTGCACTCTCCAGTGTACCACCGGCGACCTTATCGGTCATGTCTGCATCATCCTCCTGTCTCGGATGCGGTGCATCACCACCGTCGACGCGTCCAATGTCGGGTGCCGCGCCAAGGCAGCCTACAGGTCCACTGGTGGCGTGTGCGTCTGGTGTTCCATGGGTCGTTGAAGGATCCTCGCGGGTCCCGTGGGAGCATTGCGTGGCCATCAGGTCCGCTGCTGAGTTTGGAAGCAGGAGAAGCTCCATTGGCCCGACGGGTGCCACCGCGACGGGTCGGGGCGGGAGCAGGTTGGCCAAGGCTGCCTGGTTGCGGACCGCGGCCAGACGTGCCTCTTCCAGCTTGGTACTCCGAATGGCTTCTTGCTCCAGTCTTGCTCGCTCCCACTTGGCCTGAGCACGTTCTTGTCGGCGCTGGACCGTCAAGAGTTCGCTGACATGAGCCTCTTGGAGACCCCTCCGAACCTCTTCTCGCTTGAGCCAGTTGGGTTCGCTGCGACTGAGGCTGCCCTTGCCGTAGAAGCCTTGCTCCCACAAGGCCCTCATCGACTTTTCATCGGTGACGTGGACGGATGTGGTGACGTCGGACCAGGTGCCCTGGTGGACAACTGCGGGTTCCGCAGGTGGCGGCGAAAAGGTCTGGCTCAACCATGCCGAGAGGACGTGGAAAAGTGACAGTGGGTTGTTCGGGTAGAACGCGGGAAGGGGAAACGTCCGTATCGGAGCTGGCAGGGCGTAAATCTGGTGGATAGACGGCCCCCGCTTCTGGGATGACGGCGCGGTGGTGCCCGGGGTGGCTGGGGCTGCGTCGGCTGGGCCGGCGGGTTTGGAGGAAGAAGCGTCTATTTCAGCCATTTCATTGGGGTATCATTTTGACCTGGAGCGACGACTGTAAGCATCATTCCATCGAGGGTGCAGCTTGCATGAAAGGTTGAGGAAACAAGACAAGCAAGAAGTGACGAATGGGGAGCTGCATCAGATACCGTTGTAGTCTATAATCAAAGGGCAATCACCGAGGCCAAGTGAATGGATCCTCTATGCACAGTGGGTAGGTTGTCATCATTGTAGCAGCGTGGGACGATACCGGAACAGAAGGCAGCAATTGTAGGCCAATTGGCGCATCTGTCGCGGTGGTCGTCATGGGGCGACTTCGCCGAGGGAGACGCGGGCAGGAAATTTCGAGGCAACGCCGCTGACTTACTTTGTCTAGGGCATGGACCAGCCAGCTTGAGCCCGGGGACAGACGCGTCTTGGAAGGGTCATCCGAGAGGGAACAGAACCAGGCTCCTCTTCGATCGAGTCTGTCCAAAAAAGGGCCGCGGCGGCCGCGATGGATAGAGCTGCGAGGATGCGGCGCGCAAGAGCACCTTTGGCTGTGGGATGTGGGAGAACAAGAGTTTGGACGGAAGCTCCAGATCACGGGAATTTTTTTTCACAGTACGAACAGGGTACGTAACACAGAGAGCTTTCCCCCCCACCCGTGGGTGTGGGCCGGGGGGAAATTGGATTTGGTGCCTGGGTCGCAAGGCGCCAACATGACTGTGCCCGCAGCACGGCCCGCACGTCCACCTCAGGCTCCAAAATGCCCCGACGCTCCAGCGGCCCCGGCACGAGCCCTGCCCACCTCAGTGCCCACCCCAGCGCCGTGTCACTCACTCCCTTCCGGCTCCTGTCGCCTGCCATACGAGTACTTGGCTCCTCCCGCCGATTCCAGTGCACTGGCATGCCACAGTGGCTGACGGGATGCAAGGCCCCGCGGGCGGATTCCATTCATCCTGGCAAGCCTCCAACGGAGTGTTTGCTTCCGCAGGCTCACACAAGCCGCAGCCTGAAGGCACGGCACACTCACGCTCATCACACCTGCCGGGACGGTACTGCACCGGCCGACGCGCGAACCGTGGACGTGGACGTGGACGTGGACGTGGAACCCTGCCTGGGCTTTGCACCACCAGCTCCAGCGGCAGCACTGACGTCTGCTGACATGATGACCTCCACTGACCCTGAACCGAGCCCAGAAAAAATTCAAGCTTTCCGTCCTGCAGTTCGTCTGTTGACGCGCCCGCCAAGCACTCCTCTCAACCGTTGTCGCGACGGCTCCTCGCCTCCACATCTCGCCCACAGCCCACACTGCCCGTCGTCATTTTTCGCGGCTTCCATCGCGTGTGCGACGCACTGCTCGCGGGACGGGCTCCCGACTCTCCCGGCCCGTGGGCCGCCACGCCGTCCTGACCTTCTCCAGCCATTGGGGCACCGCCGGCCCGTCACACCACGCCATCGTCTGGCCCCTCATCAACGAGAACACCGAGCGTCTGACCGGGTCAGCCGGCGGCGGGGCCGCGAGGCTTTCATTTTCGCGATTTATATCTCATCCTTCACGCCCTCACGCCCCTCTCGCCCGCCCGCTGTGCTGTTGTCTCATGCATACCTGACCTTTGCGCGAGGGCACGTTCGACGTCCTGCCCACTGAGCAGGCGAGCGCACCGGTTTGTGGCCATGTCAGACATCGTCAACGTCGTCGCCACGATTTGTCTGGTGTGGGTGGGCATTGTCTTCCTGGTCCAGATTATCGGTCTCACAGCCTGGTGAGTGCAACTCGAACGAAGCGTCCCCGGCTGTAGCATTGCTAACAGATGATGCTTCATACAGCTTTCGATATGTCTCCCGTCGGCCACCCCCCTCCGTCTCCTCAAAGTTTGGGCACGATGCTCCCCTCGTGACCATCATCCGTCCAGTCAAGGGCCTCGAGCCTAACCTCTACGACTGCATCGCCTCGACCTTCCGACAAGATTATCCCCGCGACCGCATCTCTGTTCGCCTCTGCGTCGACGATGAGTCCGACCCTTCCTACCCAGTCCTCCAGAAGGTGCTCGGCGACTTCCCTGGCTTCGACACCCAGATCCTCGTCGAGGCCCAAGACCCCGCCCTCCATGGGCCGAATGCGCACCTCAAGCTCGGTCCGAACCCCAAGGTTCGCAACATGAGCCGAGCGTACCGAGAAGCCAAGGGCGACATCATATGGGTCATGGACTGCAATGTCTGGGCGGCCAGTGGGGCACTCGGCCGCATGGTAGACAAGTTGATGGGCTTCGGAGCCGAGAAGGCACGGACGACACCATACAAGTTCGTCCACCAAATGCCCCTTGTCGTCGACACCATCGACTATACCGAGCCGACGTCCGCCTCTCGCCAGGCGCTGTTGTCATCTACCTCCGAGAGACCCTCCAGCCCAGAGTTGATGGCCGGAGCGGCAGACGACCTGCTCACCCGCATCTCTCGTAACGGGGGTGGAAGACTAGACGAGATGTTCATGGCCACGACCCACGTCAAGTTCTATGGGGCCATCAACGCCGTTGGCATTGCGCCCTGCATCGTAGGGAAGAGCAACATGTTTCGCAAGTCGCATCTCGACCAAGTGACCACTGAGTCGCAAAATCCCATCCTCAAGAAGGGTGAGAACAAACTCACGGGCGTCGACCACTTCTCATACAACATATGCGAAGACCATTTGATAGGCGACCTGCTTTGGCGATCCGACATCCCCGGACACTGGAACCACGGCCTCGTGTGGGGCGACCTGGCGCTTCAGCCCCAAGCAGGCATGTCGGTCATGGCATACATTGGGCGTCGCGTGCGCTGGCTACGTGCACGTAAGTTTACCGTTCTTGCAGCGACACTGGTTGAGCCCGGTGTCGAGTCCCTGCTTTGCTGCGCCTACCTGGCTTTTGCTCTCACCACGCTACCTTGGGTTCATGAGAAGACTGGTATCCCCCAGACCTGGGGTGCTATGGCGTCGACATGGGCCGTGGCCGTTCTCACCTGGATGTGCGTCGACTGGTTCACGTTTCGTCTCATCCACTCCGGGCAGACTGTCGATGTTGACCAGGACACGCCGCACTGGGCGCGAGGAACTTCCCACCATGCGGGGATGCCGAGGCGTTCCTTCGGCGAATGGATCTTGGCTTGGATTGGGAGGGAGTTCTTGGCGTTACCGATCTGGACATGGGCTGTGCTTCTTGGCACCACAGTGAACTGGCGGGGAAAGACGTTTCACGTCCGGCTCGACACGTCTGTTGTTGATTTGACCAACAAGCAACCGACACGGGGGTCGCGGACTCCCGAATTAGAAAGAGGCAGGCGGTCGAGCAAAGACCGACTAGACTAGGCGGTTGCGAGCAGCGCCGCGGCAATCATGATATTGGGTATATATATATACATCTCGCCCTCAGATGGCACACCTTTACAACTTTGACGTATTCAACCGACAATCGGCCCCGACATGCACGTAAGCCTCGCAGAGAAGTGTCTGCGTTGTGTGAGTCGACCGGCCTAGACTCCCGGAGTTGCCTTACCTAACATGAGCCGAGCGCCGACGGCTGCGGCAACCTAGCTCGATCCTAACTGTTCCTGTCCACATGCGGCCAGTAGTCTATCATGGGTATCGAGGGCAGTGAAGGAAACGACGCAGTGTCAACATCCGTCATCATCAAAGGCAGGTCCTCAAAGAAGGAAGCGAAACTAGAAGCCGACACCTGACTTCTACCGAAGGAATCTGCGACATGTCGACCTCGGTTAGCTCGACCCGAATCTTTACAACATGAGTGACGCATTGAGTTCTCACCTCCGCCTCCTCGAGGCTCCGTTCGGGTATCCATCCGCGCACCAGGCTCCTCCGGCTTCTCCAGCACGACCCTCAGCGCCGTAACCACCCTGCTCGCCTCCCTCGACAAGTCATTCGTGCGGCTCCAAATCGCCAGGCTCTTCTCCAGCAGGCCGCGCACCTCCCACAGGTCCTGGGCGGACAGGCGCTCCTTGCGATGCTGCAGCAGGAAGCACGCGATGCTCGCGGCGAGGAAGTAGCCGTTGTTCATGAAGCACGAGTCGACCATGCCCGTGGGGCGCAGCGCTTCCAGGACGTTGGACTCTTCCGCCATGAGGTGCTGCAGCCGCATGATCTCGAGCGTCGCCTCCATGACGATGCTCCAGCAGTGGGTGCTCTGGGCCGTGTCCTTGGCGGTGCCGAGGAACTTCCAGTTGATGAGGATGCGGGCCCTTTGGTAGTGCATGTAAAAGTTTATACGCTGTTGTGGAAAGACGCAGTGGTTAGTACACTGCGAGGAACGTCACTCGTGCGAAAGGGAATGAATGGTGACAGCACTGACCTGAAATACGACGGGCGGGGGGTCCAGCAGAGATTCGGACAAGGGGCGGAACTTGCAAGGGTCGGGCATGGTCGCTTGCATCACATCGAGCCTTGTGTTCGCCGCGACCAGGTCCTCGTACGACAGCGGCAAGGGATTGCAGACCATGTCGGACACGACGCCCATGTTGCTGGCGAGGTGGAGCTTGGCGAGGATTACGGTGCTCGAGGTGAGCTCGTCAATGGGCCTCGCCGGCGGCAGCTCGGTTGAACTGGCGTCAAAGTCTCGGTCCTGGAGGTTCCGAGGTGGCATCGTGTCGCTGAGTGAGTGCTTGATGTTGCCTGGGAGGCCCATCTGGGTCGAGAAGCCTATGTCGAGCGAGTATATCATGGCCCACATGCGTCGTCTCATCTCGCCCTGGTACGGGGAGAGGGACTTGAAGTGCTGCGGATCTCGATGGTAGCCCATGCGGATAGCTGCCCGGTCTCTCGTTAGAAATCTTGATTCGGGATGATAGGGACTACAAAACCCTGGCCGAGTCAAACATGAAACGCACCTATTTGGACAATGTTGCCCATCAAGAGCCACACCCCAATGTTGGAGTCCCTGTTCAGATAGTTCTCGATCAAGCAATAGTGGACCAGGGTTTCCATAATGTCATGACCACCCTTGGCGAACTGGCCTCGGACGAGGCACTGCACCACCTTTTCTCGATAGTCCAGGATCTGGTACGTGGCTGGCGGTGACCAGGCGGAGGAGGAATTGCTCTGTGCTCGCGAGCGCAAGCTCTCCTGACACTGAACTTGGCTCGTGAGGCAGAAGATGCTGTACAAGAGGCCGAGCCATGTGACGGACGTAGCACTGGGATTCTCCCAGAAGGCATTGTACTTGATGAGTGCGGTTTGTGGTTAGTCGTCTTCTATGGAGCGGCGTGTGGGAGAGGGGGAGCCTCACCCTCTTCAAGAACTCAGTGGGATGTATCACAGCTGTCAAACGTTAGAGCTTCGTCGAGGATGTATGACTGCGCGCTCTGCACCCCGGAAAGCACAGGCACTTACATCGGTACTCCTGAGCTCGGAAGTAGAATGCGACCAGGCCGTCGGCTTCTCTCCTCGGCGGCATCGAGGCGAAGAGCTCCTGGTCGGTAGGGTGCTTGCACCCCTCGAAGAGCAGGACATTCTGCTCCAGCGAGGGCAGCCCGTCATCAAACGTCGTCTCGGGTTGGATCGCGCCGGCCGAATCATCCCGCGCCTTCGCCTCCGTCACGCCGCTCAGGACAGAGGTCCAGTGCGTCGAGTCTTTAAAGCCGGTCCCGGACTTGGTCAGTTTCAAGTCGGAAGGTTCGGGCGACGGAACGGAATATGAAGCTGCGTGTGAGCTGCTGGGCGTCGCCAACCCGCCTAACCCCCCGCTGACAGATACGCCGCTATCCTCGGCGGGGTGCTCCGTCGCTGGGGAGAGAGCGCGCAGTTCCTTGGAAGGAGAGGACGGCGTCGGCGAGTCTGCGTAGGTGCATGTCGGCTCGCGGTGATGTTTCTGGTCAACGTCGCATAAAGTAGTGAGCTTCATGATCCTTTCAAATGTTGTTGCTCGTCTTCCTCAGCAGGATGGGGCAAGAGAGTCGACACGCAACGCAACAGCAGGACGCGCCACTCACAATGCAATGAGAACACGGCTTCTGGCGGTCACACTTTCGCCTATAGTGCTCGCTTCGTCAGCTCCGTCTATTATCATTGTGCATTTGAAATCAAACCAGGCAGACATAATTCTTCTACGGAGAAGCCGGATGAAACACAACAACACAAGCAATGAAACCATACGTACTTTCGCAGGCGGCAGGAGTTGCACGACAGCTGCGGCTTGTCGCGCCTCCGGCCTGGGTGAGGGCGGAGCAGCACTGGAGATCGATCGGGAAAACTCATCCTTTCTGCGCGGGTTCGGGTTCGGGTCCGCAGGGAAGCGTCGTCCTCCGCAGCGAAATTGAGAGGGCCGCCAGACGGTGGGAGACAAGAATCGGCAGGTATAAGAGCGAAACAGTAATGAGCCTCATTCCCGCGTCTCGGGCGCGGAGCATCATCGGTGATCGCTGCATGTTGGCCGCCCGCTCGTCAGCCGTCCGCAGCGGACACACCAATCATAAGTCTGCTGACCGTCCGCATGACCCCACCGATCGTCCGCTCCGTTGTTGGAGGTTGGGCGACAAATATCCGCAGTCTCCGGCGGGCAGGGACCATTGTGTATTAGAAAGCGGACATGAAGTGATGTACGTATAAAGAATGCGTCCCACGGTTGACCGTACTGGAATTGGACGGGCCGCTGCATCTCGAGCTGCTCGCTTCGTCTGCAATCAATATTGAACCGCTTGAGCCGCTTTCCTACACTTGATTAGCGCCTGAACTGTTTCCCCAGTGGCGTCGTGTAAGTCATTCACCATGGGCAGCACGGACGGTGCCGACAATACCGCTCACATGCAACACCCGCATCCCGACATCGAAAAAACTGCGCGGCCAGAGTCTGATCTCGGCGGTGACACGGAGCGGGAGAGCAAAGATGCCAGACAACCCATTCCTGAAGACAACGCGACGCCAGCCGATGCTGCGAAGGTGGAAGACGCCGGCCCTCCTGACGGAGGTGCCGCTGCCTGGTTGGTCGTCTTGGGCGCATGGTGCTGCTCATTCTCCAGCCCAGGCTGGATCAACAGTACGTGTCCTCCTCTTTCCAATGCCCTCCTAGGTCACTGCAATGCGGGCATCCTATTCTGCACCGACGCAACGGACTAACGCCAATGCTCTTCAACAGGCGTCGGCAGCTTCCAGCAGTATTACGAGGTCGGACCTCTCCAAGACTATTCCGCCAGCACCATTGCCTGGATTCCGTCGCTGCAAATATTCTTCCTGTTCGCGTTGGGGCCCATCGTCGGCATCATATTCGACAACTACGGACCGAGGCCGCTTATCATTGGCGGGACCTTTCTTCACGTCTTTGGGCTGATGATGGCGTCGCTGGCAAAAACGTACTATCAGTTCCTCTTGTCACAGGGAGTGTGCAGCGCCCTCGGTGTTGCGTGCTTGTACTCCCCTGGTAAGTTTGACCTACTCCCCCTTCCTACAGCATGACGCCCCATGCTAACGAGCCCTGTGCAATGAAGCCCTCGCCTGTCTCTCGACCTGGTTTGCCAAGAAGCGCGGAGCAGCCATGGGAATCATGGTTACCGGCTCATCAGTCGGTGGCGTCATCTTCCCCATCATGATCAGCCGCATGATCTCGAGCGTCGGGTACCCTTGGGCCATGAGAACTGGCGCCTTTGTCATCCTCGGACTGCAAATCATTGCAATCTTCACGGTTCGCCCGCGAGTGAAGCCTGTACCCAAGAAGATGCCCGTCGGCCGCTTTGCAGCACCTTTCAAGGAGTTCCCGTTCGTCATGTTGCTCGTCGGCATCTTCGTCTTGACCTATGGCATCTTCATCCCCATCGACTACCTGGCTTCGCAGGGCTACAAGGAGGCGCACATGTCGGAGGAGATGGCACAATACCTGGTGGCCATATTCAACGGTGCAAGGTATGTAGACATGAAGTCCTGCTGCAAGCCTAACGCTGACCACCATGCTCAGTCTGTTCGGGCGTCTGGCCTCTGGATATGGCGCCGACATCATCGGAAGATGGAACATGTTCATCATCGCCTGTACCCTTTCTGGAATCACCGAGTTTGCAGTCTGGATCCCCGCCACGCGCGCGTCCGTTGCCATCGGCTTTGCAGTCATGTTCGGTTTCGCTTCAGGGGCCTTCATAGGTCTTTCCGGCGCTCTTCCTGTCTCGGTGTCTCCCCTGCCCGAGGTCGGCTACCGACTTGGTGTGGTTTTCCTGGCCATCTCTATCCCCGCCCTCACCATGGCCCCCATCGGCGGAGCCATCCTCCAGGCATCTGCCAACGGCTGGCTGAACGTCAAGATCTTCGGTGGCGTCATGTGCCTCGCAGGGTCGGCCATTATTCTGGTGGCCAGGCTTCTGTACACCGACAAGAAGCTTTTCAAGGTGTTTTGAATGCCGCAATGGCGCACTCGACACTCCTTGGGGCATACAGAGTGTCCTGAGGGCCTCCATGTGCTATGGCGTACTACGGGTTGGTCTAGAGTTAGAGGTACTCAACGTTACCGTTTCTCGACATGCACGATCTCCTTGGACTAGACTACGACAAATTGGCATTGGCTCTTCCTTTACAAAAGTCAGTTGTGGTGATCCCCACCCACATGCAATGTCTGGTTTCTGTACGTACACAGGAGGACACACTCAATCACGGGCGGCAGCATGGCACAGTTATGACCACTATGTCAGAACACAAAAGGTCAACTAATAAGACTCTATAGAACGAGAGACGCACAGTTTGTAACAATTTTTTATTTATGGACCAATGATACCAAATTAATACAAATCACTTATACTAACTGTTCTGTTTCTAACTCCTCCTTCACGGGCTACCAATTTGTTTGTCCTTCCCAATGATGGGGATGTCCTTTCCCGAATTCTTCCCGGCTAAAACCGAAAGGGGTCCAAATGCGCACATATACTCGTCCGCGGGATCGACCTCAAAGTCGAAACTGCAGAGATCTTCATCAAAGGGGAACATGTATGTCGACGTTACACTTTGCAGACGGTTAGCCGGAAGATCAGGAGCAGCCAGCTACATGACCAAGCTTCTCATACCGGTGATGTTCTTTGCTTGCTTGGTATTCCCTCAGCGCCGCTAGGTTCTCGTGATAGCTTACGAGGGCCAACTCGAACCCCTTGCTCCACCGAATGGGATCCGTCAACGAAGGCCCGCCAACGAGTAGGCGACCGTCTTTCACAGATGGCAAGTTCTTGAGCGCCCTGACCTCACGCAGGAACGTGTCTTTGTGTTCTTGGGTTACATCGCTCTTGAACTTGAGCAGGACTGAGTTCTCAGTATGTTAGTGAACCGGAGCTATAGCACGTATGAATGCTGTAGCGTGCATCAGAGCAAGTAAACTTCTGCACACCTACCTAGGTGAATGAGAGTCATCTTTTCAAGATTATCCAGTTGTATTTTCTGAAATGTCACTTTGGTCGCTCCAATGTTGGCGTACGGGTGATGGTTTGGAGAATTATCGAGAGCCCATATCAACGTGACTAGCTGCATGGCACAGAGTCTCTATCCTGAGTCGGCTGCTTCTTCCATCAGCATTAGCGACATGAGAGGCGGCGCTTAGACCGAGTCGGACCAAGTATCCTGGCGCTCAGGCCGACACTCCGACCGACGCACGCCTGACGGCCCGACCGGCACCCGACTGGCGCTCCGACCGACCCTCCGACCGACGGTTGCAGTGAACCTCCGGTTGTCACGCCGACTGCTATTCCAGGAAGACATTGCCGCCACATACACCACCAAATCATCCAGAGTGGCGCAGTCTGACTCGGCAATGTCAGTTTCCCAATGTTGAATTGTGTGAAAGTCGCATTGTGCGTGATCATCTGATGTGTCTTGCCTCGGGAAGCAACAGGTCCTCAAACTGAGATTCGCCGGCGGCATATCACGCCCGTCAGACTTTTTGGTTTCAGTCACATCCACTACGCCCGGTAGCTCGTGAAAGGGTCTGGACTACGCATCCCGACTTGGCTTTGATCAATTGCTCGTGGGGATTCGATTTCCGCCACCCTTCAACATCAACATCATCATTCGCACGACAAAATGGCGACTTTTGCAGAAATTTACCTTTCCCCAGCGTTTCTCATCTATCCTCCCTTGCTGTTCATAGTCGGAAATATCGTTGTCTTCATCCTCAACACACTCCGTCCGAAAGCCTTCCCCCCCGGGCCGCGAGGGCTTCCTGGGCTTGGCAACCTGCTTCAGGTCGATAGGGCCTTTCCGTTTCTCACTTACGGCATCTGGGCCAAAAGCTATGGCAGCGACACTCCACTGGGGGTGAAGAAGGGCGCCAGCAACGTTGTCGTATTGAACAGTGGTCGTGCGGTCCGCGAACTTTTCGAAAAGCGTGGGGCTGTTTACAGTGACCGCCCCTGGCAGTTCATGAATAACACATGGGTCTTCAAAGATGACCTGAGAGCTGCCATTTTCCAGAACAACTCCACTTGGCTCACCCGCTGGCGCAGGGAATTTAACAACAGTTTCGGCACGACCGCCATCACAAGGCTCCGTCCGGCCTACGAGGCCGAGTCGGCCAGGCTTCTTGTCAAGTTGCTGGAGTCCCCAGTCGCGAGGACGGTGGACTTGGAAGCCATCCTCGTATGCTGGATGATGAGTGTGCCATGTTTGGGCGTGTGTGGCAGGCGTCCAGACTCTATGGGTGACCACGGCTTCGAGATCAAGCAGTTCCGGCGTTGTAGTGACGAGTACGCCGCCCTGGTCGCACCCAATGCCGGCGACTTGTTCCCTTTCTTGCGCTACCTTCCCGAGTTCTTCGGCATGGCCGAGTGGAAGGAAAGGGCTCGAGCGGTCAGGGCAGGAGTCCTTGAGACCGGCGCTCAGTTTCTGAGTACCGCCAAGGAACAGCGCGCGGCTCTAGATGCGGGCAAGCCGATTGCATGGGAGAGCGTGCTGGCAAAGATGCTGAGGGAGCAGCGTGAAAAGAAAGATGACATTTTCACAGTGACAGACCTTGGCAACACCGCATTCCACATAGTGTCAGCCGCTACAAATACGTCGCTAGCGGTGTTCTCGATCATGCTGATGATCCTGGCAAAGTACCCAGAGCTTCAGCAACGAGTCAGGAATGAGGTACTTGAGGTTTCAGGAGGCGCGGTGCCCAAGGCTACCGATGTGCCGAACTTGAAGTATACGGAGGCCTTTTGGAACGAGGTACATCTATTGCCTGATCTCAAGACACCTGGAGATCTAGAATACTGACAAACTGTCTCCCAGGCCCACCGATGGCGTCCTGTTGCCCCGCAAGCTGTCGCCCACGCCCCATCCCAGGACGACGTTTACAACGGCTATCGCATCCCCAAGGGCACTGCCGTGCTCATGAACGTCTGGCATATCCACCACTCCGAGGAAGACTACGACGATCCCGACGAGTTCATCCCGGAGCGTTTCCTACAGCACCCGTTCGGAATGCGGCAGGACGAGGCGCACGACCCGGCTCACTTGGAGGCGGCGAGGTCGCGGGTCACCTACGACTTTGGCGCTGGGAGGAGAATATGCCCCGGGATGCATTCGGCGAAGCAAAATTTGCTCCTTGGTCTGGCTAAGGTTCTCTGGGCATTTGACGTTCTGCCGCCCGAGGGGAAGGAGATTGACCTGAGCCTGGAGACTGGCTTCATCCAGGAAATCGCCTTGCACCCCAAGGATTTTGATGTCGTCCTGAAACTGAGGGACGGGCGCTCCAAGGAGGATATCATGAACCACTACTCTGAGACCTATGAGATCGAGGCAGAGATGATGGGCTGGGAGGGGGGCCTGTACAAGTAGGCATAGGAGGTCTGGATCCGACGGACCCTCAGCCGAGTGACACAATCCGAGATAGTCTACCATCCCCTGATTCTCGCAACCCTGAAATATGTTGCTTGCTAGTCAAAAGAACTTTATTCACTGGATAAATGACGTCTTACCTTGGCTTCATGTTGCAAGGATGTCCAAAATTCCTCTGTCCACGAATAATCGCGAGAGCCTGGCATCTTGCGTAGTTGGCAATAATGTCTGGTTCGATACACCAGGCCCCCAGAGTCATGAGCATGTAACTTGCAAACAAACACATGTGGATGATATATTCACCCGTAAATTCTTTGACATGGACACGGCCTGGCTCTGCGCAGCTCGTTTGGCCAAGTCAGCTTCGGGGGTATATCTGTGTCACTGAGTACTGTCGATTTTGCTACAGAAAAGTAGGCAAAGACGGTTGGAAGAAGAGGTAAAGACTTGCGGACTGTCCAGCTGGAATTAGTGAAGACAGGCAAGAGCGGGGACGACCACTCGTTTACATGTTACTTCGACGCTTTCTTCACAGCTCAACCATATGTTACTTCACCCCTATGGATGTAGGATAGAAACTGTCACCAAAGCCACTCAGAAGGCCATGCGTCGCTTCAAAAAGTCCAGCTGCCTGTTCAGAATGCTCTCCACATCCCCGAAGATCCAGTCAAGATGGCCCTTGCCCTTCAAGATGTCAAGCTCCTTAGGCTCCTTCAGTTGCTCAAAGCATCCAAGCTGCTCCTCTGTAGGGCACGATACGTCAAACTCGGGCGTCACCATCATGACAGGCGTCGGAGAAATATACTGGACGACGTTCAGGATGTTCCACGACAGGCTTTTGTAGTAGGTCTGAACGGAAATGCGGTTCTCGACGGGGATACCGAGGCGCTGGAGGGCGGGCATCATCTCGGCAGCGAGCTGGAGGCCGTTGGGGATGCTGCCATCCTCGTTGACATAGGGCAGATACATGGGCCCTTCACCGGCCAAACGGCTTGCACGATCGTGCATGGCAAGCTCAAGAATTGGCTGCCGTCTTTCCGGGTTGCCAGTTGAGTCAATCAAGGGAGCAACTGAGATTGCAGCGGCGATTCGTTTACTGCAATTTGATCCGTCGTTAGCTGTTGGGAACAAGAAATAGCGGTGAACCTCGCCATAGAACAGTGAAAGAGAAGGGTCTCCCCAAGTATAAGCACGAATGGAAAACGTACTCGAAAGCTGCCGCCGCAAGAGTGACGTTGCCACCGAAGCACAGACCCCAGAGTGCAATCTTCGTTTCATCGACCAAAGGATTCTCCTTGAACCAGGTCAGGGCGTCGTGGAGGTGCTCGGTCTGCTGCCTTGCGTCTATCTGTGCTCGTTCATGGATATTAGGATGCGATTGTCCAGCTTAAAATCGACACCGCTTGCAAGACTCACGTCGTTCCTTGGCTCTCCGTCACTGGCGCCTATGCCGCGAGGATCACAGAGGAGGCAGGTGATGCCTTGCTCCTGAAACCACTTTGCGATATCGGGCAATATGGCATCCTTGGGCATGTTAAACTGCTCACACGTCAGTCAATGAGTGTCTCGTTGTAGCCAACACACGGCTAGTAGCAAGGGTGCGTACTCCTGGGGACATGATCATGCCTGGGCCGCGTTTTGCGGCGGGAAACACCCAGCCGCGCAGAGTCAGACCGTCGAGGGTCGTGAACTCGACATCGACGCGAGGTAAAGCCGTTTCCGTCATCTTGGTCTTCTTGAAAGAGAAAGCTGGAGACTGGAAAGGAGGCCCGGACGGCGATGCGTGCTGGCAATGGCACTGACACAGCGCGATTGTATAAGAAAGAAGCGCGAAACAAGCAGTAAACCCTAGGCAAGTACTGATACAGCATGATGCGGTCAGTGATTAGTCCACCAGCTTGGTCCACACCTGGGGATCCGAAGGTTTCGAATTGCGAAGCCGCGGCGGAGGCTTGGCGTTTCGCTGGGCGAACCGATCGAGTCGGGCACCGCGACTTCGGAGTCGGAGGCGGGTCAGCGGTTGTGGGGCCCAGGTCGGAGTCGGGGTCCGGTCGGTCGGGCCGGCGACTGTGGGTCCATAAGTCGGCGTTGCGCTTACTCCGATGCACATGCATCGCAGACTCACGGCATCCTCGCAACTGACTAGAGGCGGCACAGCAGCCTCGGCAGCGGCCACTGCAGTGTTTTCGAGTGCACGTTGCGAGAAGTATTTGCCAGAAGCTGGCATTGGGCCATCGACTAAGACGACCGGCATGCATGTGGTGCCAAAGCTGCAGGTGCCACATTTCTCAGGGGCCGGCAGTGGAGGCACGCCATCAACAGCGAAAGCATAGCGTCATCTCTTGGTTGTTTACCCTGTATTATGAGCGTGGCGGAAGTCACAGTAAGCTCGCGGCCTCGTCAAACCAGCATTCCCATTATGTACATGCATACAACTACTTTGTACTGTATGCTTTCCTCAGTCTAATGCCCCAGCAGTGGCATCACCAGCTTCTTGCCGTGCACCTTCCCAAGCTTCATATCTTCCATAATGTTTGGCACGTTTGCCAGTCCGCCATCCTGAATTTCCAGGGGATGATGTCTAATGCTCCCATTGTGCAGCCAGTTCTCGGCCAGCGCAAATAATTGCTTGCCAAACTGCCTATGCTCGGCTGAGGGAGGGCGCCCATAAGTTCCAGCCATGTGTACCCCGTCGCCCATAATGGCGTCGGCCAGAAACCAATCAGCACGGACATCCCTCCGCGTGTACTTCACAGTGGTGGCGATAGTTTCGAGGGCGATGTAACTTCCTCCAGAAGAACCGATGGCTCCGTAGCACATTTTCATGGTAGCGGCGTCGGTGACGCAGTCTAAGACGTACTTCAGACAGTTGTCAGTGTGCACGCGAATATCAGCACCGCAAGCGGGAGAATGGTAGTCGAAGCAGGCTGCTGCGCCATAAGACTCGCACAGAGAGTTGTTGGCGGGCGAGCAGGTGACGATGGGTGTATAGCCGGCCCTGCGAGCGAAAGGTGTGAGAAAGATGGCGCTGAGACCGTTTAGCAGGTGCACTTACAACTTCAACAGCTGTGTTGCCATGACGCCTGTGGCCGTGGCACCTCCCGAGACAAGCACAGTCTCACCCGTACCCCCATGGATTGGCAGCTCCAGTCCGGGCGCATGGAAAAGAGCCAGCCCGGCTGTAGCCAGCGAAAGCCCAATCGAACATGCTTGCGTAAAAGAGAAGCCCTCGGGGATGTGGCAGCTAATGTCCTCCTCCGCCAAGGCAAACTCGGCGAAGGCACCCTTCGTCTTGTCCAATGCATCAGAGCCAAAGGTGACAGCGAGCACTCGATCACCCTCCTTGAACCGCGTAACTCCTTCGCCCACCTGTGCCACAACGCCGGCAAAGTCACAGCCACCTACGGACCCTGGAGCGTTGGAGTAGTCAACGATCTTCGCATCCCGTGGGTTCAAAGCGATCGCATGTACACGGACTAGTATCGAGCCTCGATGCGGGGCGGGAATGTCGACATTGTCGGCGAGGCGATAGCCGCCCGATTCAGCGCCAACAAGAGCTTTCATAGTGGGCAAGAGATTGACTCGATTTACTGCGCAAGAATTGAGAGAAACTAGTGGCAGACGCAGGCGAGTACCAACCAATATGAAACCTTCGACTTTAAACCCGAACTATCAAGTCTGCCTCAGTTGCGTATTGGTTGGTGTCCCCAGGGAATGACCTTGTGGACTCGTGTCGGTGCATTCGGGATACCCAATACGAAGAAACCCGATATCATGTGGCGAGGCGGATCGGAGGCCGGAGGCCGTGTCATATCGTAACCACCGGTGCCGATGTACATTCGGACACCCGGCCCCGGCAGCGGACCTCGGAGCGAGTCTGACGAGATACGACATCAGTCAGAACTACCTAGCGACCGGACGAGCTTGAAGTCTCTTTGGGCAACTCAGCCCACTTCAAGTTACTTCGCACTCAGAGCTGGCATTGACAGGGGACTGAGCCACTAACACATTACAGTAAGGGACTGATTAAGATCACAAACAGGGCTTCGTCTCGGCATTCATGTGACTACTCGAGGTTATCGGGTAACGATCTCATCCTATATCTCCCAGTCCGCGCCATTACAATACTTACTTGCCTATGAGACATTGAACCCGCCAGTTCTTGTCGGGCTTCTCTCTTCTTCGCCCTTCACTCATATCGAGACATTCGCAATGGGGAGCCAAGCGACAGAGGGCAACTATGCCTACTTCTCCCGCGAGCCCATTGCCATAGTGGGCAGCAGCTGCCGTTTCCCCGGCGGTGCCACATCTCCATCTAAGCTTTGGGAGTTGTTGGAGAATCCGCGGGATGTGTTGCAGGAAATTCCAGCAAGCCGGTTCAATGTCAAGGCGTTCCATCACCCAAACAGCCAGCACCATGGAGTAAGTTCATGCCCCCATATCTGGCATGGGAAGCTTGACTCATGGGACTTTGTCAATAGAGCACGAACGTCAAACACGCGTATCTTCTTGATGAAGATCCTCGTGCCTTTGATCGCGATTTCTTCTCCATCAACCCAAAGGAGGCTGAGGCCATGGATCCTCAGCAACGCATGCTTCTCGAGACAGTCTACGAGGGCCTTGAGTCGACCGGCTACTCATTGCAACAGCTTCGGGGCTCGTCTACCGCCGTCTTCGTTGGATGCATGAGCTTCGATTACCAGTTCACTGCCATACGAGGCATCGACAGCCTACCGCAATATCACGGAACTGGTACTGCCGCGTCCATCTTGGCCAACCGCGTGTCGTATTTCTACGACTGGCGGGGCCCGTCAGTGGCCATCGACACAGCCTGCTCGTCTAGTCTGGTGGCGCTGCACCAGGCAGTATCTGCCCTGCGAAATGGAGAGGCCGAAATGGCTGTCGCGGCAGGCTCAAATCTCATTATCGGACCTGAGCCATTCGTTAGCGAGTCCAAGGTTGGTGAAATAGCTTCCCGGCACCGAGGAATTAGCAGAAGCTAACAGATGACACGCAAAGCTCAACATGCTGTCCCCCAATGGCCGATCCTTCATGTGGGATGCCGCCGCGGATGGGTACACCCGAGGAGAGGGCTTTTCCGCCATCTTCCTCAAGACCCTCAGCCAAGCCATCGCTGATGGTGACCACATTGAATGCATTGTCCGCGAGACAGGTGTTAACTCGGATGGCAAGACGCCAGGTATGTCTGCCGATTTGAACCCGTGCTGTTTCTTGCAGAACGCTTACCAAGTCTCAGGCATCACAATGCCGAGCTCTGAGTCGCAGGCACGACTTATTCGAGACACGTACGCCAGGTGCGGGCTAGACCCGGCTCGTGAATCCGACCGCCCACAGTACTTTGAGGCCCACGGCACGGGCACTCAGGCTGGCGACCGTAAGTGGCATTTTGGGTCGCTTCATCTCCTTCCCGACCATTCGCGCTGACATCAATCGCCTTAGCTATCGAGGCCCGAGCCATCCAAAGTGTCTTTTTTCCCGACGGAAAGGACGGCCAGCTCCTAGTCGGCAGCATCAAGACCGTCATCGGACACACGGAAGGCACTGCTGGAGTCGCTGGTGTGCTCAAGGCGTCGCTGGCAGTTCAACACGGCCAGATCCCGGCGAACCTGCATTTCAACAAGCTCAACCCCAAGATCAGGCCGTTTTACAATAACCTCCGCATTCCGACCGAGACGATCCCGTGGCCCGACATTCCGCAAGGATCACCACGTCGTGTAAGTGTCAACAGCTTCGGCTTCGGTGGCACCAATGCACACGCCATCATTGAGAGCTGGGATGGCCCGGGAGCCCTTGTCAACGGCCACGCGTCGAATGGCATTACAAGCAATGGCCATGCTGTCAACGGCCACTCGCTCAACGGGCACGGCGCGAACGGTCACGCACTTAACGGCCACGCTGAGAACGGCAGCACACTTAACGGCCACGCATTGAATGGGCACAAGCTCAATGGGCACTCCCTGAAAGCTCACCTTGCAGGACCGTTCGTTCTATCTGCCAACTCAGGCCCGGCCCTGGCCGCAAGTGCTAAAGCGCTCGCCAGCTACCTTCGTGCCCATCCAAGCACGGATCTCGACAGGCTCGCCTACACTCTTTTCCGGAGGACAAGTTTCCCGTTCCGAGCCGCCTTCTCTGGCACCTCCGCGGAGCAGCTTGCCGACAAGCTTGAGAGTGGCAGTGACTCTCTCAAGAGCAGCTCGCGCACTGCTACCATTCCCGAGGTCCTTCCCCCTCGAATCTTAGGCGTCTTTACCGGCCAGGGCGCGCAATGGGCTACCATGGGCAAGGAGCTCTATGCCGCTTCGGACCTGTTCCGTAACGCCATAGATCAGATGCAACGAAGTCTTAATTCGCTTCCTGCAGACGACCGCCCCGACTGGTCCCTCGTCGACCAGCTCGAAGCACCATCAGAGACGTCTCGTGTCGGCGAAGCCGCAGTGTCGCAGCCGCTGTGCACGGCTCTCCAAGTCGCTCTGGTCACCGTCCTGCGCGCCGCCGGCGTCGAGTTCTCCGCCGTTGTTGGACACTCGTCGGGAGAAATCGCCGCTGCGTTCGCTGCGGGATACCTGGACGCCACCGATGCGATCCGGATAGCATACTACAGAGGCGTCCACTCCCGTCTCGCGCAGGGGCCCGGAGGGAAGCGCGGCAAGATGATGGCCGTCGGCATGTCTCTGACCCAAGCGACTGCATTCTGCGGCGACTTCGGTGGAGTGCTAGCTGTGGCTGCCAGCAACTCGCAGACGAGCTGCACTCTAGCAGGTGATGCTGAAGCCATTGACCAAGCCCACGCTCTGCTGCAGGAGAAGGGTACGTTCGCCCGCGTGCTGCAGGTCGACACGGCGTATCACTCCCACCACATGAAGGCATGCAGCACCCGATATCTCGAGTCGATGAAGCAGTGTGGGGTCAAAGTCCAGAAGGGCAACAAGCATTGCCAGTGGTACTCAAGCGTTTGGGGATCGAATGGCCGCAGCCGGTCGTTCAACCGGGCTGACGCCAAGCTCCTCGAGGGCCAGTACTGGGTCGACAATATGACGCAAGCGGTACTCTTCAGCCAGGCACTTGCAAGAGCCCTCAACGAGGACCAGTTCTTTGACCTTGCCCTCGAAGTCGGCCCTCATCCCGCGCTCAAAGGTCCGAGCTCCGAAACCATCAAAATGTTGACGGGTCTCTCGCTCCCGTACTCGGGAGTATTGAAACGTGGGCAGAGCGCGGTGGAGTCTTTTGCCGACGCCCTCGGCCTCCTGTGGAAGTCTTTTCCGTCATCATTCCCCATGATCAAGTTTGATGGAGTACGCCGGGCTTTCGCCAGCGGCAAGCCTAAGAGACTGGCTATTCTGAAAGGCCTCCCAGCTTACTCGTGGGACCATCCTAGTCTCATCTGGAAGGAGTCGAGGTCGTCTCGCATCTTCCGTGCCCAAAGTCAACCTCGTCACGAGCTTCTGGGTCATTGCGTGACGCACGGCGAACGCGACAAGCGCGAGGTGCATTGGAAGCAGCTCATCAGGCTCAACGAACTACCATGGTTGGTCGGGCACAGAATTCAAGGCGAAGTTCTATTCCCTGCGTCTGGCTACCTGTCGATGACATACGAGGCCGCCACCCGCCTTGTCGACGACCAGAAATCCCTGCGTCTCGTGGAACTGCATGACGTCGACATTGTGCGCGCCATGCGTCTGGAAGAAGATTCTTCAGGTCTTGAGGTTGTCTTTACTGTTCGTGTGACGAGTCAGTCCGATGACTGTATTACCGCCGAGGCCGCCTGCTACAGCGGTTCGGTCGACTCGGTCGAGCCCTTGGATGCTCCTCAAGCTGGCCTCACTGCCCATTTCACCGCTGGTATACGACTCTTGCTGGGCCAGCCACACGAGGACGCTTTGCCTCCACGGACCAAGCCTCTGCTTCCCATGGACACTTTGGACATGGAAGAGCTCTACTCAGCTCTTTCTAAGGAAGGCTTCAACTATACCGAAAGGTTCCAGGCCAAGTCGATGCTCCGGCGGCTCAACCGCGCGGTGGTAACAGTTTCCTCACCTCCTGAGCCGTCTTCAATACGCGCATGCATGCACCCGGCTCCCGTCGACACGGCATTCCAAGGTCTGCTAGCCGGCTTTTCTTTCCCTGGAGATGGTCGCGTCGGAACTATTTACCTGCCAACGCGCGTTGAGTGCGTCAGAATTAGCATGTTGCCCTCCGAGTTGCCTGCGTCTGTGCTCACTGCCGACGCGACAGTCACATCGACGGGCAAAGCCACTTTTACAGGCGATGTGGACCTGTTCGACGCAGCGACTGCGCGCACCGAGGTTCAAATCCGTGGGGTTCGCCTTACCGCGGTCGGTCAGCGCCGAGACCCCTGGCTCTACGCAGGTACGACGTGGATGAGGGATGCCAGCTACGGCATTGAGCCCGGCCTTGGGGCCAAACTCTCGGAAGCAGACTGGGTGCTATATGAGCAGCTTTCGCGCACAGCCTACTTTTACCTGCGACAGCTTCGCAAGAAGATTCTGCCTCAAGAACTGATGCTGATGGGCAAGCACCGCAAGCACATGATGACTTGGGTCCTCAAGCATTTGCTACCGCAGATCGAAGCGGGCGAGCACCCTGAAATCCGAGCCGAGTGGAAGGATGACACGCTCGAGATGGTGCAGGAATGGCGTGCAAGCCAACCAGCGGACAACAACGACATGAACATCCTCCATGCCATGGGAAAGAACCTAGTCGACATTGTCCGCGGAACGACCCCTCCCCTCAGAGTGCTCACGCAGGATGGCATGCTTGACCGTCTGTACGTGGAAGGTCTTGGTGCCCAAGATGGAAATGTTGACCTTGCCGCCATGGTAAAGCAGCTTTCGCATCAGCACCCGCGCATGCGGATCGTCGAAGTGGGAGCTGGTACGGGCGGCACCACGCGGGCAGTCCTAGACGCCCTTGGGAATCAGTACACGTCCTACACATACACGGACATATCCACAGGTTTCTTTGACAACGCTCGCACCGTGTTCGGTCATCATGGCAGCAAACTTGTCTTCAAGACACTCAATATCGAGAATAATCCGGCGGATCAGGGATTTACCGACGGAACGTTCGACATGGTAGTTTCCTCGAACTGTTTGCACGCGACCCGGAGCCTGGGAGAGACTCTGCGCCACTGCCGACAGCTGCTCCGACCTGGCGGCCGCCTAGTATTGCTCGAGATTACTCGAGACTTCCTGCCTACGCAGCTGGTCATGTCGACGCTCCCAGGATGGTTCCTGGGCATAGACGACGGGCGAGTCTGGGCACCTACCGTCAGCGTTGAACGATGGGACGAGCTGCTCAAGGCCAACGGGTTCTCCGGTGTTGACATTAGCTCGACGCCGTCCTTCTGCTCTGTTATCGTTGCGCAGGCAGTCGACGAGACGGCTCAACTCCTCCGAGAACCACTTGCAGTCGCCCCAGCGACGCTGCCGCCTCTGGGCGACATCCTCATTGTTGGTGGTGATGCCAGTTCCGAGCTCACATTGCAGACTCAGACAATTTTGCGGGCTGCTGCTCCCTCCGCAACTGTCACCGTTCTGGCTGGGCTCGAGGGTATCCAGGTGCCTAAAGGAGCATCCGTGCTCTGTCTTAGCGATCTGGACAGCCCGGTGTTCCGCGGCATGAACCAGAAGAGATTCAGGGGACTACAGGACATCATGGAGACCGCACAAGTGGTTCTCTGGGTAACTTCGGGGGCAAAGTCCGGCGAGGACCCCGACGCCAACATCACTCTGGGATTATCCAGCACGTTGCGGGCGGAGCGCATGGATCTCAGGCTTCAATTCCTTGATGTCGACAGGCCGTCGTCTCTTAACCCAGACTTGCTGGCAAAGATGCTCCTTCGACTCGCCCTCCAGGATCCTTCCGAGACCGATGAATTGCTGTGGAACCAGGAGCCTGAGCTTGCTCTGAAGGATGGCGCCATCTACATACCCAGAGTACTGTCTCTGGACACCGTCAACAGTCGCTCCGCGGCGAGGATCCGACAAGTCACGCAGACGGCCAAGGTTGACTCCGAAAGCACGGCTGTTGTGCTCGACGATCGACAGGACGCATTTGAATTGCAGGCCGTTCCGGTCGGTAGTGCTACTGGAAATGAGATACACTTGCGAGTCGCGGCTTCTTCGCTTCGAACGCTGCTTATCAACCAGCACGAGCCGGCATTTGTATGCATTGGTCGCGACCTAGCCTCGGGAGACAAAGTTCTTGCCCTCTCGGCTGTGAGCGGCTCCCTGGTCAAGGTTTCCGAGGATCAGGTCTTGCATCGTTGGCAGCCCAACGAAACAGCAGCCGAAGCTACGGCACTGCTGCGATCCTTCCTGGCCAAGACACTGGCTGCAGGTTTGCTTCGTGACGTACAGGGGCCCGTCTGGATACACGGCGCGTCGCACGACCTCACCGAGGCCATTGACGATGTTGCCCACGAACATGGCGTAGCCGTCTTCCAAACCACGTCCGATTTGGCGAGAAGTTCAGACGCCAATTTTATCCATCCCTACGCGAGTAAGGGCGCATTGGAAAATGTTCGCACCAAAGACCTTCAGAGCTTTGTCAACCTAGCCCGCACCGACGGCGGGGACTTGTCTGCCTTGATTCGCGCTTCGTTCCCTGCGTTGGCCCTTGTGGACAAGGAGGTCGACAACCTGGCCGTGGTCTTGAGCCTCTCTGAGCTCCGCAGATTGGCGCAGAAACACCTTTCGAGCGACACGAAGGTTCCCACCGAGAGCACTGAGGTTGTGGCAGTCGACAAGATCTCAACAGTGAGAAGAGGGGAGCTGGCGCCGACAGCCATACTCGACTGGAACACTGCAGATGCTGTCGGTGCCCTGGTCCGTCCTCTTGAGCACTACGGCCTGTTTGTTGCCGACAAGACGTATCTTCTGTGTGGCATGACAGGAGACCTGGGCATTTCGGTGTGTCTGTGGATGGTGGAACACGGAGCTCGCAATGTTGTCTTGACCAGTCGAAACCCTAAGGTGTCCCCCGATGTGCTCGACTACTTGTCGCGCAAGGGAGCCAACGTGCGGCCGATGGCCGTAGACATTGCAAACATTGACTCTGTCCGCGCCGCCTACGCCACCATCAAGTCCAGCATGCCACCCGTCGGGGGCGTCATGAACGCCGCCATGGTGCTTCAGGACCGTCTTTTCCACCATTTGCCCTGGGAGGACTTTGCAGCCGTTCTGGCCCCTAAGATGGTGGGATCAAGAAACCTGGACGAAGTCTTTCGAGACGAACAGCTGGACTTCTTCATCTGCTTCTCGTCCACGACCTCAATCGTCGGAAGCATCGGACAGTCCGCCTACGCAGCCGCGAATCATTATATGGCAAGTCTCGTTCAGCAACGACGAAATCGGGGTCTGGCCGGCTCGGTCATTCACATCGCCATTTTGACAGGCTTTGGATATATCTTCCGTCGCGATGCGGAGCATGCCGAGACTATTTACAAGGCCATCCTCCCGCGGTTCGACAGGCAGTCGGAAACCGACCTACACGAGATGCTGGCAGAGGCCATAGTCTGCGGACGGCCAGGCTCGGGCCAGACCGCCGAGCTCATCACCGGCATTAGAACAGTGTTCCAGGGTGAGTGGCGCGACGACCCCCGGCTCTCTTGCTACAGCGGCCAGCAGCAGCTACAGGACGACTCGTCCCAAGGGCAGGCTGCCGGGTCCATCAGTGTCAAGGCTCAGCTCGCAGCTGCCGAGGATCCCGCCGAGTGCTTGGTCATACTGGAGAACTGCTTTGCCCTGGCCTTGGGCAACTTGCTCGAGATTGACCCTGAGCAGCTGGACAACAGCAGGCCTGTCGCCAGCTTAGGCATTGACTCCCTCGTCGCCATCCGGATCCGGGAGTGGTTCCTCAAGGAAATGGGAGTTGATGTGCCTGTGTTGAAGGTCATGTCGGATAACTACTCCATGTCGCGCATGTGTGACGATGTGCTTGTGGACTGGCGAAAGCAAAACAAATCTTAGATAGAAAAGACGCGGCAAGGCGGGGAAGGCCCGCCCTCTCTGGAGGAAGGAGGCTGATAGAAGGCACTGGACAATTGGTACACAATCAGGGTGGATTATCTGCATCCCGTTGGTGGGTGTAGGGCGATTTCTTCTGTCGACAGAGATGCCGGATCAATGGTTCAAATGTTGTTCGCCACGTCCTAAGTAAGTTACATTTCGGCGACGATAAGCCGCTTTTCGCCACGAAATGAGAAATGCTCGGTACAGGATAGTCTACTTTGCTCCTCTCCTCTACTTCTACGTACATAGCTCTGGCCGAAGCGTCAAACATGAAACACCAGGTTCTCCCGGACCGCTCCTCGTCCACTGTGTCAGTGAAGCTCCGAGTGTTCCATTTCTGTCTGAAGCTTCTGAATGACCTGTCTCAGCCTCTCATGCTCGCTAGGTATCGTCCCAGTAATGTACTGCACAAGTACGAGAATGCCACCCTGTGGCGATGATCCTCCCGACGCTGCCTCGGCTTGTATGGAGTGTATTTCATGTTGGCTCGCCAAATTTGGAGTCTCAGGAGTGATGTTGCCATCAGTAGACGATCTGGCGCTCTGCCACATTGATGGATTGCCTTGGAAGAGGGTGCGGTCCATGCGGTTGATCAAATGCATCAGCAGCTGAAGCACCATGACAAACTGGGCAACCGATGATGGCCCTATATCGCTGTGTTGTCGGCTTCGGTGGTGCTGTTCCTGATGCTCTTTCTTGGCTTCTAGGCAGCGATGTATGGCGTCGCAAATGGCTCGGAACAGGGCAACGAGATGTTGATGGCAAGCAAGGGCGGAAAAGGCGAGCCCGTGGTCGGTGGTGGTCGGGTCGAGTGTACTATCATCGCGATCCGGCGCGGTGATGTCATTGATAATGCGAATCAATGTATTTGTGTCCTCCAACGCCTCATTCACCTCCGGAGATGATACGGTTAGGGGCACACGCCCAGGGCGGGCAAGACGGCGCATGGTCCGCGTGGCTCTTTGGCTCAAAGATATGAGCTGGGATGACAAGGCGTCTGTGGTGTCAATGTCGTCGTTATCGTAGGCGTCGTCGTCTTCGCTGTCTTCGTCGCGGCCGGTGGTGGGTCGTGCACGGGTCATTAGAGCTACCTCTGTTGCGGATGGTGCTGGTAGGGAGCTCAATGAAGTTGGTGAAAATGGCTGGAGGTTTGCGTCCCAGCCTTGCATGAGTCCGGCCACGGACCCGTTCTCGTCAACACCAGGGAAGTGTCCCACCAGATCGGCAAAGTCACTTCCCAGAGCCGGCCCGCCTTGATACAACCCTGCGGCAAGTCCTTGCTCGAACCACGGCGTGCCGCTCCGGTTGCCAGGCTCTGGGCCGGCGTCTATTCGCGTCGTGTGCTGGACAGAGCGACGAGCGGATCGCTGTTTTACTGTGCCGAGAAAGCAAGTGTGAGCTTTGGATCAGCCAGAATCAGACTCAACGAGTCAATCCATTCTGGCTTGACAGTGCAACAGAGCACAAAACGCACGGGGAGGTGGTGCAACAACATACAGCTGTAGACACAATCCACACCTGCCTTCGCACATCGCTCGCATTGAGAAAGGGAAGCTCGGCCTGGGGAGGACGGATTGCTGTTCTCTTGTTGAGCCTCGTCTCGAAGGCATCGCACCTTTTGTTGACGACAGCGGTCACACGACTGCCGATGCGACATTATGCGCGCCTCTCTTTGCTCCCTCATGTTCTCCTACTTGTGGATCTTGCTCGGTTGACAAACGTGCTGCATGGCTCTTATATGTGAGCGTGGTTTTGGGTGGCCGGGGTCTGCCTGATTCGGCAATCTGATGGTCGGGGGAATCGTTCAGGGCGGACTACGGCGCAAAAGTCCCCCGACCCAAGCGGACGAATCCAACAACTCGTTGTCGGGTTGCCGCCCGATTTGCAACCGCCTTTGCAGCAGGATCGTGGCGCTCTTACGCTGCGGCCAATGAAGATGCACTGAAAACCACCTGGCTGATGAGCTTCACTGCGTGCCAGGCGTTTTAGGCTACAACCACGGCATCATGCAAGTATTCGCATACGAGACACAGAGACAGCGGGTGTCACAAACAATACGGGAAACATTGACGATACCGCCTGCATCCATGTCTGAGTGGTACAAAACAGCCACCCAGGAGCGAGGAGGAAGGCTCAGGGCGGGGAAACAGCATCTTTATTCTACGACGAGGCCGAAGTGTACAGACAGGCCCCTTGCGTTGATGGCGACCTAGAGCGCATCTGGAAGAGTGGAGAGCAGGAGTCGTCAAACGGCATATTGACATGGAGCATGATATAATCCAGAGCCGGGAAGCGACTGGAGATGGGACATGCGAAAGCCAGAGCAAAATTGAAGTGGACGAGACGAGAAAGCATGGGAGGCGACGGGGTCCAGGCACGGACCTATAACACATCGCGAGTCGCGAACATAAATGTTGGCAGACTTACAGGTCGCGCATTCACCATCATCCGGGATCAATGATGCCCAGTGCCATCTTCTTCGTACCAAAATGCTGACGACGTGAGACTTTATTTGACGAGGTTTACTGAACAGCTTATGTTTTGAACCGCAGTGAGAGCGAGTGATGACAGCTGTAGCATCAAAGATGACCAATCCGGCTGGGTGGTGCCGCTGCTGGCATCATGGACCCTGACAATCAGACTGCGAGGAGAATCGGAGGGTTGTACAGAATCCTTGCAGCGAAGCGGCTGGGATCCGGGGGTGGGGGTCCAGGTACCTGCGGATTCCGGCCGCCGACGTCAAGTCCCCGACGTCTTTGGATGCATGTGAGTAGTGGCGACATGTCATGTGAAGCAAGGTGAGGTAGTCCAACAGCTTCGTGAATGACAACGACGTCAATACATGCTGCGAGATGTCGGTAGCACAAAAACGCTCAGCGCAGGCGATTACGCGTCAATTTGCCTCTTGACAGCCTCGTTGCCGAATGACCGTCAAACAAGTAAGCGGACGAAGATAAACCCCCAAGCAGACGCAGATGATAGACAACTGATCCGAAGCGGGCTGCGGATCAAGAGCGGCTCAGAAGCGGACTGGAGCGGAGCAGGTGGACATAGTTACGGAGTGCCTGGGGATCGGCCGACGACTGGCTACCCTATTATATCCGATCCACAGGTAGCGCTACATAGCGTTACATCGTCCTTGGCGCTGGGTTTGGCAGGATATTGCGCTTCAACGGCGCGGCCGCAGTTGGCGGGCAGCATTCGAAACGCCTATCCCAGCGGGCTTGTTTTTGGAGGGCGTGACTTTGGGCCTTCAATGTCATGGAATCACAGCAGCGGATGGTTGACCCCTGGATAGGCTACTTGACCTGGTCCTCGCAGGCTTTAGGATACCTACTTGCCTGCGCGTGGGATAGCTAGATCCTGCACGCCCATCTGAACAGGGTTTAGGCTGGCCTGCGAACGCATACTTTCCCTGCCTATGCTCACGGACGGACTCAGGCAGTTTCGACACGATAAAAAGCCGAACGATCACGACATCGTATTGAGGCACTTATCGGCTCGCCTCTAGTATGTACATGTGCGTGTAGCATACCGCATTAGACGAATCGAACCAATCTTCATGCTTATCGCTTGTCATCATCAAGCCAGCTGCGACGTGAAACAAGTCTTGCGCGTCTCAAGATCTTCGGCAGAAACTTCTCAACGCGCCGATGCTGGAATGTCCGTTTCAAATTGCGATCGGTAACATCCAACTTCGTCCATCCCAGCAAACTGTCCAGAACGCAGGTCAACGACACGATCCCCGCGGAACCTCGACACTCGTCACAGCCATGCCGGTAAAATACTTCAGTGTCAGAAACGACGGCACGCCAATGTAGCTCTTTGGCTTGGAACACTCTTGGACAGTTGACAAACCGACATGATCAGGCTTGCAGGGTCCAAGACATTTGGTCAACCTGCCGGCGGGCCGTCTATCAACAGCTAAATCACGACTAGCGTGGGATCGCCAGTGGCGCCACGCCCTCTCAGCGGTCCCTCCCGCGCCCGAGTCCAGCGTCCGCTTTTCCGAGAGCTAATCTCCAAATTTACAAGCGCATCGCGTTGACGCCAACTTCCTGGTGGCGACCACTCGTAAGAAACCTGCGTATCTACTGCTTGATACCTTGTATGTTTGACGTTACTCGACTCCTTGGCCTTATCCAGCAGTCGCCGCGCCCAGGTGAAGTGCCAAACCAGCATCGTCAACCGGCAAAGCCGGCTTCTGCCGACCGCGGCTTCAAACAGGAATCAGTCCCCGGTGGTCAAACTCCAGCCCAGCCATAAGGGTGCCTTCCGCTATGTTCGCATGCGGGCATGTCCGGACAGCTGCAACCGTTCGACTCGGCTGGCGATCGATGAGAATCGCATCATCGCGATTGTGGCGCCGTCTGGTAAGCACGAGCCGGAGCTCCGGTAACCACTTCAGGCAAGCCACCGAGCATGGCTTCCTGTATTGCCGTCTCATTCAGCATGGATTCTCGGCGCCACCGTACCTCGCCTGCCGAGACGCCAGGCTCAGGGACTAATTTTTGGAGCGGGCAACGTGGCCCGGGGATGAGCGAGATTATTTTCATTCTCCATCTTGGCATCTGCCATATCTTACGTTTCACTGATGGTGGCGTTGCCACTACTGCAGGACGGCAAAGGCACCCTCCGCAGGAGCGCCAAGGCTTCCGCAGTTGAACCACGGGAAAGCGGCAGTTGGCCGAGCCAGACTCGGGCCAACAAAGCGTCAGCACCGCGCGGACATAATCTGTTACTATGCGAATGCGGACTTCTCTTACTACGAGCGGACGATGACACTCCAGCTTCCACCGAAAGCCACGAGGCTCGCCGATCCATAGATGGCATATGCAGGAGGCGAATAAGCCGGCCTAATTGCCCACGTTGCTGACCAGCAGCACAGTACAACAGATACAGCATTGCATTCGAGGTTACATTCAATGTGAGGCCAAGGGTCGACGCAACTCTTCACACGAGGCAACAAGCACCCCCACACATTGATGGTACATAGGATCTCACCGGAACGGACGAAGTAAGCCCTGCATGATTCTTTGCGCATCGCATCATGCCGCCGCATGCTTGCGTATGCGATCTCTCGGACTCCGTTGTCGCAGGCTTCGCATAACGCATGAGGCGAGGTTCGAGTTTCGACCAATACGCGGGCTTGGTATCGTTGATACGACTGCCGAGGCTGACGGAACGCCGGTCAACGATACGTGGCCGCCACCCGGGGAAAATATCCGACGTTGCGTCAAGCGCCTGCAGGATCCGATGCGATAGCGGGGGCTACCGCTTTCGTGATAATCCCGTTGAAGCGACGAATAGGGGTGGTCCCTTGCCCCTATGACGGATGGCGGCATGGGGACGCGGGGACATGGATGGAGAGTCCGAGCTACCCCTCCAAGCTGAACCACCAGCCAACCTTCCTTTCTGAGTTGACTAAAGTCACTGTGCAACTGTCGTCGAACCCCCCGTCCAGCGACCTCTATGGTGGAAATAGTGACGGCGCCGCACTCCATCTTGCCCTTCCAAATGGCACTGGGAACACGAACACCCAGCCGTCGCCATTCAGCCGCCACGCGGCCGGACAGGGGTTTCCGAAGAGGGGGTTCTTCCTCAGAAGCCATCTCGTAGACCTTTGGGCACGCACCGCTGGTCATGCCTGTGCGAGCAAGCGGTGGCCGCGATAACCGAGCTATGCATCACATGTACAGTCAAGCGGCCAGGCACTCACTGGCACGAATGCGTACTTGAACGTGATGTACTGGCTAAAAGCGAGATAATTGCAAGCCACTTGCTTATTTGAGCCATGGAATCCCGCTTGATTCCAAAGACAAGGCGTCCCCGTGTTTCGTTCAGCAGGTTACGCCAGGTCTTCAGCCTTTTCGCAACGTCAAATTTAGGCTTTGGAGGTCTGGTACGTGGTATGCGAATGCAGCCGTAGCTGCGACTTGGGTTCAGTGACTACACTACCGATACCCGCGAGTTGTATGGCTGGATACTTCCCAGTCAAAATCTCGCAACCTCCATGTCATCAAAGGATGACTTACAGGGCTGTGACTGCTTTGGAGCGGATGTGCGACTAGACTTGATGTGTACGACATCCCTAACGTGGCTCACAAGACATGCACTTTCCGTCTCTTCATGTTCCGGAGCGAAGGCAGAATATTAGTGTTCTTGGATAGAAATATGTCGAAGAGACCAGGTATGTAGAGCGCTTGTATAGTTAGAGGTACTTGATATCCTTATATATTCGGGTAAGGCTGTCACACTTCGTGTACATAAAGAATTGTCATCTCGCTGACGATCGACTCTCGGCGATAGGGTTCACGCATCTGACTTTCGAGTGCATGTAATTGCGCACGGACAGTGAGCTGCCATCATACGTGTAGTTCACGACTCAGACTTGGATCATCCCCGGCTGCCAAGGAGCTAGGATGTACATGCACTGTGTCTCGAGCGTCTGGCTTGGCGCTGGACAGGGCGCATTGTGTTGTGTGGAACGTAGGGGTTACACCAAGAGACGTGTATTGCGCTGAGGAGCCCTGTCTAGGGATACCTCCGGTCTAGGTCTATATATATATAGGCACTGCCTAAATACCTTAAATAAGGCCAATCTCCTATAGTAAATGCCTACGGTATAGGTATTAAGTTAGAACGGTAACTTACGGTAAGGGCATGCCGTAAGTAATGCCGATAGCGATACGTAGCGCCTAATAAGGGTTTTAGTGCATAAAAAATAGGTAGGTCGTAACCCTTTATTATAGTAGCCGTAATATACCCCCTTAGATAAAGGACCTATCTTTTATCTATAATTAAAGCCGTTATAAGTATCGTAATGCCTTAATTTTAGTATTACTAGATTCGTTTAATACTATAGATTATAGTAAAAATAAAGTTCGAACCGATTAAAGGGGTTATTCTATCGTAACTAGAGGCAAAAAAATAGTAGTCTACCTAATAGTAGCTTTTCTTTACTTTTGTATTTTACGCTATAGTAAGAGCCGCCGTTAGGCTTAGTATAGCTCTTTTTTGCTTTAGTATTTTAGGCTAAGCCGTATTAATAGCTACCTTAGCTAAGGGCGTTATATATCCCCTTAGCTAGGGGCTAAGTAGCTCGTTATTACTTATCGTTACTTAACTATTTAGCGGTTAAAAGTAAGGCTAATTAATTAGCCTTATAAAGGCTTATTAAATATATAGGTAAGTATAGTTACTACCATTATTACCGTTACTATCGTTCTTTCTATTCCTATCGTTCCTTTTATTATTACTTAAGGAATCGACTTTAGCTATAATAGACTAGCTAAGCTATATATTATATTTACGATATATTAAGGTATATTAATTCGAACGGACTAAGTCTTATATATATCTAATATTTATATAAAAAGAAATCGTAATTATTGCGATAAATATCTCTTAGTATTTAATAATTATTACTTAGAGTCTTTAAGTATCTATTTTATAGAGGTCTTTAATAATTATAAATTTAGGTTAAACCTTAAATAAAATAGTCTACTAGATAGCTTATTATTAAAATAGGCTTTAATATTAATTTAGAGTCTATTAACGTTATTTTAATATTATTATAGTTAAGTATCTATTAAGTCTTAAGAGTAGCTTAGTAATATATATAGCGCGGCTTATATCTACCCCTTAAGATAGCTATTTATCGTAAGTAATTATCTTTAAATATATCTTAAGAGCTTAATTTTCGAGCTCTTATAGTAAGAGCTATATTAGTCTTATTTACTCGTAAAAGGCTTTAAATTAGCGTCCTATAAGTAGCTTTATAAGCCTATCTATAAGTATCTCTTTAATTAATACCTATTCGACTTAGACTTAGTTTTTAATGACTTCTTAATATAGCTAGTAATAATATATATCTATATACCTAAGCTTCGTTATAAGCTTTATAACTTCCTCTATAATAAAGTAAATAGTCTACCGGTTATTATAGTATATTATTAATAGGCTATCTCTTAGCTAGAGGCTTATATTTATATATAGCCTCTTAAAGGCTTAGAGCTCCTTAGTTACTTAACTAAGAGCTAAGAGCTTTACCTCTATTAATAAAGTTATAACTATATCTTATTTACTAAATTTATAGATAATAAGGCCTCTAAATAGCTTAATAAGGTAGCTTTATATACTCTTCTTATTTACTATATTATCGGTAAAGGAAGCATTTAAGTATGCCTTTAATATATTAGTCTCGTAGCTATATTATATAGCCTAAAAACGCGTTACTATAAGGTATTATATATAGTCTTTAGCGCGTCGAATATACTAGTTACTTAAGTTAGTTAAGAACTATAAGAGCTTTAATACCGTAAAGATAACGTTAAGTCTTATAATAATAGCTATATATAAGATATAGCCGATAAGGAACTAGAATTAAGCAATTAGCTTTAGATTTAAAGGGTTTATATTAATCTCTAATAGCTCTATAGTTAATAGCTAACTTAAGGCCTTATAATTAAGGTTAATATTACATTTAGCGGCGATCTTTACGATATATAAGTCTTAATATAGCTATAGCTTACCTTAAGCTTAGTCTTTAATGACCTAAATACCTAAAAACTAGCTAATTTCGCTAAGATCCTTAACTTTATAGTATTCTTTAAGAGCCTTATTAAAAGCCTTATATTTAAGTTTAAATCCTAGTCTATATAATATAATAATATCATTAATATAGAAGAAGATAATAAGCTTATTATCTATTATAATATAGGCGTCTTCGAGGATCGATTTAAAGCTTAAGGACTTAAGGAAGCCTAAGAGCTCTTAATACTATAGAAGCGGCGACCTTTATAGCCTATATAAAGCCTTATTTAGCCGCTATATTTTAGTAATTTAATTTCGGTTAAAGCTATTTAAGAGGTTATAATAGACCTCTTCGTTAAGGTTTACGTTTAAGAAGGCATTAATAAAGTTATATTAATATATATTAAGGTCGAAATATATAGTTAGAGCTATTATAAACTTAAAGGTCTTTAAAGTAAGGGTTATAATAGCTATATTAAGGTCGGTTTAAGGTTATTAATCCCCTTATATATATAGGCATGCCTTATACCCTATAATATAGCCCTTCTTATTATATTTATATATAAATACTTATACTAACTTTAATAGTCTCTATAGGTATTAATCTCGCTCGATTTCGCTAAAAACTACTTATATTTATAGGTCTTTAACTTATTAACGCGCTAATCGAATTTATTCGCGATAGAAATAATAGTTATATATAATAGTTAGCTAGACTTAGAGCCTTAATAGCTATATAGTATATACGTAATAGCTAGCCCGCTAGGGCATACTTTTAATAGGTCGCTAGCGAAATATTATATAGACCTTTAAGCTTTAGTCTCTAACTTATAATAATAGTAATAATAGCCGCTAGACTATATAGCTATTACCTCTCTTACTTAATTAATCTATAAGACTTATTATTATTATAATTCTTAAAGCTTTTATTATAGTTACTTAAGAGTAGTAATAGCGCTATCGAGACTATATAGAGGTATTAATATACTATTAGGAAATAACCCTCTTAAGGAGCTAGCGAATAGCTTAACCCGAATCTTAAGTATACCTTTAGCTAACTAAGATCCTACCTTAAGGGATATCCCTATCGAAGAATAAGCCTAGGTAATATAAGCCTATATTAAATAGCTTAAAGAGCTCTAAGCTCTTTAAGTAAGAGAAAAAGAATTATATAAGTCTCTTACTTAAGCGGGCTATATTAACGCTATATTATAGAAATAAAGGCGAGATACCTTTAACTTATCGAATAATAATAATAAAAGTAGTAAAGTAAAGGTTATAAACTTCCTAGAGTTAGGGCACTTAATTAACTTATAGTAGCGATAAGACTAGCTATAGGATATTAAGCGAGCGTTTATAGGGGTATTATATAAGTTCTATAAAGATAAGAAAAAGATTATTTTCGCCCTTAATTATATATATCGCGAAAGAAAGGTAAGATAGGACCGATATCTTAATAAATAACTAACGACTTAATAAGAACGAATTAAAGCTAGCTAGCCTAACTTTAAGGAGTAAACCTATATACTCCTTTAAGACTCTATTAACTATAAGGCAATCTTTATAGCTTAAAGGTAAAATATAATATAATAAGAAAACTAGTCTTTTATAGACTTTAATATTTACTTAAACTCTATAAAGAAATACTTCGAATATATTAATAAGATAGATTATACTTTTACCTTCTTTAAGAAACTATAGCTTAAGTTATAACGCTAGATTAACCTATAGATATCTATCGAGAATAAGATATATAAGTTAATTATCTAGATTACGTAATAAGTCTAGGACTTAATAGACTATAAGACTAAGAGGAGAGATATAGGCTTATAAAAAGGTAAGTAGTCTATTAAGCGAAAATATAGTAATAAAGGACTAAGTAGCTAATAAGGTAGTAAGTTATTTACCTTAACTATAAAGGCGAATATTACCTTAATATCTTTATTAATAAGGGATAAATCGCGCTACTTTAATTATAAAGAGGAAAGATACTTTTAGAGAGCTTACCTATAACTATATAAGGAGAGAGGTAGCTTTAAGTCGTCGGAAAACTCCTAAAAGTTAAAGTAAACACTTA